CGCTACACTAGTAGAGCTGCTCACCCCCATGGGCTTTGTCGCATATTTGCGCAACAATCTAGTTGCAAAGATGCGAATTTCTTTGGAGCATGATGTCATCGCTTTCGAGATGATGAGGCGTAGATGGCCGTCTAAGGTGTAGTCCATGTTACTCAGAAGAGTTCGAATCAAGTCGTCGCGGTCATTGAGCTCGACGATGTGGTAGAACATGTTGATCACTCTCCATCGTTCCAAAATACTGATGCCTCGAGCGTCTTTAGTCAGAGCACCCAAGAGCGCAAAGTAGCCACCAGTAAGCGTCTCATTCATACGTTCCGTCTGGAATATAGGCGATTCAGAGGTCAGACCGCTCATGCGGTCGAAATGAGACAAGCACTCGGCAAGCTGTCGGATAAACTTGCTCTCGGCCAAGTATTTGACACCTTCAGGATTTTGTAGAAGACTCTGCATCAAGGCGCATCCGGCTCGTACGTATCGTTGGTTTGGTTTGGTGTTTTTGATCTCAGAGAAACGATACTTGAATGGGCGATAGAAACCCAGGACGCGATGAATGAACTTGGTTACTTTGATCGCCTCATCCAGGCGTTTAGGATTCAGCAGGGGACCTTCGATAATGTTCAGAATGAGATCCCACTTCCATTTCGTGAACGTAACCGTGTTCAACACCTGGGTTTCGACCATTAAGTTGCGAAAATGAGCCTCGTCCACCTGCATGGCGGCTTGCAACTTTGCCGCATGGTCAGTTTGCCTAGTTGTCGAGGTACTGTCGGAGATTGTAGTACTCTTAGTGTTATACAGAGATGTAGGTCCGGATCGGTAAAGAGTTCTGTTGATGCTGTCCACTTGATATATGGTGCCGATCGCGACGAAGCGGTCTTCGGAGTCGAATCTCGCTGCTGAATGAAGAAGCTGTGGGAGTACCTGAAGCTGCGCACTCCACGATGGGGGTAACAGTTCATTCGCCATCTTCAAAACTTCGCCAATCAGTAATGTCGTCTTGCGCTTCAACGGCAATGTCAAAGAATCCTTTTCAGCTAGCAGTAATGCTGGCATCAGCCCAGCGTGCAGAAATGCCGCCAAAACTACAGAGACGTAGTGGTCCAGTAAACTCCACTTGGTGGTATCGTCCTCGGTGCTGCTGGAAGTTGAGGTATCTTTGACCTGCTGGTTCTTCAGATTCGTGACGCGACCATATGTAGTTAATCGTCGGCCAGCAAGAAAAGACGAAGACCAGGAGGGAGGTTTGATCCTAAGGAGGTCGAACAATAGTTCTAAGATGATGTTCCGAACGTGGGGAGTAGGGATTTGTAAAGACCAAAGTAAGGATCGGAGAGGAAGAAAGTCGTTCATAGATAGCGTGAGCAGTCCGGGCCAGCTACGTAGTAAAGATCCAATGACCTTGGCATTGACCTTCAATTTCTCTTCGTGCAAATGCCCATGAGTCGTGTTTGCATCGGTGAACATGGCAAAGGGCGCTTCCAACTCGCGTCCAGAGCGCAAAAAGCGACGTCTTCTAGGGGTATCCAGCAGATAGAGGAACGAAGTCCCAACGCTCTCAGCAGCGTGGTAGCTTCCTTCTCCTAAAGCATCAGCCAAAGCGCCCATGCCTCCGGCTGCAACCAGAAGAGACGGCTTCCGGACAAGGATTTCAGCCAGGGTCAGCGTTGCAATATTCCTCAGTCGGTCTTCTGCATGTTCGGCCACTGCGACGATGATACGAACCACAGCGCGAGCAATTTCCTCAACACCTCCTTTGACATCAAGGAACGCTCGGACAAACTTTAGTGCTTGTTCGCGCTCCACACTAGCTTTGGACTCCTTCACTAACGACAGGATGACAAGGTGATCTGTGTGAAGAGCGCGTATAATTCGGAGAGACTTGCGATCAGTGAAAGAATAGCGCATAACCCGATATGCCGCTGCAACAACTTCACGGCTATCGCTTAGTAGCATGGTTTGCATTCGTAGTCCGAATATGGACCAGGCTAGGTCGTACTTTAGCGTGGGATGTCGCTTGAAGAGGAGGACCAGAGAGTTGGCTCTCTCCACATAGTATTCCGGCTGCATGCCCTGAACTTCCAGAGCTTGCAATATCTCAGCCAGAACGAATGTTGGCGACTCCGTCTCCTCCTCCTCTCCTACTTCTTTCTGGACAATATGCCGCGACGGCGAACGTGAGAGGTTCCGACGGAATAGATATGAGAGTCTGCTTTGCGGATCCGCTGGCGGTGATTTGACTTCTTTTGCTCTCTGTTTCTCCGCAGCCAAACCTGACTGCAACTGGGCGAGTTTTCTGTTCGATATATTGAGCTGCTCCTCGACCTGCAGTCTCTGATTCTTGCTATCCTTTGCGTTCTTAGCGTTCAATGCCTCGAGCAGGTTCTCCGATCCAATCTTGATCTTGGTCTCCTTCTCAATCTGGTCCTGCAGCTCTGCCTGCCTCTGCTCAGTCGTTGTTCCGTCATAGTCCCCCACAGTGATTGCATGCATGTCGAACTCTGGACGTATTCGACCGTCTTGCGCCGTCGAGGGCCGCATCAGAGCGGTATTGAAGCTGCCAGGGCCCGTGTTGGCAGTTGCATACGAGGCATACGAGGCCTGGCCACCCCGCGAGCTGGCCATGCCGACCGACGACGCTGAGCGGCCATCTCTACTCGTCGTGGGCGCAAGGAGAGAGGTCTGGTCGGCGGCGTCGGCCTGTGTGTTTACGGAGCGAGCTGATGGCGTCATGAGCGCGCCTTAACCGTGTTCCCGCCAACCGCATCGCATATCTGTCTTTCGGCGGTGCCCTCTTCTTGCCTCATGAGCAATTCGCGGGCACGGGTGATGTCGTCCTTGTTGCGGTACCTGGCCAAAAGCGGAAGTGTAGCTAAGGTTCGGGGAAGGAGCGGCTGTGGCAGAGGCTAGGGAGTGTGGAGCTGGTGTAATGACAGTGTGAGTGAATGGTGCATGGTGCGCTGCATAGCCATCTCGACGTGTTGCGGGCAGCGGCTGCTGGACAAGGGACGTGCACATTTCCATACCCTGGTAAGACGGAGCTCGCGTCTATCTGATCTCCCCTATGGCTTTACACCTCACCATCATGGCCTGACACGGCGCCGAATTCCTTATGCCGATAATTCAAGACCCGTAGTCCCATCGTGCCTGCGGCATCTTTTAGGTGGGGAGCTGTTCGGAGGCTGTCACGTGCGCGCCTTGCGCCGCTGTCCAGGGCCTCTTCCCTCGACCGGAGCTCGCCGATGGCCATGTCAACGAATCGAAACGCGTTCTCGCCGCCTCTTTGCCGACGGTCCATAGCTTGCTCGTGCCTCAATCGCAAACCACTCCTATACAGTTCGGTGTCCTCCGTGTGCCGTCCATCAGATAAGGTGCCGTTTCACAAGTATATCTAGCTTTGATCGCCCTTGTTGATAACTTCATCCACTTACCCTCAGCTTCCAATTGACCACCTAACTACCTATATCTTCAGCCCTTATCTCAAGTACATTAGGCTATTGTTGTAATCTGAAGAGCTTCTCTCGCCATGTCTCAACTCAGTTACGCCCGCTACGGCAAGGACAATGTCCGCCTCTACAAGGTCGACAAGGATCCCAATACTGGCATTCATAAGGTTGTTGAGCAAACAGTCTGCGTCCTACTCGAAGGAGATATTGAGACCTCGTACGCTTTCGCACCGCAATATTAGCATAACACATATTGACAAGATTCAGATACACCAAAGCAGACAACTCCGTCGTAGTTGCGACCGATACGCAAAAGCAAACGACATACATTCTCGCAAAACAAAACCCTATAGACCCACCCGAGCAATTCGCTGCCATCATTGGCGACCACTTTGTAAAGACCTACCCTCACATTCACGCCGCCCACGTCAAGATTATTCAGCACCGATGGACGCGCATGACTATAGACGGAAAAGCCCACCCACACTCATTCTTCCGCGACGGTGAAGAGACCCGCGTAATCGAGTCCGTGACCCGCGAGAACGAGGGTGTCTCTATTCGGTCGAAGATCGAGAAGCTCCTTGTACTGAAGAGTACAGGATCAGCATTCCATGGCTTCCACCGTGATGAATACACGCGCCTACCCGAGACATGGGACCGTATTTTGAGCACAGAGATTGAGGCAGGCTGGCAATGGAAGCTGTTCAAGAATATAGATGAGGCCAAGGCCGTTGACTTCAACGCTGCATGGAATGCGGCACGGGACATCACTATGAAGGTCTTTGCCGAGGATGACAGTGCCAGTGTACAGGCGACTATGTACAAGATGTGTGACTTGATCTTGGCTGCTGTTCCCCAGGTCGAGGCTGTGGACTATGCGCTGCCCAACAAGCACTACTTCGAAGTTGGTAAGTTATATCAAGTTCGACCTGTTCCCATCAAGCCGCTAACATGATAACAGACCTCTCCTGGCACAAGGGCATCAAGAACACGGGCAAGGATGCTACTGTCTTTGCTCCCCAATCTGACCCCAACGGCCTCATTCAGTGCACCGTCACCCGCAAGGGTACCAAGTCGAAGCTGTAGATATAACAGCAAGTTCCCATTACACTTTGGTTTCTTGTATATTTCTTTCGGTTATCAAGTGACTTTTGAGAGGAAGATTGTTGAGCGAGAGTAGAATATTATACCACATTTTCTTTTGATACGGAGGGGACGAGTGAGAGTAGAATATCTATTTTGCGAGCAGGCGGAATTCAATTTTTTGCTCGCTATCGCTGTGGAACCCCCATGTGTGTGATGTGAAGGTGCATGATCAATCTGTTTGCTAAGTTTCCAAGTGCATTGAACATATCTCATCTCATAACTATACACATAGTTTAACGAACCAGGAAATCGCTTGAGATGATTCAACAGTAAGACGCGAAAAGAACCAATCAAGGCCAGGAGATAACAAAACCCAAACTTTGCTCAAGTCCTGTAATCTAGATTTACATGTCTTATACACACCCGATGCTATGGTATACTCTCTCTTCTTCTCTTGTGGCCACGCCCTCGTCATGATACTGGCGCCTCCGCACTCTGTGTTTTCGCCTCCACAAATGTCTTCTTGACATCTTCATGCTCCATTATACTCTGTCCACCACCATTCCCCACTTGCAAGAAGTTCTCCTTGTAAGGATGCGCTCTCCCCTCAAACGTCTTCAACCTCGCCAGCCTGTCCTTCCGTAACCTGTTCTTCGGCAACATGCCGCTGACGGCCTTCCTCAACACTTCTCCGCCTCCCCACTTGGCCATCATTCTGTCCATGGAGAGTTCTTTAAGAGAGCCGGGTCGGGTCGTGTGTGTGCGGTAGAGTTTTTGGAAGCGCTTCTTGCCGGTGGTGTGTAGTTGGGAGCAGTTCGTAGCTACGACGTAGTCACCACAGTCGGTAGAGGGGTCGAAGATGGGCTTGTGCTTTCCCATGAGGGTCAAGGCTATGGCGGAGGCGACGCGGCCAAGGGCGCGTGGGTCGGAGCCGATGTCGAGGTGGTGCCATGAACGGGCGTAGGCCAGGCGCGTCTACATTACAGTCTTAGCTTCGGATATAGGTACAGGAGAACATGTCACCGAGGAGACTATGACAGCGATCATAGAGGTATTGGGATGCGGAGGTCCGATGGAATACACACCTTCCCAATGACTTGCGACATGGCGGGCTGTGAAGTCAATGGCCTAGCACACCGATTCCAGTTGAGCTATAAGATGGGGTTACAGTTTGAAGTTCCCCAGTGACGAGGGAGGTGAAGCTGCGAGCGCTATTGGTGGACTTGTCGGCGTGCAGTGAATGTTGATGCCAAGCCTGAGATCCAACATTTCGAAAATCACGTGGATTGCCGATAAGATAAGCCCCGATGCCAGATTCATCGATGGATGTTCGGCGGGGATTCGGGCCTGGGTGGATTTCAAAGCGACGGAAGGCAAAGTCACAATGCTCACAACTTGACCTCACAAAGTTTAGGCAGCATTACACCTGATTTCACAACGTTCAAAATGACTGTTCCATCGTTTGAAACCATCTTCGCGGTGCCTATGACCTGCCAGTCATGCATCAACGACATCGAAGGTTCTCTGCATCAGTTGAGTGGTACGAGCGATCCCCACGCACGTCATTCGGCTTCTAACAACATATAGGCATTAACAAAGTCACTGCCAACCTCAAGGATCAACTAGTATCTATTGAGGGCACAGCAGCGCCATCGGCAATTGTTGAAGCTATTCAAGCTACCGGACGTGATGCAATTTTAAGAGGATCTGGAAAATCAGACAGTATGCTCCATCTGTATGGAGAGTTTGCATGTGTTATGATTCTAACAGCCGAGCAGGCGCCGCAGTATGCATTCTGGAATCGCATGCACCGCATGTAGAGAACAAAGTTCGAGGGCTCGTGCGCATGGTTGAAGTGGCTCCAAGTATGACCATCGTCGACCTGAGCATACGAGGATTGTCGCCTGGAACATACCATGCAACTGTCCGCGAATCTGGCAACATATCCGACGGACCTGAGTCTACCGGCGCCATTTGGGAGTATGTCAAAGCCAAACAAGAGGGCAAGCCGTGTCGAGGCATCTTTGGAACCGTTCAGGTAGGGAAGGGTGGAGTCGGATCTGTGTTCCTGGACAAGCCCATCCACATCTGGGAGATGATCGGACGCAGCATCGTGGTTGCGAGAGAGCAAGACGGCAAGGTATGCGAAACCCGCTAATTGATCTGAGATCTACTCTGACCTTGCACAGTTTGACAAGAACGATCCGGATACGCTAGTGGGTGTCATCGCACGTAGCGCTGGAGTTTGGGACAGTAAGTGTTCTTGGTACCCCACGTGTTCTGCGTCTGGCGGCTCGTGTCTTTCGGATGGGTGTATGCTAATGGTACCTCAGACGACAAGACGGTATGCTCATGTTCTGGAAAGACGGTCTGGCAGGAGAGGGAAGAGCAGCGCGATCGTGGCATGCTATGAGTCCAAGACACAGCAAGATAGACCAAGAAGTCATAAGTGCCGTCGAAATGCCGTGTTGGTTTGGTGACAAGAGATAACGTATGCACCTTGAAATCTAGGCCGAAACTAGGACTGCGCGAACACGGACTTTGCAAGGCCTGGCATAGTCATGCGTTCATGCCTGAGAGGGCCAGGCGACAGGATGAGTGGCTGCGCAGTTGAATCGTCACGTGGCTGTCTCAGTCGGAGGTTTTCCATGTTACAGACCTCAAACGCCATCACTTGATGATCGTAAGGGGCCAGCAGTCCCATGTCCGCCGCTGTGCGTTGCCGGCAGTCGGCCTCACCAAGTCAGGCTCCGGTTCTTTCGGAAGCGCTGGAGAGGATCGTTAGGCTCACAGAGAATCGGGAGGCGGTGGTGTCATGCTGCAATGGGCTGGGTTGAGGCGTCTTGGACTGGCGCGAAGCGCTGTGGCTCTCGGACTTCACGGTGCAGGGGCCCAATCAGCGTGGCGGGCGGCGTGTCGGCCAAGGCTTGTCTCTCAAACGCGCTGGACCTCAGAATTGGTCTCCCCACCGGTAGCCCTCCTGCAGCCGCCCGCCAAATTCCCACCGTGTCCCTGGCTCTTCCGAGTACCGCCATCGAAACCTCCTTCTCTCTCTCGTTCGGCTTCCCAACTGTGCCTTAATTCCCACACCTGTACGATCGTTTACTCCCCCGCGCAACACACCAGCTACTTGTGTACCTCGACGACCATAATAACCACGACCCACGACCTACCGGATAATAATTCACTACACCGCGCACACCCACAAGCCCCGGCGGCTACTCTGTAATCTGGCGGAATTGAGACGAGCACGTTAGGAAGTTTGCGCTTGAGAAGAAACACGACCCCTCGTCCCACGGTGGAGTGCTAGGAGAGGCACTAAGTTGAGGCTTGACGACACCATACTGCCGGGTAACAAGTGAAGATCACTCGTCATGTCTCTGAAGCAGGTGCGCTCCCTCCTCCTGCACCCAATCGCTCCTTCCGAATTCAATTGCTGATAGGTGGGGTAGGAAATCGAAACCTGGGTGGCAGCCCTCGCCAGCTACGACAACAACGAGTTCGACGTCGCATTGAAGGTCTTTGACCAGATCTCCGACACCTCCAAGATTCTGTTCAACTGCGGCGTAATACATGCCACACTCGGCGAGCACGAGAAGGCGGTAAGTCGAGGACAATGGCTCGAATGATAGGGGCACGTGCTGATAGCTCTACAGGTCGACTGTTACCAGCGCGCTGTGCGTCTGGACCAGTACCTCGCCGTCGCATACTTCCAACAGGGCGTGTCAAACTTCCTCATGGGCGACTTTGAGGAAGCCCTCGCTAACTTCAACGACACGCTCCTCTACTTGCGCGGAAACAACAACATCGATTACGAGCAACTGGGCCTGAAGTTTAAGCTATACTCCTGCGAGGTGCTTTTCAACCGCGGTCTCTGCTACATCTACCTCCAGCAAAGAGACGCAGGTCTACAGGATCTGTCCTTCGCGGCTAAAGAGAAGGTGGTGCCCGACCACGATGTCATCGACGAGGCTATTCGGGAGGAAGCAGAGGGCTACACCGTCTTCTCCATCCCTGTCGGCATTGTCTACCGCCCCAATGAAGCGAAGGTCAAGAACTTGAAGACAAAGGACTATCTTGGAAAGGCCCGTCTTGTCGCTGCCTCAGACCGGGCTAATGCCTTCACTGGCTTCGCTGGCGCTGAGATCAAGAAAGGAGGACAGGCCGCAAAAGACGACAGAACTGAAGACAAGATCTCCTACGCTGCGACCAACCTGGTCAAACCAGAGCTTCAGAGCAGAGCTCGCCAGCAGTCAGAGCCACCGATGAACCGTAACATGTTCCCACCCACACCGCCACCGGAGGCAGACAGGAGGTCTGGTGATAGGAGATCTGCTGGAGAGCGGAGACCTGCTGCAGATGCTCCCATGAGCCGTGCGCAGTCCGTACGAGGCGGCGGTCCCAAGCCCCAGCCTCTAAACCTTGGACGGGCTGCTTTCGACCAACAAAGTAGCAACGAGCCGCCTCGTCGTCAGCCAACGCAGCGCTCTGCCTCAGAGCGACCACCACCAAGCCGTTCAGAGTCAACTCGAGACCGAGGACAACGCGATCAGCGAGACCAGCGGGATCGTGACTACAGGCCACGCCGTCGTGGATCTGACGACGATATCATTGACGACTACTATGACAATGACTCATACCCGCCTGCGCGTTCAAGTCGTGGCGCATACACCCGTTCAAAACAGGGCAGGCGACCAGCTTACATTGAAGAAGAGGACGAAGACGACTACGACGGTAGTGATCTTGATGATGCTGAGTTCGAGATGATGTCCCGCACGAAATCTAGGAGACGGTCACCTGCTCGCTCCACCAGGTCGGGTGGCAGCAACCGCGGTGCAGGCAGCAAGATCAGAGTGAAGGTTCACTCTAGTGATACGCGTTATGTCTTCATCAATTCGGATCAACTGATTACCGAATTCTGGCAACAGATTCGGGAGAAGTTTGGTGTGCGAAATAAATTCAAGGTGGAGTTCAAAGATGATGGCGACATGATCACCATGGCCGACCAAGATGATCTTGATATGGCCGTTCAGACGGCGAAGAGCGTTGCTAGGAAGGAAGGCAGCGATATGGCAAAGATGGAGGCAAGTTTCACGATACACTCAACTCCAAGACCATCTACTAACTACTTCACCAGGTTTGGGTTAGAGAAGTATAGACTAGAGATACCCCAGCATCACGCATATTTACGAACGACATAACATTTCCCTTTTACCCCTTCAGACGCATACTGATTGCTTCGGCGTCTTTGATTTGATAGCGTCCAACTTTTTTGTAATTGTAGCGAGCACAATTGCTGGTTTTGGTTGGCATGCATAAACCCTTGTACACTCTTTTTCACAGCCGGACTGTTGATCCGCTATTTAGAGTCGGCTTTGCATGTGTACGAATGGAGTAATCGAATTTTACGAATGACAACCCACCACCGACAATTGTTTCTTCAGTGATGTGATGTTCTTTGAACCACGTGCATTGGTATGCAGAATACCTGCAGTAGATAATCGCATGCAGTAAGGTGGTCTGCATGCGCCACCAGCGCGTGGAAGTACCAACAACCAGGTTCACAGATTGCTGTTCAAGCCGCTTTGCTGCGCCGCATGCTAGCTAGTTGTTGACGCCACCGTGCCGTATTGAAGCAATCTGCCGAGTACGAATCAACATCGTTATCCGATTTTACCAACTGATCCAGAGTCAACATAGGCTGCTTTGGTGGATCAACTGGCGCTTGCAATGACAACAGACAACTTCCGAGCGCCAAGGTACACTTAACGAGAGCCAAACAATACCGTCCACCAACATCTCGATCACGACGTATCTGTACACGCCACGAGTTTACTTTCGATACGTCCATTACGCGCCCGAAACAGCTCGTAACAATTCACCGAAGGAATCCGGACGGTTGATCCCATATCCGCTTCCTTCATTTCTCTTTATCGTGGAAAAAGAAATGTTTTGTTGGAAGCTCATACCACGCTCGCACAAGTCCACAGGAGTTCCAATCCGACACTTGACGCGCGCCATCGCCGATACGAACAAAAGGGATGAATGAAGCTGAACAAATCAAGCAAGGCGACGTGAAACCGTGTTCAAGCTCAGAGCATGTCTCGGAAGAAGGGAAAAGAAAGATGAAGAAGAAAATGCAAGACGGTTTGATCTGTAGGTTCTATGGCTAAGCATTTCTGTGACAGCAAGACAGTGCTTGGTGTGTTCCAGCTGTGTGGGTTACAGAACGGTCATACGCGTCGATACGGGTGAGGCGCATGGTGTTTCAGATTATTCTGTATCCTGGGATGACGTCGAGAGGGGTATGAAATGAGACAAGCTATCAAAGAGTCTAGTTGAGATTGCTTCAGAGAGAGAGAAAAAAAAGTCGTAGTTGTTGTACATGTTGTTCCAAAACGGCTCAAAGACACCGGTTTTAGGTAGCCTTTCGACCTTGGTTTCACACTACGCAGTGTGCTTTCCGTGCCTGAACGCCCTCTCCCATGCTCTTTCTGAGGCGTCGTTTCTTTTTTTTTGTACATGGCGTCAAGGTCTGTTCGTTACCCTGCAATGGCTGCTCTCATTTGCCGACTCTCCGTCACAGCGCCGGCGCATTCTTTCTTCGTGTTGAGATGAATTCGAGTTTACGCAGGGAGCAAGATCTCGGCCCAGCTGCTGTGCAAGAACGTTACACCGATCTGTACACCGTCGTTAGCACTCGTCCTTGCCTCAATTCTCCTTGTATATCATGCTCCATCCCTCCTCCAATATTCTCCACTGGCCAGGGTATCTTACAGCAAACATTCCCGCAGCAGTGACGATACTCCTGTTCTCCTTGCTTGTAAAGGCCGAAAGGGTGCTGGACGCGAAGCTGGGCTCGTTGAGGGTACGGCCCTTGCCTGTCATTTGCTTGGGTGGCATTGTTGCGGTGGTAAGTGTGAAGCTGCGAAATCGTAAATATCACAAAGAGGTAGTTTCTATTTCGCGGGGTTCGTACGATGTGGATTACGGTAGTGAGAGGGTAGTGTTGTGGGGTTGACGTCGATGCGCTTCGGTGATCGTGTTTTTTGGTTGGTAGGGTCGAGCGTCATCGGGTTTGATTATGTAAGATTGGTTGTCCTGACATATCCCATGGCACGAGTCTTCCATCTCATGTCACCGCATTTTGGTAAAACGTACGTCTGAAACAGAAAATCACTGCGCGTATACAAAAAACTTCATGTTCAAAAATAGCATAGCATCGTACTATTACAAGTTATTCACAAGCACGGCTGAGTCTATCACTCAATCTACACCCTATACTATAGCCATGCCGTTTCTTTTGGCCTAACACGCAGCCGCGTAATGAATGAAAACGTTTGATAACCCCGTGTGCCAAATCAGATATTCGCTATGCAAACGACACCCGACCGGAACTTGAACGCCGTGAATGCTTGTAGAACTGACCCAAAGGTGAGGCCAGACGACTAAATCTCAGGAAACGGAAAGAAGCACTCTGAGAGAGGGTTGCCGCCATCGGAGTTTTCAGCACCAAGGAGGTTTAGACTGGATAACCTACTCCTTCTTGCTTGCCAGGATACTGTATTGACCACCGCAACCAGCCCATACTAGCTTCGTCTCTCGTACGGCGGTATTGTCGATCATAGTCGGAACCTCAATTTCGTCATCAGTGCCCTGGCCCGTTTGAAAGTTAACCGAGAAACCCCATGAGTAGGCCTTGCCGGCCTCGTCAATGACGATGGAGTGTTCAGGGCCGCATGCGCCGGCCACAATGTTCTTGAGGTCGGGAAGGGGTGTCGGCTGTACAACAATCTTGGCCTTGCCGTTGTTCTTCAACACCTTGCTCTCATCCGTCTCTGCATCGAGCTGGGAAGGAGGGAGACCGGTCTGCGAGCCGTCGCAGCGACCCCAGACGAGCACTTGTCCATCCTTGGTAATGGCTAGGTTATGATGCGAGCCTGCGTCCAGAGTATGGACACCCTTGCCCTCCAAGCTGTGTACAATTTTGGGTTGTAGAACACTAGCATCATCTGCACCAGCATTCTCGGTGTAGCCCGTCTCGCAGTAGTTGTTTGCACCCCAGCCCCAGACATGCCCGTCATCTGCGATTGCAAGACCGTGGTAGTCGCCGGATGCGATGTGCGTGATGCGTTGGCTGTGCTTCTTGATGGAAGTATCGTGGAAACCAACCTTGCTCGGCTGCAAAGCTTGGACGAGATTGCGCTCAGTAACACGGCGGCCGAGCTGGTTTTGCTGGCCATTGCCCCAAGCCCATACATGGTGGTCTTTGTCGAGTGCGTAGACGTGGTTGGTACCGCATACGATTTGAGTAACCTTCTTTATGCTGTCAATGTACACGGGCCGAGGTGCCGTCTTGTTGTCGGTTGCGAAGCCCATGATGCCTTCATTCTTTCGGAATGTGCCCCATCCGTAAACAGCGCCCTCCGTAGTGAGGGCAAAAGAGCAGCTATCACCGGCAGCGACGTCGACGAAGGTGGTGTCTTCAGGGAAGAACTCAGCCGGCACAGGCGCCGGTGTAGCCTCAGCTTCGTTCAAACCACCAGTCTCATCTTCGGAGTCGGAGTCGGAATCGTCCGCATCAAGATCGCGCATCTTGACGTTCGCGTTCGATGTGTCGCGTCCGAGGGCATCGTTATCGTTGACACCCCATGTCAAGATTTGGTTATCTTTCGTTAGCGCAACAACGTGCATGCCACCAGTAGCAATCTTGACGACATTCATGTTGGACAGAGTCTCGTTGTAACGCGGTCGCTTGACGTCAATGGCCTTCTTTGTAGCGCCGAGGCCGAGCTCACCAGAGGCACCTTCACCGAAGACGAATACCTTCAGAGGTTCAGTGTAGCGGATCGAGTTGATCTCTGTCTTCTTACCCTTAGATCGGCGCGGACCCTTGGGATTTGGGATCAGAGCCGGGTCGATCTTCTCGGCTTCTGGCTCTGGTGTTGCGGCCTTCGACGCGGCTTTGGGTGCGGCCTTGGGAGCAGCTTTGGGGGCAGCCTTGGGGGCAGCCTTGGGTGCAGCCTTCGCGCGTTCGACCTTTGGCTTTTTCACAACGGGCGCAGGCGCGTCTTCGACCTCAGGTTCGCTTTCATCATCCTTCTTGCGCTTTGTTGTCTTTTTGGGCGCGGCCTTAGGTTCAGGCGCAGGAGTCTCGGTTTTCTTTGCGCGACTGCGTCCAGTAGCTATAACCGTCTTAGCATGCGGCCTGGTTTGGGACGCGTCGACCTTACGCTTTTGCGGTGCTGCTTCAACTTCTTCGGCGTCTTCATCAACCATTTCGACGTCTTCAGGTTCTTCAACCTCTTCAGCTATGCCATTGGCAACAGGCGCGTCTTCGGCCTTCTTTGCGCCTCTTCGTGGGGCTGCGAGGTTCGTTAGCGGTAGCATGGCTACCATGGGTGAGCGTGACGTACCGGTGCCGTTCACTTTGACATCTTTGGCATCTTTCTTCTCAGCGGGCTTTGCGCTCGCAGAACGGGAAGCTCTAGCCATTGCGCGCGACACGAACGAGAGTTGATGCGCGTAAAAGGTGTTTGGGTGGAAAGTTGTTGTGAGGTGGCTGGTGTTGTCGTGTATAGAAAAATGTTGAACTGCATTTAGCAAGCATGGCGCTAGACTTCACATGGACCAGCTCGCTGCAACCACGGTCCGTCAACCATTCATCGCGTACGTCACTGCCTGATTGGCTGACCATCGACTGTTCACCGTCCGACACTCGCAACATTTAGTATCACCTGTCTCGTCAGCACTACGACGCTTTTTACTGCTTTCACACATTGCTTTGACGCGTGTCATTTGGACCTTTGTCGTTCGTCGCCAAACTACGTCCAGGCATTGCCGGTGCCTAGATAGGCGCCTGATACAACCGCAGTTCGCAAAGGGGGCACGCAGCACAGCATCGTGTCTTTCAACATGTTTCACAAATCTATTGTTCTTTCCGCGCTTCTGAAGGCGGTCTCTTGCATCCAGCCTGAAGCGCCATATCCCAAAGCGGCTCCTCTGCGTGACCTACCATGGGCGCAACTTAACTTTCTGCACACTACTGATATCCATGGGTGGTGGGGAGGCCATCTGCAAGAGTAGGTTACTCAATATTGCCCTTTGCCCAAAGTATACTATACCGGTATAACCTGGATCTGACCAACCACAGGGCATCGTTTTCGTCCGATTGGGGCGACTATGTCTCCTTTGCTAAGCATATGCGTGAGAAAGCAGACGCGGATGGGTCGGATTTCCTCCTTGTCGACACCGGAGACAGAGTAGAGGGAAATGCAATCTACGACTCCTCCAAACCTCGGGGAAAGTCAGTAATGACCATTACTAACTGCATGTGAGACGTATACTGACTTCGTGCACCAATATGTAGGTTCACCTACGAGATTGCCAAAGAACAAAGCATCGATCTGATCTGTTCTGGAAATCACGAGCTTTACAAAGCAAACACTGCCGAGGGTGAATACTTCCATACAGTCCCTGACTTCAAAGGGAACTACTTGGCCTCCAATCTAGACATCTATAATCCCAAGACTGGAAAGCTGGAGCCACTCGCGCCGCGCTTCAAGAAGTTCACTACCAAAAATCAAGGCATACGCATCCTAGCTTTTGGGTTTATCTTTGATTTTACAGGCAACGCAAACAACACTGTCATTCACAGGGTCGAAGATACAGTGCACGAGGAGTGGTTCAAGGAAGCCCTCATGGATCAGGACGTCGACTTGATCATTGTCTTTGGTCATGTCGATATCCGCTCCGAGGAGTACGCAGTGTTATTCTCTACTATCCGTTCCTTGCACTGGGACACACCTATCCAGTTTTTTGGAGGTCATACACATATTCGTGATTACAAGATTTTTGACGCCAAAGCTGCTGCTCTCGAAAGTGGACGGTACATGGAGACGCTCGGCTTTGCGTCTATCGATGGTCTCAGCACCGGCGGTACGAAAGACAGAGCGCCTGTACAAAGTTCAAAACTCACCTTCTCCCGTCGATACATTGACAACAATCTTTACTCGATGCAACACCACAGTGGAAAGGACACGAAATCGTTCGCAACTGATCATGGTAAGAAAGTTTCTAAGGCGATCGGCGAAGCTAGAGAATCTCTCGGTCTTGGAAAAGTATACGGCTGTGCGCCACAAGATCTCTGGATCAGTCGCCGCCCATACCCGCACAACGAGAGTATCTTCACCTGGATCGAGGAACAGCTGCTGCCCCAGACTATCGAGAAATCTGATCGCATCCAGAATGGAAAGATGGCATTTGTGATCACCAACACTGGTGCCATTCGCTTTGACATATTCAAGGGAGCTTTTACCAAGGACACAAAGTTCCTAGTCTCACCTTTCACCAGCGGGATCCGGTATATCAAAGATGTGCCTTACAAAGCCGCCAGCCAAGTCCTCAAGTTGCTGAATAACGAGGGACCCATTATGCTGGCTATGATGGAAAGCAACGCATTCCTGCAGCCCCCAGAGGTTCTAGCAGCACGGTCTCGACCACACATGCTCACATCTGTCGACTCTGCTTTTGCTAGAGTCCACAGAGGCCAAGCACTTCTCCATGACATGGATGAGCCGAAACCCTTCCCAGGCTATACCACCAAAGATGATGCTGGAACAGACGGCGATGACACGGTTCATGAGCCCATCGCCTTTTACAATGTTCCAAACTGCATCCAGTCGGCTGTTGGCTTCGACCGATCAGGAATAGAAGCTCAAGAACCAGAAACCGTTGATCTCATGTACAACCAGTTCATTGAGAAATGGATATTGCTAGCGCTCGAGTATCTGGGTGCAAAGCGTGAGCTGGAAGATACTGAGGCGTTTGACAATGAGAAGAGCTTCACGGATATCATGACCGAGTGGGTGGAGGAGCACTGGGGGAGTGATGGCAAGGGATGCGAGGAATGATCAAGAAGTGTGAATTTTTTGATCTGTCCGTCAGGTAGATGTTGTGATCCTGTGCTCTGTGCATATGCCTGCGCATGGAACTACCTCCACGCGGGCTAGCGGCTCTCATTATAGTCAAGCATTTCCTGTCCTTGCAGACCTCCAGATCGTGAACGGAATACGATCTATTTCAACCCAATATGCTTTGCCCGAAAAACGCCTCGCCATGATAAAGTATGCCGTTCCCAAACTCCAAATTGTCTGTTCGTATTGTCTGTCGACTATCGTCCTCCGCGGGCGGCGCGGGCTTGTTCTCGTTCGCTGGCGTTGTACCTGTATGAAGTGTTAGCCCTTGTCTGGGACGCAATCACCGCTGGTGTTTCTGCATCTCTGCATTCTGGCGGCGCATTGTCCCGTCGCAATCGGCGGCAGGCACGTACTTGAGGAGCTTTTCGATCAAATCGACGTGGGTAAGGATCATGCGGCGGCAGCAGTAGCGTTGAAGACCAATCTCGTCGAGGGCCTCGCTAGATGGGGTATATGTTAGTTAAGGTCTTGTTTCGGTAGGAGACTGATAAAGGGTATAAAACAAGGGCGAGTTTGGCTGGAGGGTAGGCGCGTACGCCAGGGTTCCATGAATGGGGCTTCTTACGCTTCTTCTTTGCCTTCACTGAGGATGGTCATGTACTTCTCCCACAGGTCGCCAGTGACCTAGGACTTTGTGAGTAAAGACGCGCATGAGCTGGAGAGTAATCCTGGTACCTTGCCGCAAGAAAAGCAACGGATAGGAACAATCATTTTGGTGTTCCGGAGGTATTTATATTGTTCAAAGGGCTACGCGACCACGGTCTGACAGCTGTGAAAGGGCGCAGAGGCAAGGTGAGATTCTAGTAGTGTTGGACGTTGGTGAACGCTGTCTCAAAGAAAGTTGCGGGCACGCTAAGGACGCGGGCGGTGAAAAGCTCGGGCCAAGGACCATCGAAAAAGTTCAACTTGGACATGTCAATCCTAGACATTTCACAACGTTACTTCCGCACTTGTGGAATTTTGCGCCAAAGTCGCCTCGAGAAGCAGCTGTCATGGCGGATGCGACGCCCCAATTGAAGAGGAAAGCCGAGGAGGCGGCGGCGCAGAAGAGGGCCAAGAAGCAGAGGAAGAACGAGGCCGCTGCCGCTGCGCTCCATGAAGGTCGCAACGGCGAATCTACAAACGGCGCAACCGGTGCGACGCCCAAATCCAAGACTACGCCGAAGAAGCAATCGAATCCCGCACCGAAAGCGAACGGTGCAAGCAAGGATGCGACAACTGGTAGCACGACGGATGTACACAAAACCACCAAGAAGTCTCAGGCGCAGAAGAACGCATCTGCCGACAAGCTTGAAGATCAGGACACAAGTGCCAACGGGTCGGCCGAACCAGCTGAAGTCAATGGAACACTAGACAAGTCAGGACTATCAAAGGCAGCCCTTAAAAAGCAGGAAAAGAAGGAGAGGAAGGAAAGGAACAGGCAAGAGCGTAACGAGCTCATGGATGCTGAAGTTTCGGGTATCATAAAGAAGAAGAAGAGCAAGACAGAGAGGTGGATTTCGTCACGCGGTCACGGAGGATGGTTCTTACCTGCCGACCCTGTATTCTCTCCCGATGAGAAGTACCTGATCGTCGCTGAGCCCAAATCACTACACGTCTATGCTACTGAAACGTCGTTGCTCGCCAATACCCTTGCCGAAGATGACGCAGGCGTCCTCACAGCTTATGCTCTATCACCTGCGAGCCCTCACCTCGTGTACGTCGCGTACTCCCTTGGGCACATAATACTATGGAACTGGGTGGTCGGCAAGAAGGCTGGTCGATGGAACATTGGTGCTACGGTCCGCCACATGGCAGTCATTGCGCAGTCTGATTCCTCCGAGGATGATCTTATATACTGCCATGAAGCCGATGAAGGCCACCACACTATCAGTGTGCGCGCACTTCGGACTAAGCGTCAAGATACCCGGACAGAACTCAAGCAAGTCAAGCAGGTACTGAGTGCAGGCGCTGTCACCGGTATTCAGGTGCTTCTACAAGGCAAATATGTCGTGGCTGCTACATCTGACTCTCTTGTAGTCGGAAAGCGCGTGAAGGCCAACAAGACGGCTCTTGAAGACTTTGAGTATGTCTGGCGTGAGTTTAAGTTCTCGAAGCACATCACTACCTTCAGCGTTTACCACCGTGAGCAACAAGAGACTAGCAACGGAAAAAAGACTCCACAGGATCAAAGGGATGTGCTCGACATCGCTGTTGGTGAAGAAACTGGTGTGATTCTTCTTTTTGAAGACATCCTGGCTTCATTTGCTGCGATTGAAAAGAGCAAAAAGGAGGGAATGGACAACGCCGAAAGCTTTAGACCTAAGAGACTCCACTGGCACAGGGATGCGGTAGGATCTGTCAAGTGGTCGTTGGACGGTAAGTCGTCGCATTCATTCCAACTATGGACACTGTACTGACAAGGGAAAGGCAACTATCTTATTTCAGGTGGCGACGAGACCGTTCTCACGATATGGCAGCTTGCCACTGGACAGCCACAGCATCTACCCCATCTTTCGGCGGCCATTGAGAACGTTGTGGTTTCCCCTACAGGTTCAGCCTATGCGTTGACACTGGCTAACAACTCTGTTATCGTGCTTTCTACCACAGAGCTCGACGCCCGCACAAACATCGTCGGCATTCAATCACGTCGAATCGATATCGAGCAGCTGCCCAAAGACACAAAGTCCGGCATGTATCCAGTACCAATGGCGGTGAACCCGGCCAACCCGACCGAAGTATTCTTCTCCGTACCATCGTCGCAACCTCGCCAGAAGAAGAAAGAGGAGGATCCCAGGCCCGAGCCATACCTACAGACATTTGACCTTGGGAATGACCGCGCCAAAGGGCGACAGGCACTCACTCGCAACAACGCAACGGAACCAAATGTCGCGCCTGACGGGCGTCGAATCAAAGAGCCTACTGTCACGCATCTTCAAGTCAGCCATGACGGAGAATGGCTCGCCACGATTGATGAGTGGGTTCCGCCACGGTCGGATACTCGTTACCTTAATGAGGGTGTCCCGGAGTTCAATGAGCAGGAGCGTCTGAACCGTCGCGAGGTATATCTCAAATTCTGGCGACGCGACAAAAGCACCGGGCAGTGGAAGCTGGAGACACGAATTGACGCACCACACTTTTTCGAGGACGTATGTGGTAACGGTCGAGTATTTGATCTTGTCGCTGACCCGGCTGCTGCTGGGTTCGCAACTGTTGGCGAAGACCACGTCGTACGGATATGGAGGCCTAAGACGCGATCACGCGACGGAGTCATCGTTCGTGGGGCCCAGCAGGAAGGTCTGGTTACCTGGTCGCTTGACCAGGCGATTGAGATCAATGACAAGCTCGACATTACCGAGGGTTCACAGCAGTCCTTACCGCCACGTACTTCACGACTGGCCTTCTCGTCCGATGGCTCGGTCCTCGCTACTTCAATCTCTTGGGACTTGAAAGAAGACGCTGGTGTCACACATCTGATTGACGCTCACTCTGCAACCATCCGACGATCGTTGACTGAGATTGATGTTACGGCGCTCTCTGGGCTTGGATTTGTCGGACAATTCCTAGTAGTGGTTGCTGATGCCGTTACTGTCTGGGATATGGTCTCTGACGAACTTGCATACAGCATTCCAATTGACACTCCTGGCATAGGACGTCTAGAGCGCGTACCACTCGTCCGACTAGCTTGCAACGACAATGATATTGACGGCACATTCGCTGTATCACTACCTCGATTTGAGAAGAACGGATCGTCGAGATTGTTTGTTTACAGTCCGGAGCACCAGAAGCCTGTTTGGAAAGATACATATTCTGGTGTTACGCTAGGTCTGGCATCTCGGAGAAGCGAAAGTGGCTACGTTGTTCTTGACTCAAGGTCGTGTCTTAGAACCATCACCCCAAGCGCTGGATCATTACAGCTGCCGACTCCCCCACCAGAGCAAGAAGAGATGCACCGTATACCCTACCCAGTGGACGACGAGGAGGAAGAGGCTGGCAGACCTTTGGCGAATCTCTTAGTTTCGAATGATCTCACCCAAGACACTCAGCGCGACGAGCATGTATTCAGCATGCAGGATTTGCAGAATGTGCTGCATGACGGTTCTGTACCTCCGCCGCCTCAGGGTCTGTTCAGCAACATTTTGGCGCTCATTGGTGGGAAGCCGCAAAAGGCATCAGCATAGGAGCTGTCCTCCTGTAATATAGTTTTGATAAAATACCACGACATTGAGGCGTTTTCTCTTGTACTGGGTGTATAGCGTGATAGTTCTGATGAAGCCAGACACAAAGCAAATCGTTGGAAATTCGTCGGATATGTGCATGAAAGTCGTGACACTACACAAAGGCAAAAGGATGTTGGCAGCAAACACTGGTTGCATATTCTCATTTCTAGCGAGAGTTGACCTTACTTGCATCACTGTGATTTCTGAGCCTCCGAAGGCTGGGCGACCGGATATATGTGGACGCTTCTGCATTCGCCTTACCAACACACACAGCGGTTCTCGTCCTTCTTCCACCTGCTTTACCATGTCTAGACTTGAGTTCCTTCTAGGAAAAAACGTCAAAGAAAAAAATATATGCATCAACCGGTCAAAGGATGATGCTTGAGACCTACAAACTTCCAAAAAAAAAAAAAAGATGAGGTCTAATGCCCGCTCACGGAATCGCTATTTATGCGTTAGCATTGCGACTCGAAGAGTGAGGCGAAAGTCTAAACTTACAACCGTGGATCTTCGCATATCGAACATATGCTGCGTTACGAGTGCGACGCAGTACCACTGTGCTAAGCGGGCAGGTGTTGTTGACGAATCTCAAAATTTGAATGTATATATTTGGCAGTGCATCGCATTGTAGCTGATACCCCAGATGAGGTGGGTTCAAAACGTGGGCAATCTGGCGGTGGGACGATACCTTGGTGGGGTCAAGTACCGTCGAGCCGAGATGTGTGGATGCATCGGCTACTAATGCTGGTTTGGGTATGGCGTCTCGAGAATTACAACACGAGCTGCGAACATCCGCGGATGATGACAATGAAAACATCTTGTTGACTTTGTCAAGTTATCGTCATGTAGAGAATGTCGCATTATTTCAAAGTAGTATTTAGGTGGTATCTTCTCACTTCTACGCTAACTAGAATTTATCCTCATGTACACTTTATAGCTTCTTTGCTAAATCCTCTTGCCCACATGCAAGAAGCGTGAGTAGTATGTTGTACATTGTTTTAAAATAGAAATTGGCGATTTGGTGCTGGAAATTCTACAACTAAATCCTACGCTCACAACAATTACACAATATCAAACAAGACGACATGCACTAACGTGAAAGCATTGCATGTGCAACCAGCGATACAACTTTGTTAATTTGTAGTTAAAATGCAAATAAATGTTTGATTGCTGCTTTCTATCCCTTTCTATACGAAAGTTACCCTACAAGTGATCTCCCATTTACCGCAGGAACGAGCTGGCTAGCATTGGATATGGTTTTTGATTAAACACCACTTTCAAATCCTATACACTTTTTACTCATCGTTGACAACTTTCCAGTTGCGTACAGTTGACCAGCATTGGTCATGTTGGGATCAGACCCCCTGTCTCGAGTATTGCTAAGCATTACCTTACAACGAAGGAGGTGCGACCCTTAGCGTGTGCTCGAAGTTGAGTTGGAGATGACATCAGATGGACTTTCTGATTTCGCAAAATGTCGGTCGAGAACCTGAAGCTTTTGCGTAGTGTCCCACAGCTTCATTGACCAATCCCTTCTCGTTGAGTTTCCTCCAGCTTACTTGATTCCGACCGAGCCGCTCTAGATGCGCGCTCTTCGCACCATTGTCGCGTCATAGAAATATCACTGAAAGTTACGCGAGTGCTTGAACATCAGCGATGTGTATGTATCGGTGACCAATAGTTGTGGACGTGGTGCTTAGTGATACACGAAGCAACTCAGCCTCCCGCTTAGAAACATGGCCTAGATCCGAACTGATATCGGAGACTGTTGAATTGGAAAGGGTCGATAGCACAATCCGGGAGGGAACGAATAATCCATAGCATAGTTGGATTGAAGAAATCCTTTCGTCGGCGGACGACGTGGACAATTGCATGTGCAGACTGAGCGATTTGATGGCTTAGTCAGTGTTGTACTGGAGGTTCTCGCTTTGCGTGGTTTTACTCGGAGACAGGGGTGGTGGCTGGCTTGAAAGTGTCTACCTGCTTGTTAGAATATGCCGCAATCTGATGAAATACCCAAAGTGGTAACGTTGTCGCGAAGACCGGTATCGACGTTAGGTTGAATGCTGTGAAGGACGTGAGTTGGGCTGAGCCAACCTTGACCCACTCGTCGCACGCCAGTGATGAAGCGATGCGCGTACGGCGGGCACGGTCGTCTTAAACGCGTCTCGGTGTAGGAGCTGTTGACGCGGGGTTTTGGTATTCGTAAACGTGTGGTGGCTCAGGCTTCCGAGAGCCGCGTCGTGCACTTGGCGTAGTCGACTCATACTCGCTCAGAAGCGACGTGAAGTCGCATCGCAGCATTGCGTTGCTACGGCGCCGCAGCATGCATATATGCGAGCTCTTGAATTGAGCCGTTGGCGGTCTCCTGATCAGCCTCGTATAGCTTCAGCGGTGAAAGTCAACCCAGCGGATACGTGTCGAACCGAGTCGTAGGTTTAGATTGGACCCATGTAAATCGCACGACTCAATGGCACAAAGGGCTGTGCGCATGTACAAGAGGGAGACGGTAAGCGCAATCCGGTATAGGAAGCGATGGCTGAAAGCGCCACGAGATGCACTTTCCTCTTTCGGGATCGTTCGTCCTGGAAGCACGCCCTCGCCGGAGCCGGTGTAGTGGAAAAGGGCGGAGCGGAGACGGATGGTACAAACGCACTGTTCACCGTTTTTTGTTTGTGCCTGACACTTTGACGCACAGATGCCAAAAGCGCAAGATCTTGGACAGTCGGGTTGTAGGAGCACAAAAGTAGTGGACATGTTCAGCCGGTAACCATGACGAGGGCGCAAATTTCCTTGTCGCAAGCTGTCTATCATTAAGCACGCAATAGTGCAACACTGGAAGAAAGCGCATGACGGTGTCATCAAATTACACTGGTTCATGCAGGGTCTTGAGCGGCTTTGTCAGAAGGTATTTTTCAGCATCAATGACAAAGCCAGCCTCTCTGCCAATGGCAGCTGGGTTTAAGACGGGGGTTAGTAATTCTGAAGCCGGGACACATGGACCCTGTTCAGTCTCTCGGTGCCCAGGTATGATTAGTACCTTAGGTCATGTCGTGATGATCTGCTTGGGCGCGGGGGTGAGACTGACTGGCAGGTGCGCGTGGCCTGGATGGTGGCTTCTGACGACGCGGACGAAAGCTGTGAGGGTAGAGCCAAACGCCGATGTGCTAGGCACCCACGAAACCAAGGTTCTAACAATGTCGGCCGAGGCGACGACTCTGTACGAAGATGCGAGGATCCCGAAAGCCAGGCTGCATGGCATTGGCTGGTCTGTCTAACTTTCTTGTAAGCCTAACGATGATTTTGTCAAGCGGAGAGATTGTGCAGCGTCGGGCCCGACAGCCTTGCGAGAACTCTCCACAGCAGACAAGTGACCCCTTAGGCGAGACGGTGATGGGCCCACGTTTTGACAGCCACAGATTCAGGGCTGACCGCTCTGCTTGTACAGAGGTCCGTGGCTTAGCCCTTACGACAGCGCATCCTAGAAAGGCCAGGCAGCCAGGCAGGCTCACTCTGCCCAAGCACTCTCTAGCTCCAACAGCACAGCGCACCGCCATTGAATTAGCAGGGGAAACGCGAAAAGCGAAACGCGACGAGCGAAAAAAAAGGAAAACCCTGATGGCGCGATGTGGGAGCAGCATGTGTGATGCAATGCATCGTGAGTTAGTAAAGGCCGACAAGAGCGAGACGCCGATTACCCATCTGCGGTGCATGTGAGTGAGCAGCAGGCATGGGCAGACCGTATATCCGCGCAACGTCCGGCGTCCGCTTCGTAACGCCCGTATGTGCATGCGGGCGAAAGTCTCTACGACGGACCGGGCTGTATCGTAAGCCGCGCTAGTACCCCTGCCGTCGTGTGAATCATAGTGTGTTAGCTCACCGCATCCGTGTGTGCTCGGCCAAGAGCGGTGGAAACATGCCAATAATTCCGAGCACCCGTTATCCATCCTCGATGCGTCAGGGAAACATAAGAAACACGCGCGCCCTCGCTTCAGATTCCATCACCAGCTCAAACATCAAACCTAGCACACTCTAGCGAATAACCTGACAGCCTGACATCAACTACTCATCATCATCATCGCTCTGCTCAACCATTACATCAGTCCTCCTCGGGATTAACATACGCTCGGATCACCTTCCCTCTATTGGCTACTGCATTAAGGTTTGTACCCTCGTTGCTCTGCAGTCATAAACCAAACTGACTCACAATTTTCAGGCTCTCATATACTACTGGCTTGTACATAATCAACATGCCTTCCTCATCACACCTCCGCATTCAAACTTCCTTTGAGCCCTTCACCGCCGAGACCACCCGCTCCCACTTTGTCTCATCACCACCGCAAAAGAAGCAGAAGATGTCTCTCACCCAAACCTACTACATTGCTGCCTCCGCCCGCTCCAAGCTGGGCAAGGAGGCATGCAGGGCCGACCACGACCTCCGCCTTCTCGTTGGACACGCAAACCTCCTCGACAGCCTCATGGTCGAGCTCCAGGATGCCGAACGCCAGCAAGAACAATGGTTCAACCAGACCATGGCCAAGGCCTCCAGGTCTGAAGAGTCCCGACACATCCAATGGGCCGACAGCATCGCCGAGGAGGAAGACGACGACGACTCCGAATCAGACTCCGAATCCGAGAACGAAGACGACTTCGACATGATCCCCCTACCTCGCCGCATCGCTCAGTCACCAGTTCAGATCAGCACAATGGAGGTCGATGAGGACGATGAGGACGAGGACGACTTCTACGACGACATGGAGGACGACTCAGAACTAGCCCTTACTCGAGTACCATCGCAATTGCAATCACCACCCGAGCTCACCTACGAAGAGGAGTCCGACGACGAGTCACCACCTACATCACCCCCACAAGCGTCCTTCAACTTCTCCGACAAGGAAGCCATGCTCACCACAACCTTCTACGACGCCAAACCAGAATCACAAGATATCGAGGACCACCCGCTATTCATGGACACGACCGCTCCGCTCATCTCAAGTTATTAGGCCAGTACATCAACATGTTCCGACCTTTTGATTTTTGATCCAGCATTTTTAGCGAGCGTGTCCTTTACAGCATAGCGTGGTATTTGAGCATTATATCCTTTGGTTTTATTTTTTTGTTATTGGCATGTACCGCAGGGCGGTCGGAATCTTCACGAAGATATCAGGAAGCTACTCTACTCAGGAATATTGTATGGATACGAAATAGGAGGATCTGGGATATTGGTCGCGAGCGGTTCGAGGTCTCCCGAAGGCGATGGTCGAGACTCCCGCTATAGCTAGATTTTCAATGATGATCATTACACCCACAAAAAACAATCTCCACGCTCTCCTCATGTGATGCCCTGCTATCGCTGCACGCTGCATGCTAATCGAGCCCTATCAGGTCACAGGTGCACTTGACATGCATGACTGATGAACTGTCACCAGCACACAATACAAAAATCCCACGCGTTACAGTTGGCTGCCAATTTGCACAGTCGCACATGTGCTGCTGGGAAATTCTAGGGTTGACCGACTTTTGGTCAGTGCGTCAGACCCTGGCCCTCGTGTGCCTACCACTTCGCATCGCGGCCACGGCTGCTTGTCGCCGAGCGAGCCTCTCGCATGGCTGAGCGACGCTTTCGCATCGCCTGCCTGATGAAAGTACACTTCCGGTCAATCAATGTCGTGTCCCCGCATACACACAGAAGGCGTTGCGAGCTTGATTGCGTACACCCGTCACACTGCCCCACGCACTGCCCAATCTCCAAGAACTTCTGCCTTGGAACAAATGGTGTGTATGCAAAGCATGCCACAGGCAGCCGGATTACCTCGGCCTTGATTCATGTCCTTGTCCGAAAAGTATGCGTATGCAGGTTGGAGGCTCGGAGTTTGAACGTGCCCGATCGATCGGACACGACAGGAGCTCGCATACGGACGGTCACGTTTTGTTCCGCTCGGTCGAAACGCGGGCATGTGAGCCAGACCACGGGAGCGGATCATTGTGGAAAGCCATGATCCGTCTCACGCGGATATGCATAATCCACTCACACTCTCATTTCCGTGCACTTGACAGTTGTCTGGATGAGCGGACCATGACAGTTTGTCGCACAACCCACTTCTGGAGACCTTCTGGACCGTCGCAAGATTGGATCTGAGCATGGTCTCCCGTCTCCACACTGTCAGAAGTTGAAGACGGAAGTTACAATGCTGATCTCTCCTTTTCCCCACGCTCCACCCACCATGTCGCGGCGATACCGGGGCTGACCTTCCACACATGGTTGTCTCGAAACATCAGCATGGCATTTGAAATGATCAAATCTCAGGTCAAAGTCGGTACCAAACATTGATTTCAAACATGTCCATGCGCAACAACTCGGAGTTTCATCGTAGTGTTTTGACATTGCGGTCGACGGAACAATTTAGATTCAGATTATTCGTACAACAATTGACGAGTTGCTTTTGCTACAGGCGTCCGGCCTCAGTCGAGTCCGTCATGCGAGTATGTTGCCATAACGTGTCATGGTCACTATTGCTGAACTGGCATGCCAACTCAACTGCTTGTTTATTTCTGGGCCGCGTCTTCCCTAGCAACGCCTCATGTCTGTTCTCATGCCTGTTCCTGATCTTCCATTGCCAATCAGGGAAAACTGTTGCCCAAACAGGGAAATGGGGCGCGCCTCAGGCAGCCCCGATTTGACGATTAGATCACCTACGCCAACATGGTCCGCGCATGTACGTCGTGGGTGCCGTTGGACCAAACAACGCCGTATTGTCACTGAAACCTACCTAGATATCCTTGATGAATAGCCATTGCTGATGTCATCCGTTTGCAGCCTGGACACCCCGTTGAACCCTTCACACTCAGCACGAACAGCCGTGATACAATCATGGGCCGCCTAAGAAGACGGTCAAGTAAGCCACAAAAGCACGAAATGATTCGTTGATAAGTCACCAGTGAGAGTGGACCAAGCTTTGTTGTTGATCATCTGGGGCGGAGCGGACATAGTAGGCGGTGATAAGATAAGAAGAATCGAGCTACATCATCAGCGGCGTGCATATGTGACCAGCTATGATCAACTCCTCATCTACCCCCTCTTCCTGAAGCTTGCGATACCCGTTCCTTCTCTGCCGAGGGAGCGTGCATCATAATCAATGTTCACTGATCGAGGTCTGGACTCGCCAGCTTCGATAAGCCGGTTCACATGATGATGTTATCAACGGCCGGGGCGGGAACCAGGGTCTATGACATGCTCACCATCGCTCCGGCTTCCTCGGAGTCGGACACGCTTTCCTCGCGCGCCGGGAGCGGAATCTTGTCCTTCCAGTTCAGGAGATCGACGACCTTACCAAAGGCGGCACATTCTATGTTGATCACTTCTTGTCACGCTACCAACGGCTCCCGCGGTTTGCCAAGCACTTCGTATCAACTATACGATGCTCCGCATGTCGAAAAGCCTCTTTCGAAGCAACATTGAGACCTCGAAACCAAATGTTCAACCGTCAGATCGTTTTGTCGGCCCAACGCCCCAAAAGCAGCAAGCCCAAACCTGTTTGTGCATCCGGATCCGCCCAAAACTTCGCGCCGACCCGCACCGAGGCAGCACATGTTGTGCAGGAAGCTTCTAGTACGGAAGAAAGGAGCCCTGAAGTCGTTTGAGCAAAGCAGCGGCAGGAAGAAAATTTGACGGAAGAAAACTTCTAGGGCTGCCATCTGTACTAGCCAGGTAGATTCCAGGTCGACGTATCCCCTTACACAACCACGTTTTGTTGTCAGTTTTCCGGTGGAGAATTTTCCGCCTAGTATGCCCGGCCCACCAACATGCAGGAAGTTTGTACACAAATACATGGAGAAAAAGGTTTTCTCTGTGCCAGCAAGAAATTTGGACTTGGTGCGGGTATCACACCATGGTCAGGTCTAGCAACCTCGGGAGACTGGTGCCTCGTACTAGCTTCGCCCGAGCCTCGGGTGTTGTACACCGCACTATCGTGAGTTTTCTGCGTTGGTGTTGAGGCGCATGCATATCGTGATGTGGGTCTGCGCACACTCCGCTTAGGGAGATTCGGATATGCAGCCAAGTTTTCCTTTGCTGCTGCAAAACGGCATGGTACCAGGGGTCCTGCTGAAGATTTCTTCCAGTTGCTTATTCACCCCTTCGTATCCTTCTCGAATGGTCGGTAGCATAGCAGGCTTCGGCTTTCACCGACAGCCGCCTACTACTGCGCCCAGATCAGGTCAAGGCAAGGCGGTGGTCATGGCGGAGAAGTACCTGTCTTGTTACGGTAAACACCGTTTTCAAAAAAAACATGCCTGAGCTGAAAAGCAAGCACCCATGTCGTCTGCTCAAAGGACAGTCAATCAAGCTACTTTTGATTGAAGCTCTCCAAGAGTAGGTTCGGAAATATGTCTAATGTCAAAGACGCTACGAACAAACGCCAAAGGAAACTACACAAGAACAAAACCAACTTGGGTCTACACTATTGCCTCTTGCAGTTATCAACAGCTGTAGGACTGAGCCTCGTTACAAGACTTCTCTACCCTTGCATACCTTTCCTTCGATCAGTTTACCAGTGATCTTGTGAGGCTGCTGCAAACGATCCACGGGTGATTTCAGCACGTCGTCGGCCAGCAACTCAGGCTTTACTCTAGGAGACGGCTTCCGAACAAATTTGGTATCCTTGCAGGGCAGCCTGAGGTTGGCTTGCTGCTGGTAAGGGATCATGATGAAGGCTAGTATAGGCTATCAGGAGTGCTACCTCTCGGGCATATTGATGGATCTACAGTGGATCTGCAGTGGATCACCGTAGGATATTCAGGATAATGGTGTTGTATCCTCTGGAGATGTGTAATGGATGGCAACGCTTTCTTGTGGAGAGGTGTTTATCTTCGGATGCTTTGTTGGTACGGTGGGTGCGCCCGCCACTTGGCCACCGATGTCGAAGGGAAGACGACGCATCGTGGTAAACAACTTCAACATCAGTATACTAGGTGAGTTTGAGAGATAAAATCTGTGATGTTTCCTACATAATAGTTGTATAAGATGTGCAGAGAATACTAATCTTGGCTCCAGAGAATCCGACGAAATGGTATTGCTCACACATGACGTTTTGAACAATCTGCCAGGAATTTAAAACTAAGAACTTATACTACACTTTGCGATTCGAGATCATGCGGTAACTTCTGAAACAGTAGAGGTTCTTCTTGTATACGGAAAGTCCAAGTTTAGCCGACGAATCAGATCTTTATGTCATCTGATATCCCAAAAAAATCTGACTGTAACTTGTCTTAGGCGGAATTCTTCGGTTTGGTAGATTGCTGAGACAGCATGTGAACTTCCACTACGATACCCGAGGAACTCTTCTTGCGCACCCAATATTACGAGAAGTTCAGTCTTTACGTAGGTATACTAAAGCCCATCAAAACGTTGTCATGATACGTAGGCGTAACATGATGCTCCTATCGCCTAGCCGAACGCCTATGATTCCATTTGCCAATAGGTTGGCAAACAATGCAGTCATTCCAACTTTGCATATCATCCGATCGGGGGATCCAGCTCGGCGATCTGTTGAACTTAAGGGTACTAATGAGCTCCATGGGGATCCCTCTGCCTGTTATGCCACCGATACATGTATGCCCCACCTCGCTTCAAGTCAACTAACTCTCAGCGTAGTTCGTCTGCTCTGCGTTTGCTCCTCCAGGTTTCCTGGCGGCGCTCTTTCGAATTTAGGTCGCTATCGTCTTCTTCGGTTTCCGAATTTTCGCTCGAGACTCCTGGCTCCTCGCTAACTCCTCTTTCTGAGTCGCCGTCCCCTGCCTCCTCATTTTACTCGGACTCGTTGGCACTTTCGTCGTCGTCATCGTACTGATCATCTTTTCTTTGCAGGCGAGAAATCAGTAATCTTCCTTCCTTCCTTCCTCATAAAGGGTTCCGTATCCCATTTCATCCTCGCATATCGATAGCTTGCGCACAATAACTTGATATCACAAATTTTTTCACTCCCACAGTCTGACGAAAATAGTTTCTAAACTTGCGTACCGCAGTCTCGTAAAAGACATCGTGGTAGCTACTTCAAGCCAGCCACACATGTTCATGGTAAGCCGCGCCACTATTTGCTCAGACGTAGTCTTGCATACTGGGCGATCCTTCCAAAACGAAAATTCGCGAACCAGGCAGTCTTCGGTCCAGCAGCGGTCCCGGCTGATGTATTCCTCGTAGTACTCGCGACAGTGCAGGTCTGTCTACCTCCGCTTCGCATCGTATGCTTTCTGCCAAAAACTCCGGGTTCAGCCTTCCCTGCGTATACCAGAATCGTGGTACGGACACTCACTATCTCCGTACCCAATCATGCGGACAGTGGTGTGTTTTGATGGATCCTCTATGTGAAGATCAGGTGTTTTGTTGGATAATCCTTTCGCGCGCTTGTTCGTCGTTGCCCGAGATTCGTCATCTCTTGCGCGCTTCTCTGCCTGACGCGGGAAAGATGATGTTATGCAATTTTGAGCTATACTTGGGGGGTATTTGGATGAGATAGGAGCCCAAGTTTATGTATTTTCGCTTGTTGATTATCTGTAAGCCGCAAGGTTTCGGTCTGACGCGTGCGGACAAGACATCAAGTGAGTTGAAGCAACGTTTGAGGAATAATCACATGCACCAAACAAAAGCCGATTTTGACAACATATTCTCATAATGTACTGAGAACATCTACGAGCTCCCTCGCATCGCAGATCCTGTAACAATACAGCTCAACTCACTAATCGACCCTGTCTTCATTGAAATACGGCCTAACCAGCATACGTATGTGAGAAACCCTCACCCTCTTTTTCCGTAGAAGCCTCACTAGCCTTCCTCTCCTCAGTGGAGACACTGGTGGACTTATCCTCCGCTTGCTTCTGCTCCAAAGAGGCACCTCCGACATTGGCTTCGTTGTTTAGATCTGGACCAGATCCAGAGAATGCACCAGGAGCGTCCGAAGAGCCGGGCACGGTCTCAGCTACCAAGGGTTCTTCTGGCCGAAGTGCAGATGATATCTTAGAGGTGACGGATGAGAGAGTTTCCGACACTTGAGAAGTGGCCTGCTCAAGGGTCGATGGCGCTTTCTCCTTGACTGTTTCAATCGCAGAGGCAGGTTCGCTACCATCATTTGATGCGATCTGTGCAAGCTCCGGTTCTTCTGACTCTGCTGGGGCACTTCGATCTGCTTCACCCTCCGTAATCACAGGTTCATCCGTCTTGGTCAAAGCACTGAGCGATTGCTGCATTTGAGTTGCCATTTTTGCAGCGGGCACATCAAGACTACCGTCTTCTCCAAAGCTCCAAATCGCGGTAACAGGACCAAAGCTGAGCGACTGCCTCGGCACAGCAACTTCAGCAGTAATGGTAGCCGCCGCGACTGGTGATGGGGATGCGGCAGGTTTCCTCCTTTGCGGGCCCTTAGCCCTACCCTTGCGAGCATCGGGAAGTGGTGCTGCCTCCTTCTCTGCTTCTTCCTCTTCTTCTTCAGGTTCCTTGACCTTAGGTGGTGGATGAGGGCCGAGACCAAGTTTGCTGTTGAGGTCCTTCAGGAAACCAGCCTGGAGAGCTGCAATCTTCGAACCAGCAGGCCGGGCGGGGACGGGCGGCTTCGCCTTCGGCTGAGGAGATTCGTTCTCGCCCGCCTGCGACTCGGCAGTTGGTACTTTCTCCGAAGAACCAGTAGATGGCTTGCTTAGACGTGCAGGAATCTGCGGCTTCGGACGGTCTGGAATGATGGGTGCTTTCTTGTCGTCTGCAGAAGACTCCCTCTTGGCTGGCCGAGCCGGGACACTAGGACGAGCCGGGACCGGTGGCTTTTGGTCAATTGGCGAGTCTTCGGCATACTCACTCGAATCCTCCATTTGTGGTGTGCTGACTGTAGTTTCAAGATAGTTGTGGGATGGCGCATCTTCCCAGATATCTTGACTTGGGAAGCGTTGCTGCATTCCAGGGCGACCAGGTGTCTCATCTCGAACCTTTCCAAGGAGCTTGTTCTCCGCGGCGAACTGTCTAGTGTGTTCGGGGAGGAAAGACTTCTGGTCTTCCTTGTCGATCTGGTTCTTGCGCTGCTCTTCTGTGTTCGGGTCTTCGAAAACCTTTGCAGGACTCACGTCATTGTTACCGCCAGCAGTCTTCGGCTCTTCCGGTTCTTGAGGAGTATCTACGGTAGTTTCGAGTTGTAGACTACCAGGCGTGTCTTCCCATACATCTTGACTTGGGAATTGATGGCGAGCAACACTTGGACGCTTGAGCTTGTCGACCTGAGACTTCGGTTTCTTGGTGTCTTCCTCATCCTCTGGAAATAGGGGTTCATACTCCTTGTGAGACTCTAGTGGGGTACCCCCGCGATCAAACTGTGCTGGGCTGGAAATAACACGTTGCTGTTGCTGCGTGCTGTTGTTTCGACTTGAGCTTCTGCTATGCGTGCGCTGCTTCGTGACATATTGTGGGTTGCCATCTTCGTTGAGCGTGTATTCGTTGCCGTGACGCTCTAGCTCAGGCGATACAGCGGGCTGTCTCCACTCGGCGTCTGGGTGTTTCTTCAACTCATCGGAAGCTAGGATGGGAGTGCCATAGCCACGCTCTGTAACCCATCCGCCTTTCTCAGCTGTGTTACCACCTTCGGGGCCGAGATCCTCAGTTGGCGGGTCATAGCCACCACCATGGACTTTGTTGGAGCGGTGCGCCGGGGGATCGATATGGATGACTTCGCCTTTGTCGTTGACCTCTTGGCCGGCTTCGTTACGAAGTGGTGAGTCGACGTAGCCACCCTTAATCGAGGCGGGGCGACCTGACGATTGCGGTCTGGGAGAAGCCATCCGCGAAGCATACTCTTCAGTAGCCCTGTAGCCAATCTGTTCGTCGGGGGTACTGACTGCATCTCGGCTGGTGCCTGTACACAACGATTAGAAACAGTTGGCTGACACTGAAGCTGCTGCTGCTGACTTACCCATTCCGACGTCTTGAGACCTGGTGTGCACCAGTTTCTCAAGGTTATCCGCGCGCCAATGGTAATCCTTCCTATTCTCTTGGATATGAGGGCCGTACTCGCCAGCCTTCTCGCGCTTCAAATCATCGGGATGCTTTTCGTACCACTTTTGCTCAAAGTCGTCTGTCGAAATCTTGCCATGACCGTGCATACCGTAGCTGCCAGGAGGACCATGGAAGATTTCACGGCCGCTCTTGGTGCGTCCGTGATGGCGGCCTCCGGCCTTCTGGTTGAAACCTATTCCTTGGGCTCCGGGTTGTTGCACATAGGGCGAAGGACTGGGAGCCTGGACATCTCCGGCGTTGCGGAACATGGGTACCTGCACGCCAATTTCGGGAATACCATGCTCATCTTTGTCGTTGTAGAGGGAGCTGGGGCGCGAGCCAGTAGAAGATCCTGAGCGACCAGACCTGGCCTGAGAGACCTTGTCGTCGACGGACAGCTGGGAGCCAAAGCCAGCAGCGGCCGCTGTCTGTGAGTCGGTCCGCGTCACCGCCTGGATCCTACTTTTTGCGGTTGAGCTGGGAACCGAGGCTGTTGGAGCATGCAGAGGCAAGTCTCCTGCCACGTTCTTCATATGTTGTGGAGAGCCGCCCTGGTTCTCGCTTGTCAGGGTCTTTGAGAGGTCTTCGAAACTGGCGTATTCGTTGCCCTCTTCTCCGAGCGAGGGCATGGAAACGCTCGGTGGGCGGGAGGGCAGATCGGTGCTAAGGCGGCCCCCCTCTTTCGGCGGTCCGCCATGTACGTAGGTTGGATCGTTGAGAGGAGAGCGGGCATATCTATCTCCAGCCGGGGAGACGGAGCGTTCGATACCACGCTTCGGGCGTGGAGGAATCTTGGGGACGTCCATATGGGTACCCTGCGCAGGAGAAGAGCTGTTCTGGGCCCGCGCCGGGCGTGGAGGTATTGTTGGTGGAGCACTCATTGCTTCTGTGTCTGTTGCTCGGGGGTAGGTGGGGGTGGGTGTTGCGGAAACTACAAGATGTTCAATGTCAGTGACAGACCCGGAGCATTGAATGTTTGAATTGTGCAGCGTGCGATAAGCGGTTTGGTCAGTCGAGCAGAGAAACCCGACAGCTGTAGAAAACTGCTCAGATTTGGCTCGGGCAGTTTCCTACAGGCCAGGCCAATAAGCGCGGCTATGACTTGAAGGCCCAATGATGCTGGGCAAAGCGGATTCCCTGGGTACTCACCTCAAATATGCAATTGGATTGGATTGGAGACTAGAAGTGAGGCTGGCAAGAGGGGCAGATAGCCAAAATGGCGCAAATGGACCGGCCCTGTGAAGCTGGGGCGGTGCACTTATGTAGCAGAGAGCTTGCGACCCGCATTTGCATCATGCCTGGGTATGGCGTATGGGCCCTGGCGTTCTGCACGCGGCTACCATCGTCACACCCCCCAAACCTGCATACCCATCACCCATCATTTGACTTGGTTCCTTCCATGGCTTGACTGTTTTTGTCACGTGGATTTGTTGTGGAGAAGATGTTGTTCTACTCGACACGTCAATGTCACTGTTGGCCGCTTGAATTGAGCGTCACACATGCTCACCAGACGCTATCCTACATTGGGGACTTTGCGACTGCAACAACCGCATGGTCGTGTTTCACAGCCTGGGGACCTTCAACTTGGATCAAGACTTGGATAAGTCACAATGCAAAGCTCACCCATGACATGTATATTTGTTTGACTTGCACCCATCAGCTGCGGTGAGTGCGGCAGGATCTTCAACGCCCGCGCAAGCTCCGGCACCGCTAGACCGCTAGCGTTCCCCGCGCCGAACAAGTGTGGTTCCTGGCGAGGTTCTAGCAGCCAGTCATCGTCATCCCAAAGGCGAGCAGATGCCAGTCCACCTTTGGTGTTTCCGCTGTCATGGTCTGGCACTGCTCGTGCTTATCGGCGCCTTTCCAGCAAGGGTGCAGACTCAAACGTGGTCATCTGTTGCGTACATGCATCTTAAATTATCCAAACCAGAGAGGTTGAAGCAGTGTTTGTCCATTACAAGCTTCTAGAACATCGTCATAGGGACTCGTGTGGGCCCTGCACTCGTCCCCATACATTAATACCTGTGTATAATTACGTAGGTGCCCCCACACAGCGACAAGATATGCTTCACGGACAAATACTGGATTGTCATGGGATTATCATGGGTACCGTGAAAGGATGTCGCATTTTGGCCGCCTAGCAGTTTGACCAAGCATCTCTAGATCCAAGAGACTCTGATACATAATATAGCCCCTAGAACGCCCAGCTGTTGAATGATGTTACAAACAAGTTAAACCACTCCCTATAATCGCTTCTCAACAGGCTTAGGCTTTTTATCTCGGCCCTTGCGACTTCAATCGGTCCATCGGGCCTTGCGCTCTCTCTATAAACGTGTCGTTCGTTCAAAATCATCGCCCATGCCTGTTGCCTCGTGGCTTAATCTCCCTTCCGCCTTATATGATCATTTGGGCGACTCCCTGTCCTCCCAGCGTCTTGCTGCCCTGGAACTGCTGGCCCTTGAAGCCGGCAAGCGCATAAAAGACGGCTGCGATCAGCAAGAAGACGGCCGCAACGATCAAGCTTGTAGCCCGGGCCGCAATACTGGCCCATTGTATGGCGCTCATTGCCGCATAGATGGCAGCGCGCATGTAGTTGGAGCTGAATTTACGGATGAAGGTATCGAACTTGGGTGAAGTCGGGCAGATGCGGAGGAGCAGCGGTATTTCGATGAAGATGATGATGAACGAGCATACTCTGCAACTTGGTTAGACATGTTGCCGGCTGGGTGAGGGGCGCGGAAAACGTACAAACACACAATGCTAAACGCGATGACCCAGTTGGCGTTGAAGATGTTGGCGATGCCCAGCGCAAAACAAAGGACTATACACAGTACTCCGGTCCTGGAGGTGAGTTAGCATGACATGCTGCATGCAGTGGACATGTGCATAGCAGCTGGCGTGACTGACCATTGACCGTAGATACCTGCAAAGATGCCATGTCAGCAACAAGTCACAGCTTCGGCATTAGGTGTCTTACTGAAATTCCTCGACTTGAACTCTTCTGCGAGCGTCATCTTTGCAGTGCAACTGATTGTCGTGTAAACCCAGCTGTCTTGGGCGATGCGCAAGGTGGTGTGTCGTAGATGTCTGGTTTGCGGTTCCGGTAGCTTTGTTGCTGGCGCAAGCTGAATGAAGCTCTTGGAAGACGTATCACGCGAGATTTGATATGCTTTGTTGATATATCGTGCGCCGCGTTGGTATACGTTGCGCTGCGTAATGTGATTGTGGCTGTGCAGTGAATAGGCTTGGGTAGAGTGAATGTTGGTCGATGCCTGGCGTTGCGATGGCAATGGCTGTGTGCTTCTCGTGGTAGCTCAGCCCTCGGTCGGATCGCGGCTTCCACGTCCACGTAAACTAGGCGCTAGTGCTTGCCGAAACCGTCTTGGGCCCGCACTCAGCGCCTGAGAACTCGGACCTGCACCTTCTGTTTCAGAACATTCTGTATGGTCGCAACTGCCTCACCTTGGGATGACTACAATCTGGCAAGCGAAGGAATCATGGAAGGCTCTCGTGCTTGCGTCTGCCGCTCTCGGCCTGACGCTTTACTATCTACGTGCACAGCAAACACCCACTTCAAGAGCCGCCAATACTTCTCAGGTGAATACAGAACAGTGCCAAGACGACGAAGCGATTCACGTACCAGACGCCATGGATCCCGAGGAGAGAGCGTATCATGAAGGCTTCATGCGAGAGGCTATCGCTATGGTGAATCACGCCCTTCACTTTACAATAGCTCACCTTTATCCTGAGCACACACTACCGTGTTTGGATTCGATGCTGACTCATCCTCGCTATAGGCCGAACTTGCACTGAAGAGCGATGAGACGCCCGTCGGCTGTGTCTTCGTTAAAGATGGCGAGGTCATCGGACGAGGCATGAACGAGACAAATCGGACTCTGAACGGTACCAGACACGCCGAGTTTGTCGCCATCGCCGGCATCTTGTCAAAGCACCCCATCAGCATCCTCAACGAGACGGACCTCTATGTTACTGTTGAGCCATGCGTCATGTGTGCGTCCATGCTGCGCCAGTATGGCATTCGAGCAGTCTACTTCGGATGCTGGAACGAGCGGTTTGGCGGTACTGGAGGAGTGCTGAACATTCACTCCGAGTATGTGACCTTCTGTCTATACAAACATATGAATGGTCCGTACTGACTTCAGCAGCCCCAGCATTGATAAGCCCTATCCAGTCACCGGTGGCATCTTCCGAGAGGAAGCAATCATGCTGCTCCGGAAGTTCTACGTTCAGGAGAACGAAAAGGCCCCCGAGCCCAAGCAGAAGAAGACGAGGGAGCTGAAGACGGAGATCCTGCCCATGGACGTCCACCAGCCCAAGTCAACACCATCACCTGCTATCCGTGCTCCAGCCAATGCGACCTCAACTGGATCCATCCCGACGCTGTCTTCTCTTACTGCATCTGCCGCTGCAGCAGCTGTCGCGGTCCCCAAGACTGTGTTTCCCCCGCCTGTCCAGTCTCGTCCTAGTTCTGCTAGCACGGCTCTTGCTTGAGTGGGCTTACGATGAATGCATGATTATACCCGACCCTAGACGCTAAGACGAAGAAACGAAGCGGAATGTATGATAGCTTATGTCTTTTACCTTCAATAGAACATTGGTTGCTCACCACTACACGAGATTGATTGAAATCATTGAGAATACCGTACCGGCAACGTAGGCCTCAGGGAAAATATGACTGGCAATGAAGATCAACAATGCATTTGGAATTGAATAGGGAATCGATGAGACTCCGAATCGTCTTTGCCTTATTTCTCTCCTCCACCACCTGCAACTAATTGCACTACCAAGAAGAGAGCGAGAGCCCACCAGTACCTGTGAGAGAGTCAGCATAGCCTCCGAGATCGAAGGCTGCTCCATTACGCACTTTTGCAAGAATGACTTCTCCGGCTCTTTGCCGTCGAGCTTCCCCTCCGCATTGAGCACGATAGGCTTATTCAGGACCGGCTTTGGCCCAACATTCCTCTTCTTTATTTCCACCTCTACCTCATCCCCGCTACCTTTCGCGCTCGTTCCAAAGCCAACATGGAAAGGTTCCCCCTTGTCATCAACGTGAATGATGAACTTCTTGTGGTACTGGTCTGAGAAGCTGGCTGCTGACGTGACGATGCCCCGCCATGAACCGGACTTTGAATCTGTAAGACCGACGCGAAGAAGATGATCAGGGGAGTAGGAGCCTGTAGGTGGTGTGAAGGAGGCTAGAGTGCCGACAGATTGGTCTGCGTCGTATTCGATCTGCGCAAGCGGGATTGGGGAGGGGATTACGGCGCTATCCGCTGAGGCTGGGACGGAGGAGACGTAGAGTGTGACCGACGATGCGACTGCAAAGGGCAGTAGAAGAAGTCGAGATAATAGCATCTTAGCGTGCTGGTGCGGTCTGTTGCAATCTGTATGCGCAACAGTGTTGGTTTACGGGAGCTGGGACTAGCTCTCAACTGAACGGCGAATCGTATCACCGACGGGACATTCACTCAAGCGAGCTGCGCTTCCACGACCCCTCCTTCTCATCCCATATCTCCTGGGGTATACAGTAAAATGATCCTGCGCCTCCGCTTGATCCGAAATCGCACCGATAACCATGATCAGCCGTCATCCAAGACATGAACCTGCTTTGCGTGGCGTTCTTGACAGCCAACGCTGGCCCAACAGCATCCGGCATACCTCAAAAGGTGGACCCGACGCTCACGATGCCCACATTTCTCCGTCCGTTCTGTAAGCAGATCGGCACTCAGGCCGACGATGACCCTGAAGACGAGTAGTCCGATTGCACAGAACGCTGGGGTTATTGCCCCACCCCCACCGTACTAGAGCTCCCCAGAGCTCTTATGAGCTCATCCCGCATTGACAGCTGTATTGTATCTCAACACTATTTCTCAGGTCTTTGAGATTTCTGCAAGCTTTCTTCCATTCTAAGATTTCGCCTTACTGTCACTTCTTCATAGTCGTACGCAGCAATGGCAATTCCTTTCCGACAGTCCCAGCGCAAGCAGTCGCGTCAACTGTCGACGGACCCCCGCAATGAGCTCCACCCTCAAGTCGACCACTACATCGGTATCGATGTTGGTACTGGTAGTGCCAGAGCCTGTATTATGAATGACCAGGGAGATATTGTTGGGTTGGCATCAGAAAACATTGGCCTCTGGCAACCACAGACTGGTTACTATGTACTTGACCTACATGTGATAGCTGCTGTGAGCGAAAACTAAGTGAATCAGGAACAATCCACAACAGACATCTGGCGATGCATCTGCTCCTCAGTCCGCCGAGCAATGGATCAGCACAACATCGACCAGAGCACTATCCGCGGTATCGGCTTCGACGCTACCTGCTCGCTTGCAGTCTTCAGAGACGACACGGATGAGCCTGTCGCGGTCACCGGACCAAACTTTGATAACAAGGATGGTAATGATCGCAACGTCATCCTGTGGCTCGACCACCGACCTGTGGAAGAAACCAACAAGATCAATGCTACTGGGCATAATTTGCTCCGCTACGTTGGAGGCAAGATGTCTATCGAGATGGAGATTCCAAAGGTGCTGTGGCTGAAGAACAACATGCCGAAGGAGCTATTCGACCGCTGCAAGTTCTATGATTTGACTGATGCTCTTACACATCTGGCTACTGGCAGTGAAAGCAGAAGTTACTGCAGTGTAGTCTGCAAGCAGGGCTTCGTACCGGTCGGAGTTGATGGAAGTGTCAAGGGCTGGCAGGAAGACTTCCTCAAAGAGATTGGACTTGAAGACCTATGCGAAGACAACTTCAAGCGCATGGGCGGTGTTGACAAAGTGGTTTGTCCTTCGCTACTGTACCTGACGGTCTCAGCTAACGTGCATACAGAACGGACGCTATCTCACTGCCGGTGAACTTGTCGGTACACTTAGCGAAAAGGCTGCGCAAGAGATGGGTCTACAGCCTGGTATCGCAGTCGGCAGTGGAGTCATCGACGCCTACGCTGGCTGGATTGGTACCGTTGGCGCCAAAGTCAAGCTCGACGAAGATACTCTGGATATGGATCAGCCCAAGAACGATGTTTCACAAGCTTTCACGCGTCTTGCAGCTGTGGCCGGAACATCGACCTGTCACCTTGCCATGTCCCGTAACCCTGTCTTCGTCGATGGTGTCTGGGGCCCATACCGAGACGTTCTACTACCAGACTATTGGATGGCAGAAGGAGGACAAAGCGCAACGGGTGAATTGCTCAAGCATGTAATCGAGACACACCCAGCCTTCAACGAAGCCGTGTCTGTCGCAGAAACATACAACACCAACATCTATGACTACCTCAACGAACACCTCCGCGAGATGGCAGATAAGGAGAACGCGCCACACATCGCCTGGCTTGGCCGCCACTTCTTCTTCTACGGTGATCTCTTCGGTAACCGCTCGCCCATTGCCGACCCCAATATGAAGGGCTCTGTTATCGGTCTGAGCTCCGACAAGAGTCTCGACAGTCTGGCGCTCTACTACTACGCAACTATGGAGTTCATCGCTCTGCAGACGCACCAGATCGTCTCTGCAATGAATGCCTCCGGCCACGTTATTTCCTCAATCTTCATGTCTGGTTCTCAGTGCCAGAATGGCCTGCTCATGCAGCTCATGGCCACCGCATGCGACATGCCCGTTCTCATCCCACGATATGTACATGCGGCTGTGGTACACGGCGCGGCTATGCTGGGTGCAAAGGCGGCGAGCACCGACAAGGACGGAAACAGTGAGCCGCTTTGGGACATCATGGACAGACTGAGCAAGCCTGGTAAGACTGTGAAGCCACTGGCTGACAAGACAGTCAAGAAGTTACTGGACGCCAAATACAAGGTGTTCTTGGAGCTATGTGAGGGACAGCAAAGGTACAGGAAGGATGTTGATGCTGCTATTGAAGGCTGGACTAGCAAGTAATTCCCGCAGCGCGGAAGCAGACAGGGAGATGACAACGAGAGAGATGATATCCATCAATAATTAGAGATGTATTCTAGATACCAGATCCTTGGCGAGGAAGTCGTTAGAGCATACCATATCTATGTAACCCAGCTCCCTGCTTATGTCTCCGAAACAAAAACCAACACTACACGGCTCATCCGCATGTCATTGGTCTGGAACCCCCGCTGAGTGAAATCTGCTCATCGCTGTCGTTGGTGAAAGGGTATCGTACAGTGAAAATTGAAGAAGATGTGCGCTGGTCCTGAAGCTCTAGTATCGTCGGCGGGGGCCTCGTGGTGGTTCTCTGCGACCGGCGTCGTTGAAACCAAATCGTCCATCTTGGTAGCTACCAGCGCGTGCGCCCGCATTGGCATCAATGTCCATGCCATCAGTGGATTGCGTAAGGCGAGCGGGCGGTGCTCGGGGTTGCGCTACGTGGGTACTTGCAGGAACATCCTTCATGTAGACGTAGAGTAGTCTACCATCAGCCTGTCGATGTGATTAGTCTAGTCCAGCAATATGTACGCCAGGAGACTGACCTTCTGGTTGTTGAATGTCGCAATGACATTCTCAGCACCCTCTCTGCTCGCGAACTGCAGTTCGACCATGACTGTCGGGTTGGCAGACAAGAGTCTGCATCCTAGCGTCTCCCCCCCAATTGGGCTCATGACAGCTTCGATATCCGCGGCCGTGGTTCCAGGTGCGAAGTTGCTCGCAATGACCGTACATGGACCTCCAGTCGCAACGCCTCGAATGCTAAAGCCCGCTGCGTCATTGCTGCGCGGAGCTGCACCCCGACCAATGACGGGAGCAAATTTATCGTAGGCCTTGCTGTTGCGCTCAACCTGCGATGCCGAGGCCGTCCGAGCGAGGTTGTTTCTGTTGTTGGCTGCGCCGCGGGGGTTGTTCAGCTTATGTAGATCGTGTTGCCATTTCCCCTCGATGCTGCCAGCTGGTTTCGCGCTCGATGATCGCTTTTGGACACCGGCGCCACCGTTTATCCGGCTGAGCAACGAAGGCTTCTCAGATTCGACGCGCGACCGTCCGCCAGCGCCCGATGCGTTCGCTTTCCGTCCTCGATTTCCTCCGCCTAGGAACTGCTGCGCGAGGGCTTCGTTCTTCTTCTTCTCCCGTGTCTGCTTGACAAAGTTCTCAAACGATGCGGTGGTTGAGGCGACCATGTTGAACAGGGGTGCAGATGGATATTAGTGCCGGTGGATTGGTGTAGAAAGGAAGCGCGTAGATGCCGACCTAAGAACGACGAACGAGCGCGTCCATGGAAGGCGCCGCACGTAGCAAAGCTTGGACCACGACCCGCTCGGCGAAACGAAACACCGCCGCGAAAAGTTCCCGTACAAAACTTGAGCTTGCTGCTGTTCCTTCTCACTCCAACAACGCGCCCAACTTTTGGTAAGTCAACATGCCCACCCTCTCTTTGTTTACTGTTGTCATCATGATGAACACTTGTGTCGCCCCTATCATACACTCTATGGTGATTCGACCACTCAAGCCAAACGAGAATACTGATCGTTCGCAACATCTACCAATTTGTTACTGCAAGTTCTGTTCGGACCAACGCTAACAAATCATGAAGGGTCTTCCAGTTGTCCGTCGCAGTATGGCTTTACCATCATGATGCGCAATGCAAAGCGCTACCGCCGATGCGCGGTTCGCAGCCCGCCGATGCCTTCCGCCTGTCGCACATCCTCTACGTTCGTTGGTTACAAGCGATAGCAGACCTCGTCGTAGGGCTGTTGAGACGGCAAGGGCTTCGTGGGCTGCGATGCAATCCAAAAGGTTAGACCACATCCCTCGCACCCCAGTACCCATCCTTAGATGATGAGCAACAAATGTATTATCAAATACCGACCACTTCGTGGGGAATAAACTAGTTCGATTACCTGAATCTCTTCCCATACTCGAGCTCTAGTCAAAACGTCTTCTCTCTGAATCGTGACTGACATGGCTCTAGGTATACACTCGACTGAAATCTCACTTGATTCAGCTACCAGCTCTACACTGAAAAGGTACATGACCCTTGCTTTCTTCTCTCCCATGCTATGATGAACACCAATTCATGCTAACTCAGACGGGGTTCGCCTCACTGATTGAAAAAACATTCGAGACTTTTCATCTTTCGACTGATTGCTCTCTTCACCTGCATATTTGTTCAAATTGACGGTTTATGATATATGCTAACTGTCAAGCACAGATTACACTCGTGCTGTACAGCGCTGCCACTTATCTTCCCTCTGTTGACCGCTCGTTCGCCATATACCGGCATGGGTTATGCAATTCATGCACGGCAGGAGACGAGGAAAATGCGATGGGGACATTTGCTTTGAAACATACCACGGCCATGTAATATGCCTTATCTATAATGAAAACACATGCACTACTATTGAATCTTCATTATTCGCGATAGCACATTGAATATTGGACATAGAACTTCTCATATGTGACGTAATACACTGATACTGCAAGAACCATGATATCATACTGACCATGAAGCTCAAGTGATGTGTGCAATTGGTGTACAATCACATGTCGATATGAGACACGTGAGGACGCGCATTGCGGTTCCGGAGTTTAGGGATCGATCTCCGCATAACTGAAACAATTCTCCAAACACAACATTGACAGCACAACTATCGCTCACCCGTTTGCGAAACATAGAAGATGGCATCGAAGCCCGAAGACGCGAGCACAGCACCCACGGAAGGCGCCGGTCTCTTTAGTGGAGCAGGCCTAGAGAAGCAGCCCGAGCCTAATCTTGTGGCCGGGTCCACCGACAAGAATGACGGAGATACCGTCGACAACGCCACGGCTGCAGTAGCCGCTCTCTCAGTCGACGAGAAGAAGAAGGAAGAAGAAGAAGAAGAAGAAGAAGAAGAAGATCAGAAGGCAGATGTCACCACTCAAGCGGATCCCGCGGCGTCTGAAACCGCACCCGACGACGCCAAACCTGTTGAACAGAAAGAACCTGAAGCCAGCACCGTAGCGCCCACCCAGGGTCCCTTCTGGCCAGAGACTGCGCCCGATCACCCACTTACCAAGTTCTACGACGCTTTCGAGGCCCTCGTTACCGAAGCCCAACACAACGAAGTCTATGGCATAGAGCTCAGCAAATCAAAGTCCTTCCATACCAAGCTTATACTACAAAAGTTCCTCCGAGCCAACCAAAATGACTTGGAGAAAGCAAAGTCACAGCTGCTTGATACGCTCAAGTGGAGGAAGGAATTTGATCCGATCAAGGCGGCAGGAGAGACGTTCGAGAAGGCCAAGTTCGATGGGCTAGGATACGTGTTGGAAGTCGAGGGCGTACCGGAGAGTCCTAACAAGAAGGACATTGTGACTTTTAACATTTATGGAGCTGTAAAGGACAACAAGGCTACGTTTGGTAATCTGGACGGGTATATTCTTCCCTGTTTCAAATGCGATGAAAGAGAATCATTCTAACAGAGCCTCACAGCTTCCTCCGCTGGCGCGTAGGCCTCATGGAAAAGTCCATCCAAGCACTCAACCTCTCCGCCGCTACGACACCCATCCCGAACTTTGGAGAAGGTCCGGATCCATACCAGGGATTTCAAATCCACGACTACCTCGAAGTCTCGTTCCTTCGCCGCGATCCACTCGTCAAGACTGCGACCAACAAGACTATTGAGATACTAGGACGTCACTACCCCGAAACCCTGAGCAGGAAGTTCTTTGTCAATGTACCTGTGGTTATGGGTTGGTTATTCAACGCGATGAAGTTGGTTGTGGCCAAGGAGACGAGCAAGAAGTTTGTTGTGCTGAGTTATGGAAATCAGCTTGCTACCGAGCTAGGCAAGGGTGTACCGAAGAGTTATGGTGGTGAGAGGGCAGAATTGGCCGAATGCGCTGAGGGTATGAAGATGGCTTGATGTAACATGTGTTTCTACCGGGGGAAGGGGAAGAAGGTAATGGCAGGAGATGGAAGAAGCAACTCAGTGTGGTTGTTTTGGCTTTAGAAGCCGTGTTATACCCCACTCAAGATTATCCAGTCCTTTTGAGAGCAAATTCGTCAAAACGATCGTTACTTTTCTGCCAGTTTAGCATACTACATACATACTTGGACATCCATGACACATCATCACCGCGTTCAGGATACAGAGTGTTTGTACACAAACAATTGGATATCATTACTCCTCATCAGCACCTTCCTTGCCCTTGCGTTCTCTCAGCACCACTGCTCTATCAACCCAGCCCTCACCCCTCAACACACCTAGTCCTTTCCTCGCAACGCCACTATTAACCGCCCGAGGCGACACCTCGTACAGAGCATTTACAGTCGCCAGACTAACAACGAAAAGCAGTACATCCCCATTCTTCACGCCCTTCCACCATCTCCTCTTAACCCCTACTTTCCACAGCGAATCGATCGACATTCTAGCCGTATACAAGAAATTACTCCTTCCACCTTTCCTTTCCAGGAATGCCCATAACCCACTGAGGAAACCACCTAGGAACCAGCGTTGCGTAGAAAGGAACGTCCGGGGTAAGATATTCTGGAACAGGCAAATAGAGCCCCAACTTGTTCCTATGGCACCAGAGAGGAAGAGCGACATGCGCAATATGCGTTTGGCAAGATTGTTCAACGAGGTGATGGGCGAGGAGAGGAAAGCCTTGTACTTTGTGATGCTCATAGCTGTGAAGAACAGAGTGAAGAAACGGGCGATTTTGGGAAAGGCTTGGATCCAGTACTGGACGTAGGTTCGTAGGCAGGAAGGATCATGTGGGTGGAGTAAGGCACACGACAAGGACTTGATGGCTGGATGTGCAGGAGAAGTTATTGGGGAGATGGACGTCAGGCGTTTTGGTAGCGTTTCTGCGTTGGGAAAGAGAATGGGGGATACGAAAGGTGGCCAGCGCTGTCGCGAGATCTCCGCTAGATTGTCCACAATGTCGAATTTACCTGGCCATTGCGCTGTGCTTGGGTAGTCTGTCGGTCGTTTCTGTATGTACTCTGGAGAGTTCTTCAATATGTGATCGCCTAATCCAGAGGGGAAACAGTCGCGATCGAAGGCAAACGCGTGCAATAGTTGTCCACATGCTACTGGCATTATCATCCAGGAGCCGAACCAACTGGGTTTATTCTTGAAGTAGCCTAGCTCCTCTAGGTAGTTGTAGCCAAATTCAAGAGCCCTTGTCATGATGTATATCGCGATTGTAACACGCAGTTGATCTCCAGGGTATACGGCGAGGAAGAAACCTGCCAAGCTGGATCCAATGGCCGGTGCCAATCTCGATGTCAGGGAACGAGATATGCGTGGGTTCCGTCGCCGGAACGACTTGCCTTCATTGCTTAGGAGGCTTTCACGAATGCGCAGGAAGAAGCGACGTAGGAGGCGGTGGAATAGGAGTATGAGGGCGAGGGAGCTGCTAAGGCGCACGTTTGGTGACCTGAAGACTGATGTCCTGGGTTGACTCCTGCCGTAGTATTAGCGCAAATTCTTTAATCAAGAAGCGAAGTTTGTCCTACCTCTTCGCGGTTCCCCGCGACAAAAGCCTTGTACTAATCACTTCCCAAGCCTTCAGCCCCGAGAAGGTCACGACTCCCAAGCGCAGTGCAGCGCGGAATGCCGCTACATTGTAATCATCTGGACCCTTTACAATTGCGTCATATCGCTTGGGATGTATAGTGTGCTTCTTCACAACCGGTGCGCGCGAAAGGAGGTATTGGTGCAGCAACTGATACTCCTTTGCCGAGATGGTGTAGCGGAGCGCATTACGCAATATCGGATCGATGTTTTGCGATTTACCAGGCGGTGTGGGCTGCGATGCGCCAGACGACGACATACTGGGCGTCTTCGGTTGTATGTGTCGGGACCATAGTTTGAGGGGATGTTGTTGTCATTAGAGAGTCCGGGGAAGCTAGCAATATGACGATGATCCCTGGATGTTACGCCCATCACGGACCTCGGCACAGCGCCTTGCCCCATCTTTTTCACATGCGAACCCATGCAGTGCCTATTGGTCATTAAGTTTGAGCAATATGAACGTCAAGCGTAATATAACGGGAGACTTGAGTGCAGTTTGTGAATCGCATATGTATACTTTTCTATATACTCTACGATTTCAAGGAAACTCTTGTATTACAGCTTCGCGTCCTCGGATACGAGTTGTGCATCATGTACGGCACCAACAGCTTAATACAAACAGAGAAGACAAAAGAAATACGGCTACACCACAATACAATGTATAGCATCTAAAGGGCGAAGAAAGCAAGAGCAGCACCGAACAGAGCACCCTTGGGCACCATGGTGAATGGCGAGGCAGCGCCAGTGAACTCAGCTGGCGAAGAAGGGCGGACAGCTCCAGTACCGGTAGCAGTGCCCATAGGGACAGTAGCAGTACCCATGGTGGAGGGAATGGGGTAAGGAGCGCCACCGGCAGCGGGGGTAGTGGCAGCTGGGGTCTGAGCAGGCTCAGCAGTGCCGGGCACAAGGGCAACAGGCTCAGTTGGGTTGGCGCCAGCAGAGTTGGTCTGGGTAGTGAAGTGAACTTGCGGAACGGTTAGGGTAGTGGTACCGAAGGTGATGGTGGTGCAAGGAGTCTCGGCAGCAGGGGTCTCAGGAGCAGGAGTGGTGGTGCCAACGACTTGAGTCGTGGTTGCGGAGGAAACGACAGTGGAAATCGCAGGAGTTTCACCGGCAGGGACGGTAGTGCTAGCACCCTGGGTAGGAACAGCGGGAGTCTCTCCAGGGTAGCCAGGACCGTATGCGCTGGATGTGCCCTGAGCAGGGGCAGAGGAGGCAGGGACAGATGGAGCAGCAGAACTCTCGCCACCAGCAGGAGGGGCAGCCATGGTGCTGCTCTCAGCGGCCTCTGGAACCTCACTGCTGCTAGCAACACCAGTAGAAGCACCGCCAGATGGGGCAGCAGGAGTAGGGTTCAAGGGGATGTACGAAGGGCAGTCTCCGACGATGCTGGGGTTCTTGGGAACGTGTTCAGCGCAGATACCGATGAAGTATTGCAGAGCCTTGCTGGTTTCATCGTCGCTACCGCAGCGAGCTGAGATACAGTCAATGACATTCTTAGTGAACTCAGGCTTGACACAGTAGCAGCTGGAATCGGTGTTGTCCTTGCAGTCTGGGGCCGAGATCTGGAGCCACGAGTTCATGCACTTGGGAACCGAGTCAGTGATGTCGACAGGAGGATAGCTAGGACTGGAAGGCTGAGGAGCGGCGGAGCTGGTAGCAGGAAGGGGAGTTCCAGAGTTAGAGACAGCGGATGAAACAATGGCGGAGGATGCAGCGGTTGAGGATGCGACAGTGGAAGACTGCTCGCAAGACTCTCCGTAGCCGCAACCAGCAACGGTGGAGCTCTGAGACGTGGATGGCACCTCAACAGTGGAAGATTCCGGTTGGGGAGTAGCAGTGCTGATGGAGGGAATCGATGCGGGAGTGCTAGAGGCCTCGACGACGGAGGAAGACTCGATCTCCACAGCTGAAGAAGCTGGAGGAGTGTAGGCGGGCATAGAGCTGTTGGTGAAAGGAGCAGTGGAAGAGAGAGGGGTCTCAACAGGTGTGTTGCATCCCTCGCCATACTGACCGCATTCGTTGGCAGAGGTGGCGGGTGTCTCAACGGCAGAAGACGACGCAGGAGTCTCAACAGCAGACGAGATGATAGGAGTTTCGACAGCAGAGGAAACAGGTGTCTCAACAGCGGAAGAAACAGCGCTGGAGGCTGGAGCAGTGGATGACTCGATAACAATAGTGGAGGATACAACTTCGCTTGAGGTAGAGGGAACCTCAGGTGGCGAGGGAGGAGTGTATGGTGTCTCGGCGTTACAATCAAAGCCGATGTTGTGGAAACCGATCTCGCAAGACTCCTTCTCGCCCTTGTAGTGAGAGCCAAGGTAGACCTCGACGGACTTGGCGCCACCACACTGAGTGTTCTGCAACGTCGATCCACCGGCCGAGCAGCTGGTATGTTGCTTGCAGAGAGATCCGTCCTCCATCTTATAATGAAGTTCGATCTCAGCGTCGAACTCGGATGAAACGTCCATGTGCGTAATGGAGAAGCCACGCTGAGCACAGCCGAAAGAAGCAGGCTTGTCTTTGCGAACGGTGTTCTTGATGCACTTGTTTCCGAAGGTCCGCTTGCTCAACGTGTCCCTCTTGCCGAAGGAGTTGGAGCACTTCCATCCTCCAGAGAAGTCGAAATCTCCGTAGTTGCCGACAGACTGGCCATCCGTGAGATCAGCCCAGTTGAAACCACCCTTCTGCTTGTCGTCGCACACGTTCTTGCTGTAATTGGGTGTGCCGTAGTTGTCGAAAAAGTTCCAGTGTGCCGCGGCCTGCTGGGCAGCGAGGCCAGTAACCAAAAGAGCGTAAGTGGACTTCATGGTGAAATACGGGTGTCGAATTCAAATTTAAATGTTGCAATAAAGATAAACGTATGTTGTAATTGGACCTTGAACGAATGACGGTCTAACAAGACAGCAAAGTCAAAAGAGTGTGACTTTGTTCGCCTTGGTAAGCGAAAGTAGCAGCAAATGTAATGCTTTAATTAAGAAGACAAAGTGTGTAGAAATATGCTGAGAGAAAGGACAAACGATCAAGATATACTTCCACCACCAGCGTTCGTTCGAAACAAGCCAGCTTGAAACATTTCCAAAGGATTGGTCTGCCGACGGCCTCCGACTCGCATGCTCAGCCACGATCAGAATGAGTCGCCCAAGGGGCCTCCATGTCGGTCTTTGTCGCGCGCTCTACAGATCCACATGGCAATAGTGTCGCCGGTTACAAGATGGCCTGGGTAGAGGTTGTGGAGCCTAGTCGAACGGCTTTGACGTGAGCATGTTGTAAGCGAGGGCAACAGGGGCGCTTCCGAAACGCCCTAAATAGCAGGCTTGAGTAGACTATCATGCAGGTACGAGCCAATGGCACGTGTAGACTGTACATTGGCAAGCCAGCAGCGTCAAGTATATTGTTCGATACCCTTACGACTGGGTGAGGGCCGATGATTGTGTTCCGGTAGAAGAGCAGAGCCTCAAGTTGTCGACAATTCATCGCATCCATGCTCTGTTGCCTTTCGGATCGTCTTCAGTAGCGGTACCGCGGAGGCACTAAGAGGTCAATACATACGGGCATCTTGCTCACTTGCTGCGTCTGGTCCGCCAGTCCCTTCTCCTGCATCCGTCTAGATCCGTGTTGCCCAGCTAAGCTCTTCTCCGCCACCTGAATTTCCTGATTGAGCCAACGCCGACTAACTATAGCCGTGACGCTGTCGTTCTGAAGGAACATGCACGAGCGTGTTTCACGGCTGTTCCGCCATCGCGCCCTTGCAGCGGCCAACGAGCGTTAGGAACACGAAGCTTCAGGCGACATCGACCCTAGGCCCATCGGAAGCTCGCGTCTCAAAGGCTTGTTTGCAATATTAGAAGGGTGTCCGCATGAAGAAGAGCTTCAAGAGCCATGAGAGAGCTGTCAGCTTGTCGTACTCGGAATATTGGCAGCGTAGTTTCTGTCGAAGTTCGGGCGAGGAAGACCGAGGGGCATGCGCGATTCATCGCCCGCGCACCACTCATCATCCATCTGCAAATCAATATTGAATTTCCTTCAGAAGACGATCTGACTTCCAGGTCAAGGTTGCATGGCTCTCAGAATATCGCACACAGTGCAGGGGTAAATGGACAAGCTTTAGAGACACGGCGCACGGGTACCTAGCAGCATGTGGAACAGGCCACAAACATGTCGTGAACGCGGAAGTGGCGGTGTCAGTGTTCGGGACACTGACGCAGGATTGTGGCTTCGTGAACAAGAATGACGGCATCTTAGGGTCGCGATTCGCGACGTAAGAGGAAACTTCGCACACAGCTGCAGGACGTTCGTTACGCTTATTCACAGATCGTCCTCGGGGCTTTCAGATTATGATCAAGAAACACAGTATAGAGCACTCCGCTGAAGGCAGTTTCAATTTTATCTCGCCACTTCGGAATATGGTCGGGTTGTCCTTTCGGAGAGCCCTGACACGTTGCTATTCTTGTACTCCTCACGTCCATGACAACCCAGTCGTTTCAAGATTCAACCCGTTATGGAGGACTTCGCATGAACGATCGACTTTATGCTAAGGCCTATCCTGGTCCTCTCAGTCACATATCCGAAGAAAACAGCTACTGGAAAGTTATGCAATAAGGAACCTATCGTATTGCTGTGTTTGTTGAACGTAAACATGTGCAGACTTCTACCGTGATCTATACCAATGTAAATGCAGCGAACGCCAAACTTCCAATGCTAAACGCCAATACCCCCATAATTCTGGTATCATTGCCGTTGCTTCCAGGACGCCGTGAAGATGACTCGCTTTTCGCAAGGCTAATTTGTGCGAAAAAACGGGTGAGTAAGAATGCAATCTCCTAATCAATGGTGGCGCATGTACGCAGCATGCTAGCAAACTTGCTGCCCCCATCACTACTCATCCTCGACCACGATGTGTACTACTTCGCTCCGACGACGTTCCTTGGATAGATAGTCGCTAGCTACGTTACGAACACGAGCGTGACACTCGTGCGCGGCGCGATTCAGGAATGGTACCTGTAAAGCTCCGCAGATTGCAACCAAGGCAGAACCCCACCAAGCCAAGGGTGTGAAATGAAGCTCAATAGATAGACCGTAAAGCAAGCCAGCGATAGGGCTCGCCACTGTACGGCAGGCAGCACCTGTAGACGCAGCCAGTCCGTTGATTCTTCCAAGGTGCGATCTGTCGGGTGTAGCTTCTTTGATCATGATCAGAAGAAGCGGGAAGGCGAGGATCGATGTCAGATTTCGTACGGTCAAGCAAGCGAACAGACCGGGGTAAAGCAAGTTTTCGGGTAGGAGCTGTAGGAAGGGAACAATGAAGTATGCAATCGGATGTGCCAGCGTAACCATCATGAGCAGGCGCCATACACCGAAGCAATCTGCCAGTAGAGGGAAGACGAAACCTTGAATCGCGAGCTGGATGATGCCGTTAAGCGAGAGAATGATGCCCACATTCTGAATAGGAATACCAAGACCGCCGCCCAAAGAAGAAGGCGAAATGTCCAGTGCATTCATGTCATCGTCAGCGCGTTTGTCTTGGAGGAAGATTGGAAGCAGGTGGTCGTATGTCATCTGAAGTAACATTAGCCGGTGGTTCATACCGGGATAGCTGTTAGACTTACAGAATGGTATGTGAAGATTCCTAGCGCTACGACGAACATGATGACCGGACGTGTGAAGACCTTCTCACTTGTCGGTGATTCTACCCAGTCTCCATTAGAGCGCACACGCCAGATCTCGTCGTGCTCAACTTCCACAGCGTTGAAAGTGCCGTAAGAATCTGCTGTCAAGTTTGCGGCAGCATCAGCTGTCGCACCTTGGGCTGGGAGAAGAGGTGTCTCTGCAACGGCTGCATCGTATTGTTCGAAGTAGCCGCGCGGCTGCTTGTCTGGATGAGTCTCTTCTAGAAGAAAATATGCCATCAGGATGGAGAGCAGAAGCAAGGAGGCACAGATGATGTTTGGAAGTAGGTAAGGAAACTTGGCGAAAACGCCAGTGGGGCTGAAGACAGAGGGGAAATTTCGAGCAGGCTCAGCAAAGTATCCACCAATCGATGCTAAAGCAGTCAGTACGGGAGGTCAGAGGACGAGGGAATGATGGTGACTTACGGCCTATGATTGTACCAATACTCCACACGAATGGCATGACGGCATACGCCTTTGCTATTTTCTAATTAGCAACGTCTAGTAGAAGCTGCTGTTAAGACTCACGCTCATGTTCGGGTCGCTTGACCAATTCTCCCACCATAGTCTGGATAACGCCAATGTTGCCATTAAGCGCGCCGCCGATGATTCGTCCAAGAAGTGCGACCCAAAAGTTAGGAGCTAAGCCAACAAGTAGCAAAGAGGACATTGTCCCTAGACATCCGAGTATAACAACGGGTTTTCTACCTATGCGATCGGAGACGGAGCCCCAGTACATGCCCGAGCATGCCTCGGCGAGCGAAAAGGCGGAGATGAGCAGACCGGCGAAAAAGGGTGCATTCGCTTCGGAGCCGACTTGGAAGTTGACAACGAGTTTCCATGCGTATGGAAGTATCGAGGTGAGGGCAATCGGTTCTGCGACTCGAACCAGTGCTGGAGTGTGCTGTCAGTGCGAGGCTCCGACTAATGATAACTAGTGTCAGTGGCGTAGAAAGCCATACCTAGGAGACCGAGCTGAGCGGCGGGAAATTGGTCTTCGCGGGTTTCGGGGGCATCTTGAGGGCTTGTTCTTCGGTTCTTGGTAAGAAATGACATTCTGCAACCTGATTTGGTTCTTACGGCTTCGCCAACACGCAGTCGTCCTTTAGCTCGGAGGTGGCTTGCTGTGTGAGTAGAGCTTTCTCTGCGTTTGGCCTTGAACAACCCAGAAACAAACAAATAAGAGTGCGGATACTGTCAAGAGAGATTGTGCGATAGCGGTGTGTTGTACAGAGAATGGAGAGAGGAGAATGGAGGAGGGAAAGTTCTGGTCGGTGCCCGTCCAACCAGCAGAAGCCACTAGGACGGGACGATCGGCAGTCGCCCTAGAAGGTCTTGGCGAGCACATTACCCTGCTTGCAATCTACATTGCATCTTCTGCGTCGTTCCACAGCACAATCACTTTTCACTCGCAACGTCGTAGCTCACCAACTACTCAATACAGACATACCCGCTGATTTTCCCGCAAAGATACCGTGGAGCACGTTGGGGAACCTTGTACATTTACGTGTGACCCACATAGCAGTGGCGATGGCGGTACGCTAGTGACTTGGCACACATAGCCGTTTCTGTGGTTCTTCTGTGTTTTAGTGACATCAAGCGTAAAACAAACCTAACGACGTCATCTTTACCATGTTTTGTTCTTCCCTGTTGGTGCGCCATCTCTTATCTGATCGCTTCCAGCCTTGGATGATTCCCACATCGAGATTCAGCGCATGCTGCACTGTACAAAGGCCGATTCCTAAATTCGGGTTCGAGGCCGTAAGGCCAGTGTAGGCCAAGGAAGCTAGTTGTTACCCTGCGTCAACTCTGCATGTGGCCAACCAGAAGGCGGCTGTACCTTTTTGCAACACGATCATTTCATGTCCAGTGCTACACACCTAAACACACTATCCCCTCGCCATGTGTAAGTTTTCAGTAGCATCCTGGACCACTGCAATACGCCTCCAGAGCTGCCTAACCACATCTTTTCGTGTCCAGAGCTCAATGTAGAAGCATGCAGAGTGAAGCAGCTATCTGCAGCAGCTGTCCTGATCTCAAAGTACACGACAAACTCCAAACTTCAGCAATATCGTTATTACACGGATAAGACAGAGAGGTGAGGCGAATTACAGGCTCATCAAACAGGCTCTGATGAGCAGATGACCTCTACGAAGTCCTTTGTATATTTAGATTCGTCGTCATTTACTACCAATGCCAGAAGCCTTCACACATCAAGAATAGCAAGCGATGCGGGTGACGAGGCTGTTGTCGCGTGCCCAGGTGCTGATTGTAAACATGTACCGCCTCCGCTTTGGAAAGAGCACCATCCTAGCGCCACTAGCGCCCGCTTTGGTCCCACCTCCATCCCGTCGACATGGCGTCGACATGGCGTCGCCTTGTCGACTGCATCACTCAAACTTCTACATATATGCTGACAAACAGCTGGTACGGTCTGGTCATACGTCGCACCTGCTCTGGCACCGCACTTCGGGTGGCTCAACCACGTTGCCAAGCGGCCAATCCCGGCGCGAAGAATTTCTCGAAGACTTTTACGTGATATGTGGAGCATCAGACGACACGGTCGCATCTCAGCGCAAACTATTACTCACGATGACCCACACTCCTCATCAAACTCCAGGACCCCTTCTGCATTGGCACTATGTAACCACGATGTTTTCAAATGCCTATGCCGTATGTAGCCTTATTATGCTCTCTCCCCCACAAACTTTACTCCGCTATTGCAGGCTTGACAGCGGATCCTTTGGAGGTGCACCATGTTAGCCACAGATTCAAGTCGAATTGTGCAGTTGTCGCCGGGAGGCGATCTCCCAGGATCTGCTCGGCCACTAGCACACATTACGTCCTAGGATGATGACCCAGAGGTCCGATACAGGAGGCGCGCAGGTTCAAAAGACCCAGCTTCGCCGCTTTCCGCTACCAAGCCACCTTTCATCCAGTATATTTCGAGACACCATAATACGCTGTTACGGTCAAATCTCAACCATGGGTCTGAAAGCTTTCCTCAAGAAAGAGCACAAAGCGCCTTCAAACGACGATGTTGCTTCTCACACCACCGCATCGGAGAAGGACGATATGGAGCAGGCATACGGACACAACACCGACATCACGACAGGGTGGACAGGCGATGGATTTGCTGGAGCAACTGAATACCCTAATGCGCCAGGAGAAAACTACCGTACACTGGGCCGATGGCGAGCGTGCGTTATCTTAATTACGATTGAAGTCGGAATCGGTATCCTCAGTTTGCCCTCTGCACTCAAGACGCTCGGCCTGATACCCGGAATCATCGCAATCCTTGGATTTGGTGGATTGACCACCTACTGCGGTTTCATCCTTCTCCAATTCTACCGGAGATACCCAATGGTGACAAACTTGGTCGACTGCGCATTGTACGTCGGAGGCAAGCCATTCGAATACTTTCTTGGAATCGCCTTTGTTCTCAACCTTGTTCTCATCTGCGCTTCAGCCAACATTACTCTGTCTGTCGCTCTCAACACGCTCTCGCGCCATGCCCTCTGCACGGTGGCTTTCCTGGCATTTCCCCACGTCCTCTGTTGGCTACTCTGCATCCCACGAAAGCTCTCTTTCGCCGCCGCGGCTAGCTGGGTATGCACAATTTCTATCGTGGCTGCGGTTCTGATCGTCATGATTGCACTCGGTGTTGCTGGACCAAACGCCCCACCTGGATTCGACGTCTCGATAGATTTGGTTGGAAAGCCTACTTTCGTCGAGACTGTCAACGCTCTGCTCAACGTTGCTTTTGCATTCGCAGGAAATCAGAGCTTCATCAGTGTTATGGCTGAGATGAGAGACCCATCCAAGGACTTCCCTCCTGCGCTCTTTATGCAGAAGTCTTTCGAAGTCGTCATCTATATCGTGGTTGCCTGTGTCATTTATGGCTTGGCAGGCGATGCCGTTACATCTCCCGCGCTCGGTTCGGCTCCTGAGTTGACGGCTAAGATCGCCTACGGCATTCTTATCCCCTCCGTGCTGGGAACTGGCCTGATTATCGGTATTACTGCCATCAAATTCATGGTAAGAATCCTTTTATCTTATAGAGGAAACCAGCGAACTAACGTCAATGTAGTATATTACCATCATGCGTACGGCAAAGCCTGAGCAGGTCAACGTTCACAACACATTCACCTGGACTCTCTGGATCGGCCTCGGCGCCCTTTTCTGGATCGTATCGTTCATCATCTCCAATGCGATTCCAATCTTCTCATCGATTCTCAACATCTCATCCGCCATCTTCATCTCGTGGTTCACCTTCGGACTCACGAGCATCTTTTGGCTGCATCTGAACTGGAAGACTCAATGGAGTACACCGCGAAAGAAGGCCCTGGCCGTTGTCAACTACGCCATCATGATGATGACCATATTTCTGATGGTGGGAGGGTTATACACATCCTTGAAGGCGCTCATCGACATCTACAATGATCCTGATAGCACCTTAAACGGACCGTTCACTTGCGCGGATAATAGTATATTTTAGATGATACCACCTAGTTTAATCAACAGTCTTTCACTTCACTCTCACTGCACTTTCACGTTTTGAGTTCATACAATCTGGAACGAACAGACATTCACAGGGCATTAGTAGTTGTAGTTCTGGTCCTACGCTAGAAGGAATAGACTGTCGGAATCCTTGGTATACCGACTACTGCTCTGAACGCCCTAGCTGCCGGGTTCATCGAAACCCCATCACATGTGGCTGGCGCACGGCTAGAAGAGGTCGCTGCATACCAGGCGGAGATGACGCTGCAACATAATTCTCGCACCGAGAAGTGGAGAGAGAAGACTAAGATGCAGAGGGAACTAGCTGAAAAGTGACAGAGAGCACAATTACCAATGCTACCGAGTAAGCATCTTGGCGATGGAAAAGAAAGCTGAATCGCTGTGAACCCTGGAAGAGCGTCACAGAGTGGGACTTCTGTCCGGTGGCTAAATACTGTAGTGTCTCCGATGAAATTGCCGAGCATGTTCGCAGTCTTCTTACCAGATACATGCTTTTCAGTTGTAAGCACTTTACATTCAGCTCCGGCGTCTCTGATGCTGAGCAAGTACCTAAGCGATGACATAGGCCAAAGATTGTAGCTAGGGTGATACCAAGGATATGCGAACTCACCATCGGTGGTAGATTTGAGCTCCAGACTGGGAAATGCCGTTGGATCTGCCATGTCCTGCACCCCACAGCACCATCGAGGTAACCACGCTAAAAGACACCTGGGGCCCACGGGCAAACATCGGGCTGAGCCTGTCCAATGGAAACCCTGGTCGCGCATGGTTCTCCACCTCTCGAGGAAAACAACGGGCGTCACGATGTCATGATCCCCGCAAAACTTGATCCTCGGTACGGAGAATATTTACTATTGGGTCTATACCGTCATACCCCGGATTCGAGAACGGAGCGGCAGATGTCTAGGCGTGCAGTACGACACAGACTATGCCCCCGAGACGAGGCTACTCAGCAACAGCGAGCTAAAGCTTGTCAGTATAAAGCATGGCTAGCCTCAACGATTGCTTGGGTTGATACCTTCCATCATTGCAATCGCCTGTCATGTTGCGCAACGCAACTCTAGCGACCGCGTTGTTCTTCTGTCTGGCAGCTTCCGACGCTGTTGCGCCAACCGCCCAAACGAAGAACGGAACATATGTCGGCACACACTCTGCCGAATATGATCAGGACTTCTTCTTGGGTATACCATATGCTCAACCGCCCGTTGGAAGTCTTCGCTTCAGAAATCCTGTCGGCCTCAACGCCACCTGGGACGAGACAAGGCCGGCTACGCAGTACTCTACTGAGGTACATAGCTTCATCCATTGTAAAGAGCATAGACTGACAAATATTGCAGTGCTACGGATATGGCTCTGATCAATGGAACTATCCAGTAGGGTTCAAACAAACTAAGCCTTCAACTTAAACTGACTCGTTGCCCCATTTCAGGTGTCGGAAGACTGTCTGTACCTGAACGTTATCCGTCCAGCAGGATGCAGTGAGGATGAAAAACTTCCAGTCGCATTCTGGATACATGGAGGCGGTTTCTTCCAAGGAGGAGGCATCGATCAGCGCTACAACCTCTCGTTCACCGTGGAGAATGCGCAAAAGATTGGAAAGCCCATCATTGGTGTGAGCATTAATTACCGACTATCTGCCTGGGGTTTCCTCAGTGGGAGTGAAGAGGTCAGGGATACTGGGAACCTGAACCTTGGCCTGAGAGACCAGCGTTTGGCGTTACAGTGGGTACAGGAGAACATCGAAGCTTTCGGAGGTATGTCTGCTCAAGACAAATGTCGGAGTACATGAGCTGACATAGAACAGGCGACCCCGAACAAGTGACTATCTATGGCGAGAGCGCTGGTGGAGCGTCTGTCGGATTCCACTTGACAGCCTACAGTGGACGTGACGACAAGCTCTTCCGTGGTGCTATCATGCAGAGCGGCAACCCCGTCAACTTCGGGCCTCTCCCGGACCCAGCAGTAGGCTACGCCGACATGTACAATGAGCTCACTCGCCGAACGAGTTGCGCAAACACTACCAGTCCGCTCGAATGTCTACGTCTGTTGCCTGCTGAGCAGCTTAACACTGCTCTCAACACCACGACCCCGACTTTCAACATTACGAACTTCATGCCTTGTCTGGATGGTGACTTCATCCAGAAGCGCACTTCTCTCCAGCTCGACGCGGGCGAGTTCGTACATGTTCCAATCATCTCGGGTGCCAACTCGGATGAAGGTACAGCATTCAGCCCTCAGCCTGTAAACTCCACTGAAGACCTTCGTACCTTCATCATGGCGAGCGGAGTTCCTGCCAATCTGACAGAGCAACTGCTTGCAGCGTACCCCAATGATCCTTCCGTCAACGTGATCGCAAGCTTGGGTAATCTCACCGTGGGCCCGGAATTTGGAGCGCAGTTTCGCCGCTCAGCGTCATATTTTGGCGACCAGGTCTTCATTGCCAACCGCAGATTAACTTGCCAGACATGGGCTGCCGCCAATGTGTCGGCATACTGCTACCGCTTCAATGCCATCCCGGCTGGTCTCCCTGCTGCAGTCGGTGTCACGCACTTCCAAGAAGTCGCATTCGTATTCCTCAACCTACAAGGTGTCGGCTACCTACCCGCTGCTACTCCTCCGTTTGAGAACAAAACCGAGAGCTACCGCGACCTCTCTAGGTTCATGAACAGCAACTGGGTCAGCTTTATCCACGACCTCGACCCTAACTCTTGGAGGGAGACGTACGATTTCAACGGAACAGAGCCTATGTGGCCCCGATACGATAATGCCAACCCTATGGACTTTGTTTTCGACGCCAATGTGACTAGTTACGCAGAGCCGGATACATATAGGAAAGAGGGAATGGCGCTAATCAACGCCCACAACTTTGACGTTTACCAGCGATGAACAAACAAGCACTTTAGTTCATAGCACTCATCAATCCAAACGACTATTTACACTTTGTTTTGACAGGAAGCAAACTTGACGACACTCGTGATTCCCCATTCTGCTGGCTTCCGTTTTCTTCGCGTCCTTCTTCAAATTGGAAGAAGATCGAATGTCGACGTGAAAAAGATTTTCATCGTTACATTGACAGACACGTGCTTCTTCAGGTCATTCGATGTGCAAATCACGCTTCTATCTTCTCGCTGAGTTCCCCATTGGAGTTTACATGGTGGTCAAATCTCAGCTTCCGCTACAGAGATTGGTCTAGGCAACGTAAGCTGACTCGAAACCCATGGGATTTGCTTCGCCTCCGCTCCGCTCTGCAAAGCCCCGTAGCCAAGCACTCAGCTTATTTCCACACAAAGTCCCTAATCCCAAAGTAGACAATCGCGCGAAAAGTAGGCTAGGGATCACATCAGGATACGCCCCAGATCGCGAGATGGCCCCAAAAAGGCATACGCAATACATACATGCGGATTTCGAAGTAAAGTCGTGGTAAAGGAGAGAAAGAGAGCGGCATACGAGTGCGTGTCAATATGGCAGTGCAAGCCACCCAGCCGATGACCAGTGTGCTTTAAATAGTATATATGTAGAAAGATGAAGATGTTTTACACGACATACTCATGAGCAAGTCGTCCTCATAAACCCACAACTCTCCAACTAGCAAAGCCCACATATCCATTTCATAATCAACTCTATATCTGTCAAATCTCACGATACACACGATGGGCGGCACACCTCCTCGTCCCTCATATATCCCTGAATGGTGCAGTTCTGTCACACCTGAATGTCCTGTCGAAGGCACAATCTACGGGTACACCCCAAATCTCATCGCCAATGCCTTTTTCGCTGGCTTCTTCGGTCTTGCTCTCATGATTCAACTCTACTTCGGCATCCGTTACAAGACCTGGACGTATATGATCGCGGTTGGACTAGGATGTTTGGCAGAATGTATCGGGTACATTGGCAGAGTAATGCTGAACAGCAATCCCTACAATGATGCTGGTTTCAACATCCAGATCGTGCTGCGTAAGTGCTTTTACCTGTTTCACTTGGGAAGCATAGTTTACTGATAAATGCGGGTAGTCATCTTCGCGCCGGCGTTCTTGGCTGCAGGTATATATTTGACGCTGAAACATGTGGTCATCCAGTTTGGCGCGGAGTGGAGTAGATTGCGGCCGAACTGGTACACATACATCTTTATCGCTTGCGACATCTCTTCGTTGGCTATGCAAAGTGCTGGTGGAGCGCTCGCGGCCACGGCAGATTCGGGAGAGAGCATCGGTGATGTTGGAACGAACCTCATGATTGCTGGTATCATCTGGCAGGTTGTCGGTAAGTTCGCATCCTTATCACATCTCGAACAAACCAGCTGATCTGAACAGTACTTGTTATATTCGGCCTTCTCGTTTTGGAGTACAGCATCCGCACCTACCGTCGCCGCGACCGCCTCTCTGCTTCGGCACTCACGCTCTGGTCCAATAGACGATTCAAGTTTTTCTGTGGCGCTGTTGTAGTCGCCTACACTACAATCTTGATTCGATGTGTATACCGCATACCTGAATTACTTGGAGGATGGGGCGGTGAACTCATGCGCATCGAACTTGAGTTCATCTTGCTGGAGGGCGTGATGATTGTGCTCACGGTGACGGCGCAAACGGTGTTCCATCCGGGATTATGCTTCCCTGCACTGGGCAATACCATGAGCAAAGAAAATTCCGGCTAGGATCTCGGAGTCGGAGATTGAGATGTTGAAGCGGGTCGAGACCGCATCTAGGAAGGACATATCGTACGAGGCCTCCAGGGCATAGTCAGAGGCGGAAGGAGAGGGATGATGGTCATGGTGTTGTCTGGTATAGAGGCAGAGGCAGGGTAGAAGTTAGGGCGGAGCATTGAGCTGAATGATCTGTTTCTCTAAGAATAGAAAAGTGCTTAAGATGGTGTAGAAGCAAGACGGACCAGTGATGCAATGCGGCGTCTTACTCGCTAGTGTCAAGCTTGGGCCAGAACCGCGGCTTCTCTCGAACTGATTGTCAAGCGGCAACATGCTATCTATTTGCTCAACGAGCACAATCGCATCATTCTTAGCTACGTAGTTCCAGTCGCGGAACTTGCCAGAGCAGGATGGACCCGTCAGATCCCCCAAATGGTCAACCTGGCGCTGGCAATGGCGCGCCAACTGCGATCGGCGGCGCAGCCACTATGTCCGCTCCTCCGCATCCACATCCAGAAGCGCAATCGACAACGCCTATGCCACCTGCATGGTCGTCGCAAATGTCTACCTTTCCTACAAGTAGCGGCGCTGCCGGAGCCCCAAACTTTCCCCAGTACTCGGCATCGACTGCTGCTATCCTTGAACGCCTCCAAGGAAAGAATGGCCATGCCGCTGGAAGTGCTGCCTTCGAGGCGAAGCGGGCAGAGATCTTGCAGAGTTACGTTACTAGCGACAAACTGCCGACACCCCCGCCAGCTGCGATTACTGGACGTAGAGGAAGAGGGGGAAGAGTTAGCACACCAAGTGGACTCAAGACGGAAGTTGGCGCATCACCTTCGGGCCCTTCATCTGCTCGTGGATCTGGCAGAGGGCGCGGACGAGGACGTGGAGGGCGTGGTGGACGTGGGGGTAGAGGTGGCAAGCGGAAACGTTCTGAGAGTGACGAGGAGAGCGACGTCAGTCCTTGTGGTGTGCTCGGAGACTGTATGCTAACATGGCGTAGAACGATAATGACGACTCCGACGTCTCAGACTCGTACACTCCACTACCCACACGAACCAAGTCTGGCCGAAGTGTAAACAAGCCCGTCGCATTCGTACCCACTATCCCAGAGCCAGCTCAAGGCGTCAAGCGGAGAAAGTCGACCAAGACCCTACTTGCGGCAAAGTGCAAGACCTGTCACCGAGAGACCGATCCGTCCAACAACCGAATAGTCTTCTGTGATGCGTGTAGTACCGCATACCACCAGTACTGCCACAACCCGCCCATCGACAACGAGGTGGTTACTGTGCTTGAAAAAGAGTGGCTGTGTGGACCATGTATACGGACCAAGCAGACCGTTGTGGAAGGTGCACAGGATCTAGTGGCCGCCGAGGACCTGACTATATATGAGGTGCGTCCATCCGATAGCATAGACTTTATAGTTATGCAAGACTTGGTATACTGATTCCAGCAGAAACGCGCATACTTCAACACGCTCCCCCAAAATCAGCTAGTCGGTCTCCTCCTTACCGCCACAATTCGACATCCAGAACTACCCATCTTTCCTCCAAATGTTAGGAATCTCATACCAAATCTCTCGATCATCAAGTCGGAAATGCCGCAACAACAACCTTCAGCTACCCAGCACTACGCCCACTACCAACCCCCACCAAACTTCGGTCTCGCCCAGATGACCTCGCCTCCAAATGGCCACACAACAACAAATCACACACCGCAGTTGTCGTCACATTCGCATTCGGAAATGGACCCTGCAGAAGCGCAGCTCCTCGGCGAGAGCAGCCAGCAGCCACGCACAACCATAGATCTGGCCGGCAACCAGTATGAAGAGGACGATGGTTACGATACCGATCCACCAGCACACTACCCCAAAGCTGGTAACGGGCTCGCACGAACACTACGCCCAGAAAGTGAAGATCTGAACTGGCTTGTCGACGACAACTTTGAAGTATTCAGCCACGGGTGGAAGGGAGACGGGACGGGCATGGGTGCCGATGGCACACTGGACGGTATGGGCGAGGGACAGAAAGTAGTCTAGGATGCTGCTGGAGAGGCATCTGCAGAGAGAACCAGTGATGAACTGACAGACATGGAGAGCGATGATGTGGAGCGATTAAATCGCTGATACCGAAGGACAAGGGCAAACTTGACTTGCACTCTTGAAGCGCGCTTACACTAACACGATCCAGTGATATGATCACCTTGTGATTTTGTAGTCAAAGTGAAAGAAGATTTGATTAAACAAAAGCGTGGTATCTCGAGAAATATAGCTAAGCAAGAAATGGATCCCAAAGTAATCCTATCATCACCCCATACCAAAGAAAAATGATTCCGCCAAACGCCATGCATGCATGCTCTCGGTTCGAAGCCGTTAAAACGTCGTCATTCATTCATCGCCAATGCCGAACCCGCCCATTGTGCGTTCAGGGTCTTCCCACTTCTTACTCTTAAGAATCCTCATCTTCTTCACTGGGCTCGCAGATCTTTGTTGCGTCTCACGCTCCCTAGCTTCCAATTTGGCCCGGAGCATCTCATTTTCACGTTCCAGTTCGTCGATCCTGTCCCGTAGTTCTGGATCCGGGTCTTCGTAAACCTTGATTTCTTGCTTCATCTGCGCCTTTGTTGCTCGGATGACGACGTCGACCTTGGCATCTATGTGTGCTTGCTGATTGTCTTGTTCATTGTCTAGGGCAGTCTGCCATCTCCGCCGTTCTTGGTCGACAGCAGTTTCCATCTCAAGGTAGCATTCGTCGCGGATTTCTTGCTCAAGGTCCACCATGTGATCTTCGGCTGCGGCCCAGGACGATTCAGCTGCTTTCCGGCGAGCCGTCTCTTCGGAGAGGCGGAGGGCGAAGACTTCCATTTCTGCTGTGAGGCGTGCAATTTCGGCGTTGGCATATTCGAGCTCTTCCATGGCGACTGAAGGTGTTGTGCGGCCTGACGGGGTCGCGCGTCCTGAGGAAGCCGTACCAGGTCGCTTGTGTGGTGCACCGGAGAGAATTGTATCTGAAGTGGACGGCATCCGCGGCACGGAGACCTCGCGGGCGAGGGCGGAGTAGCGGAGGATCTGTGATGTGGCGTTGTAGTCACCTTTGGGGTCAGCCGTTACGACCATGATAGACTTCTGAGGCTGACGGTGCGATTGGGCTTGACGAGCGGAGGCAGGGAATGAGTTTGAGAAGAGAAGCTCGGTAAGTTTGCATTGGCGGAACGGCACAATGTTCTGGACGCATGTTAGTCGAAGAATTATAAAGATGGATACAAGTTTGTACCTTTGAGCCTCCTTGGTTGTCCGACTGCATCTGCATACACTGACCCAGATACATGAGGGACTCATTGATCTTGCCAGCTTCCGCGAGTGTCTCGCCTGCAGTTTTGGCATTTCGGGCACGCTCTGATCCTGCCAGGTCAACGATGGTAAGGTTACTGCTTGACCAAGGACCTTTGCGTTCAGCGTCCCTCTTCTTGATCTCGATATGGAAGAAGCCATGGCTTCGCGAGCTCACGGCATTGCTCCCAGTACCAGTGACTTTGCGTTCCATGAGGCCAGTCTCCAGCACCATCATAGCCTCCTCGAAGCTTCCGCAGATGATTTTGGTGAGACCAGCGACGACTTTCCGGTCTGGACTTTTCTCGGTGTTCTTAAAGAGCAATGCCCTTCGCTTCACATTTGGCTGCTTGTTCTTTGCGGTGTTTCCGCTCAATAGGTCGAAGATGCGGTCGTTGTACACTTCGTACATGGACATGACGATGGCGTATTCTGCGTTCGGGTCTGCAGGTATCTGAATGTCGGCGACAGAAGGGGACTGTGGCAGCGTTGAAGGGCGCGGCATCTTGTTTGATTTGTACGTGCTTCCTGTGGAGAATATACTACAGTCCTGTGCTATTGGTCAGCTCATGTTCGTTCAAGACTCGTGTATAGACCATCTCGTGGCAACTTACTGCCATGGGGGTTTGCGCTCGTGAGTAGCGTCCGGACTGATCATCGCCGTACATTGACTCAATGTACGCGGTCGCCGTGAACATTTGTGCCTCTGACACATCCGCTGTTGCTAGTGAAGAGAATGCCGGGGCACCATAGAAGGATTGTACGAGCTGCTCATCGCACGCTTGGAAGATGACATCTAACGTCATTTGAACGAGGCCGCGCTGGGATTTGGTGCCAAGAATCGTGTGACTCTGTGGTTGCGTCAATATGGGCAGTTCCAGTTGCTCTATTCACTTTATATGTACCTTGCCGGATCCAGTGCAACCCAGCGTTGCAAGCAGTCCATCTCGCCCGTGGTGGCCGGGTGCGCCCATGACTCCCTCAATCATGGGAACCACACCGGTGGCCTTGAACAGATCCATTTGCCGCGCATCTTCCTCAAAGACTTGTGTAAAGGCGAATCGTTCAACAGCACGCTTGCGTTTGTCTTGGGTGGGCGGCTGTATGGTGATATGGGTGGCATGGCTGCTCTCGCTTCCTTCGACGCTCAGGAAGCGCGCACTTCCCGAGTTGGATGGGCGCAGACGCAGAAAGACATCGAATAACGAACTCGAGGGTCGTGATGGAGGCTCCATGTTGATTGCGTTTGTCCCTTGTTCGGAGATGCAGGCAGAGTATCGGTCGGCTTTGGTGTACCAAATGCCATATGGACCCGCTCGTGCGCGCGCATGTCGGTCAACATGGCCAGAACACCGTTGCCCTAGACAACCGACGCGCCGCCCACGACACGCTATGACGCAGTGACATGTGATCGAGAGTGGGGATGCGGAGTACAACCAAGTTCACTGCTATATTTCGTATGTCTTCAGCTTGTTAGGGAAATCTACCCTAAAGGTATTCAGAGGGGTTTATTCTAACTGCTTTCCTCATTCTCAACATGGAGAATCTACTTGCAGAGATCCTGGCGGCGTCGATCTTCCCGACGTGGATCCCGAGTATGAAGGGCTCAAACCTCTAACAAAGACGTACATCCGTTCATTCTTTCGTGTCTTCGTCTTTTCGGCTGTATACGGACCTCGTGTCTTTACCGAGCCTGTTTCCACCGTAGCGGTCATGCTGGGAGGTAGGTTGAAGCAGGGTGATCCTGATCAGGAACAAGTTGTATTTACGAAATTGGAGAAGTATCCTGTCTTCGAGAAGTACAGGCCGCTCACGCCGGATGGAACAAGACTTCCACTCTTCGACGGGGTTTTTGGGTGGCTGTACGCACAGGACGAGCCGGACGAGTTTCTCACTCTGCCCAGTTCGTTCCAGGATGACGAGTTGGAAGGATAGAACAAAGCAGAGGCAACCCATTTTTTAGGAGAGGAACATCATCAACTTGCTCTTATGCAGGTTTGGGAAATACACGAGACTATGGTTGATAGAGAACACGGCGTTATCCCAGAACATGACTTTCATATTCTATCACGCTTCAACCCGATACAGCATCCACTTGAGATTATGCGACAACTCCTCCACTGCGTAGACCTTCTACTTCTTCCTTACTCATACCCAGTGTCTCACCAAGTATCTCATCCGTATGCTGGCCTAGAGTGGGCGGGGGAAGTCGTATGCCTGGAGTCGACTCTGACCATTTCACAGGCGTATTGACTAGTTTGATGGGTCCGCATGCTGGGTGATCTACTTCCTTGACCATGTCTCTTGCGAGAACTGCATAAAGTTAATACAAAACAAGAACCCCACACTAAGCAAGGACTGCAGACATACCATGTTCGTGGTTTAGCGTATCCTGTACGTCGTTGATAGCAGCGTATGCTATGATCGTTAGTCAAGAACAGTTGAGCGTACAATTGATGATACTCACGCATTCCACTTCCCTCTAGCAAGTCTAGCAACTCCTGCGTACTCTTCTTTCTTGTCTCTCCCTCGATCAGTTCCTCCAATTCGTCCCTATGCTGAACCCTCAACGCATTCGTCTTGAATTTCTCATCAATAATCCATTCAGGCTTTCCCAACTTGTTACACAGCACACCGTACAGCCTGTCGTTACCTCCTCCTAGCAGAATATCTCCGTCCGACGTCTTGAAGGCCTTGTACGGTACAATCGATGGGTGCGAAGTTCCCCAGCGCCCAGTGTCGCGCTTCCCACTAATGAGGCAAGAGCTGGCAATGTTCGCTAGGGTAGCGACTTGGCAGTCTGACAAGGCAACATCGATATGCTGGCCCTTGGAGGCTGGATTTCTGAGGCGCCGGAAGAGAGCAGCAATGATGGAATTGGAGGTGTAGAGGCCGGTTGTAAGATCGGTTACTGCTACACCCACCTTTACGGGTGGCCCGTCGCGAGCTCCAGTTATATGCATCAGACCCATCTCACTGTATGATATTAGTATTGGAGTTAATGACACTAAGAAGGGTTGGGAGGGTGTACGCTTCAACCATAACATCGTAACCTGCTCTGTTTCTATACGGTCCAGTCTGCCCGTAACCCGTAATGCTAGCGTAGATGATACCCGGATTGATCTTTGAGACGGTATCATAGTCCATGGCATACTTTGCTAGAGATCCCGGAAGGTAGTTCTCAACGAGCACATCGCATTCCTTGACTAGACGATGTAGAATATCTACACCGGCTGGATGCTGAAAGGACAGACCTATCGATCGTTTGTTGCGGTTGACCTGTTCTTGGTGAGTTCAGAGAGCCAGAGAGATTTGCCGTTACACTGACACCCAGGTAGTATGCACTCTCTCCCGGTCCTTCTTGGTTGTCTGTATACTTGGCGTAGGGCGGTCCCCATGCTCGCGTGTCGTCTAGGCATACCTATTAGTTTGGACGTGGCATTTTGTTGTATGTCTCTGCGTACCTCCCCTTGTTGGGTGTTCGATCTTGATTACGTCCGCTCTAATACGTTGTCAATCTTGAAATCTTCCATACTGCCAACCTCGGTTGTTGGTCCGTACAGGGTCATCCATCGCATACCCAAGATCACCCAGTATTTGCGTGCAGTATGGCTACTGGATATTAGAGGGGTTCGTCATCATTTGGTAAGCCATGACTTACTCCAGCAAGCACTCTTGTCATATCAAGTACTTTGATGCCGGCAAGAGGTAGGTTAGATGCATCTGCACTTGATGCCTCAGTTGCTAGTCGTCGAACATGGCCAGGTCGTGTCCAATTGGGCCGTAGAACCGGCAAGCTCGACTGGAAAGCACGCCTTGAGCTTCTCGACAACATGTTTGAAATTTGGATTGAATGAAGGTAGGATCACGACATGTGCCCGGCGACGGAAATGTTTCCACGGCATACCTAGGTATTCCCGAAGATGAGCTAGCTAGTTCCGAGGCTCATCGTTAGCTGCAGAACCCCACCAACTTTCTTTCTCCAATTACCCACACCCCACCATGTTTACTGGTCTCGTCGAAACCATTGGCAGTAAGCAACGATGCATTGTCCTTTGCATTCGGCTCGGCTGACAGCGACTAGCTGTTGCCGCCCTTGAGAAGCTCGACCAAACAGCCTCGGGAGGCGGCGGCACATCGTTGACCATTTCCGGATGTGAGGAGATACTGGGTGACGCCCACTTGGGCGACAGTATCAGTGTCAACGGTAGGCTGGCACTACTTTGATGCATTTCATGGTCTGATTCGACTAGGAACCTGTCTTACCGTCACTGAGTTCACCAAGTCGTCATTCAAGATTGGATGCGCTCCCGAAACACTCCGGCGAACAAACTTGGGGTCGCTGAAGGAGGGCTCCAAGGTCAACCTGGAGCGCGCTGTCTCTGCCAACACGCGCATGGGCGGCCACTTTGTCCAAGGCCATGTCGACACCATTGCCACCATCGAGTCGGTAACCCCCGACGGCAACGCGCTTACCTTCCGCTTCAAGCCTCGCGATACTTCGGTGCTACGATACATTGTCGAGAAGGGCTACGTCACAATAGATGGAGCTAGCTTGACCGTCACCAAGGTGCAAGACGGCCCCGAGGGTTGGTGGGAGGTCATGTTGATTGCCTATACGCAGGAGAAAGTAGTCACGGCAGGCAAGAAGCCGGGCGAGGACGTTAATGTCGAGGTAGACCAGGTCGGCAAATACGTGGAGAAGAGCGTGGCTGGATACTTTGAGGGATCGTCAAACGGAGAGTTTGCGATACTAGAGAAGATGGTTTCGAAGCTGGTAGACGAGAGGCTCAAGGCTCTTGGGAAGTGATGCACACGCATGTTGGACAACCAGCGGCTGTGCGTATGCGGAAGTTGGGTCTCGTCGCCAAGTCGATAGATTGGCCGTCAATGCCGTAGAAGCCATAGTCCCACACTAGTACCCAACCAAAACAAATCATCGAGCTTCAGCTGTACCTATGGTTGCCTTGAAAGGGGCTTATGGGGGTGAGTTGCAGCCCCATTGTGGTGGCTTGGACAAAGTGAGGCGCAGCCTTACTTCTGTCCAATACGTATATATTGGGATGACCATCCCAATGTTTCGCCTGAAATACTTGAAATACTTGCTACCATTCTGCGCGCATCCAATTAGATGGCAAATATTTGAGAAATTGTGCTCCAAGTCCAGCTGTTGATACCTAGCTCGCGCGTTGTGGTCCTTTTACCTCTCCATCGATTGGCAGCTGTCAAGACTCGCATCTTCACGTAACTCATAACGACAGCTTCGACATGTTTCTTAACCGTTGAACAACTATTGCTTACACTGCAGAAGTAGCCCGTGCCATAGTGGAGAAAGTTAGGCAGAACACCGTTCCGCAGCGCCAGTAGCCGACATGCAGACGAGCGATGTCATTAGGTCGAATGCTCTGGACACTTCGATATTCTTTGTTACGCGAATCGGTATGATCTTCTACTGACAGCGCAGCGCTGCGCTGCAGCCATGTGCCGGAGTGGCGCCTCCGGTTGTCCAGGGTAGCTTCTTACCCAGCATCGCAGCGCGATTGCGTGCAGAAAGCTGGCACTAGGCGAATTCCAATTTCCAAAATTGGGGGCCAAATTGGTTGAACAGAAAAAATTGGGTGAAAGAGGAAGCGACAACTGCGGGTTGCATGCAGGCTTGGTAAGGGATTTTGTCGGCATAGGTCATTGGCTTTCTCACCGGCGTGCTGCTGCATAAACACGTCAAGAGCCGACCCTCTTCAAGCGCGCATGCCACCAGAGGTCTACCCCAGACGCTCAACTCGTAGCGCCATCGCTTGAGCGACTTCTTATCCCTTTCTCCGCTGATTCCCAGGCGTCTAAAGCATGTGTTGCTACTAAATCTTTCGTTTCGGCTATCTATCCCTGGCACGCACTCCATCATGGACTTGCGACTTCTCGACTACGCCAAGGAAGCTGAAGAGACCGCAGCAGGCCTTCTCTCGTTTGAAGGCGAGATTCCACAATACCGCAAAGACGTCAGAAGCTACATTGCTGAACTATTCGCTATATCACATGCCCTACATGAATTACACGATGCACTGGAGCTGTCCCGCTATGGCAGGTATGCAGGCCACATCCTGAAGGATCTAGAGATATGTCTCCCAAGCTTGGGGTACACGCTCGACGACGTGCAAGATATTTTCAACAGGTCCAAGAAGAGTAGACACACTGCACCGGGCGCTTTTCCTGGCACACCACCGTACGCAATCATCTGGGAAGATGCGCTTACGGATTTCACCGCACAGGGCATGTCCTTGCCCCAAAGATTTGAGACTTTCAGGACATATCTACAGGGTATGCACGACGCTTTGAAAGGGTAGGTACCTGTAGCAGCGCACTCTAGCATTATGGCTGACTGGCTCCAGGGAAGATGATGAAGTAGAACTAGCTAAATTCAAAGTCCTACTGTCAAGGTTGCTCAAGAAGCAAAAGCCAATGCCGGTCGAATCCTACTTCAGTAGGCTTTCGGTACATGGCAACGGGAAGGGTGGTGCTAGGACGCCAAAGCCGCCTTCCCCCAAGGTGCCCAGACCGAAGATACACCAACACCCTACATATCCGGCGGCTCAGTACGCATATCAAGCATCGCCGCTGCCACTACCCCATCGATCTCATATTGCACCAACTTGGGGAGGTATAGGGGATATACCGTTTGTTCCACCACCAGTTCCGGAGATTCCTCAGTCGCCGACATATTCGTCTGCGTCATCCCAGGCTTATTCAAGCCAATCGACTGACTCTGAGCCAGTCGCTCACTGGGCGATGAAGATCTTTGATGGTCGCCACGGTTCCACTCCTTTCCGAAGCCCCGCAGAGCCCACCCAGTGCTTTGGAAGGGACGAGCCCCGAGTGATAGAGATGCTAGACGGTGATGGCTTTGAGAAGGTCTTGGAACTACCGTTCGAAGCAACAAATGTCTGGGTGAGGATATACTGGCGACCAGATGACAATCGCGCACGAATACTTTTCCTTACTATGGATGCCGACGGACGTCGCCTGAGGCGCCAGATCCCAATCACCGCATTGGCACTGCGGCGCGCGGGACCATCCCTGCGGCTCTGCCGAGTCAATCGTGGCGACGGCCAACTTGACATATGGGCTAGGTTGCGCTTCCCTCTATATGAACGTAAGTACACTTGAACTGATCATGTCGAATCTTCTGACGTTCTTTCAGGCATGGTGCTGTTTTATTGTACCGCCATTGCTATGAAGCATCAGGATCAAACCGGCATTGCAGAGGGATTGGAAGACGTTTTCGTGCCCGGAGAGAAAATTGTGTTTTCCGGGTAAGTAGCCAGCCTTTGCTTCGTATTCTATGCTGACGTTGTTCAGTGAGACGACTGATAATAGGTATCTCCACGCCTTCCGCGTCTACTATGACACGGACTCGGGCTGCGTGCGGTTCGAAGTTACTGCTCGACGCGGACCGCTCAACACGATCCCCATCTGGACTGCATTTGTTACGCAATACGTTGGACGTAGCGACTGGATGAAGCGCGTCAGCCCTGATACAATTCAGTTTGAGAAGCTGCATCCGTATGTTTTCAGTGACAGCTACAGGCTGCCTAAAGGCCCTACGGGCAAATACCGATTGACTTTTACTTCATCAGAAGGTACGTCGCTTGTATGCCGCTGGTACCCGTCCGATACTGATATGTAGGCTAGATGCGAAGCATTTCCGGGACAACTTCCACAGCATCTTGCCTTGACAGACCTGTCCGACACTCACTAATATATCACGACGTCATGAACAAAACTCCTCTACGACTAACGAAATGACTCCAGACGAAAACACACACGACCTAACGACGAGGGCGGTTTCTGCTTTTTGGCACGATATACCCCTCTCAGTACCTTCTCTAATGGAATCTCACAAATTGACACCACTCTACTCCTGATTCTGTAACTTGCTGTAATCTATTGACCTGTATTTATCGCATATAGTATAGTGATTAAGAAACGTAGTTTTGTGAGGCGTAAGATCAACAGTGAAAAACCAAATCGTCTTCGTGTCATGCCTCTTTGAGCCTAGCTTCCAAAGTCTCAGATGCCCCGCTTTCCGAGATTGAGAGACCCTGGTGTCGAGTCTGTGCTTGGTACTACCAAAACCAAAATTTCCCTATCCTACCTTTTGACCGCAGCAGCGCCAGTCTCTGTTCCCTCACTCTTATTTATTCACCATCCATCTTCTCCTCACACCCTACTATCATCATGGCGAACCACCAGGAAGCCGGAAAGAAAGACCCCCTCACGGGCATGGCGCACTCTGAGGCGCATTACTTCAACAGGTAGGCACATTTCGAGGGTCCAGATACACGAAGAGGTTCGCTAACATCGTTGCGTGCAGCTACAACCACCATGGTCCGTACCGAGTCACTCTGATGATATGATATGATTGATACTAATGCGCACGTAAAGGCATCCACGAGGAAATGCTGGTATGAAGGCCCCGCTCTGCCCCCTCAGGCTGCTTGTACGGCGATTGCGATTCATGGCTAATACTGCGCGTTTAGAAAGATGAAGTCCGAACCAAGAGCTACCGCGACGCCATCTACCAGAACCCCCACCTGTTCAAGGACAAGGTCGTCCTCGACGTCGGATGCGGTACATCCATCCTCAGCATGTTTGCGCTCCCCACCTTACAACACGCGAGCATGCGCTGATACACTGGTATAGGTTCGCCGTAAAGGCCGGCGCAAAGCATGTCATTGGTGTTGACATGTCGACCATTATCGACAAGGCCAAGGAGATTGTCGAGGTCAACGGCATGTCGGACAAGATCACCCTGCTCCAGGGCAAGATGGAGGAGGTCGTACTACCCTTCGACAAGGTCGACATAATAATATCCGAGTGGATGGGCTACTTCCTGCTCTACGAATCCATGTTGGACACTGTTCTGTACGCGCGCGACAAGTACCTAGTCAAGGACGGCTTGATCTTCCCCGACAAGGCCACCATCTTCATGGCTGGTATTGAGGATGGCGATTACAAGGAGGAGAAGATTGGATGTAAGCAATGCATAGCTCCGACTCCGCTGAATTTCTTGCTAATCAAACAGTCTGGGACAACGTCTGGGGCTTCGACTACTCTCCCCTCAAGGCAACCGCCATCACCGAGCCCCTCGTTGACACCGTCGACATCAAGGCCGTCGTCACCGACCCCTCACCCGTCATTACCCTTGACCTCTACACCTGCACCGTCGCCGACCTCGCTTTCCGGTTACCGTACGAGCTCAAGGTGCGCCGCAGCGACTTTGTCCACGCCGTCATCGCCTGGTTCGACATTGAGTTCGCCGCCTGCCACAAGCCCATCCGCTTCTCCACCGGTCCCCACACAAAGTACACTCACTGGAAGCAGACAGTCTTTTACCTCAAGGACGTGCTCACAGTTGAGGAGGGTGAGACCATCAGCGGTATCCTGGAGAACAAGCCCAACGAGAAGAACCACCGCGATTTGGACATTAACATCTCGTACAAGCTCGAGTCGAGCGACATGCACAGGCAAGCTTCTGGCGAGGCCCAATACAAGATGTGCTAGTCAGTGTCTTGCGTGTATAGTGAGATTTGGGACGGCGTCACTACCGTTCGGGAAACGAGGCGCCTGTGTCTTCCATGATAGACTTAATCGGCGTTTTGGCAAGGTTTTCGCATACCAAAAATTTAGGGTAGCATGAGCATGTGTGAATGAGTTACGAAGCAGGGACCAATCTATCATTGGGAATTCCTCCCCTACAATCAACATGGCTGTCTTCGACTATGATGCGTGATGCATGCGCGAAGACTAAAGACTGTGCTCGAGCGACAAATGAGATATAGGTCCTGTTTGAACAAAGCTAAACTCCGTTATCATGATGCTATGCTACGCTTGCAAGTCGAGGGTATATATGCAAAGTCTAAAATCCCAAGATACTCCGCATCTTTCCGGCCAACGTGGTGGCTATGAAATTAAGCTCAAACACGCCGTGCATCCCGTAAACTTTTCGCCAAAAAAAAGTGCAAACCAAATCGCCACCCTTTGAATATACTTGAGATGAAATCGCCCAGTATGCATGCACTTGCCGCCTATTTCTAGTAGTCGTAGCTTTCGTTACCAAATCCTTCATCATCGTCGTCCAAGTAGTTGTGTTCCAAATCTTCCTCTTCCTCCACCTCTTGCATCTCCTCGTCCTCTTCTTCTTCTTCTTCCTCGCCTTCCGCATCAACGTCGGTAGTCTGCCGTACAACAGCTGGCGTGTTAGAAGATGGGCTGGCACCCTGACCGCTACCAGATGGGCTCGCTGAAGCATGACCACCGGGGAACAACTCCTTCAGCCGATCGTAGTTGATGTGGTTACTGAAAGCTTTGGCGCGCTTCTTGAGCATTTTGTGAGCAGCATCCGCTGCACTAGCCGCAGGCTGACCTTCAAGAACATTACCGTCACCCATTTGGTGATGTTTGCGCTTTTGCTTGGGCTTCTTGGGCTTGTCTTCCGCGGCTTCGAGCTCGGCTTCCAACATCTTCTTCTGTTGGGCGCGCAGCCACTCTTCGTTCTCCGTGATCCAAATAGCTTCCTTGCGACGGACTTCTTCGGGAGCAAGGATGCAGGTCGCAACGTCTGGGTCATCGTTGAATTCGTCTTCGCCAATTTCAGGGTCCAGATTCACAGGGACGACGTCGCGCGTGTCGGCAGCCACGCGCGCCATCTCTGCTGCTGTCCAGCCAGAGCGCCTCAGAAGCTCGTGGTCTTCACTGTTGGCGATCTCCTTGAAGATACCCTCCCAGTCCTTGATGGTGTTTGTGACTTCATCCTCCAGATCTTGCTCAATCTCGAGATCCTCTTCGGCAATGACAACGGGTACCCGCTTCTTCGGTGGTCGGCCACGCTGCTTAGGCATGATAAAGTCTGGATCGGTGGTCTCGCCAGCCTCGACTTCCTCGACTGCAGTAGCAACAGATTCAACGACCGCATCGTTGTTGCCATCAAAAACTGCTAGTTCGGCAGATTGGTCGCTGTCCCGCGTATCAGGAGTTTCAGTTTGTGTTCCGACTGGCTGAGACGACCCGTCATTTGACTTGCGTCTCTTGCTTGTGCGTTTTGGTGCCGTATCCGAGCCTGGTTCTGCTTCACTATCGCCCGATGCGCTCTCTGCAGCAGCGCCACCAGCTCCTTTGGGTAGCCGTTGCTTCTTCTTCTTCTTCTTTTCTCTCCGCTCTTCCTTCTCTGCGCGCCTCCAGATGGCGGGAGGTTGAGCCTTGACCTTGAGACGAGGTCCGAACTCCCGGAACTGGTTGACCGTCAGAGCCGCACTCTGTGTCCTCTTGTATTCGTATAGACGGGAGGTGATGGTAGAATCGGCGACCTTGACGACATAGACGACCTCTCGAATGGTCCGACGGAAATTGTTCATGCGAGCGGCTATGATGATACAAGCACCGCACAGCCCAGCCGGTTGACGACCCTGTACCATCCAATCTCGATTCATTCGCTTCAGGACCTTACAGGCATCGTCGGCAACTCTGTGAGAATCATCGCCAAATTCAAGCTTTCGACAGTACTTTAGCATCAAAGGCTCGATCTCCTGGACGGCCTTGGTGCCCACAAGTTGCGCCGGATCCTCTTCTTTTAGCATCTCGAGAAATTGTTTGTATGTGTCTCCCAAGGCCCAGACGTTGGTTTGGATCTTCTCGGCCAAGTCGATGAGCATGAGCGTATTCTCAGGCTGTCTTCGTGCGGCCATGTAGATGGAGACAGCAGCGACGTTCCTCATCCGACGACCCTGGATGAATCTGAAGTTCATGGCGAGCCTATACCAGCTGATGGCTTGCTCTATAACGGCCTCGCGCTGGTTGAGAGATGCACCGAGAGCCTGAATAGAGTTTTTGCCATTCATCGCAGCCTGCTCCCTACTCTCCATACCACCCAGGCCTCGCATAGTCCCGCCCATGGAATTCGCGTGTCGCTGGTTCGCGTGGATGAAGCCACCCTCGACAATGGCTGCTCCGCCTGAGGTTTCGCCAAAAGTAACCTCGGAGACAATGTTGCTTTCGTTGTGAACGTGACCGCAGTTATAGCACATGACTTCATTGTCTGAAGTGTCGATCTGGGGGTTTTCGCAGCAAGTGTATGTACGTTTGGCGGCTTGGGGCGCAGCGACCTGAGGCGCTTGTCTTCGTTGCGTTGCTTTGGACTGATATTGGTAGGAATCATTTAAGCCCCGAAGTCGCTGGACCGGCGCCCTTGCGACCTGGGGTGCCGACATGGTGGGCGTGTTTGAATATGTGGTGTGGGCGCAAACGGGTGTTGAGTCGACTCGGTCAAGAAACGATTGAGAGTAAGAAAGACTGTCGAGGCAGCACGAATAAGACGCGGTACCGCGGGAGGGGCAGCACTAGCCATGACTGGCGCCAAGTGGGGTGCGCTTTCCCTTTTAGGCCTATGAGCTCTGCACCTTGAGCTGCGAACACCCAGCCAACACCGCGACTGTGACTACAGTTCAAACCAGACTCTCAGTCGTAGAGACGGTTTCATATGCATCGCAATGTGTCTGGATGATGAAAATGAACTGATCATGACATGTTTCTGCATCTGCATACGATATGTCTGATTGCACTGCATGGCCAACGTGTCCACGGACTCGGGCTGTTTAGGTTTACAGCTCCCAGATAAAGGCCCCTCTAGTAGAATACCATCGAGATATAACCTATAAGCACTCCAGACAAATCTTCCAAGTCAACAGACATCTCCTTGCGTGGTACCTGCAGCAAAGCAATAGAAGCGCAACGCTTGCGTGCCCCCATCCCGGTGCTCCTATGCGGGTGATGACCACATGGCCAATGATTGGCTAACCACAACACACCCGAACAGCCCGAACTAAGCCATTGAGCAAAAGCCCGCAAGAGCCCTGGTTTCCCAGCCTCCTTGGTAGGCTTGCGTAGGTTGTGTCTATTTCATCCGGGCCCCCGTCTCGGGGCCCCCGCTCGCAAGCTTCTCCATAGCTCCCAGCTCTCGCCCTACCCCAAAACACTACTTTGACCTACCAACTTTTGCCAATTTTCTCCAGAACGATAACATGTCTACAAGAAAGAGGAAGAACGAGGAGGAGGAGCTTGTTGCCCTCCCGAGTGACGAGAGTGAAGAGGAAGAAGAGTAAGTGAGAACTTCTTTGACGTCATGGCTTTGTACTTGCCATCGCATGCACCCTTTCTTGATGGCATCGAAAGTCCTTTTGTCGTGGAATTGAATTGAGGATTTTGGGACCGCTTCCAAGCTCTACGGAAGCTTTGCATGCGTCGGAGCGATGTTGCGGGCCTATTGAGTGGCAGAAACAGTTGACGCGATCGCGCTTCCCAGCAACCCTCGCAAGAACCTCAATTTGGCGTTTCTCCTTGAACGCCCACGTTGGCCGTGACGTGCACGCTTGCAGCCTACCGGCATATGGTCCGCTTCAATTACGAAAAAAAAAAACTAACACCCTACCTCATAGATACGCCGAATCCGAAGGCTCAAACTTCAACTCTGACGACTCTGACGCCGAAGAGCCTCGTAAGTCATTTCCGTCACCCAACATGTTCGTATCTCGTTTCATTTAACACGGCCGCAGCACCCAAGAAGAAGACCAAGCGCACTAAGCCCAAAGACGATGAGGACGACGAAGACGAGGAGGAAGAAGACGACGTAAGCGACGACGAGGACGACGACGCTGCGGTGCCTGAGGAAGAAGATGATGATGACGATGAGGACGCCAATCCTAAAGGCAAGAAGCCAGCCGGCGCGGAGAAAGATCGGAAAGTCAAGACTACAGGCAAAGCTGATCCCGTACCTGTGGTCGACGATGATGACGATGACGAGTAGAGATGTAATGTCGAGATGCGTAGCAACGTTATAGCAATGTTAATTAGTGAGAAAGGCTGTAATGGGCTTCTACTGATAACTTCATCCATTTCATATCTAAAGTCATACTACGTAACCATTTCCTGGTGAAAGTGCCAACATCTACACCCACCTTTGATACCTCTTTGTCTGGCGGAACTCCTGCTTCCACTGCGTGTACCTTTCCGACCTCTTTTGCGCAGCCGTTGCGTTCCTAGGGGGAATACTATCCCACGAAATAGCGTACGTAGCTGTCATATGCGCAATAGCCTTGGTGAACTCAATCCAAGCATCCAAGTTCAGGTTGTTGACTGTATCACCGTCCTCGTGGTAGTTCACATCATAGGGTACGCCAGCACCGCCACCGAACATTTCGGCTTCTTCTTCCGTCTTGATGCCTTCAGCTCCACCTGCGATACCGCCAGCTGCGATGCCAGCTTCCAAGAAGGGGCCATAGTCTGAACGACCATCGAATTCAATCTCAGTGTGGTTGAGACCGATGCTGTCGAAGTATGCGGCGAACTCGTGCTCAGCCTCGGCAGAACCAGCAGGACCGCTGAGGTTGTAAGCCGAACCATCGCCATCGTAGATTTGATAGGCAAAGTTTGGAGATGCCATCATGTCAAAATCAAGCATGAGACGGATCTTGTCTCTCTCGTCTTGAGGCAATTCGTGGACGTAGTACTCTGCGCCTAGCAGACCGGCCTCTTCTGCCGTCCACCAACTGAAGCGTACAGCGTTGTTAACGGTGAAGTTGGTGAGCTGGATAGCGATCTCGAGGATAGACATGGAACCTGAACCGTTGTCGTTGATACCCGGGCCGGCTGTGACTGAGTCGGAGTGACCGCTGACATGGATGACATTGTCGTGATCACCAGCCTTAGTCTCAGCAATAAGGTTGCGAGTGTTGTAGACGGTAGCGTTTGTCCACATATCCACGGTGATGTCCACACCGGCATCGAGTTGAGCGAGAAGAGACTCTCCTTGGCCAAGGGTGATGCCAGCAACAGGAACGAAGTCGCCCTCTGGGTACAGGACTTGTAGCGAATAACCTTCAAGGGTGCCTTCGGCATTGTTCCATGCCACCACGCCGAGAGCACCTTTAGCAGCTGCAAGTTGCACCTTCTCGCCGTATGAGCAGTTACCACGCTGGATCAAAGCGAGGGAGCCCTCGAGAGTTTCAGGAAAGTCCTCCTAGGCGGTGTTAATGTTGCTTCCGGAGATGCAGTAATTGATCTTACCTCATTACACCCTAGACTAGGGATAGCAACAAGCGGGCCGGTCACGTTGCCGCCTGGGGCAAGCGTCACAGCGAAAGCCTCGATAGTCTTGTTGTTGGCGGTGAGCGTGGCATTGTAGCCAATGGAAAGCGGCACATCCTGGGTATATACATCGTAATAGTCAGGGAACGCTTCAAGTTGCCCTTTGATGTATTCGACCGTGTCTTCGTGGCCCTGGCTGCCAATAACGCGGTTCTTGCCGGGGGTACTGTATGCGATTTCCTGGAGCTTCTCCGCCTTTGCGTACAAGTTCTCGATGTGCAGAGCGTCACGCAGAGATTGCTGTTGTGCGTATTAGTGAGGAGAAGAACACGGTACTGTCGATCACGTACCGAATCAACAAGCGTCTTGTACTGACGAGGCTGGATAGCTGCTGCAGTAGATGCTGCAGCGCACGCAGCAACTGCGGCAATTGACTTCAAAATAGCCATTGTAATTGGTCAATGATCGATGAAAGGCAATGGCTCTTCGAAATTTGCCGGGCATGTCGCGCAATTTATGGTTGTCACCATCTCTCCAACGCTGTGTCCGGCCCAGCGACCAGGAACATAGCTCCTACTGACGTATTTGCATGCGGAGCTCTTTGGACCTGCTACATACGGACAAGTTGAGCCGGTAATATACGAAGCTTACGCTGTGCCCGCCAATAACGGGGTGGAGCCGAGCGAAGAAGCACACGAGCCATGTCAAGACGTGATAAGAGGCCTTGGTAGGCTTGAAAATGGTGTCGTGCCAAGGATGCCAAGAGTCACTTTACTTCTGTTGCGGTCCTAGAGGAGGAGAATGCTTACTGAAGACGGCTGGCGGTAGCGTACCAGAACGCTAGTGGAGTTGGAAGTCGGTTCAGACCGAGAGAGGCCGAGTAGGAGAAGCCGAGCTTGATGACAACGCAGCTGTATGATACACAGCTCGAAGACTGTCTTGTAGTTGGAAGATGCGGCGGCCGTCGAGTTCGGGGCCAGAAGGCATGACGGGATGGGCGGGGATTCGAGCGTTGTCATTAGCGCATCGCCTCGGAACCCTGCCTCAGTGCCGACCGCTCTGTTGGCTCGGTATCCTCTTCTGCGCGTCGCGCTCACTCAACTACTGCGACTTGCGAGATAGACACGCGATTTCAGTAGGTATCACCTGTTGCCAGCCGCTCCTTCTACCGACTCCGCGTGGTGTATCCACTTGATGGCACCCGCCTCCGACTACACCATGGCCCCAGCCACAAATACTGGTGGTCATAGCACGAAGCCTGGCCATGTAGACGGTTTCGAAGAACTCCTCGTGGCGCTAAACCCATACATGGACGACATACTTCATCCACCAATGTTCCACCTCTTCATGGACTTGCCTGTCGTACGAATATCACCCCGCGCATTATCTGATGTTCATACACTAACCCTCGTGTATCGCTAGGAACTCCGTTGCTTGATATACGATCAGTACTTCTTAGAAGAAAAGAGTTCAATAGCCTGTCGAAACTGGCCTCACTTGCGATTCTCTCAGGAGTACGAGCTGTCGATCCGGCTTAAAAGGAAAGCCGCTCCGTTCCTCCCACCTCTTTGCCTTGCCAACAAGAAGCTGCAAAGCGAACTTCTACCTTGTTTGTTGGAAGCAGCTCATTTTGAATTCGACGATAATGTAGCTCTTGGTCGTATCCTGGTCTCATTGCACGACTGTTCCTTGCAACTCCGTCGTATGGTTCGAAAGGCTACAATAGGCAACATCAATGGGCAGCGGAAGCGTCTTCTGTTTGGAGCTAAGAACAGCGAAAGCCAGATTGATGCTCGCAAGCTTGCGCGAGAGTGCAACGGCCTCTTGTGTTCTATGATGCCATACTTGCCACAACTTCGCGAGCTCAATCTTACATTATATGCGCCATTGCTATGTACGAGTACGTTGTGGAATAGTCTCGGAAACGAACCCATACAGACACTTGCAATGAACGACTACCTATGCGGTTTCGAACTTGATGCAATTCTCGGCTTGGGCAGACTGGAAAGGCTCAGCATCATAGGCATCAGTGACGATTGCAATAAGACTGACCAGATCACTCGTAACGGCAACAAGATCATCAACGATAGTAAGTCGAGTAACTTTACCGCCATGCTGGACCTCTGTCGACAGATCAAGCATGGGTTCGTTGTGCAAAAACGCAATGTCGCAGTCAGAGCCTGTCTTCGATATAGTGCCAACGAATGTACAGAAAAAATATTCGATTGACACAAGGAAATCACACCGGGCAAATTGACATGGGATGACAAGACAGTCCGAAAAGGGAACAGACGACGTTGATGGGCTGGGTTACCAAGGTACTTGCACTAACCGCTTTTGTGTGCAACTCAACTAGTCCGGAGATGGGAGAAGTGTCTACCTAGGTACGAAACCCTCAAGTTATTGGACAAGTTGGATGTGTATTCTTTTCATCGAAACATCATAATACTGGCGACATTGTCGATGTTTATTCTCAACCTCTTGCTATTACAGGACCAGTCCTCGGACATTTTCACCAACCGAGTTAGAGGATGTTAGAGTCCCCTCCAAACACACTAGTGCGTTTGCTGGGAGCAAGATGCCCGGTGTTCCTATTGTCAACACAGAAACGAAGTTTAACAGTCTCAATGAAAGCTATGGCGCACTCACACTTTGTTTGAGAGCATGGTCCAAAGACTCTTTCACATCGTGCCCAGACATACTTGGTTTCTCCTCAGTGCAAGCAGCCAAAATATCCTATATGAATTGCCCAGGGAGCTGCCTATTGCTCATTAGGTATATCCGCGCAATACGTCGTTTCCTTTCCGAGATCGTTCTCTTTCACTGCGCCTGCGCTGATTCTACGTCACTTCCAATTGACTATTCGACAATCTGCGACAAACGGCCTCCAGGTTCATATTTCTCTTCCCCGCACTTCAACACCGAAAACGAACAATTGATGTATCGGTAGATTCACCTCCCAGTTCTATCGCCATACTCTAACGACACTACCATGCCCTCCACTACCAGGGCGCAGTACAACGCTAATCGCCTCGGATGTGACCTGATCATACCACGAACATTCCATCACTTTTCCGACTTACCTGCTGAGCTTCGACACAAGGTATACGAGCAATACTTTCTTGGAGATGATAGCGCAATCGCATGTCATATATGGCCTGAAATCGACTATCCGCCCTACCTAAAATACTTCCGAGTTGGAAGGCCGGTATGTCTGTGAAATGGTGCGTAGGAACATCAACCAGTATTTCTTCTCTTCGACGAGAAAACTCGCCTTTACTCGGATCAATATGCCGGCCGATCAAGAGTGGACGTGTCTCTCACCCTTGTACGATGCTTTAAAAAACGGTCCAATGTATAGAGGGATCCTATCAGCTCGAGTATCTAACATAATCCACAACCAATTGATACTGGAGCTGATACCACGCTTTCGGGATCTTGAAGAACTGCATCTCGGTTTTCACGCACCAACAGTAAGCTACGGTTCCTCTCAAAAGAGTTACGCCTATCCTATCAGCGGACTTCTCAAGAGCTTCAAGCCTACGTCATTGGGTATGCCAAAGCTGCGCAAGGTAACAGTATCGGCGCACGCAAGTTCTCAGTCTGTCTGTGGACAAAAGAGGATCATAAGACAAGGTACTGCATGTCTTGAGGCACTCATGGTGCCAGCGCAGAAGATCAAAGGTAAGTTGTAACTTTATGCGATGCATGTGAGATATACGCTGACTTTGTACCTCCACACCTGCAGACGATTTCGCGGGATGGGGTCGGGATGTAACTGTCAAAGTCCAGTTGTTTTATGCAGGCAAGTGCAAAGAGAAGGTCTTGGAAGCTTCAAATCCGAATAGGCTGCTCGTATTGACATCTTCCATGGGTGATATGACGATCTGGCATCGACTGGCGGCAAACGCGAAGCCTGTGGAGGCTTGAAGGATGCAGCAGACGGAGGTTGTGTATGTGGGGGCTAATAAAGAGATATTATTTGGAGGTGAGGTTGATGGTACGGCGGTGATCAGGAGATTGGGAGGACTTACTGTGGTTGGGGGTTGTTGGACATATTTTGCTTGGAGGGTTTGGGGGGTGGTCATACGACTCATAGAAAACGCTTTGACATCTGCACAACTCACCCGTACGGCACCGTAGCTAGAAGCATGTCACAAACGAAGTAATTTTGCAAACCTAGGAGGCTCCGAGATAATAGATCTGAAGCCAGATGGCTAAGGGGAATGAGGTATTTACATGTCGTGACGTGAAGACATCTGTCCCCTATCCCACTCTTAAAACCACAAGGAAACTTGTCGACGAGTGTCTTCATGTCATCTTTCGCCCTGTAGCTGGCTGCTCGGAGACTCATATATAGAAAACTTAGTATACATACCTCTTATGTAACTCGGGCTTTTCAGGATATAGAGCGGGAACCAAGAGATCATAGCGACTGTTACCAATAAGCAAAAGGCCCAAACTTTCTGAGTGAAGGTATACTGACATGGCGTAAAGTCTGTTACTATCATCACACCTCTTGCCCATAGCAAACTCCTCGGCAGGGTTCGTGGATATTGTAGTAACTTTGAATTGCTAAAAGTAACATCTGGTCACTTTTCCAGAAGACCAACTACGGAGTCACCGTACAAAGATGCGGCGCAGTGCTGTACTAACTTGAAAGACTCTGAGCACGGAATGATGTCAGTGTCAAAGCACGTTCACTTCCATACATTGCCAAATGGGCAGATATCAGACACTTGAGAGGCGCAATACTCAATTCGATCTTTCATTGAGTATTAAGAGCTCACGATGGTAACTGCAGTGCCTCAATCTTTGCGCTCGTTTCCCGTCCTTGTATCATCTCAGACAACACAAGCCCGGTGCCAGGCGCATGTGATATACCCCAAGCACCGTGGCCGGCCGCTATGTAGACACCTCCGTTCTCTCGGTAATTCGTCTTGATGCCTCCAAGCTTACCGTCTGGTATTCGCGATACGATGGGTCGGCCGCTAGATGTGACTGGACGGAAGCACTGCCCCAGGATTAGCAAATGTCCATAGAATTTGCTCTCAGAATAATAACATACCAAGCCTTCCCTTAACACCTCCATGCCCTTTCCAGGAACATTCATCATCATAGCTTTCGCGCATTTTCTCAACTGCGCAACGGCCTTCTCACTAGCTTTGACATCCGTCGCAAAATCTGGCAGTGGTATGCTTGTGCTATTGAGCCCTGCCAAGTACAGTTCTCCACCCAGTCTCGCAAACCATTCTGGCGAGAAGCCGAGCGTATCTGTTGCGAAGACTGCATGGCAGACTTCCTTGTCGAGCTCTTCGGGTCTGTGGTGTGGGTTTCGGACGAGCAGCGAGTGGCCAGCTAAGGAGGAGACGGGGATGCGTGTTTTCGATGAAGGGAAGAGGGTGCTAAATACACGAGGAGACCAGGCGCCAGATGTTATGACGAGACGCGTACAAGGTACTATTGTAGATAGTCAGCAGCCATAGAAAAGTCGAGGTCGTCGATTGAGGCCCTACACTCTGTTTCCGACTCAGCGTCGTCGCTCGTGGAAATCTTCAAGCCACACAGCACGTCCTCTGCGTCTTTGATGATCGCTGTCGCCTTCGCAGGCTGATGTATCTGCACTCCCCTTTCTTTAACCTCTTCCAGCAACCATTGGCAGAACCTTAGGGGATCGATCTGTGCTGTGGTACCATCCCGACTTATAACCTCCATGATGCCTTCTTGTGTACGCCGAAGCCATTCCGGACCGGCAGCCTGCTCTTCCCAAGGCTTGTTGTGGTTCGCTAATTGTGCTCTACTCGTCCCATTTTCAAGCCAGTCTTCGCCGCTACCGCCAATGGCTGATTCGCTGTCTTGCGAAAGAGAGATACCGGTTGACTGCGAGTAACCCCATGTTGTGCGTCCAGAGTGTGCGTTGGCAAGGTCGGCGTGAAGCTTGAAGGATAACGCGCCGAGGGAAGATACTGATGGGGCGAACCCTATTCCCTAGTCAGATAATGCGCCTGGGTTGTAGATGACGATGACGCGACGCGCCGAGCTCAGACGCGACGGAAGCTTGTATACATACAGTCGGCACTGAGGAACCCCGCAGCAAGGCCAGACGCGCACTGGAACAGCTCCGGACTCGAATCAACCAAGTGAATGCTCTTTGGATCCGTGTTTCCACTTTCTGTGAGGTAGTACGCGGTGCACAAGCCGATGATACCGCAGCCAAGGATAACAACGTCGTTGGCGTTCTCCCCGCTGCATCTGTGGTCTACGCCTGGCATATTGAACTCCACGCGGGGCAAATCGAGGGACAAAGCAACAGCAAAACGGACAAGTCCACGCCTCCATCCACAAACCCGCCAACCATCAGACCTTTAAACGTGTCAACCACTCCTTCGTCTAGGCCGGCGCACAAACGGCGTCTCACATCACAGCATAAATCATCATGTGTTGGATCATGTCCCTATCCACCGCCGACGCAAAACATCGTACGAGCTGTTCCGCATGCCTTCGCTGATCCACTCCACACCCTAGTCAACGTCCCAAACTCGGACAAGTAGCATGAGCCGACATGGCCTGATTTCTCTCCGCAACACCTTCTGGAGCCCGGCCTTCCGCTGCTTTAGATTATCCTTGGTCCGACTAATGGATGCAGGACTCGGATCATCTGCGCACTTTGATGTCTATCATATGTCCGACTATTGGATGCAGTGGTGTCATCACGAGAGTTGGGAGACGCGAACACCCCGCAGTGCATATATGGGAAAATCAGGAAGACGCGTACACGGAAGAACTAGTGGGCTGCATTGGTAGCTATGGAGACTATCGATGGAATGGTGTGGTTTGCTATGAATGATGCCGGATGTACCCTTCCTGTTCTGCCATCATCACACTTTTTACGGCCCAACCCAGCGATTCTAAACGACCCTGCATACTGGCCTGCGTAGTCGATGATCTATGCGTTGCCACGAGGATCCAGCATACCCTGGACCGCTTCGTAGTTCTCGAAATGGCTTTCCGGTTGTTCCTGCGCCTCGGAGATTGCTGGATCACTCACAGTAGCCTGTCCAGGAAAGTCCGCATCAAGGCCGTGAGGATAGGTGTTGTCCCACAGCCTGCGAATGATCGTGGGGACTTCACTCTCGTGATCTGTGAATGCTCCAGCAATGCGTGCGCAGGGAACGTCGGTCGTCTCAGTCACACCCGTCACAGGTCGCGAGCTGGATCCCGCCCCGTAGCCGGAGCCATCGTAGAGTCCTATGTGTTGGCCCCAAGTGCTATCGCGCTCCCGTATCTTCGTCAGACTGTGGAGGAGGCTCTGTGCATTCTTATCGTTGTCCTCGTCCAGAGTGATATCCAGATATGCTGGAAGTTTGCCCGCTGCAAACGCCTCGTCAATCTTGTCATCACATGTGGAGACAATTCCGTTTTCTCGAATGATGGCGCCAAGTTCTGACACTAGTTTATCTTCTTGAGCCCCAGCAAACCTGAATGGCATCTCGTCATCCCATTCGGGGCCATCGTCGCCATCTTCGGGGTCGGAAGCGAGCAGCTTGATCTTGAGTCGACACTTTCCATCTACTCGACGGTATGCCCTCGCACAATACCCTTTGCCTAGTATAAGTTTTGCAGGTTCCTCTACCGTATCGTTCACGTCCGCTGCGCTCAGTGCTTCGTTGGTGGCACCGCCTTGTGCGCCGTCCTCCTCGTCGTCTACCTTGTAATCTGACAAGTTCTTCGTACGATGTGCCCAAGACAGCTCCTCACAGGCTAATCTCTGTCGTACCTCTTCGCTGTTGCCAGAGTGCGTGGTGCACTCGTCGGGAAGCAAATCATTCAGCTCAAAGTCTTCGTAGCTGAGAACAGGTTCATCGAAGTATACTGCAGCACGCTGAAGACTATCAGAGAGAGTCTCAGTCTGGTCCAACTCTAGGATTCTCTGGATGGGAGCTGGTGAAAGCGGCACGGTTCCAAAAGGAATGATCGAAGAATCGACGAGTGATCGCAAGTTCTGATTTTCAGATGTGGGAACAGGCACGGGCGAGGAGTGATGGACCTTCAAGCTTGAGGTAATGGAGTCTTTGCGTTCGAGATCGAATATCGGTTTATCAGGGGGTGATTGCTCGAAGTTAAGAACGAGCGATGAGTTGAGTCGATGTTTTGGGGTACAAGGACTCTATGGAACACGGGTTCAGTATATACTTTGCCATAATTTGTAGGGACGCCTACTTCAGCCAGTGGTGATGCAGATACATCGGACTGCTTGGTCTTGGTAGGCGACCGCAAACTTCGTAACGAGCTAATGCTCCGCAGCTTTTGCTTTCGCAACGACCCTATCAGACCTTTGCGTACAGACGAAGTATCTTTGGTAGGTGATTCGTCATTTGCATCTGGTACGGCGGAACTTGCTCCTGGCGAATATGGACTCGGAGCCTCACAACTTGGTGCATCGTTTTCATTTCGCTCGGGGTGACATGGCTGAATACTTGAAATAGTCAGCATGGTAGAGACATGACATGAACAATTGCCACTCACGGAGCACTGCTCATCCGAGAGACGATACCCGAAACGCTCTTCTTAGCCTTGATGAGGCGGTCGAGAGGCATGGTGGCTGTTCGTTACTATTCTGATCATACACTGTAAGCTCGGGAGGGTGCTAGAGGCCACAAATTCGATCGAACGGGTGAAGCTACTAGGAAGTGCGAGCTTATGGGACCTGCGTCCGCGGCTCCTGACCCCCAAGCATGTTTGTTGATATACACGTCTGGTCCTGCCAAGCTGGCTTTGCGTATTCCTGGGCGGTTAGTTCCAAGAACATCGTGATATTTTTGGCAAGAGCAACTCCTCGGCAGAGCAAGCAAGAATCAATTCTCAGGACACAGAAGACAGCGATGCAAGATGCTGAGTTTCATGGCATAGTGAGGAGATAAGCATCGTGCGTACACATGTTGCGCGTCGATGGACTGGAGTGATCATCCAGTCTCACTAATGATGGTCGCGTACTCTCGTGAGGTGTTCAAGAATATATGCCTCAGGGTCTGAGAAGTGCCTAGGGGTGAATGATGAAAACGCCTGGCTCAAGCGTTGCACGTGATGGACGCAGTCCGTGCATTGGACCCTTGCTTAGCTCCTTCACGTCGCGGTCCTTAGCAGTCCTGGAGTGCAAGCGCATCATCAACCAACGACGCCGCCCTTCACCCATTCGCATTCGAATATTGAAGTTGGAGTCGCCCATACATACGCCACACTCACCGTCTCTAGCCCCGAACGCGCCACACAAGTATCGTTTTCGACCAGCCACAATGGCGCGTGGTCGCCCTTCTCGAGCTGCAGCGCGTCGCAGTACGCCTGTTCGCAGCGCAACACCACAGCAGGACAGTGACGAAGAAATGGTAGATGTCCCGGAATCGCGCGCCGACACACCCAAGGAAGACGAAGAAGATGCCGAATCAGCAGCTCAAGGAAGCGACGAGGAGGCTGCGCCCTCCGAGCGTTCGCCATCTCCAGCAGTCATCCAGCCATTTCCCCGCAAGAAGCGTCTTGGTCGCCCTCCCAAGAACAGGCCACCAGACTGGAATGTCGTCGAACCCGACAACTCCGAAGGCGGCACACCCGTTAAGCGCAAGCGGGGACGGCCATCAGGCGGAGGTCGAGGACGGCCGCCAAAAGGAGGGCCATCACACACCACGCGCGTCCCCATCGATAAAGAGGGCAACATGATGGATGTAGTCAACGATGAGGTTGACTTGCCGGAAGACGAGGAGGGCGAACAGAAGGTCGATAAACTTGGCAACCTCATGGGTGGACGAGACTATCGTGTGCGTATATTCACCATCAAGGGCAGGGGCGACAGACAGTACATGTTGTCGACAGAACCAGCTCGTTGCTGTGGCTTTAGGGATAGTTATCTGTTCTTCACAAAACACATGAAGCTCTACAAGATCATTATCGACGACGCCGAGAAAAGGGACTTGATCGACCGCGAAATCATCCCACACTCCTACAAGGGTCGTGCCATTGGTGTCGTCACAGCAAGATCAGTCTTCCGTGAGTTTGGCGCGCGCATCATCATTGGCGGTAAAAGGATCATCGACGATTACTACGTCACCGCAGCAAAGGAAAGCGGCGCGGTCGAGGGCGAGCTTGCAGACCCCAACGATAGATTGCCGCCACCTGGGGAGCCATATAACAAGAACCAATATGTCGCTTGGCATGGAGCCAGTAGTGTGTACCATACCGGTGTGCCTAGTGTGCCAACCGCAAATGGCAAGCCTGTGCCTGGGAAGCGAAAGGTTAACATAACCTCCGCTAACTGGCAATTTGAGCATGGACGAGCTGCGAGGTACGCAAAACTTATCCCCAACCCACTTGTAGTCAACAGAGCTAACATATCGTAGCCGATTCAACTCGAATCTCTCCAAGCTACGGAAAGCAAACCTCACTGGTGTCTACGATCCACACACCAATTTGATGTGCTACCCAAAGGTTACACAGCCAACACACGCCCGATGGGAAGAGGTTCCAGCCGAAGAGACCGACGTACCTCCGCTGGTCCGTCGCAAATACCTCGTAGTCGACTCTGTCTTCCAACAACCTCCTTTCGCCGGCTTAGGTATACCTGGACCCGACGGTGACTTTGTTGATGTTGGCACCAATGGCATACCAGTCCTGGATGATGAGGATAAGCTGAAAATGAAGCCTGAAGAACTTCAAAATTTTGAGCAGATTAAGGCTGAGGAACAAGAGTGGCGTAGTCAATGGGGCGGAGAGAGCACTGATGGTGCAAGAGTGAAACCGAAGATAGGTTTCGTGGGCGTTCCGGTTTGAGACATTCAAACCAATCGGAAGTCCGGAAATCTTTGTACTCACATGTTGTCTTAGATACCAGCACTGATTCCAGCACGGCGTGATTTGGCGTACGATATACCAACAGGCCCCATATCTAAGAAAGGGGCTTCAACTCGTTACCACTCGCCATATACCACCCCTGAATGAGGCGCCTCACGAACGTGGCTCTAAATCATTCATAATATACAATGGACTGCCTTTTGACACGAGTAACTTCACCGGTCATGATTATAGATCTATTCACCTCTAACGCCTTTTCCTTTTCCAATCCATTTTCTACTATGTCGCTGTTGGACCGCGCACTGTGTACATGTGGTTGGTGAATGGTGACGACAAGGTCGAGCGCCAAATGCCCCTTGATGATGGAGTGACACCGACATTTTGTTGGTTTCTAGCCTCTATCCCATGCACATTCAGATTGTTACCTTTACTCCTTTGTATGTAACAAGCATTCTGCTTCTTATAAGCAACATCTATCTTGTCTTAGGGCAGATCATTTAATTCATCTTATTTCTGCTTTCATCTATTACATTTGTTACTTACTCTACTTTTTCACACTCCAAGCTTGTATGTCTTCGTTTTGGTATCATGGAACAGGCAATGAGTAAGTCTCGTTTCCCCAGCGTCTGCGCTTGACTTGCTTTATGTGTGTACTTTCCAGTATATAGTGGCACGATTGCTTTACAATACAGTGACGATGGATACTTTAACTACATCATCTCTTTTGGATACATCGTTTCTGCAGAGAGAGGGAATTTCCGACTGCAAATCGTTAGACTAAGTGACCAGTATAGTCATAAGTATGAGCTCCTATACTGCTTGTTCTATCTGGCACTCTCCTAGGTGATGAATCCCTGCAACATGACATTGGAAGATGGATAATCTGTGACCACGCTGCGAAATTCAAGCAGAGTTCGTCGTCGTGGTAGGCCTCGAAGGGAGTCAGCTCACCCCCCTAGAATTCTTTCATGACGATATGATGTAGCAAGTGATGTCTTCACTCTGGCTTTACGACTGCTACAAAAACGGACGGCTGAAAGCAGTGCTTGTTGAACTAGACATTAAGGTCTTGATTATTGGTCTCAGAGGCATGACTTGCGAACGACGTCGCGGCATACAACGAAGCTCTGATGGTAACGCTTACTGTGAGCGTATTTTGGGTTGTGTTGACAATTCGTGATATTACTGGTCTGGGATATGCTTGTGACAGCCAACGTCCTACGGGAATGCCTTGAATAGTTAGTGACACTGGACATGCAGCAGCGATTTTATTGTTATGAATCTGATGCCTAATGTGGCTTTGCTTTAGCTTACTACATCATCTCTACAAAGACGCAGGTTTTCCCGCAGAGCTATTCGAGTATTACTATTGCATGACGTTGAGTAGGCGGCAGCATTCTCGTCAGCATGGTGATGTGGTCTTGAGACCGCTGGGTAGGCGGCAACAAATGCTTCGTAGGTGTTGTCATAGCGTTTTCATATCCTTTCTTGGATCGCCATACATCGGCTCTACGAGCATCAGCCTGCACTGATGTGTTGTCCTGCGATAAGAAGACCACATCTGGTCCGCTGGAGTACTGGTGAGGGTCACACGCTCTCCTGAGCAGCCCGTTAGAGCGTACCCGGTAGGCGGCAGTATTATCGATGCAGACCTTGCGCACCGAGTCAAGAAACTCGGTGGTAAGATCTAGATCGCTGTATTGCAGGCGGCTCCGATGCGATAGGTCCGAATTCTGGTGCCTGAAACGGTGACGAGTCGGTTGGTGGAGCAGAACGCGATGCCCACGACAAAGAACGCACGAGACGCTAGCCCAGTGTTACGCACGCCATTTTTGTTCAAGACCAAATTCTTGCGCAATCTAGTCCAGTGCGTGGCGGCGGCGGAAGATAGTATGACAAGATGACGATAAGGCAAAAGTAATTTCGGTGCCGCAGGATTATGAGAGCAGATCAATGAACCACCGGCTTGTTATTTTCTTACTACCGGAGAGCCTCCGTCTCACATGCTCGTAAAGTTTCAACGGAAACCTCCAGAAGCTCACCAGGGACCTTTTGCTCCAGAAGAGCCGGCGACAAAAGGTCTCGTGTGACGCTTCGGTTTTGAGCAGTAATAAATAAAGGAAGCTAAGGCTAAGCTTCTATGCACCTTCCCTGGTGTTTCCACGAACAAAGGAACTTTACCCCAGGTTGCGCAAATCTTCCGGCAATAGGGCCGCACTATGGAAGTCGTTATAGATTACAAGGTTGTGTGGGGATATGAAGATGTGTGGGTGGAACAGTTAGCGACCCGGCAAAATAGATTGGAACTATGGGGTGCAGATGCTTCGAGAAGGAACGGCTACGGGCCTTCATCTACACGAACCGTGCCTGAAGTGTATGAGCATATTGAGAGCAATAATTGGGGGGTGTGCGTGACTGTGAAGTTGATGCGAAGGGGACTAGATGCAGCGCGGCGTAGGGGCGTATTGGGTTTGGCTGACGGCAACTTACGACATGCTACATCGAACTTGTTTCGTGTCGCCACTGAGGTGCACCGAGTGATACAGGTGGGTCAAATAAGAGAAGGCTAGTATCAGCTCGTGCTACGCCTCGAATCCACGTCGGAGTTCGATAAGCCCGTTCACACCTGCGTCAGAAGAAAGAGAGACAGAAGCCTGGGATCGCGGCCCCATCGTCTGATACTGGTACAGACGGCACAGGAACACAGGAATGGGATCCGGCAGGTTGTAGGACGACGACTGCAACGCCGCTCCCCTGACTTGGGTAGTGAAACGGCGGGCGGGCGGCTGAGTTCCTGAGTTCCTAGCGTAGGGGGGGCGTGTATCGGAGTGGGGTCAATTAGCGTGATCCCGATGCGGACAAGCGCATCAGGGGTCTATGAGTGAGCTTGGCAGCTGCCTATTAAAGGGTCCGTGGATGCCACCTGTCCTCTTCGCCACACAGCCCGGGTCCTAGTGATAATCACCCACTATGCCCACTCATAGCCCCGTCAACCATCGACTTTACAATGGCTCAATACACCTTCGACTCTAGTCTGTTTTCCCAAACCATGAACAATTCAGCCATGACCTCCACGCCTCTTCCCCCACCAACTGTCGAGGCCATGCCTACTACCATCAAGATGGAGATGATCGAGAACTACGACCATTCACCTTCACCCGCACATCACTCCTCCAACTCGTCGGAAGCATCACAAACACCAGCACCTGAGAGCAATGGCTCTAAGCCGGTTAAGAAGCGCAAGTCGTGGGGCCAGGTGCTTCCCGAGCCAAAGACCAGCCTACCCCCACGAAAGCGAGCCAAGACTGAGGACGAGAAGGAGCAGCGACGGATAGAACGTGTAAAGCGCAACCGCCTCGCCGCCCACAACTCGCGTGAACGGAAACGACAAGAATATGAGGTCCTACAAACCGAGAAGGACGAGCTCGAGGCCAACATGCAGGCCTACAAACAAAAGATGGCTGAGATGGAGGCCGAGCTCAGATATTACCGCTCAAAGTACCCTGGCGAAGCACCTCAGCAAGTCTTCGACCTCGCTACACCACCCAGCGACACCTCTTTCGACACCATCTGCCCCGCGCAGATCCCAACATCTTTCCCCAGCCCTCCTGAGTCCATGGACTCGATGGATTCGCCCCGTGACTCATCGTGTCAACCAGAGACACCCCCATCAAGCTTTGAGGCTTCCCCCGAATTCGACTCGACACAATATCCTGCCGCGATATTGTGCGACCTGCCGTGTCAGTCGATTTCGGGAACCTCTCTACGGGCGATCTGGGCCTACCTTTCTCTATTCAACCTTACGCTCCAGTCGACGAGAAGTCTGTCGTCATGGAAAACTTCTTCGACTTTGAACCCTTCCCAAAGTGCAGTCCAACAACGACTGCACCAATGGAACCCGCTTTTAGCATGGTGGACTCTTCTTCGGTCGATGTCTTCGGTCCAACACCCTTCGACCACAGCTCTTTCTCAAACACTTATGGCTTTCTTGACGGCTTTGATGCAAAGTTCAACGACTTGCAGAGTGCCTCTGGCGCAACTTCGGTTAGCGACGAGGCCCTCGCAGCGGGACAACTTTAGCACTATCGCTGTCGCGAAATCCACCAAGGGGGCGAAGAAGCAAGCTGAGTTGGTGGATGGTGGCTGTGGTTCACGACTGATGAGGTCTTCTAGGCCTAAGCAATTGGGTAGGCGTAAGGTACGATCACTGAGGTTAACGGGGGCATTGGGTTGGGAAAACATGGAGTGTGGCATCACTACCGGGCGTGGGATGGCGTTCTGAGCGTGTACACTCTTGTAGCAACAGTTTCGTTTAGACTTGGTAACCTCTCTGGATATTGTTTCCTGGATGGGACATATGGCGGACAAGATACACCAAGGGCTGGTGCCTTTATCTGGCCAAATACCATGATCTACTATTCATTCACATTACTTCCTTCATGCCGTGATGTTTCTGTCATTGTTGTTGATATCTTACCCTTTCCATACTTTTGTTGAGTACCCCACTGCTACTCTAGTGGGTCACCAATTCTCCACGATTCTTCCCTCTTCCAACGCTAAGCATCCTAACCCTCCACTTCGGTCTCCGGCCCAGCTGAGTCGAGACACACTTCGCATGCAGGCTGACGCCAACAACCTCCACTCAACCTACCAGCCCAGCTGACACCAACTTATTCATAGGCCGACTGATGACGTGACCAGACACCTGCAAAAGTCTATTCATAGGTTATTACGGAAGTCAAACATCCGGAATACGAAGTAGTCGTAAACTTCAACTGCTCACTCAGCCCATTCGTATTAGACCCTCGACGAAGAAATCAGTCTTTGCAATGTGGGCGAGGCTTGTCGGTGTTCGCTTACCCACCTAAATTCCTCAACACCATTTTGGCGTTGCAGGGCATTGCATGCAAAACAACAGTACACCGCACGACATGTACACCGCACGACATGTACACCGCACGACATGTACACCGCTTTGCCCCACAAACACCGGATCTAGAACATAGTTGCTTTTACAATGGGCATTTCACATTTGTTGCTTTCATTCGTTACATTCGTAGCTCTCTGGGGCCCTGGCATGCGCAATGCAATGCAACGCAACTACCGATGTCACTCGGAGTCCGTCGTAGATGTTACTCTCTTGACTGCTAGCCAGCCATGTTCATTGGCTGTGGTAATTCCCTTGCTTGCATCGGAATCTCTTCCTAGATGCCGAGCTTTGCACTGCTCTGATAGCTTATTTGGTGACCTGGTCGACGGGCGCAGGCTTGTTTGAGTCGGCGGCTGCTTTGCCTTGGCCCGTGTGGCCTGCCTTTGGTGCGTCGCCGCCGCCAGAGGCGTTCATGCCTTCGATAGCTGTCTTGTGTGTCAGTATTCGCATTCCTTTTAGACATGTCCCTTCCTTCGTTGCTGTCTCCCGAACAGCTTGGGAAGGGGTAGGTGGGGCAGCCGAGTCGTACCTTCGCCCTTCTCAATCTCTGGCAGGGGAGCAACGTTGTTCTTCGCGTGTTGGAGAGTTGCCTGCTATGTGATCAGACTCGAGCTTATGGTAGGTCTTTTGCAGGCGAGGGTACTTACGTCTCCAGAGGCACCGTGAACGGCACTCTGGCCGGCCTCGATGGGGCCGTTGTCTGAGGATCCGTCTCCGTTGCGAGGCATGATGGAATAAGTAAGGTTTGAGTGGTGTAGTAGTTTGTTTTGGTTTGAAGGTAAGAGCAGTGGAGGAGTTGTTGTTTTGAGGGGTAGAAGTTCCTATCGTGTTCAATTTGTGTCATCTCGATGATGTAGATGGCTGTGATGTCATGGTGGAGAAGGGGCACCTGCAGAGCGGGTCATACCCACGTACAACGCTGTTACTGAAGATCATCACGAACCAAATCTTGCTTCATATGCATGTCATTCGAACGAGCGTCACCTTTTCTCTAATCTTCTCTATGTTGTGGTCTCTAGTCAATTAAGGCTGGTAAATGGAGGAGGGATGTTATGACTTCTTGCGAAGCTGATTGTTCGATATTGCAGAGTGTTTGGAGAAAGACATGTAAGGGGATGACAGAGTCTGAGATGAGCGTTTCGTATATTGCTAAACATCACTTGTAACCGAAAATGTATCATGGTAACGAAAAGATGACCTGATAATTTGACCCGCACGCCACTTCTGTCAATGTCCTAGCGGCAGCTGCGAACAAGAGCATGTACACCGTGCTAAGCTAAACGCACATATCAAGGGCTCATCTTGCACTCCTAACCCATCCTACTACACCAACACTGTATCCTACTAGTCCACCCACCCTTTCGCGTTCCTTCTTTGCCTCCTCTTGCCATTTTCTCAACTCACCTACCAGTTCAGAGTCTTTGACAACAATGTCTCCGTGTAGTCGTAGGAACACACTCATCCAAGCCTGAACAAGCTCGTAGTCTCGGCGTTCTTGCAACCTTGCGGTCAACGCCTCGATAAATGTTCGTAGCTCCGTGTAAGGTTCTGTTGTGTCAAGCGTGCGAATCGCGATGTCCGCGGCCGAAGGCGGAAGTGACGAGAGATGAGTTAGGAGAGGCGTATAGTCGGCAGTTTCGCTCGCATGTGCAAGGTGACGACTGAACACATCGGTAGCTGTGGCGGCGCTAGAGCGCGAAGCAAGCGCGGAGCTGGATATGCGGGACTTTGGGTCTTGATCGAGTGGCGCTACGGCGTTGTTTTCTGCTCCCTGAACCTGATTCTGACCAAGGGATGGGAGGAAGAAAGGCGCCTTTTCTGGCGCTTTCGGAGCCTCCTTAGGCTTGTTGCGAGCACGGATGACGTCGAGGTGTAACAGCGTTTGCCAGCGGGACTTGGGAACCAAGCTCAATGTTGTGATCTTGTCGCTGAGTTGGTCCATAACCGGTACTGTAACTTCGTCTTGATCCTCGTCTTCTGCCCTCTCTTCGGTAGCAGCTTCAACAACAGCGACACCACCTTCGCCAGATGCTGTGGGCGCGCTGACCTCGGCAACATCGTCCTCTGTTATTTGACGAGTTGACACATGCGTGAAGAGCGTTCGGTTTGTCCAGATATGCACGCCTACTTCGCCATCTAAGCCGGTGGCAAGGAACTCGCCTGAAGGTGAAAAAGCCACAGTGTTGCATTTTTTGGGAAGCCTCATAGCGTCGATGAGATGACCAGTTGGCAAGTCCCAAACTCTGACGGTGGAGTCTGAGGCCGCAGAAATGATCCACCGGCCATCACTCGAGAAGGTATAATCGAGGGTTTGTAACGCAGCATGAGATTGAGACGCCCACAGTTCTCGAATAAGTTTCTTAGTTGTGATGTCCAATACGCGGATCGAGCCATCGTCACAGCTCAGTGCTATCAGATCACTGTTCCGGTGATAGCGCAGACCGTTGATCTTCGTCATAGGGTACCAGTCGATCTCGTGAAGTAGGATGCCCGTAGCAAAATCCCAGAACTACAACGTGTGTTAACAGATAGAGGATGAGCAAGACGAGACATCGACTTACCTTGACTTTGCCATCATCAGAACAACTTATGAGCGTGCGATTTAGGGCGTCCACAGCTAGACCAGTGATAGCTCCTTTGTGTTTACCTTCTCCCTTTGCGAATTTCCGTGGAGCATCATCCATGAAGTCCAAAGCCTCTTCGGCCTGTAGTTGCCGAAGTTTGTGCTGTTTTGCCTCCACAGGAGTGAGTCGAGCGGGGAACCTGCGTCGGAACTGGCCAGATTGAAGGTTGTACATGTCAATGGAGCCACCGGCGGATCCGACCAAAGCAAACGTGCCGCAAGATGAAATTGCAACGCTTTTGACTTCTGTGCCATCGCCTGTATCGAAAGCCCATCTACCCGCCCGTTTACGGCCCCAGAACCAGGTTCTTGCACTCTTGTCACCAGCGTGCCCCGTGACGATACTCTCCCAACCAGTCATATTGACTTCTGTGGCTTTCTTGTCCTGGCCCTTGACCTTGGATGAGTTGTTCCATATACCTGCTACGCCAGGCATCGCGCCCATGCCACCGTCGCGGTTGAGAGAACAAGCCATGCAGGTGATTGCCGGAGCTTTCAGATCTTCCAACTTGATATGATGCTTGGACGTCTCGGCATTTCCATTCAGCAGGCCCATCTTCTTTGCTTTCTTCTGGATAGCACCCTGGCTGAGCTCTGTGCTTTGCCCATCTCGTCGCAAACTCCAGCCCCACAGACTTCGGTCTTTACTCGCGCTGAGAAGCCATTTGCCGACGTCGTCGGAGCCGTCCGAGTTGGAGGGAAGGAAGCGGAGAGTTGAGACTGGCGCAGCATGGCCGCCACGAGAATGAAGGATGCGAGGTAGGGGCGAGAAGGGTGTTTCGTCGAAGATCCAGCTCTTCAAGGAGTTGTCCAAGCCACTCGACACAATGACTGCCTGTCCAGCAAGGAATTCGATCTTGCTGATACCACCACCAACGCCTCCGCTTGCAGAAGGAGGCGGACCATGAGCTCCCCGGAGGGTACCGGTTTTACGGCCACCTTTGTTGAGATCCCAGAAGGTAATGTCGCCACTGTCACGACTAGCTGTTGCCATGACACCGTCTTCGCGGCCATCATCACCCGCACCCAATCCATCAGTCCTAAAGGAGATGGAGGTTACTGGGTGTTTCTGCGAGCCACCCGTATTCAGGCGCATTATCTCCTTGTCTGCGCGTATATCATGTATCGTGATTGGACCTGATTGGTATGCGATAGCGAGGAGCGACAAGGCGGGCGTCGGCTGTAGTGCGGTCACAGAACCAAAGTCTGCGGCTGGAGGGAGGAGCGTGTACAGCAGCTTTCCGGTGCTGATGTTCCATATCTCGACAGATCCATCGGCTCGACCCACGAATATCTTATTCAGATAGGTAGGCATGTTGCAGATGCAGCCAGAGAGGGCACTGGAAGAGGCGCCTTGGAGGGTCGTGTAGTGCTCAAAGGTAGCTGTCCTCCAAATTTCGATTTTGGTCTTGCCGCATCCTACAATCCATTCTCCCAGAACTACCAGTCTTGTGATGCGCTGTATGCCGCCGCGTGGCATCTCTAGCTCTGCAGTCTTTTTTCCGCGCTGGAATACCCACACGCCGCCCTGGGTGTTGGACTTGGGGCTTGACCAGGCCGCAAATACGACCTTCCTCCATGCCAACGTTGCAGTGATATCCTCGGGTGTCTGGGGCCGAGTTATGAAGACAAGGTTGAGTCCGCGCTTAAGATCGTAGGTTTGTAGAGAGCGGCCGACGGAAGTTGTGATTTGGAAGGTGGTCTTGCCGAGGGGGAGTGTGGTGAAGGGGACGCTTGTAGGCGACACTAAACCAACAGTCTATCACGGGGTCAGTTATGCGCAAGTATTTGATCGCATCGTTGAAGCTTACTCGGAATGGCGCAAAGATCTTAGACTGGCGGACCAGCGACGCAGAGTTCTTTTCGCCATTGCTCTGTGTTTTCTGGCGCTTCGTTACTGGACCACTGCCGGTACTTTCCTGTACCTTTGGGCCTGCCATGTTATGTGTAGTTTGGGGAAGGACGACTAAAGCGCATGCATGGACTGGTGTTCTCGCAACCTCGGACGGCGCGACCAAAAATTTGGAACACGAGATGAGATTAAAATCAGATAAGATAAGATAAGATAAGATCTAGCACAACCATCGCCAAGGGATCGACACAGGGGGTGCGTCTCCTATCTTCGCATAGCACAAATGGTAGCAGTACCTGGCTTCCGCATCTTTACTCAAGTTTACAGCGCAAGTATACATGTACGTTAGCGCGCTTGTAAGGTGTCGATCATTACTGCAACACGCTTGAGCCTATTTTACACTCGCCAGCTACAAGTCTCGCCGGGCGGGATCCGTTCCGATGTGATGTGCAACACGTGGCGCACATGTAGACTCGCCGCAGCCCAAGAGTGGCCATCTAGAGCTCGAAACGGCACAGCATATGCATTGCGGCGCACAAGACTGTCCATTAATATCATGGGGTTGGACCATGCTGCCAAGTTGCGCTGAGTGACGTACTGTTTGTGAGCTGCTGTCTCGAATTTCTTGACATCTATAGAGCCATCTCCTACTGCGCACCCAAAGACATGAGGAAGCCGTGAGGATACTGTCGCCATAGTCCATTGTGCCAGCTCAGCTCTCTCGCGATCCCGTCCAACTAACCCCGCGACGCACGGGTCCACGGCGTAGTATGGAGCAGCCGCTCTCACGTACAGCGAGTTCTGAGAGCACACGGTCATGGCAACAACTCTCCAGTGCAAGCGGCGCATCAGCAGCAGGTCGCAAGGCAAGATGGAGCGAGCCCGAGACTGGCGGAAGCAACGTAGAGCGTCCCAGTGTGTCAGTCCCCGCGCATGGTGCAGCGGCGATTCGACAGAGCCTGCCTGCGCGCCGCCCCTCCAAGGCATCTGATAGCAGTCTCTTTGAGTATTTTGGACATGCCTGGTCTGGCTCTGCTGTCGACGACTCGGATGCCACGCCAACGCTAGAGAGCACCCGGGGAAGTCTTGCCAGTGCCCCAGTAAATCCTCTGCTGCTGCCGGATTCTTTCCGACATCCGCGATCTGACGTCGGCACTGCAGCAGCCACAGAGTCGAAGCGATTGTCTATATCTTCTTTTGTGTCGGCCATCTCCAATCGCGGATACAGTTGGAGTGGGAAAACTTCGGTAACGGGCTCTGAACCGGAAGGTACGTACGTCATGCGTCGGCATGGCCTCGTAACTTTTTCACATGCACACTGCAGACATTGACCCACTGACTCTGCACAGCCAGGATGGAGAACCCACACGGCACCACGACGGCCACCTCGTCGCTCTCCGTCACTACCTCGAGCCAAAATGGCAGTCTCGGCACAAAAGCGTCGCCTACGCAATTGTTATTTCCACAGGACCAAGCAGCCAGCAATCCGTCCGCCAGCCCCAACACCGCCCCAGTCCTCCCCGCGTCTCCCCACACTGGCCAACCGCCTCTGTCAACGCAGCCCCGCCGCTCACGAAGCCGGACAGCGCAGAGACGCATCAGCGGAAGCACAGCTACTAGCAGCAGCCCGGCAAGCCGAGAAATGAGGGAGAAGAAGCCGACAAAGGGCATAATTGGTGTATGTGCACTCGAGTCCAAAGCTCGTAGTAAGCCTGCGCGCAACATCTTTGGCAAGTTGGTGGATGAGTTTGAGGTCAAGATCTTTGGCGACAAGATCATCCTAGATGAGGCTGTGGAGAACTGGCCAGTGTGCGACTTCCTCATCTCCTTCTTCTCTGATGGCTTCCCACTCGACAAGGCCATTGCCTACACCCGGCTGCGCAAGCCCTTCTGCGTAAACGACCTACCTATGCAACAGGTGCTATGGGATCGCCGCCTGTGTCTTGGTATACTGGATAAGCTCAGCGTTCCCACACCAAAGCGCATTGACGTCAGTCGAGATGGCGGACCGAAGCTACCGTCAGCTGAATTTGCCAAGGCGTTGTATGAAAGAACAGGCCTGAAGCTGGAAGGACCTGAAGACGGCACTGGTGGAGGGTTTCAGGCTCCGAAGAATATTGAACTCATCGACGATAACAACACTATCCGCGTCGACGGTGTTACCCTTACAAAGCCATTTGTGGAGAAGCCAGTGAGCGGTGAAGACCACAACATTCACATCTACTTCCACAAAAAAGATGGCGGTGGTGGCCGGAGATTGTTTAGGAAGATCAACAACAAGAGCTCGGAAAAGGATGAGACCCTCGACGTACCGAGGGCAATCCTTGAACCGACAGGCAGCTACATCTACGAGCAATTCCTGCAAGTGGAGAATTCTGAAGATGTCAAAGCCTACACGGTCGGACCAAACTTCTGTCATGCCGAGACCAGAAAGTCTCCAGTGGTTGATGGTCTTGTTAAGCGCAACCCAAGCGGCAAGGAAGTTCGATATGTCACGAAACTGAGCGAGTCAGAGGCGGCCATTGCAGCCAAAATCTCAGAAGGATTTGGCCAGCGAGTGTGTGGGTTCGATCTACTGCGCACTGGAGACCAGAGCTACGTTATCGATGTAAACGGCTGGAGCTTTGTGAAAGATAATGGCGATTATTATGACAAGGCAGCCAACATCCTAAAAGACATGTTCCTGAAGGAGATTGCGCGTAAACAACGCAAAGACGCCGCTCAACACGCTGCTGCCGACGCGCAAGCCGGTACAGACATCCCTACGAAGGGCTCTTCGGGCCACCGTAAGACTCTTGGGAAGCTCTTCAAGAGTCCCAGTATGTCAAGAATGGGAAACCATACTCACAATCTCCAACATATGCGGCAGTCCAACACTATGCCTTCGTCACCCGACACATCACTCAGTTCTACACCTATCGCATCCTCACCTAGTTTTGAGAAACCCAATCCTACCGCAGTGCTGAGCCCTACAGCTTTCACTTCTACATCAACGCCCGAAGGCCCGGCATCTGAGCCGGACATCACGCTTCCGCCTGCATTCGAAGAAGACGATCTGCAACTTGAACCGGAAAGGTCAATGTCAGAAGATCATCTGGAGGTACCCCCTCCGGCAACGGCGGCGCAGTGGAAGCTCAAAGGTGTTGTGTCAGTCATTCGACATGCAGATCGCACTCCGAAGCAGAAGTTCAAGTACACCTTCCACTCTAAGCCATTCGTCGACCTGCTCAAAGGCCACCAGGCCGAAGTGCTACTGATTGGGGAGATAGCGTTGCAAAGTGTGAGTGATGCCGTCAAGCTGGCTATGGACGAAGGTCTGGAGGACCCAAAGAAGCTGCGCGAGCTCCAATTGTATCTGAACAAGAAAGGCGCGTGGCCTGGAACTAAAGTGCAAATCAAGCCAATGTTCCGGAAAAGAAGAAAGGAAGAGCTGCTACCAGGAGAGACTTTGCCTGAAGAGACTCCTGAAGCACAAAAGCTGGAGTCAACTGCTGAGGCCAAGGAAACGACTGGGCCTACTGACGAGGACGACAGACCCGAGCCGCTTAAGAACAGGAGTGATTCCATGTCTGGTGTTACCTTGTCCCGTATTACCGCGCAAGATAACAACATGGTGCTGGATAAGCTACAACTGATCATCAAATGGGGAGGTGAGCCGACGCACTCCGCTCGACACCAAACACAGGACATGGGCGCGAACTTCCGCAATGACCTTCTGTTGATGAACCGGGATGTGCTAGATGATGTTCATATCTTCAGCAGCTCGGAGCGACGAGTTACCACCAGTGCGCAGATATTCGGAGCGTCGTTCTTGGAGAAGGAGCAATACCAATCTGAACACATCTCAGTCCGCAAGGACCTTCTAGACGACTCGAACGCGGCAAAGGATGTCATGGACAAGGTGAAGAAGAAACTCAAGACTTTGCTACGCGCAGGCGACAAAGCCCCACCTCAGTTTGCGTGGCCAAAAGACGTGCCAGAGCCCTACATTGTCGTTCGGCAAGTGGTGGATCTGATGAAGTTTCATCAGCGCGTTATGAACCACAACTTCAAGAAGATCGAATCTGAAGCGATCTCGTCGCTAGCTGCACTCGCATCTCCACCGGGCGGAGCACAGCCGTCAGGGCAGTCTCAGTACACTAATGTTAACCATATCCAATCACGTTGGTGCTGTAATGAGGGCCCTGAACTATTCAAAGAACGGTGGGAGAAGTTGTTCAAGGAATTTGGAGACGCTGATAAAGTCGATCCAAGCAAGATATCTGAGCTGTACGACACAATGAAGTTCGACGCTTTGCACAACCGCGCCTTCCTTGAATGGGTGTTCACGCCTGACGCCAGCTTTGTGGATGAAGACTCAGTTGCGGACGGATCGAAACAGACAACACCCGACAACAGTTCCGGCAAGTCGATATCAGTTGGTCCGGGCCCATCAGAAGCTCAGCTGAAGGCGGAGGCGAAAGAGAAGGAGCAAAGCACAGAGAAGACCCACGAGCGTGGTAGCCTCTCCCATCGTATGGGTTTCAGGCGCAAGTCCGAGCTTACAGTTAAAGCTCCGGCGCCTCCGTCATATGTACACGAGTCGTACTTCAAGCTATATTCTGGTCTCGGGACTGCGGCCTCCAAGGCACAGACCGATGCGCGACTTGTCAAGCTACGTGAGATGTATCATCTCTGCAAGGTCTTATTTGACTATATAGGGCCACAGGAATATGGGATTGAGAGCGAGGAGAAACTGGAGATTGGCCTGCTTACATCGCTTCCATTACTCAAGGAGATTGTTGGGGACCTGGAAGAGCTTCAGGCGTCCGACATGCCGAAGAGCTTCTTCTACTTCACCAAGGAATCACACATCTACACACTGCTCAACTGCATCTTAGAGGGCGGTATCAAGACCAAGATCGAACGCAATGCTATTCCAGAGCTCGATTACTTGTCGCAGATCAACTTTGAGCTCTACGAGTCGGAGAATGCCAGTATCGATGACAAACCGCACACCTTCAACTACAGTATTCGCATCACGCTATCGCCAGGTTGCCATGCCTTCGCCCCACTTGATGTGTAAGTCAAACTCTCCATTCCAATGTGTCCCAATAGTTCACTAACGTGGATAGCCAACTGGACTCACGCCATATGATTGGCTTCGCACCCCGTCGCAGCCTCACTCTTCACCAAGACTGGAAAGAGGTCCTTGAGACTCTTCGCGCAAAGTTCCATACGTAAGTGTCTCTCCACCATTTTACCTTACTGTAGAAACCTATATTAACAATGTCTAGCGTCAAACTTCCCAAATCCTTTGTCGCCATTGATCTCAGCGAGAAGGTCCCCGAGGCTTTCGACCGTAGCACGAACGGGAAGGGCAAAGAGCATAACATGACAGAGAGTGAAGAACGGGGTCGATCAGATGAGAGGGACGAAGACGCTTCGCACATACCCATTGCAAACGAGAAGGGCGAAATAATAAGCCCTGGAGAGATCGTGAGTCCAGAGCGCCTGGCGCTGAGCAAAGAGATCAGCCCAGCAGGCCTGCCGCCACCTGTGCTAGACCTAGAGAAGGAGTAAACAGAAGACAGACTTATCGATAGATTGGGCGATTGTTTTAGCATCAACACATTTTCATCCATTGGTCGGGGTTTGGCAAGTCAGCCTACTATCAATTGCCAAGACCCTCCAAGTTCCTCCAGCATCCAAGGCGCCCGGTCCTCCAGTATTCAACAATTTCACAAACCCCTGCAGTGTACTGCAGCAACCTAATTAGTGTCTTGCGGCAGCCTGGTAGTTAGCAATCAGACATCTATGCAGGTACACGTTTCTAGTAGCGCTCACAGATACTTTCCTATTGCAGTAAGGAATATACATAGTCCAACTGCGTTCTCTCCCACGTACGACTACTACTTATATTTGCGATAGTTCTCATTCGAGAGCCTTTACTTGTATATATATCGTATGGGTTTGCGGAAGTCATGAGTGGCTCCTCAGTTATGGGTCGTCGCAGTACCGTGGTTGCAGTTGATGGCAACCAAGGTATGGCATCACGGATTCGTGCACATAACGATGTGAGTCAAAGGGAGAGATTGTATAAAGTGACCGCATAACGCGTAGTCACACATTTACGCCGCAAAGCCAGCCACCCAAGCAAACATCCTACTCAGCCAACAACTTACACCGGGCCTTCCCAGTGCGGTAGCCACACGGCAAAGCTCCGCCTCTGCGTACTCGCCTCGCCACACTTACGCATCGAAATGGCGTTGCCGATAACAATCCTACTCCTTACTCCGAACGGCGTACCCCACTTCCGCCTTGTGAACCCAGTTGTGGTAGTGGCGACGGTCGCCCAGGAAGCCATTGGCCGCTTGGCAAGACACTTCCGGCAGATGCGCGCTCCATCAAATATGTGTGCCCTCAATCTTCCCTGGGAGATCATCCTGATAATTGCAACACATCTCGACGAATGCGCCCTGGTATGTCTTGCGTTGACCTGCCAGAGTCTCTACGGTCTCAGGGAACGACGCAGTCTGCCCCTAGAATTGGCAGAGAAGGAAAAGCTGTTGCTATTGCTCGAGAAAGACATTCCATTCCTCTATTACTGTCATTTTTGTATAAGGCTGCATCGTTGGCATGGTCGCTGGAGCAGATCCATTGCTCCGTGGTACGAAGACTGTCTACCTTGCAAGCGAGGCCTAAGCAAGCACCTCCACCTCCCACTTATCTGCCACATCTCTTACTATAGTGCACGCTTGGTCATGAACAGACATTCCTACGGATCCAAATACGGCTTGCCTCTTCATGTACTCAATGAACGAGCCCAATCCTATACTCACTCGGATGGAGTCGTAAGCTCGGTATCCCAGAATGCACGCATCTTCAACGACCAACTTCTGGTACTGTCAGTCATAACCATGACACATCCGCGAGGTGATTCGGTATTACTCAGAAGAGGCATCCACTCTCATGGACACCCAATCTGCAATCATCTCATTCTTGCGCAAGGATATCCTGAATCCGTTCCCATACAGTTTCCCGAGCTCGCTGAGAATGGAAACGCACCAAGCCAGTGTCTGGCCTGCACCCCGGCGTTCGGATCCTGTAACTTCTGTCTGACAGACTATAGCCTCAGCATATCCTGGCAAGGTGCAAAGAAGGGATACAAAATCGAGGTGCTCGTTCATCGCGGGTTGGGTGATTGTCGCACGCCATCCAGTTGGCATTGGCGTACTATCTCAACATTCTATTCAGCTGATTCGGCTGGAGAACTCAGATCAGCGTGTTGGCCAGATCACAGACCTGGAAGTGTTCGAGACCAATGGGATAAGGCTGGCGGCATCGTGTAGGTCACTGATGGCGCATGGCGGAGAGCCACATGATGGTGATTGTGAAATACATCACGCGCTTGTCAATATAATGGCATCTACGCACTTCTGGCTCGCAGAAAGCTGCTTTCACTAGAACTCTCCAGTTCCTATTCTTCTCCACCATTCTTTCACAAAGCTCAATATTCCTAATATATAGCCTCAAAAGCCAAAGCTGGTGCCCTACACAAGTACTCATTCGAGAAGATGCAGCTTATATTAGTGGAATTGCTACTACAAAAACACTCACGTGCAGACCAGCTTCATCTCAAGTAACCTGCCCAACTTTGCGCTGCAGGAGCCGCGTTTGCTGCAGCAATTGCGCTAGCAACATCGCCCTTTGGGCTATCCAGTCCAATCTCAAAACCATCATAACCACAACTGGTCGGCGCTCCAGCTTCAGAACCGTCTAAGCCAGGGACGATCTGCCAATAAAGCTTCACCATACGTCAGCATGTCTTTCGTCAAGTATGTACAGCTCTCGTGCTTACCCAAGGAACTCCAGCATCATTGAATACTTGGACCTGCATGTCGAAAGAGTCTTGGAAGTCAGTCGAAACACCCCACTCTTCCATCATGATGTTCTTTCCTGCAGCTTTCGCTCCACTCAATACCTCCTTGTCGCCGGTAACGTAGTAGGCCCAGTCAGACGCCTTGCTCATGTAACCATGCATACTGATGATGTCGATTGTATCGCACTGCATGGCCTTCTCCAGCGTATTGAACTCGTGGTTACAGCAATAGTGTGATCCGCCAATACCGCCGGTGGTGACCTTGACGTTAGAAGATCCGAGAGCATTGCGCATTACTCCAGCACGGCCACACAGCCAATCGTCCGGATCGTTACCGTTCAACTTGTCAAGCTGCTTGATCAGAGGCTCGTTCTGGAGGTCGAAAGCCATAATCACCTGATCTAGGTCTTTCCAGGCTTCGCCGAAGTTTGGCGACTGGTAGTTTAGGATCTCTACCAGTCGCTTGTCGTAGTCTGCTTTGGCTTCGGTTGAGAAATAGAAGGTAGATGCGTCGGTATACTTTTGGCAGTACGCATCACATGCTACGTCGCCAGTTAGTGAGTTGGCGTTATGGGGAGAAATGATAGCCTTCATCCCATTGTCGTGAAGTAGCTTCAGCGTGTCATCCAGCGCAGCCAAGACAGTCTTATCATACACGCCGATAGTCGTTTCGAGCGGTGGCACGGAATTGGCGATAGTGCTTCCTTTCAAGCACCCTGCATCAATATTTGTCGCTACACACCGATTGTCAGCACTGAATTCCCTCTTTCTTCCAGTCCGCCTCTACAAGGATGCATGGAGGCTACAAAGAGGTTCGGGATTGTACACGGGTGAATTACCCCATAGCCTTACGACCTTGGCCCCCCATCCAGCGAGCGTTTCAATATATGTCTTCTGCTCGGACGTAGGCAGCACGTGAAGAAAGTACTCGTTGCTTCCTGCGAAGGACGTCGAGATTTGTCTCCGTGTTGGTACGAAACATTCTACCATCATTCCTGCTAACCCGACTAGGACAGCAAAGACCGCACGGCCGTGCATGTTGGAGTTGTTGGTAAGTTTGCTTGTGTAAGGTTGTAAAATGAGATGGGTGTTATTTACAGCAGTGCTCAGTGATCATACTCCCAAACACCATGAGGAGGCTTTATATGCCATAGTGGCGGTTCAAGTCAACCTTGTTCGTGTCGCAGATGCTCCAATACGCCTATATCTATGGTGTGAAGGCATGCCCAGATGGGGGCTAGCCTTGCCAGCCATATTGGTCCCAAGCCACTGCTATCATCAACCAACTATTTATATCCCATCAGAAGTTCAAGGATAGCCTAGCCTAGTTATAGCAGCTGTTTTTGATAGTATGATGTGGAAGCACCTGTTCGGATACTGTGCATGCAGCCACGCTGCCGCCCCCGCACCATGCCATCCACCCCAATTGGCTCGATAAGTAGTCCATAGATTGGTGGCTTCAAAATCGCTAGATCTGATAAACGCTGGACACTGTGGAAACCGCCAGAGCCTCATCCATCAAGATCAGACCCCATGATTCCTCGCTTGGGCGTTGTACTTGCAGCGCATTTCCTCAGCCTTGCCCATATACTGAGGTCAACCCCCTATTCACGCGTATGTCGGGGGCCAGTCAGAGTTCAGCACTGCTAATTTAAGTATGAGCATGCACCTATGCTTGCTATCTTAGCAGTGCGTCCGTTTCTGGGGATGGAACGACGGGAGGGTTCAGCAAGCAAGTTCGAGTCTACCCTGCCTACAAAACGCACCGGCTCGCTTCTGACTTAGCATTCTCCACATCTTTTTCTCTAGCTTCTCTAGTGTGGAAAAGAAGGCTTGTATTGTCCTACTAGGCGGAAAAATACGCTAGCATACACTACGATGTTTGGGATACGAGTCGTTCCCGCTCTTGCTCTTCTAGCCTTGGCCAACATCGCGGCTACCAGTGGACCGACAAGTATCTTTATCGACCAAATCGAAGAATACGCTCTCCTGGCAACATGTGCGGAGCTCGAGCTATCGACTATTGTGCGTAATATGAAGTATGGATGTGGAGATGGCGGCAACGGCGCGTTTACGTCGTTTACTTGTTGTAAGTTTCCATCATAGAATACGACATACGTAAAACACATGCACTGACCTCGTATTTACTCCCTTTTAGTCTGCTATGAGAGCTCTGCCAAGTTTTCCAGCATGATCGGTGCTCATGTCGCCACCGAGTGTCCCGACGATCCTTCGCAAAACACGACTGCATTGGAAGTGTTCAGTAGTTATTGCGATATTGGAGCGTCGAAACTAGCTGAGATTGCTGGTGAGTTTTTAGCTGTTCCTAATCAAGAGTGGGACGAACTAACATGAGGACAAGCTGCTACAACATCCGTACCATCAATAACATCATTACTATCGTCTACATCTGCTTCTCCAGCATCCACACCACGGTCAGCATCATCGACAACTACCTCAACAACACCAATCCCATCGCCCCAACTGACTGAATTGTCTGAGCCTGCTTCTGCTCCCAAAAACACCTCTCGTACGGTCGCGATCGCCGCAGGCATTACGGTTCCAATCGTCGTTCTAGCTTCAGCTCTCGCGGCCTTCTTCCTGTTTCGCCGTCATAGGATCAAGAAGAAGCACAGTGAACCGAATGTTTACGAGGTAGACGCTTCCACCGTGGACGCATCGAAGGGAGGCACATGCCATGAAGTCAGCGACAAAGGGCAAATTGCCGCAGAGATGCCGAATCCGGATCCCCAAGAGCTGGATGCTGAGAGTGGAAGGAGGTAAACTTGATTGAGCGTTTTGGTAATAAAAGTTCTTTGTGATTTGGGTTAGAACATTTAACATGGTGTTGGGCGTATTTGAGTCAGTGATATTTTGCTATGATTCCAATGAGCCTTAGTTTATTGGACCCAAGAGATTTCAGTGTGTTTATAAAATATGAGAAGCTATACTTATAATATCCACGTGCCGCTTCGTTCATCTTAGTGTAGCAGCTCTGAGTAAGATAAGGGTACGCATATGCCAACACGAATGAATCCAGAGTACTAACGGTTGAGAAGAAAATACCGAACCCCTGTAGCTGACGTTTCATAGTGAGGTTCGCAGGAATATGTTGTTACAAGTGCATATATACGTTACAGAATGCTAACCTAGCGACCTACTCAAGGCATGTGTTGATTTGAAAGAAGACTTCGGGTTTCTGAGTCTGACCAGCCTAGGCTAGAGTTCCGTGAATAATGAGTTTTATCGAAGATGCTGAAGAAGACTGTCGATCAGCCTAGACTCCGTTTGACCAGACCTTGCTCTACACAGCTTTGTGACATCTGTGAGCATCAAGCGGCCTGTTCTCTACTCTTTAGCAAGAGCTAGTTACGGGCTGTGAGAATCTCGAGCCTGTAAACGAATGGGACGAGCCGGAACTTTGGAACGCGCAACGGGAGTTTCTCATATCATAGATATCAAGGAGCCCATAGAGATTTTGTGAGATTTGTGGCAGGCCGCGTGATGGCTATGCAAATCCACTCGAAGTAGTCTGCCGGCCCGATTGGTACCGACAACTACGTCGAAGAAGCATCGTGGGAGCGGTGTTGTGCCTGCGCGCGCCGATGTTGCGTTGGCCGCGAACAATAGATGGATGGGGTAGTTGGTATCCGTTCAAATCGTAACCAAGATAGCACGACAAGCTAGTTGCCAAGTGGAGATCTTACTCCACACCATCTCTTGACCGAGTTAATTGGAGCTCTTCTTTCGCACTTCAACCATAAAGTTATGCTGGGCCTGACCACGCTCTTGCTGTTGTGCTGTAACTTCCTGTAAGTCAGTTTCCAGATGCTTCGTCCAGCCCATTGATGCTTCATTATTGCCACCAACCCTGCTAAATTTGTACGAGTGGAAAGGAATACCATTTCTAGAAGGCTGGAGGTAAGCCTCCCTTCATCCAGTCCTATAAAATCCCCAGGTAGCTTGAGAAAGCCGCATAAGTATCCTTATTCGACCATTATAGGTGCGGTTCCGCATAGATGATCCTTCGGGCCGGGTGGCAGCATGTATGTGCCCTGTAGATGCCCATGCTGGACACAGCCAGATTCCCATGGACGACTGAAATGGCTAGACGGCGATCGGATCGTCGAACTTAGTTCGTCTCATGTGATGCGAATTAGTCAATCGTCCTAGAAGCCTACCTGCATACGATTCCGAACACGAGTCATTGACGCGGCGGGTGTTTGCATATTGAATATTGCCCTTTAGATACGACTTGGGAAGGTATTGCTGTTGCAAATACAGCCGTATGGGCGGCAAGACCGTCGTCCTGTCTCTGACCACAGACGAACCTTGAGTATGCTGACAGCTGTTCTGTCGGAAATACCAGAAACGGCAAGCCGGAGTGTCGCTTGGCATCACCTTCGCCTTGATAGAACGGTATTATGCGGGGTACCGGGGTAGCTGTATTTACCCCGCAAACTAGACGTTCAGAGAGCAACCGTCATAGTCGCGTGTGCGCGTGGCGCAACTGCGGAGCGTTTCCGCATTTAGGTACGTCCAGCATCATGCCCTAAACCTCGACATATCCGTCTCCCCTTGGGCGTCCGGCCAGATGGATACTAAAGATGATCGGCAGAGTCTCAAAAGATCATTCGACTATAGCGGCGTCCATGGACGAAACGCAATTCGTTCTGATTATCGGGCGCAAAATCGTTGCAGGATCGCGAGTAGCGTGACGATCATGCGGGATTCGCTTGGGAGGGGTATCTTGCACATTGGCGTATATATATATAGATAGTGCGTTGCCCATGTCGTGCCCGTCAGTGAGATCGACAGTAGCCTTCAATCTCTCAAGCTTCTCTTTACTCAAAAACCTCCCTCTTCACGATGGTTCACTTCCGGACAGACATCGGCGCGACGAACGAAACGGCCGATCCAAATAACGAGAACTATGCAAAAGAGCTGGAAACCGATGTTCTGATCGTAGGTGCTGGCTTCGGCGGCATCTACCTGATGCACAAACTTCGTCAGCAGGGCTTTAAATGTAAGATTATGGAGGCTGGTACCAACATCGGTGGTATTTGGCACTGGAACTGCTATCCTGGGGCTCGCGTCGATTCTCAGGTTCCCATCTATGAATACAGTATGCCTGAGATCTGGCAAGTAAGTCAAGTTTTAGCCGTATGCCTTTTGACAGAGACTGACGTTGGTTTGTCAGGATTGGAATTGGTCGTGCAGATATCCCGGCACAGAAGAGCTCCAACAGTACTTTGATCACGTCGAGAGAAAATTGGACATTAAGAAAGATTGTGCATTCAACACCAGGGTCGTCGGCGCGCAGTTCGACAAGCCCTCATCAAAGTGGGTCGTGAAGACGGAAGACGGCCGAACAGCGCGCTGCAAATACTTCCTTTTGGCCCTAGGTTTCGCGGCGAAGCGTCACTTCCCCGATTGGCCAGGTATGGACAAATTCGAGGGAGAGATCCATCACAGCTCATTCTGGCCCGCATCCGGAGTGGACGTCAAGGGCAAGCGTGTTGCTGTTATCGGAACCGGGTCGACTGGTGTCCAAATCGCCCAAGAGACCTCGAAGACGGCCGCTAGTATAACGCAATTCGTTCGAACGCCAAATCTTTGCCTGCCCATGCAGCAAAAGCCTCTGACAAAAGAGGAGCAGGACAAGCGAAAGCAAGGAGAGTACCAGGAGATCTTCAAGAGAAGACTGACAACGTTCGCTGGCTTCCAGTACGATTACGTCGAGAAGAACACGTTTGACGACTCGCCCGAGGAGCGCGAAGCGTTCTACGAGAAGATGTGGGAGAATGGCGGTTTCGAGTTTTGGCTGGTAAGAGATGCACCTTGAGCCCGCATATTAGCAAACACTTACATACTTGCAGGCGAACTATAAAGATCTGTTGTTTGACAACAAAGCCAACCGCGAAGCCTACGACTTCTGGGCTAAGAAGACGCGCGCCAGGATAACAGATCCTGAGAAGCGTGAGATCCTTGCACCCCTGGAGCCCCCGCACCCATTCGGTACAAAGCGACCAAGTCTGGAGCAGGACTATTACGAGATGCTCGACAAGCCTGAGAACAAAGTGATTGATGTGAACAAGACACCGATCAAGGAGATTACCGAGAAGGGTATTGTGTTGTCCGACGGCACGCTACACGAATTCGACGTCATCGCTCTCGCGACCGGCTTCGACTCAGTAACAGGCGGAATGAAGAACATGGGACTCAAGGATGTTGATGGTGTTGAACTCTCCGAGAAGTGGAAGAACGGTACCTACTCGTACCTAGGAATGAGCTTGAGTGGATTCCCGTAAGTTGCCAAGCACCCACAGTGTATTGTAGATACTGACTGGATCATAGTAACTGCTTCTTCCTGTACGGCGCCCAGGGTCCGACGGCGTTTTCCAACGGACCCACGTGCGTTGAGGTCCAGGGGGACTGGATCGTGGATGCCATGATCAAGCTTCGAGAGCAGGGCATCAACTACTGTGACCCGACACACGAAGCGGAGAAGGAATGGCGGGAAAAGATCGCCGAGCTTTCCGACAAGACACTGTTCCCGCAGACCAAGTCATGGTACATGGGCGACAACGTTCCCGGCAAGCTTCGAGAGCAGTTGAGCTTTGCGGGCGGGTTCCCACTGTATACTCAAATGACGCGGAGTGCGCTGGATAATGGCTTCGAGGGTTTTGTCACTGCGTAGATATCCACTGCCGAAGGATAGGGCTATTTTCATCTCTTGTAATTAATTATACGTTCATCTCTTCATCATCGTGCAGTTCTCCCATCCCCTTGCCTTGCATGTGAGAAGCTGCAATTCCCCTCGTTTGCGGGTGTACTTTCGGTTGTGCATGGCTTGAATGGCGTAAGTTGTAAGTGACTCGATGTTACAGGTCTCGAGTCGTATGGGAGAGCGCGTGGGGGTATGCAAGATGACGCCCGGCGTGGTGGGAGAAGAGGGATAGCTGGTTTGGTAGCCGCGGAGGAGCAGGCCGGTCGTGGACGGATCATGATCGGTGTCACATGGAATTTGCACCGACCGACGTCACGACCCGCGCTTGCAACCTAGCAGAGGTCGAGCATCGCTACATTGCTCCATGGAAGCTATACGCGCTGCATCCGCCCAACACCCGGTACCATGAGGACGGCGTTCCTTTTTGGTCGCCAATGCTTTCGCCCAGGCCTCCCCAAACTCACAGCCCGCGCATTCACGCGTCCGTCGACCAACCCATCTCGCCTCCGCCGTCAATTCGCAACTCCAAAGTTCAGCGGTCGAACGTTACTATGGTCGGGTGCAGCAACCGGAGCTGCGGGTGGCGCGATACTCAGTCCACTTGCATTTGTCCAAGTCGCCAATGACCAGTCGGGTGATGGAGAGAAGACGCATGAAGAGGCCATGCTGGAGGCGTCGCGGAAGGAGCTGAAGGAGCAGGTGCCTCATGCGCTGAGGAACTCTGCAAAATATAGGCGAGGCATATACTTCTTTATCGAGGACTACATAATCGAGCCCATAGCCACCGGATTCCGCTTTCTCCATTTGGTCATCATCTTCGTGCCAGTCATAGTAACGATACCCGCGATATGGCTAGGATCACGACAACCTGATAGAGACAACGAGCGGACCGGGACACTGTGGTGGTATGGGTTTCTGGTTGGATCCATGGAGAGGGCTGGGGCTGCCTTTATCAAGGTGCGTATTGCTGCACCAAGACATGACGTGTAAAGTGAAGGCTAATTCCATGACAGCTTGGGCAATGGGCCGCCTCCCGAACAGACGTCTTTCCAACTGAGATGTGTCTTATTATGTCGACCCTCCATTCCAACGCCCCGGCGCACACTTTGCAGACATCGAAGCGAACGATTGAGGCGGCATTTGACGGACAAAGCTTCGACGACATCTTTGAGGAATTTGACGAGAAACCACTGGGTGTAGGCGCTATTGCGCAGGTATACAAGGCAAAGTTGAAGCCACACCTTGCGACGCTAGAGGATAACACAATCGATCGGAAGCAAGCCAACCTGGCGAGACGGATCAAGAAGAACGTCGACGTAACGCTGAAGAGCTCGCCCTCGAGAGTGCCATCGAGCCATGTTGCCATCAAGGTTTTGCATCCCAACATCGAGAAGATAGTGCGGAGAGACTTGCGCATAATGGGCTTCTTCGCGGCCGTCATCAACGCTATACCCACCATGGAGTGGCTGTCGTTCCCCGACGAAGTAGAGCAGTTTGGTGAGATGATGAGACTGCAACTAGATCTGCGCATCGAGGCTGCGAACCTCACCCTCTTCCGACAAAACTTCAAAGACCGAACGACAGCCTGGTTTCCCTATCCTTACACAGAATACACTACGCGCAACGTGCTAATCGAGGAGTTTGCCCAGGGTATTCCCATGGAAGACTTTTTACAAAACGGAGGTGGAGTATTCCAAAAGGACATTGCAGATGAAGGGCTAGATGCATTCCTTACCATGGTCCTCATTGATAACTTCATCCATGCCGACTTACATCCAGGAAACATAATGGTCCGATTTTACAAGCCCGAGCAACTAGACGTCTCAATCTTCACCAGGAAGGAAGATCGAACGACCGGCCCCAAAGAGTCGCTCGATGTTACCGAGGAGGTGCTTGAGCGTCTGCGACCACACAAGAAGGATCCACAGCAGTGGAAAGCGAAGTTGCAGGAAATCGACAACGAAGGATATCGGCCACAGCTAATCTTCATCGACACAGGCTTGGTAACGGAGCTAAATGGAAAGAATCGCGCCAACTTTCTTGATCTCTTCAAGGCTGTGGCCGAGTTCGATGGTTACAAAGCAGGACATTTGATGGTAGAGAGGTGCAGACAGCCAGATGCAGTGCTCGACGGAGAGGTTTTTGCTTTGCGCATGCAGCACTTGGTTTTGGGAGTCAAGAGCCGTACTTTCGCTCTTGGCAACATCAAGATCGGAGATATCCTGAACGAGGTCCTCTCTATGGTACGAACGCATCACGTACGCCTTGAAGGCGACTTCGTGAATGTTGTTCTCAGCATTCTTCTCTTGGAAGGAATTGGAAGGAGTCTGAACCCAAACCTGGATCTCTTTGCAGGGTAAGTGACATGGTACGGTGCAAAAGGTCGTTTACTGACGCTATCAGTGCTCTGCCAATACTGCGACAGCTCGGTGCGCAAAGCGGTTCTTCCATGATTCGTGGAGGAGACTTTTCGATGCTCAAGGTCTGGGTTGGTCTTGAGGCGCGCAGCTTCTTGCAAGCCTCAATTGATACGGTATAAGATATGACACTCATGTTGCACTGCATTACTAACAACCACTTAGGTCGAGCGATGCGTGAAGTCCGATCAGCTTTCCCCAAATATATAATGAAATCACGCACGTGTCCACCGTATGGATTACCCTGCGTTGCTAATACTTTCAACCATTGTGCAAGAGATTACAACGATCTTCTGTGAAAGACGCAAGCCGTCTTGCATGGGTCAGCTCAAAGGCAGAAACACATGCTCGTGGAAGCCTCCATAGATTCGAGGCATCTGTCGCGTCTGTATCCGAACATGTATATCATCAATTATTTGCTCTGCTGTGCATTTGGACCCCGCGACATTGCACTGTCGCTTCACAGTTTCAAGCATTGCTTACCGTGAAGGGTACGCGTCAGGGCAACAAGGATCTTGTGCCATGACGTCACGCCTGGGGTAAGCTTCCTAGCTATGCAATACAACATCACTCTTCTCATGTATATTGCGTCCTACAACCAGATCAGTTGAACGCTTGATAATCCTGCTACGTACATTATTGATTGAAATTCTACATTTCTTGTCTCCACAGGTACGACACTCTTGTGAATAACAATGGAAGCCGGAGCAGCCGGAGTGCTCTATGCAGCCGAGAATCTTCTCGAGGGAGCTGTCGCCCTCGTCAAGGGCATAACTCATCCGACACTGCCTATCAAGGCAAATCTCACACGTATATCATCCGTTCCACTCCGTCGCTCGCATCACACAGTCTCGGTCGTCAAAGGCCGCGCATACATTTTTGGGGGAGAGACCGAGGCCGGCAAGCTCGCAGACAATGATATGCACGTTGTCATTCTACCGTCGAGCGGCGTTCTCGATGCCGATTACACCAAGTATCCGGCTCGTGCGGCAAACGGCCTAGACGATGTACCGAACTCGAGAAAGGGACACACGGCTGCGGTGATAGGGGATAGCATATACATGTTTGGCGGCGAAGGAGAGGGTGTAGCAAACGAGAAGGGGCGGGTTTGGGTTTACGACACGATATCAAATACTTGGTCTTACCTCGATCCAGCCAAGGACACGCTCTTTCCCAGCCAGCGAACTGGTCATGCTTCAGCGAGCTCAGACCTCCCCAGTCCGAAGACGACGACGTATGTTGAAAAGGCGCCGCAAGCACCTGCCGACCCTGCAAAACATGTTCCTGAACCGCCGGAAGCAAACTCGTATGGGACTATCTTTGTGGTTGGAGGTCGCGATACTTCGAGCAACGACCTTGCGAACGATGCGCTTGCGTTTGATGTCAAGACGCGAACATGGACCAACATACCTACTCCATCAGGTCAGCCACGAGAAGGCGCGAGCTTGGCACTCATTGGCAGTCGCTTGTATCGATTTGGTGGCAAGGGCATTGAGACGTTTGCCTCGGGTGCAACAGAGTACGTAGACGCATCACATGTGTGGACGCATGCAGAACGCGGGACTACACCGGTCGCGAGCGGCTGGAGCTGGGAAGAAGTGAAGCACAGAGATAGCCAAGGTAGCACCGCTATAGCACCACAGGCGCGAGCAGACGCAGGACTTGTCGGTGTCACCACAGGCCAAGGGCGACACTATCTGTTAGCTGTTGGTGGAGAGACTGAGGATGGGAGTTACCTCGACGACATATGGGCGTTGCAACTTGCACCTGAACGCTCCACAGCCGCTGCAGCTAAAGACACCATCCGCGCGGGCATAAAGAGGGATACACATGAGTCGCAGTGGGCCGAGGTGGTATATCGGTACGTAGACACAAAGGGCGAAGAAGAGAGGGAGATACCGGGGGAACCAAAGAGAGGTCTCGGAGCAAGAGGTCACTTCGCTATCGCCAAGGGCACAGAGGTTGATGGAGCGACATGTGTAGTGTGGGGCGGTGTTGACACGAACGGTAGTGTCTTGGACGATGGTTGGATGATTACTGTTGACAGATGAGCTGTCATGTTGTGCTCTCATGGGTATAAATGAAGAACACACTGCAAACATGCATCTACAGCAAATGACGCTTGACCGTCTAGAACGTGGCCAACCTGCGGAGCTTCGGTGCCCCTCGTTGTGATATCTTAACAAAATTTTCCTAAATCCTCTTCGATTTTCGTTCCTGTGTACGTACATCTTGTACGAAGAAGCTCGTATTTTCATGATTTGCTTATCGCTGGTAATGTCGTGGACACGAAGCTCGGAGCAATTATTGGCGCTACGATGCGGCGACCAGCACCAAAGCCCCACAGCCCTCTAAATCCACGCCGCGCCACACCGTATATCGCGCTTGAGTTGTTGCGCATAGGTATTGGATGCTGGTAAGCGAAACCAATGCCTTGACATCTGCTCCTCGAGGCTATCGCGATCTGTATTGGCAGGGTGGGTGTAAAGGTGAAACGAAACTCGCCCAATCAGGAAAGTGACGGCAAAACACCACCAATCCTCGGCTGTATCTATGAAGCAACTACCCGCCTACAACAACCCAGACTGCCCTGTAAGGATTGAGCGTCTGTCTTGACAAACACGAGCCCCAATTGAGTGGCTGACAGCGGCGCGAGCACCGGAATGACAGGGAGGGCCGACCCAGTAGAGTGCCGCTAGCATACAGTACAGGACTTGAGTATTTTGGGCGTTATGAGCCCATTTTATGGGCTCTGGCGAGGACTGGGCTTAAGTATTTTGCTTGCCCGGCATGGCGTTGTGCGAGGGTCTAGGCTTCAAGACGATCGTACCGGTTACGCTACATTTGAAGGGCACGTACACCAGCAAAGGCTACAGTCAGTCTCTTGCAACAGGTCGACTAGTGGGAAAGATCTGGAAGATATGTCAATTATGGGCTGGGGTAAGTCATGATCCAATGGCCTATAGAGAGTGACAAAACTAACAGGACTGACCATGTATCAACAGGTGGAGGTTTGACTCTAGTAAATGGTTCGCCGTTCGACTGGGCCTTAGACAACCAACACTCATATCAGCTGGACACATGGGAATGGCCAACGATAAATTCTGGTATGAATAGTTCTGAACCAGGAGTGACACTGACGCTGACTACAATAAGGCCAAGCCTCAAAGGTTTACGTTGAGTTTGGGACCAGAGGAAACACCCGTGACGATGCAGGCGAAGCCTACTACAGTATCGATGGAACGTCGAACAAGTTTACGGTACTAGGCCGAAAGCCTTCAGATTATATGCTTACCATATCTCTGGATGATATGTCGACGAAGCAGAGTTCGCAGGGAGCAAAGATCGACCTGGGCTTTCGGCACAATGCTGCGGTCAACTGGATCATGTCTACAGATGAAGCAGGTCACTGGTGGTCGAACAGCGGCACCTACTCGGACTGGATGCAGCAGAGCATGGGCTCACTTGCGAATAGAACGCTAAAGCACATCTGCATGCCAGGTTCTCACGACGCTGGAATGAGTACGTTCAATCCGGGTACGTAAATGTCCTTGTACGAACTGCATGCGAGATACACTGACTCCGTATACCCACATTAGGTACCATTGGCGCGCACTTTGCCAACACTCAAACACAATACCTAGACTTCTACCAACAATTGATGGCTGGGTCGCGATATTTTGACCTTCGTCCAGTGCTCTCTCGAGGTGAATGGGTAGCTGGTCACTATGGCCAAGTTGGTGATGTTTGGCTTGGTGGTAATGGACAGACACTTGAAGAGATCATACGTCAGATCAACGACTTCACAGCAAACTACCAAGAGCTCATCATCATAAATCTAAGCCACACACTCGACACAGACAACAAGTACAAAGACCTTACACAAACGCAGTGGAACGATCTCTTCACCACATTAAAACGTATCAATAATCGCTACACCGTCAGCAACCCAGGAGCCACCGATCTCTCTAATTATCGTCTAGGCAACTTCATCACGGACCGTGCCTCAGTCCTTATTATCGCCCAGATACCTGAGAGTATAATACTAGGCGACTTCGCAAACCAGGGTCTCTACTCCGGTCACAACTTCCCATTCTACGACGAATACAGCAACAGCAACAATCTTGCCAACATGAAAAGCGATCAGATAGCCAAGCTCAAGCAGAATCGAAATATAGTGGCGCAAGAAAACGAGAAGAAGGATGTTTTCCACATCTTCTCTTGGACGTTGACGCAACAACCTGGAGATGTATTGAATTTTGACAAAGCCATCATGTTCGTTGTTACCTTTCCCTCCTTTCCATCCCTTTTCCCAAACTAACGTAGTATGTAGGAACATGGCCGTCTCAGCCTTCGATGACCTGATAAGCGAAGCCTGGAACGCCTACACACCGCAAAGTTTCCCAAACGTGATTTTCGTAGATAGTCTGGGAGTCAGAGACAAGAGCGTGGTCTTCCCGTTCGACAAACCAAAGCAGGGGCTGCAATCTAACTACGACATTGCTGCATTTGCTGTTGCGGTAAATAATGGTATTGCGGGGAGAAACCGGGTTGTCACTGGGGGGTGAGGGTGGATAGCTGAGAAGGGGGATGTGGCATGTGATTCAGCCAAATTGATGGGTCGGCTTTTCATAATCTCAAGGTAGGCTCGGTCTTCAGTCATCTACAAGACCCGAAGCGAGGTATCAAATATAAGGAAATGTTCATATGGACATCGGACCCATGCATAGAGTTCAGCACCCCACACAACACTGTTGAGGTTGCTGCCGATACCTCTCCATGAAGACGGCCCGTTTGCCCGATCGAACCGAGCTGTTGGTGTTGTGGAGAATGGACTGGTGATCTGATCGGTCCGGAAAAGTAGAGGTATCCGTCCAACATTCGGAGCATGGCAACGGGTGTCAAGTGTGATTGTGGTCGATCTATGACGCAGTACAGGAAGGTAGACCACTAGCGCGAGGTGATCATGGGTAGTAGGTCGTGGGTGTCTACTTGCAGTCCTTTTCGTCACACCTTCGTTGTGTCTTCGATCTGGTCTCCACTCCGGATAAGATATCTCACGGAAACTTTGTTTTGAAGCGCGAACGTCAGGCAGAGGGCCGCAGTGGATCTTGACAAACAGATCCGGATCTTCCTCCACATCGCATCTCGATGTCGGTAGACGTTGCGATGATCTACATTTGTCATGCTATTCTTCATATTCCCGTGCAGGTACCCGATCTCGAGGATCTACAATTGATCAGCAGCGGGACGTCAATGCTCCGTGCGACAACGTTGTGTGTCTTTCGTGCATGTAACCGACGCTGATCTTCGATGTTTAGTTCTACCTATCGAATTACAGTTCACTCACTGTACGACAGAGGTACGCACTGGCGGAAGAGGAAACAAATATTAGTGTAGAAAAAGGAAGGCGTCTTCACCATGCCGCAACCCCTGAGGCTGTCATGGACTCTAACTTTCCAAAGCTGCAGCCAACATGTTCATCATGCAACACGAGTATTTACGGGTATACGGCATGCGCCAAGTGCCACGGAATGCAACGGCAGAGCAAGTGCTTGTGCTTGCTTAGCAGAAGAAGCGATACAGGTAGGGGACGCCTCGTTTCTCCACATAGTCTGCTTGGCTGAATCGCCCCTTGGAGATGCTAGATCCGACGTAAGAGGAGAAAAAGTATGCAGGGCGGCATTTGATTGTCAAGAATGAGGAGGTTGCGTGGCCGTCGTATCCGGTTCTGGCCTTTTGCGTCGGGGTAGATGATTAGCTCAAAGGTAGGATGTGTGAGTGGCACAAGGGTCAGTGGTGATGCTTCGCGGCGTCGGGAGGGAGACGGAAGTTTAGATATGCGATCTGTAGCTCTACCAGTCGCAATGCCGGCCGCAAACGATCCTTCTCCACCGTTGGACTCTGAGCCTAAGAGTTGCTAAGAGATGGTCGTGCTGTTGCTTGCGCACGAGAAGTGTTTGTCCGTTGCAATTTCGTTTTTCTCGAGTCAAGCCGCCGGCACAAGGCTGAAGAACCTAGTCTCCCAAGCAAATGCTTGTCTCGCAACGGAAAAGCAATATACTTAAAATAGACTCGGTCTTTATTCCTTGCGGTATTCCCGAGGCGCATACAGCAGAGCTGCTCCATGAGATTATGGAGTGGTGGAGGTTTTGGAGATGCTGTCTGAATCAGACGTACGAGTGGTTAGCTGCATGGAGATAGAGGGGATACGAGGTCTTCCCGTCCCCCTTGATTCCAATCGCATCGATGCAAAAAATGTTGATTGTTGCGCGGCTTGCTATCATGGCTGCGTGTTGCAATGCGCCATCGCCATTTGGCCTTGAGTCGCTTAGGCTGGCAAAGAGTCATAGTTTGTGAGGAGTATCGATAGAGCGAAACATGTGGCGGAAGCAAGTATGCCGTCGTCCTGCTGAGGGTGGGAGCGATGAGTATTGAGTCTCGCTTGGCAAGGCACATGGTTGGTTCGTTACGCGTCATCGGAAAGCCCACTTGACTCCAATTTTTTCTCGGAAGCTGCAAGCGTCTGGACCGTAGGGGGAAAAGTGGTATTCAACACAGTGGAGGTGCGCAACATGCTGCCTATCGCGGACGAAACTTCATGCAGTTGCACGCCGTGGCGCGAGGGAGTCGTACGACTGACTGCACGAAGACTTTGGTAATAATGCGGGGCGGATCTCTTATCCCTAACAAGCTCCTCCAAGAGCTGTAGCCGTCGGTTGGGCGTCCTCGGCAGCTGTTGCCAATGCGCCGGCGCAGGTCGGTGCATTCATGGCGTTGAGCCATGGCTGAAGCCTGAAGAGCTGTCCGTTGGGTGTTGCACCGTCAGACCGATCATAGAAAACGTCACATCGCCACGCGCTTCGCATCTCACAACAGCTAAGTGATAATTTTCTAGCGTATAGACAAAGTAACATCATCGCAGTATGTTGAACAACGACCGCGCGACGACCATGTATGCCAAGCAACCGCATAGTGAGGGATGATAGTGGAGAACGGCTGCGATGAATCACTCATTGTTTCGAGCAATTGCCGGTCTACAGACGTCAGAGGCGTGCAGCAATAACATTTCGGATGGCACAGATGCCAAAACCCGTTTCAACCGGCTTGGATCAACCATCACGTTCTATTTTTCGCTCGACAACGTGATAGAGTTGATGGTTCCTGCATGGCAAAGGAGTCTGTGCCACTTACAACCCATGAAGAAAGCTCCCAATCACGCATCATGTCCGCCCGAAGCGAAGCCGACGCCGCGGGTCGAGAGCTTGAAATCTGCCAGTACCAGGGGCCCGCGGCACCAAGCTTTCTTTTCCCAGGCTGACCGGCATCTGTAAGCAAATGTCGAGCGCTAGCCGTAACGCGAGTCAACGTTAGCACGACGCCTTACTGGGGCCGCTGGCTGGCTGTCGATCATCTTCGTCCTTCATAAGATGATTCTGCCCGCACGCCGTGATGACTTTTCTTGCTATCTTCAGTTCGAAGCTCTAATTCTCCCTTACCTTCATCTGGACCATTCCCTCTTTTCGGTTCAAGATTCTCCAGTGTGTCGTCGACATTGACCACCACTATCCACTCGCTCACTCCTCTTAATCCGACTACCAAAACAGCCCTTAATTCTGTAATTCGAACCGACCTTATTCTTACAATATGCACTACTCTGCGGCTCTCGCTGCCGTTGCAGCTATCACTCCCTTGGTCAACGCTCATGGAGCTGGCCTGCCCAACATCATTGGACTGAACCCCAGGGATCTCCGTGCTCGGGATTTGCTTTCTCGCACTGGAGCACGTTTCACTGGAGTCAACGAGCTTCTCAAGCCCAAGACTCAGGTCAAGTCTGCGGTCGTTGCCCGTCAGGATGACCGCCAGTGCGGTGCAGGTATCGGCAACTGTCCCGCTGGCCAGTGCTGCTCAGGTGCTGGCTACTGTGGTACTGAGGACGATTACTGCTACTCTCCCGGATGCGACTACCAGCACGGCTCTGGCTGCCCTGAGAACGCAACCCCAGGCGGTACCAACACCTCTTCCATCGCTCGTCCCAAGCTTGGCAACGTCGAGTACGGTGGCGCCGGTATCTACGGTTGCACCACACCGGGAACGGTTGCCATTACCTACGACGATGGCCCACAAAAGGTCTTCACCAGCCACATTCTCGATGTCATGGCTTCGTATAACGCCAAGGCTACTTTCTTCATCACCGGAAACAATATCAACAAGGGACAAATTGACATTACTCCTGAGTTCAGCGATGTCCTCAAGCGCATGGACTCTGAGGGCCACCAGCTTGCTTCCCACACCTGGACTCACTTGGACTTGAGCGCCATCTCTCAGCAAGACCGTTACGACCAGATGGTCAAGAACGAGATGGCTCTCCGCAACATTGTCGGCAAGATCCCCACCTACATGCGCCCCCCGTACTCCAGCTGCACTGCCGAGTCAGGCTGCGAGAAGGACATGGCTGATCTTGGCTACCACGTCACCTACTTCAACCTTGACACTGATGACTACGAACACGACAGCACCACTCTGATCCAGTACTCCAAGGACGTTTTCCTGGGCAACGTCACCAGCGGCCCTGCTGCCAGCAACCAGTGGCTCGAGATTGGTCATGACATCCACGAGCAGACTGCCATGAACCTTACTGAGTACATGCTCTCCACCCTCACCCAGCTCGGTTACAAGGCCGTTACCGTTGGCGACTGCCTCGGTGACCCCAAGGAGAACTGGTACCGCACTGCTGGTGGTGCTGGCTCTGCCAACCCGACTACCGCCACTTCTGCTACTGCCCCCACTGCCACTGGTACCAAACAGGTTACCACCGATGCTACTTGCGGTGGAACCAAGGGATTCACCTGCTTGGGATCTTCTTTCGGTAACTGCTGCAGCGCTGCTGGTTACTGCGGTACCACATCAGCCTACTGCGGAACTGGTTGCCAATCTGGCTTCGGTAACTGCGGTAGCAACGGTGCTGCTCCTACCACCACCAACGCTGTCTCGTCGACCAAGGCTGCTACCACCACTTCCAAGGCTCCTGTCGCCTCTGCTGCAGGCAAGGTCTCCACCGATGGCTCATGCGGCGGTGCATCTGGCTTCACCTGCACTGGCTCAACCTTCGGTAACTGCTGCTCCCAGTACGGCTGGTGCGGAACCACTACCGACCACTGCTCCACCGGCTGCAACTCTGCTTTCGGTACTTGCTCTGGCACCGGAGCGTCTGCTACCAAGGCGGCCACCACCACTACCACCAAAGCCGCTGCTGCCCCAACCAACAAGGCATCCACTGACGGAACTTGCGCCGGAACCTCTGGCTTCACATGCTCAGGATCTTCTTTCGGAAACTGCTGCTCCCAGTACGGCTGGTGTGGAACCACTACCGGTCACTGCGGTACTGGCTGCCAATCTGGCTTCGGCACCTGCAACTAGGTCACTTTTGCTTTTTTTCCGCTTCGTCAGAAGCAACATTCTTGCAATATGGGTCGATTCATGCACTTGCATCAACGCATGACGGGGCTAGCCCCGAGAACGACGTGACGAGGGGGGTTTTTTTGAAGAAGAAAAAAACGCTAGTTCAAAACTATATTCATGTACAGTACTCTTTTGTACTCCGCTGGATTGGTCACTACTGCACAAGCCTCTGTGTCGGGTGTCGCAAGTTTGCTGGGGACGGTGACTAGAAGTAGTAAATCGTGTAATAGATCATGACAACGATCAATGAACAGTATCTTTTATTCACCATGGACCGTGCTACTTCTTCGCTCTTGTGCTTTATCAGGAAGAAACTTCTGCCAGATTCTGATTGTTGTCCATCTTTGGAACGGTGCCATGACTTTCCATTCAAGGTACTCTAAATTTAGATTTGATCATAACATCGTCTCATGGGAACCTTTGTACCGAGTAGAACGTCAACATGTGATGTGCGTTATTCCATCCTGCGGCATGGCAGTGTGTTTGAATGAAGGAATGAAAGTAGGGATTGGTTGTGCTGGCCAGCAATTTCATTCAAGAGCGAGTGTACATAAACAACCACCAAGGAGATGCATGTAAGTTGCTCGTGAGAGCCGTTTCCCCGAGTCTACATTAAACATTGCAGGTCTAATGTAGATGGACCACAGTCCCTCTGAACCCCTTGCTTCTATATATTCCTCGATCGTAGAAGAACTCTCAACATGTCCAACACTACTCTTACTCGGGGCAGACGTTGTTCTCGACCAAGAAGTCGTTAAGGGCGTCGATGCATCCAGCGCAGGGGCAGATCTAAGACGATTAGTAAATTTTACTTTGTACAAGATGATTAAGAAACAGGAAATCACATACCGAAGGAGCACCACCGCCAACACAAGCCAGAACTGCGGGAACGGCACCTGGAACTGCAATTGCTCCAGCAATGCAAATACCGGCAGCGACCACAGCAGCGCAGTCAAAGATGCTGCAATCGGCTTGCTGGGCAGCGAACGCGATGACATCAGTCATCTGCTGGCTTTCGCGCCTGGCGATGGAGTTAGGAGAGGCGGCAGCCAGACCGGCGAGGGCAGAAACGGTGATGGTGGAGAAACGCATACTGATCGATTTGTGAGGGTGTTGTTGAGCGAAAGGCTGGCGAAGTAGTGAAGGTATTGGTGTTAAGATGTTGAAGCTTGATGGGTTCATTCAAGTCGGATTCTGGGTATCCTTTATACTTTCTCGTCCTCATATTTCCCTGCATTTTCCTTCATCACCGCTCGATTCGAGTGGTAAGCCCTTCTAGTCTTTTTAGGTGCATACACGATCAGCAAAGTCCCAAATTGGGTCACTGTCTCGGGATTCGAGGTCTAGCATGAGGCTATTACCACATCGTCATCCGCCGTCCTGCCCACTCAACGTTCTTCATTTACTCATCGCGATGGTTGAATAGCACTCATGATGCGTATGCGGTCTACCTCGACTGGTAATGACGGTGGTGGTAAGCTGATCGCATAATAGGTGGATGGTTCGGGCGTCGGGATGCTACAGCGATGTTCCGAATGATGACTATGTGGACACAGCGGCCAGCATACGATTGTCATGAATTATGTTTGCTGTGGTGATTCGTCGTTGTAATAACCCCAGGAACCTTGGCATGTTTAATGTGGGCAAGATCTGCTAAGGTTACACAGCAGTTAATATAGCTATATTGATGCGGTCCTGTCAGACTGTTAGTATAACCTTCTTCAGTACATCGTATGTCTTACATCGGCCTGCGAAAGGGGCGCTTCTCGCCTCGAAGCGGCTGTGGCTAGGGAAAGGGATACCGAAAGCGGCTGCAGTAAGGTTGACTGCACATGCTCGCTGACCACTGGTTGAAGATATTCGCTGACATTGGGCGGTCAAAAAAGATGAGATGCTTACTTTATCCTGGCTCTCATACAGCCGGCGACTACGTGCAGTGTTTTCAGCTTTACCATGACTCTCATTCGATTGCCGATCTGGTCGATATGCTGGCTCGCTCTGAAACACATTCGTACCGAATGCGATTTCTCTATTAGTGCCTCTTATGCTAGTAAGCCGAGGAGGATATGACATCCATGATGGACACGATGTATAACAAACGAAGGCAATAAGCTACATGAGTCTCACTGGCCGCCTAGGCTTTAGTCAATATGCAAAAGGAAGAGCCGTCCAGGCCAAGAAATACAGGCAAGTTCTAACGCGATCTGGTGGAAGCGTCAGAACTACTGCAGTTGTTGATTGCATAGCCCCACGTGTTCGGAATGTCGTGCACGTTCTATGGTCCATCGGGCTCTATATGCCAGCCAACAAAGTGAACGACAGTGAAACATCAGACAAGTTGACACATCGCGCTCGGTTCGCCGAAAGTTGAGCAAGTTGCATGCGAAGAGCCGAAAAGACATGCTTTCATTCCAGTCAGCATGTGGTTGATAGGGCCAGACAAGAATGACTACGGAAATGGAGATCCCCGAGGATCTCCAAGATACATTCTCACCACTGAGCTGAGTGGCAACGTCGCCATGCTGGAGGCCCACGACTACGTCGTGCACACTCTGTCACTGTTTGCTCAATCGTGATCACAAGTAGGGAACAGTCAAAGAGAGCCTAGCTGTACCAAAGTAAGCGTTGTTCTTGATTGACACATCCGGAATCTATCAGAATTAGGGATATGCATACTGGAAGACTCGATGGAACCTGCCATTACTGCAACATGCCACACCTGTTAGGGGATTTGACGCAGTACCAGCTGAAGGCATTTCTCTGTTTGCAATAGGAGGGACTATTGGCAGTCGAGTTATGCTATGGTAACATAAGCTGTTCTGCATGGCCTCGATGTTGATGAAGCTTCATAAAGACTTGTTCTAGTCCTGTCCTGAACCTTGGGTCTTGACGGATACCTATGTCAGCAAGAGATTGACGGCTGCAGAACAATGTGAAAGAGATGGACGTAAAGCTAGAAGTAAAAGAACATCTTTCTGAGATGCATCTTGGAGCTCGATAGGGAAAAGGTGCCTAGCGATGACAAAAAGAAAGGCGCTTCTGTCGGTCGTGATTCACGAAGGAATGAATATGAGAAGAAAAAAAAGGATAGAATCAAGTGCCTTCCGCCAGAATTGAACTGACGACCTCGTCATTACTAGTGACGCGCTCTACCACTGAGCTAGGAAGGCTTTGATGTAGTTTCGAGCATTTGAAACAATTATATATCGCGTCGTGTGTTTCACACTTTTCGTCTGGTGGCAATATCCCATGCCATCGCTCCGGTTGCGAGCATCCAGCGACACCCGCTTAGCTTCGGATAGTAGCGTCGCCGCAACTCTCAGCTGGAGACTGAATCGCTCAGTTGCTTCCGGAAGTAAAATGCAGTCGCAGGGAGTGTAGTGTGACGGATGAAGATTATGTTTGTCTTGTGGCGCCCCATGTGCGTCATGCACTGTGCCTTGCTGTTCGTTGGACACGTTTGGTAAAGCAGGCAGCCGCTAGCTGTCGCTCAGCACTATTGCGTGTGGAGTCCGTGTCTGTAGTAAATGTATAGTCTTGCTATATCCATTCATTTGCGAGCAGATACGCATTCGAGGAGCGTCGCGCGTTCTATCTAATGCCTTGAGACGCGATCGGGGTTTCAGTCACAGCGCACGTTGTATCGAACAAGGTTGATGATATTCGCATTAATCTCGCGAGCGCATGACTTTAGCAAGACGCGCGAAGCTTGGAACATGATGTAAACGAAGCACGGGGTAGGGCTCCGAGTGTTTTGTGGAGATGATGGAGTCCGGGGCGGGTGACCATTAAGCGCAAGCTCATTCACATGCCACCGCAACCAGGCCGCCAAGGCACCAAATTAAGAAAGCGAGCGATTTGAGCCTCTCCCGCTGATTGCGGTCCTTTCTTTCAGCACCCCTTCAAACACGACTTTTCACTACACCGCGACACACCAACAAGACAGATTTACTGCCAGGCTCCGAATCCTGGCTTTGACTATCACCATTCCCAATATTCCAACACGACCATCTATGGGCTCTGCTTCTTTCGCCGTCACCACTTTCCTCCCCACCGCTCAGCTTACTGCAGTTGGCACCTTCTTTCAGTACAGCGCACTGAGCTCAGGTCTGAACAAGACGGACGCCTCTTTCGCGTCGCTGGTTCGGCTAGGGGTAGGAGTTCCGCCGTGAATCTTCGCGGCGGACTGTAGTATTGGTTTGCCCAAGACCGGCATTGGATGTGCGCGCAGTTCCCTCTTTGAAAGGGGCGCAGATGCTGACCACGAACAGAATCGAGCGCAACCTGAAGAGTGACAACTCTCTATCGTATTACCCCTCACTACCGTCATCATGGTTTTCGCATTCGACCAGAACGATGCGCAACTTCCAGCCAATCCGCTGCGAAATTCTGAGCCTGCAATGCCCGACGACGACATGTTCGCACCTGGAACCATGGACATGAGCCCACCGAACGTGCCCCTCCACGTAGGCACCCCACCGATCAACATCGTCAGCCCTATGCCAAAGCGCGCAGTGCAGCCCGACCCTGAAGCCAAGCAGCAGGGACCGGCCAAATTGGATTTCGACGCCGTTATGAGGAAGGCTCAGAAGAACAAGAAAAAGAAGAAGAAGGGCTTGAAGGCAGGTCTACAGGCTACAAGTGTCACACGGGGCTTTCACACTCCGGTCACGTCTGGTGGAGAGGAATCAGACTATTCTCTGGCGACTACACCACGTTTTGGACCTGTTCGCTCCGGACTCCCAAGCGTGACCAGCAGCCCAGCGCTTCGCCCCCAGTCCACCGCGGGAGGCATCAGCAATCTCAAAGCCCAACTAGAGGCGCTGAATCTAGGCCCAAGGAGCGATTCACCCATGAAAGATTCCCCAGGAAAGGGTGTTCCTATGAGCAGGGTCACATCGCAGTTGTCGAGTAACACCAGCATGTCGGGCCGGGATAGCGACAGCGACCGCACCGAGATGGAGAGCTACGAAATCGACCTCAACGCCGAAGACTTCAGCATCGACACACTCTCCAAAACCTCGACTATGTTGAACAGTGGTATGGCGCGCAAGATGACGGCAGAAGACTTTGAGCCGTTGATGTGTCTGGGCAAGGGCAGCTATGGCACCGTCTTGTTGGTCAGGCAGCGTGCAACAGGCCGTCTTTTCGCGCAAAAGCAGTTCAAGAAGGCTTCGATCACCGTGCATAAGAAGCTCATCGAGCAGACCAAGACGGAGCGTAATGTCCTCGAGAGTGTAAATCGACACCCGTTCATCGTCAATTTCTACTACGCCTTCCAAGACCAGGAGAAGCTGTACCTCATTCTTGAGTATGCCCAGGGAGGCGAGCTGTTCCACCACCTTGAAGCCGAGCGCATGTTTTCTGAAGATGCAGCAGCATTCTACATGGCTGAAATGGTGCTCGCGCTCGACCACCTTCACCGCACAGTCGGTGTCATCTACCGCGACCTAAAGCCGGAGAACTGCCTTTTAGATTCCGAGGGCCACCTGCTCCTTACCGACTTCGGCCTCAGCAAAGTCAGTCTCGATGAAGACAACCCTTGCCGCTCCTTCCTCGGCACCGTAGAGTACATGGCTCCCGAAGTGGTCCAAGGCCTCGAATACGGCGCAGCAGTCGACTGGTGGTCCCTAGGCGCGCTTGGTTTCGACCTCCTCACTGGTGCTCCTCCCTTCACTGGCAACAACAATGCTAAGATCCAGGAAAAAATCGTAAAACAAAAACTCGCACTGCCTTATTACCTCAGCGCCGAGGCCAAGGACCTTCTCACCCGCCTCCTCCGCAAAGACCCGAAGAAACGTCTAGGATTTAACATGGCCAAGGACCTGCCGAACATCAAGAAACATAGGTTTTTCCGCAAGATCGATTGGAAGAAGTTGGAAGCGAGGGAGCTGACACCGCCGATTCAACCACTTATCACGGACCCGGAGTTGGCGGAGAACTTTGCCCAGGACTTCACCGATCTGCCGTTGAGTCCTGTTCTGACCAAGAAGTTTGATGACTTGATGTTTGAGAGTCAGAGCCAGGCCTCTAACAATCCTTTCGGTGGATTTAGCTTCGTGGCTAGCCAGAGTCTGTTGGACAGTGGAGAGTGGGGATACTAGGTTGCAAGGGATTGTTGGTTGCATTGTTGTTTCCGCTTGCTGCATGTTTGGGTCGGGATTCCTAGACTTCGTATGTTGCTCACATTGTTCGTCGAGAGAAAGAGTATAATAGAGTTTCACTACCGCATTGGTTTCAATTCAAGACGTACGCCATCACCACATAACAGTCCAGAAGTCAAGATTAATGGTTACTAGATATGATTCTTTTCTCGTAGGCTGACTGAACCATCTCATTCCAAACTCCATGCTCGTGCCGTCATCGGTATCATGTGCAAGTATTCATACAGACTGTAAACCAATTGGGAATCGTTAAACTGAAAGAAAAGCCATTCTAGTCCTCTGCCATCAACAAAATAGTATTCGCATCTAGGAAGTGGGAGCGGCAGCAGCAGCGTAAGAGTCTGCACCCTTTTCGTTTCCACCTTGGGCGGGCTTCTCGCTGCTCTCAGCCGTAGCGGCAGCACCCTCCTCACCAGCGGGCTTCTGCTTCTTAAGGTCCGCCAAATGCCTGGCCTCGTTGTGCACGTCCATGACGGTCTTGTTTCCCTGGTCGTAGAAAGCACGGAGCTTCTGTCCGGTAGGTGTGGATGCAGCCTTGTCGAAGTAGCTGGTCATCATGTTGAAGGCAGCGTAGCCTTTGTTTGTTACACCCAGCTTCTGGTCGACGACTTGTGCCTTCTGTGTAGCCTGGGTCTTCTGATCGAAGTTGTTGAGGATGTTCATGAACTTGGTGCTGTAGCCGTTCTGCTTGTCTGCTGCAAGAGCCTTCTCGATGGCCTTGTCGGAGATGGCATAGCCGTGGGCGAGATACTCGGCGATGATGCGTGCGCGAGGCTTCTGTTCCTGCTCGATGTGGTGGTCGCCGTCCTTGGCCTCCTCGGCAGAAGCAGACTTCTCGCCGGCAATCTCGTCGATGCTCTTAGCTGAAGTGACCTGGACCGAGTTGTGTCCGAGCTGGGTGTTGTCGAGGAGGAGGGCGGTCTTTGCGGCGGCGGCCTTCTCGAAGGTGACGGAAGCCGATTGTGTGTCGTCGCCCGAGGGCTTTACGCTGAGCGACTGGATCTTTCCGCAGAAGGAGAAGAAGCTCTTGATCTCATCCTCGCTAGTCTTGGTGGAGATGTTCTCGACATTGACAGTGGCAGCCATGGTGATGTATAGGGTGGGGTGGTTTGTGAGGGAATTGAGTTGTGATGGTGTGATAGTTGAAGGGTACAGTGAATCTATCAGTGATGTAGTAGACGAGGTGTTGGAAATAGGGTCTATTTGTAGTAGACGAAGGGTGTAAGAAGCCAGTTCAGGGAGGGGCGCAGCCTGGCCGATGACGTCGCGCGGGGCGGTGCTAGTGGCGTCTAGAGGCCCATAGCTGGCGGGAAGCTTCACGAAGCGCTGCTTGGGCCGTCTTGCATGTGAATGCCTACTGCCGCTAATTGCTTCTTCGCACGTAATTCATGGCGCATGTCGTGGCTGGATATCACCCTGTTTGAGTCTTCTCACGGTTGTCCATGCCTGACAGTCGATTAGGGTATGAATTCTTGAGTTTAGAGACTGAATCAAGGGCGGGATCCGAGGGACTGCACTGCTCGAGCGTACAGAGCGTATAAATCCAGCCTGCACATTCATTCACGCGTCAGAGTTAGATACAGGCATTTGCCTGAGTCGAAAGTAGTGCTTAACGTGAAGCTCCATTGCTCCACCAAACCTCGGCTTTAGCAAACGTCATAGCTCCGTCTTCTCAAAACATCTTCCAAGAGCTCCTCCAGCTCCCAACTCACACAACAGTCGCATAGCGTCTGCACCATTCACAATGACTTCCAAGTTGTTTTCAACGTCACCAAGATTAGCGCAGTCATGCCTACGTCGAACGCGAAACCTAACCCCGGCCGTATCACGACTCCCACAGCGCCGCTATATCTCCGCTTACGGTTACGAACAAGCCAAAGCCCTCACATTCTCCGACTATGGCGAGCCCCCAGCTGTACTCTCTCTTCACAGTCATTCCATCTCGCCGCCGCATAGCAATTACATGACATTGCGCTTTCTCGCTTCGCCCATCAATCCCGCCGACATCAACCAAATCCAAGGTGTATACCCTTCAAAGCCAACCTTCACAACCAACTTAGGCACCCCTAACCCGATCGCTGTCGCCGGAAATGAAGGTGTGGCGGAGATAATAGCACTAGGTGAAGGTGTTAAGAAAGAAGGATTCAAGAAGGGCGACTGGGTTTTCATGAAAGGTCCCGGCTTCGGTACATGGCGAACACACGCAAGCGCTACCACCAACGACATCGTGAAGCTCGACGACCAGATGCGCGAAGGCATCACCGCAATTCAAGCCGGCACCGTATCCATAAACCCATGCACAGCATACCGCATGCTTCGCGACTTCACAACTCTCTCTGAAGGCGATTGGTTCATACAAAATGGAGCGAATTCAGGCGTCGGACGCGCCGCCATCCAGCTAGGTAAGAAATGGGGCTACAAGAGCATCAATGTAATCCGTAGCCGGGAAGACAAAAGCAAAGAAGATGCCATGAAGAAAGAACTGCAGGATCTGGGTGCAGACGTCGTAATCACAGATGCCGAATTGCAGTCCCAAGGCATAAAAGACCAGGCCAAAGAATGGACAAACGGTGGTCGCGCCCCCATTCGTTTAGCATTGAACTGCGTAAACGGCAAAGCGGCTACAGCAATGGCTAAGCTGCTTTCCTCGTCTTCACACTTCGTTACCTACGGCGCCATGTCCAAGCAGCCCTTGACTATCCCTGCGTCCATGCTCATCTTCAAGGATATCCACTTCCATGGCTTTTGGGTGAGCAGATGGGCGGAGAAGCATCCCGAAGACAAGCAGAAGACCGTTGCTGATGTGCTGGATATGACGAGAAAGGGAGAGTTCAGAGATATGCCCGTAGATGAGATCAAGTGGGAGTGGGATACCAAAGGCGACGAGTTGATAGGCAAGGTCAAGGACACATTGGAGGGGTACAGGGATGGTAAGGGTGTGTTTGTGTTTGGTAAGACGTAGGCTGTGTATCCTTCAAAACAGGATTCATACATTTCATGGCATATATACGTTAAATTCTGAAAAGCCATGTAGTTCTGATATGATTGCAAAGGGTCCTACTGCAGGAACACTCTCGATCCATTGTTGGGTAAAGGTGCCCTGAATAGCACAAATGGTCGTTCCCTCCGATCCGTACCGGGGTAAAAGGACGAACTGAAAGCAAGCTGGTTGTCGGTGAAGTAAAGGTAGCCGTCGCTTCCAACGGACACTGTAACAGATTAGCTTTCATTCAAAAATGAGCAGCACAACAAAAAGAACACTTACTGGTATCCACCCAACTAATCCTTGGGTCCCTCACAAACAGCGTCATAGACGCGTTCGTCGGGTTATGAAACCCAATTTCATTCTGCTCCATATTACCCGCATAGATGAAACCATTAGTATCCGTCTCAAATCCATCGCTGACACCTCTTTCGCCCTTGTTGTTCACGGCGCCTAGCGCCAAAAGCTCGGAAGTCTGACTGCGGTCCCGCAGACGCTCGGTAGGAATGCTGTACAACGAGCGTCCACCAACAGGGCCAAAGTACAGGTGCCCTCCGTCGGCAGACAAGGCGATACCGTCGCTACCCAATGGTACTGTGGTAAGCGGTTGATCGGGACCAGGGATGTAGTAAAGCGGTTGTCCCCAGACATATGGGACGAAACCCCTCTCGGCCCTCGTTTCCTTCACACCGTCAAGGTGGCGCCAGCTCTCGCCTGTGCCTAGGTCCACAATGACGATTCCATTGCGGCCCTCGGACGAAGAGTCGGTGATATAGGCTACTCCTTTCCCAGAAGCGGTGATGGAAGGTCGCAAGTCGAAGCGGACGTCGTTGAGGTACGAGTCTGGGTATGCTACCGTGGGTGGAAAAACAATGGTTTGAATCACCGTGTCGGATTCAATGTCTACGCCAACGAGTTTGGGGCCGCCGGGGGACGCGTTGACCAGTGTGCCATCCTCGGTCAATGCGCGTCCAGTATCCAAGATCCACAGGCGATCTTGAGGGTCAAGGACTACACTCTGTACGCCTATGAGGTAGTTTTGGTAGTTCGCGCCTGTTGGTGGAGTTGTTGTGTAGTTGATAGCTCCATTCGGTGGGTTGTTGATCTCCACGCTGGGGTAGGGTGTTTCGGTGCCGTTGGCAGTGAGCTCTGCTACTGCGTACTTGTTGTTTGTGCCTGTGTTGGTGTTGTTGGGATCAAGACCTGCCGGGTAGTTTGAGAATTTGCGACCGCCTTTCGATACGGTAATACCTAGCATCCGTGTTAGTGGCTGTAAATTTGCGAGATTGCTATGGCGCATTGGTACCAGTAGGCCATTGGTCGTTGTACAGGTGCACAATCTCAAGAGCTGGGCCGGCGACACCAGGGTCAGAGCGAATGCGCTGTGTACTAGATAGCGTAGGAAGCAAAGCGCTCAACGTTAGTACACAAAGGGATAGCATCGTGGACGCGACAACAATTTGTTAACAAGTAATAATCGCGGCATGATGTTTGATAGAGCAGTATATATAGCCTCGGAGCATGTAAGCGCAAACTGTAAGCATTACCTCAGGCAATACCTAACGTCAATTGGCACCCGGGCACTGTTAGTCTTCACGTCATGTACGTGTCAGGTACCAGGATAAAATTGAGGAGCTATGGACGATCTCATCTGGATTTGAGGCTGCAGATAGGGAAGCTACCCGCTTGCGGCTTAGGTTCGACGGCGCCTCTCCCCGCATTTGTGATGCAACACCATTGGCGCACGTTGTGGACGGGAACAGCACCGCCTGGCCTGGTAATGGTTCCTTGTGGATGGCAACTTCTTTGATTTTCTCTATCTCAGGATTTCTCACCACGATCCTTTAGCCAACCCACCCTTGGATAACTTCCTTTAGAGAAGTACTACCGTCAGCCCCACTCCAGCTATGCGATCGCTCACTGTCTTCTGATTCCGGTCTAGCATCTATAGCCAACGCAGTAACCTTCAACTCTCCTTCATTGAAATCCACTCTGACATCCTTCGTGGACTTTGCGCCTTTCTTGCTGTCCTTGCTCCGAATTGACAGCCGTGGATCTTGGGTTCTCGTTTGCGCGCGTGAAGCATACTCACTCTTTAGGAGTCTATGCGCAATATGCAGGGAGAGAATCCAGTCGATGTATGACTTTAACTCTACAACACTAGCGAACTTGTGTTGCTGGAACAATCCGATATCGGAACTCAAAGTGGATGGAAGTGTAAGCTTGTGCTCTGTGCCAAAAGTCGGTTGACCGATGATCGTGCGTGTGACGACGATTAGATCCTCTGACTGTGCACCGTTGGACGTGGGTAGAGTCAACGTAGCTTTCCCATCGAACGGCTTCATGAAGATTTCAAGCAGCTGATCGGTCGCAGACAGACCCTTCTTTGACGTCGTTTTCAGGCCCTCTACAAGGTTCGCCCAAGACGTCTCACGTGTGGTCTCTAGTGTCGCATCGAGACCTGCACTATTCAGGGTTTTGGCGACCAAGTCAAGATAAACATAGAGCGAGTCAACGCCAGCGATGTGGTTGAGTACTGCGAGAAGCGTACGCAGTAGAGGTGGGGGAAGCTTCTCCCGTGTCTGACCTGTCAATGGAGGTGGAAGCTGCGATCTTCGATAGAGACGCATACTATGCTCATGAGCGAGAAGCAGCCGAAGTGCCTCAGCGATATTGCGAGCAAGCCAGTCGTGTTCATGACCTTGATTGCTCGCTATGGGATCGTCTCGAGGTATGCAGTCGATGAGCAACTTTCGGTCTTGGGATGCACTATCCATCTGAGGCGCGTCTATTCGGATGACTGAATCCCGAAATTCGACACCGTAAGCTAGGAGCTGCCTCGTCTCCAAGCTCATTTCATAGTACAACTCTTCCTCCAGCAGGGAATCGCGCGCAAGCTGGATAGATTTTTCAAGAGACTGGGCTGAGAAATCGCCGTCAAGGGGGGTTTGTGATGTACCTGTAATCTTGCCATCGATACTGACTCGCACGCGGAACGTCTTAGGCTTTAGCGCGAGAGCTGGATCTAAGATGATACTTCCATCTTTGTCCATCTGAAGAGGTGCGAATCCACGAGCTTTGAAGTGATCGCTGGCTAGAATATTGTCAGCTCAAATGCAGCGTATCAGCCAATGATCAGTCTTTACCTTCGGGGAGTCCATAACGCACGGCAAAAGGCGCATGGCGCACATTCTGACGTAGTCGTTGAATGGGCCACCCTTTGTCGGAGACGGATACGATCTCATGCCAGTATTTCGTCTCCCGGCGTATCTCCTTCTCCAAGTGTTTCGCAGCCTTCAGTATCTCGTCTACGGACGAATCCAGCGCCCCCATGCGTGCGCCCTGAGCCGCCACTTCTTGTTTGGATGCTAGATCCTGGAGCCGGTGTTGCTCTTCTATTTTGCGGATACGATGATCGTGATTCTCCTTGCTGATGCCGAACGAACCGAGTGGTATGCCCTGGTTCAGACCCTGATCTCGAAATGTCTGGCTGAAAAAGTTCAGGCTGCGCTTATTGGGGTCTTGGGAGAGTACGAGCGAGACAAGATCGAGCGCGTTCGTAGCAGCGAATTTTGCCCATCTATGTTTGGTCAGCCGTCACATTCAAAGTAAAGTATTCACGTATAGACGTACTCTAGATGACTATACATCTCCTGTCCTGCCTTGAAGACCTTCTCTAGCTGTTCCTGTCGAGACGGTACCTCCTTCTTCTTCTCCCTCTTCTCGTCCTTTGCTCCTTCCTCTGTATCGTCAGGTACATCTTTGCCCGCGTCGATGTCTTCTTGGAGCGACTGTTCCGTGATGTCGCGCAAGTGTCCCCGTTCACTGGCCAGCTGCTCGATCTTGAACAGCAGGTCGTCCTGGGTTAGCTCTTCCTTCTTTGGTGCTGGCCATGGGCGCAGGGTCACGTTGTCGAGTGAGTCCATCGCGGTTGCGACGACGTAAACACGGCGGGACAGCTTGGTTGAAGTTGGGTTCCTGTGGTTTGTCGGACGCGGTGGGCCCTTGCATAAAAGCCGTAGCTCTCAGTAGCGGCCGTTGTAGATCCCCGCTTATCGATTGCAGCTTCACCCTGCAACCCACGAATCTCGCACGTTGCGTACGCAATTGGTAGGCAAAAACAAACTAGCTGTTAACTGGTACAGTGGTCACAGCCAGCTCCTAAGCGTTAGTCTGCCCTTGTGCGGGGATGCCACAGTGTCACATGTGCATGGCCCCTTCCCTCTCCAGCCACTAACGGCGGTCTCCGATAAGCTTGGACAAACAGCTTGGATCACAGTGACAACTCACGGCTCACTGTTCTCTTCACTCGTCTTCGTTCCTCCTCCATCAATCGAGATACTTGCAACATGACTACACGATACCGCGTAGAATGTAAGTCAAAAACACCGTATTGTACCCTAGAGGTCGACATAGAGACAAGTACGCTGACTTGATGGCCTTCCATGTGGCAGATGCTCTCAAAGTGTGTATAGATCACAGTGACTCAACATATACCTGCAAGAGACTGACACGTTCCGAAAGACCCACAGGAGAGATCAGCTCGTAAGTATCTTGTGATGCGTGATTGGGATGTCCAGCTAATGCATGATACAGATAGAGTGGATAAAGGTATTGCTCTGTCTACTTGTGAGACAATTCCAGGAGCCTGCTAATGCCGTTCTAGGGCCTTCTAGCTGTGCCTTTTGTTTTGCACTCCCATCCCACAGCCGTGTTCGAGCCCAATGACGAGTCAGTCGAGCACCAAGCAAGCATCGCCCAACGGCGGTATGCAGAGATCTTACGCGACGTTGAGGAAATCATCAACGACCACAGTAAGCCATGAAGCTATTGCGGGCTTATACCGCCTACGATAGAACTTCGGAGCTAACGCAATGCAGTCCAACACCAGAAGGACGGCAAACCTGATAGATCCAAGCTGAAGCTTCTCGTTCCAACGGTAGCGAACTTCTTCACATCCCTAGCATTGCACGACGCTTTCATCTGGCAAGACCAAAGGCGTTTCATCAGCCACCGACGTTTCGTCCCCCCTTCTTTCAACGATGTGCGTCTAGTTCTCAACACAGCTCAAGTGATGAGTCTCATTCGTAACGGCCCACTCGAACTCGTGACCTTTGACGGAGATGTCACGTTGTATGATGATGGCAAAGACTTGACAGAAGACAACCCGATCATTCCAAAGATACTGGATCTCATGCGCCGTGGATCCAAGATTGGTATTGTTACAGCTGCGGGGTATACAGAGGCAAAACCATACTATGGCAGATTATATGGACTGCTGGACGCTATCCAGGCTTCTGACCTGCCCCTAGAAGCTCGGCAGAATCTGATCATCATGGGCGGCGAGAGCAATTTTTGCTTCAAGTTCGATGAGAACAGTCCAGTCCTGCTTCGCCTGATTCCTAGAGAGGAATGGCTGCTCAAAGAGATGCTTTCATGGCATGAATCAGACATCAAAGACTTGCTTGATCGGGCAGAAGCTTCTCTGAGGGACACGATTAGGAACTTCCGTATGGAGGCAGATGTCGTACGGAAGGAGAGAGCAGTAGGAATTGTACCCAAGCGCGGGCACAAGTTCTGCCGCGAGACGCTAGAGGAGACGGTTTTGATCGTGCAGAAGATACTTGTAGGTCTGGAGAATATGCGTAATGTTAGTAACACTGACGTTGGTAGGAAATATCCGAGGTCGGTCAGCGTCTCCCGTTTTGCGCATTCAATGGTGGCAACGACGTGTTTGTCGACATAGGAGATAAGTCGTGGGGTGTTCTAGCCTGCCAGCGAATCTTTGGAGGGATTGAGGGCAGCAAAACGCTCCATGTAGGCGACCAGTTCTTGAGTGCTGGAGCAAACGACTTCAAGGCTCGACTGGCATGTACGACGGCGTGGATCGCGAACCCGCAAGAGACGTGCCAGCTGCTCGATGAAATCACCGAGTTGGACGAAGTGCACCAGCGCAAGACAAGATGAAGGCAATCCACGGTCAGGTTGTGCATAGCGATGACATCAGAATCTTCCGAAAGCTACGGCAAAAGGGGCAGGCCGTGTGGCGGATCAAGTTCTGCAGGGCATATGGCTACAGTATGTGTTTGATGCACGTCGCAGCGAATGCGATATGCGCCTAGATAGCCGTTGAAGATCATTGATAAAGGGTCTTAATAAATCGATATGCGGAGGCAGATGGCGACATGCACGATGCGCGCTCGGAACGGCTCTTCTGCATTATGCCCTGACCCTGACTCGGGCGAGTGACCCACAGCGTTCTCTGGTACAACTGTCGCGCTAGAGGCTCGTCGGTGACGCGGAAAAGGCACGCATTCACTCGTTGCTGCACGACAGTTTTTTTGACGCGCGTGTGTTTCATTTGTGTCTTGTTTTCTCTTTGTTGGGCGTAGAAGGCGGGTTGGGCTTCTGGGGAATGTTCGAGGCTGACCCGCCGTATCCGCTGCGCCTCTGGTGTCGTGCAAGGCGCTGATCCCTGCTAACCGTCGTGTAATCCCTGGCCCGTACTCCGCTTCACGAAAGCACCTCCTGAGCTTCCACCCGCCTGCGGCTTCTGCGAGACACGCTCATCTATTGCCGCGTCGCTCCCAGCCCTCAATTGCCTCCACTCCCGCTCAACTCGGGTCTATCTGCCATACATCGCAATCTACCATACGAGTCTGCAAACAAGCCGTCACAATGGGGTCCAACAAGTTTTCCTTCAAGCCACTGACGCTTGCGCCCATCAACTTCTCTCTCACCGAGGGCACTTCGATACCTGCACCGCTCGACAGCCCGCCCGACTCACCGCGTCCTCCAACACCCGGCAAAGGTCCGCTGTCATCGCACCCCACCCCGAAGTCGCCCGGTTCTCCACCACAAACAGAGTCGCCGCCTCCAGGCAAAGTGTCAGAGGACTCGACGGCGAGCCCACAACTCCATCAGAGCCGTACCAGCGATGCGGCCAGCACCATGTCGCCCACGAGTCCCTCGGCAAAGCGGCCTGCATCCGTTCGAAAGTTCCTCGGCATTCGCACGCTATCGTCAAATGACAGTCTGAAGTCGGAGAGGCCAGGCTCGCCAGCCACAATAAACAGTCAGGCACCGAGTCTGAGCAGGAGGAAGAGCGGCAGTTGGTTCGGCAAGAGGAAGACGTTCGCCGTCGGATCAGTGCCAGAAGGACACGCAGACCCGACAACCTACTCGAATGGTCGCACCGTCTCCCAACCATCCGTGCCGGCCGCACAGGCACCCAAGCCCAAGGGTCCGCCGCCTCCAGCGCTGCCCGGACTTAGCTCTTTCGGTGTCAACGAAGACACGCTGAGTCTCGGCGCCGACGACATGTTTAAAAACATTGGAAAGACGGACGCGCCAAAGTCGACGAGGTGGTAGACGGGGGCACACTACATTAGTAATGGGGGCATGTTCATGATGCATTTCTAACGGGGTTCGAGTTTAATGTCCTTATCGTTATACCTTTCATGGGCCACAGGTTGGAGTTTTGAAAATTTGTGGCATCATTATTTTTTTTTGGCTTGCATGTGCACAACGATACCCCAGTCGATACCGTATAGCGATGAAGTGGCACGTATGGAGTGCGTCCGGGATGAGGTCTTGTGACGACTGGGGAGGACGATGGGTTTGGCAGCCTTCTATTACTCTGGCTTTACATATCACACTCTGCTAGCGTTCACTTCGATGATGGATGTTTGGCCGCGGCATTCTTTTACCGCCGGTCACTATAAATACACTTTCTTATTACCAAACATGACTCTCCGCCTCGTGTTGAAACTAATCAGACGTCAACAGTACAAGATGCGTACCCCACGTGGCGCGGACCACGCGCGTTGCTGTCGTGGGCTAGCGCGAAACCCTGATCACAACAAACATTGCATATGCGGGAACGGGTGCATCAACACCAACCCTTATCGCACCCGGTCTACCGCCTTACCCAACCGCCGAGTAGCATAACGGCGGACAATTGCGGCATAATTGTGACAGCATAACATATCATGGCCGACCCGGGAATGTTCTCGGTGCGCCGTCAGGTGAGTACATGTTGCGGACCCCCTCCTGTCGCATCTCCTAACCACACGCGCAGACATTAGGACCAGTCAACAACAACTCGTCTGCCATTCCCATGCCAGCCTCAGCCATGAAGCGCTCGAGCTCTATCAACAACATGCAGAATCCTCAATTCCCACCCAACCACGCGCGATCGAAAAGCGGGAGTAGAATGTCCCTCGCGCCAGGGCGTCCGAGCCAGCCCCTCTTCCCACGTTCATCCTCTGGTACAGACCTCGCTCAAGGCTTCCAGTCAGTACACCGCAACTCGACAAGCAACTTTGGCGCGAGCAGTGGGCGCAAGAGCTTTGCGCCAGGCGCCTCCATCTTCCAAACTCCAGCGCCGCCTTCTGGGCCAAACTTCGAACAGAGCGCACAGCGGAGGAGCAGTGTTTTCAAGTCGCGGACCTCGCATGTATCTGGACAGTCCGGCGTAAAGCAGTCTTTCTTCCAGACGGCGCCTATGCCATCCGTTCCCCCAACGGACCCGCGGCGACTCAAAGATGCAAGCACACGCCAGCACATGGCACAAGAGCTGCTCGAATACCTAACACAGAACAACTTTGAGATGGAGTCTAAACATGTCCTCTCAGCAAAAGCCATGACTTCGCCTACACAAAAGGATTTCAACTGCATGTTTCAATGGCTCTACAACCGAATCGACCCTAGCTACCGCTTCCAGAAATCCATCGACCAGGAAGTGCCAATACTACTGAAGCAGATGCGCTACCCCTTCGAAAAGTCCATCATGAAGTCACAGATCGCGGCTGTTGGTGGAAACAACTGGTACACCTTCTTGGGTCTCTTGCACTGGATGATGCAGTTGGCGCGTTTGATGCAGGCATACGAGGCTGGCACATACGACGATGCTTGCTTTGAGGCTGGCTTTGACGTTTCTGGAGACCGCATCATTTTCGACTTCTTGTCGGACGCTTACAGTACCTGGCTATCAGCAGAAGATGACGACGACGATGAAGAAGCACAAAAGAAGCACATGGAGCCCCACATCAGGACCATGGCTGCTAAATTCGATGCAGCAAATGCACAGCATCACGAGCAAGTCAGCCTTCTAGAGGCCGAGCACAAATACCTTCAAGAACAAATCGAAGAGCTAGGAAAGTCTGGCCCGAGGATCCAAAAGTTGGAGGAGCAGATTCGCATTCTGGAAGAAGACCGTGTCAAGTTCGAAAACTACAACAACTCCATGGAAGGAAAGGTCAAGAAGTACACCGATCGCTGCTCTTTCCTGGAAAAGTCAATTGAAGAAATCGAGGCAGAACTCGAGGCTTCAGAGAAGGAACAGCAAGAGCTACAAGCTATCATCGACGGCCGAGGCATGACCATTGCGGATATCGACCGTATGGCAAATGAAAGAGACCGCCTTGATACTTCTCTCCAAGCAACAACAGTTCGATTAGAGGAATCCAAGAAACGGGTTGCGGAAAAGGAAATCGCTGCGTCTCGCAAACTGGATGAACTCGAACAGACCATCGAACGATACAACAATCTGGGCTACCAGATCGGCGTTATCCCCTCTACAGCCGTCAACGCCAAGGGTCAAGACTATGAGCTCGTGCTCACCATTACCGACGGTCCCAACTTCTCGGGATCGCAGATGGGTGGCTCTTCGCAAGACGCATCAGATCGCCTGCTCCACGACGCGGGCACAGGATACTCACCAGCACATCTCCTCAACCTGGACCTCCGCGGTACAGTCAAAGCCAACATAATCGCACTCCGCAAAGAGATTGCCGAACGACGCAACCAAGCTTTAGAAGCCGACATGAACAACCACGATCTCCTGGACAAGATCAAAGAAGCCATGGACGACAAGCAAGCAGAAGTCGAAGCCCTAGGCCACCGCGTAGCACAAGCAGAAGAAGAGTTGGAAAAGTTACGCGAGATCACAAACACTCAAAAGAGTCAATCCGACGCTCAAATCGAGCGCATGGAGAAGGAATTGGGCCGCATGCGCAGCGGACTAGGAGAGAGTGTTCAGCTGATGGTGCAAAGAGAAATGGCCGTGAACATTGAGTAAGTGTTATTACCCTTCTCACTCCCTTGTTTGTTTGTTTTTTGACCTTGAACAAAACTAATCGCGTATATCAGGTACGAACAACTCCAACTCCGCGCCAACGCCCTCCGTGAAGAACTTCACACGGAAATCGAGCGTATGCTCGACGATATCGTGCGCTTCAAACTTCACGTACAGAAGAGTTTGGAAGAGTACGAGCAGTTTATTGCTGATGAGGTGGAGCGTAGCTGTGAGGAGCAGGATATGCTCGCCGAAGGTGAAGATGAGGACATGGTTGAGGAGGCGTAAAGCACGTTTGTGTGTAAATGAGGCATGGGTAATGAGTTGGCAATGAGCTTATGACGGAGTTCCCCGGTATTTTAGTATTTGTGGTTGTATGACGCTCCTGGACACTGTGCCAGCGTTAGGAGTTGCAAAGGGGGGGTTTTTTTTTGGGAGGGTTGTGTTTACGGATACCTTTCTGAGATACCTCTTGTCTTTTTTGTTTACCCGATTTTCGAGTTTGTTGTCCATAGGATGTATCTGATGTTGATCGTCATCACCTCCTCATCTTCATGGTATGAACGCTTCTGTGGTCTTGCTTCATGTATAGCTGTTGGGGTATCTAAATGCCTCGTCCCATCACCACAGCGCCCATCACCTTGATCGATCAATGTGCCTGTTTACTACCCAGCCATCAACCCTCTTCCACTCGTCATCATCATATTGCTCAACAGCTCAACTTGACTCTTCAATCCAGCCATTTCAATAGTCTTCTCCTTGACCTCCTTGGTCTTCTCCGTCAGCAGTCGCCGCAATTCCGCATTCTCCCGCCTGAGCTGATCAACCTCTATTTCAACAACTTCGGGGGGAGCTGGGGGCCGTGGGCGGCCGTCAAGCGAAGGATCGATACTTGAGTCTTTTCGAGTGGGTGGGAAGGGCACGGGAGGTTTAGAGGCGTGGCCAGCGAGGTGTCGGTATGGATATGGTGGCTGCTGCGCGTGTCGTTGGTTGGGCGGATTCATGCCGGTTTCGCTGACATGGGCAGTGTCGTGGGCTTCGGCGTCGTCGTCGGAGCTGTTGAGGCCATCGCCGACCTGCTGGCCAGCTGCCTTCCTCGCCCTCTTAATCTGCGCTCGTATATTGTACACGTCGCGCTTAAAGATATGTATACCGGGTAGTCTCGCTTGTAATACCTCTACCGTCCTTCCTACGCCTCGGTCGCGACCCTGGTTTGGTTCGCCCTTCCGTAGCATTTCCTGTTCCACAATCTTCCAAACGAGCCCCCCACGTTCAAGGCTGTGTTGGGGCCTCCTCGGTGCTTGTGTGGACGTGCTTTCAGTGTCCTCGTTGCCATCGGCTTCCACATCCACGTCGTCGAGAGTATCCTTGCTATCCGATAGGCTCAACTTGGCGAGTTCCTCCTTCGCCGTGACGCCTCCTACTCCAATGCGTCCGCCAACGACACCCCATGTCCTCTTCCGCTGGACAGCCCATCCCGCACTTTGGCGCCCAAGGTGGTTGTGTTGTGCTTCGCCCACGCGCAACAGCCATGTGCCGTCGTCCTGCTTCCTGCCCTCGATCCACATCTTGCACCCCGTCTTATAGCTAACTCTGTTCTTCCTGATTCTCGTCTCGGCTGTGAGCTTGTGTGTATTCTTCGGTTGACCATAGCAGACACAGGCGAGTTTGATGCGGGATCGATTTTTAGCCGTCGTATTGATGGATAGTGCGTATCCATTTTGGGAGGCGTGCGACTGCGCATAATCGTGAAGCGCCTGCCATGAAGCGTGTACCGAGTTGGAAGGCGGGAGCATAGCAAATCGACTGTCGGACGCTTCGTTGCTTACGGGTGGTAGTGCTGAGTTGTGCCGGATGCCGATGTAAGGAGCTTCTGACGTAGGGCTATTGACGTTGCAACCATGATGCTGGTCGGCTGAAGACTGCTGGAACTTCTGGTGCTTAATCGGCGTGTCGTTTGGGGAGTAGCTGTCCTCGCGCTGTGGCCCGTGACTGTTCATACTCGCGGCATGTTGTTGCGCGTCGGTGGTGGTGGGCTCGCAATAGGCTGCCATGCTGCTGTGTTGGGCTGCAACATGATGATGCGACGCTGGAAAGACATCGTAAGCTGGCTGCGGGGTCGCGACTGCGTTGCCGTGACTATACGTAGGCACTTGGTCGAAGTTGTGATGGTGGCTGAAGGTGGCTGTCATGGTTGGTTTGATATGGAGCAGCTCTTGTTACGTTCCGGATCACTTCAGCCGCGGGCGTACGGCGCTGTGCAGGTGTCCGTCACCTGCGCACGTCGCGAATGTCCCCAAGATATGAGCAATATGCCTCTGGTCAATGCTACCATATTCGGGCGGAAATATCGAGGCTCAGATGAATCCATCTTTGGTACGTCGCCTTTTGCGCATCAGCCGATTGGCCCCTCGGAACTTTTGAGCATCAAGGTTGCCGTCACAACAAAGCAAAGCAAACATCATTAGAACATGAATCAACCACTACTTTAGTCACACCAGAAAGCACTCGAGATATCTTCTTTAGTCGTAGCGATTTTCATATACTTCAACATAGGTCGAAGTAGCTCTACTCCCTCAAAGTAACGTCCACCCACATGTCCTTGATCTCCCATAGCCCAAGGGAATTGAATGTCTTCCACGGCTCCAATGGGTTGATCAATGACAGGTCAAAGTGTCTCAACAACTCAAAGACACACTTATGTATCTCGATCAACGCAATATTGCGTCCCAAGCAAAGCCATCGACCGTAACCAAATATCATATCGTTAGTCTTTGTCATCCTGGCTAGACGCTCCTTTGCATCTGCACTGCTCGTGTCAACGAGCCAGCGTTCAGGACGAAATGTACCGCAGTCCTCGCCGTAAAGGGTGCGGTTGTTGCGGTGCATGGTCCAGGCCGAGTAACCAACCAAAGTGCCGCCAGGGATGAAGTGTTCCTTGTTGTCGATAGTTACGACGTCCCCTTCATCTGGCGTAACTCTTGAGAAGAGGTTGGCAACTGGCGGGTGTATCTAGGGAGGATATCATCAGCGTATGCTTATGCAATGACCAATGTCAGTCAAAAGAAGACTAGACTTACCCGCATTCCTTCCCGAACAACAGCACCCAGATATGGTAGTTGGCGCACTTTAGTATCCGAGATGATACCAGGAGATGCAGGAGCCGTGCCGTTCTCAACTGCCTCATCAACCTCAGCCTGTAGCTTTGCGTACACACGCGGGTGGCTCATGATATAGAGCAGAATAATCCGAATAGCAGCAGCCGTGGTGTCAGAGCCAGCGAGGATCTGCTCGAACACCTCTTGAACTAAGCATAATCAGTTATTCGACGCTCAAGTATCTTATATGATAGCCCTCGTGTCACCTACAAAGATCATTTCCTGAGAGACCATGGCGAACGAATGATGCGAACATATCAGACTTTTCGTCAGTTGACTTCATCATCCTGGATTTGACTATCTTTCGAGCTTGAGCCATCATGTTGCCGAACCCAGTGGCATCCTTTTCCGACGGACTGATGGCAGGCCCGATGATAGACGTGTCTCTAAGCCAGGCTATGCCCATTGCAAAGGCTGTGTTTCCAATCTTGAGGCCTGCTTCGCTTGACTTCAGGTAGTCTTTGAGGTCTTTGTCGGCTTTCAGATCACCAAACGCTTCTCCAAGGCCAACATGACTGATAACATCCAACGTGAAGAAGGGGATCTTCTCGGCTAGATCCATCGGTTTAGATGGCTCCGTTGATGCTATTGGTACTGCATACTTGTGCACCAAGTCTATGAGCTCTTTGACATGAAGGTCGATCGAAGGCTCAAGTGTCGGGTTCTCTTTACCAGAGTACTACAGCACGTTAGATGATGTGCAGCCTAATCGCCTGGCCAGTTATGTATTCGGAAGAGATGCGCAATCTCATCACTCAGGCTGTTATTCACGTACCCCAGATGTCATCTTCTTGCGCCTTGCATCATGGCTATCATTGTCGCAATCTGTAAAGACATTGTCTTTTCCCGTCTCAAATCGAGCAGAATGGTAGTACCACGACGACCTCGTATATGGCGAGCGCACTGCATTGATTCGTGCCCAATATTCTGGGTCCGATGTTATAAGATGGTTCGGTGCAATCCTGGCAATCGGCCCTAAAGGATAGAATTAGTGTCGGGGTCACGTAGCAATCCTCCTCTCCCAATACGTACCGTACTTCTCACAGACTTCGCCATAGTACCTAGGGGATTGACCACCGACAACGGCGCTAGAATGCCACAGCCAAGAGAATCCCGTCGTCTTAGGTCCGGCGAATCGTCTCAAGCGCAAGTACTGTCGTATGCGGCCGACAGCAAAAAACGCCACAGCGACAAATGCGATGGCGTACAGGCGCCGTGAGACATTGTCAAGAGATGATTCGGGCGGAGTGGTGTCCATGGTTTGCCTGAAGTGGAGTCAGAGGGCAAGGATTCCAGGTCGTAGATGATGAACGAGTCTCATGAGAGTCGTTCCTATCGGTGGGGTAACACTCGCTGAAGGCGCGTGCGGTGTTGTGCGCTATGTAATTAGTGGAGCGCGCCGCTGCAAGCTCCTGTGGAATTGGTTGTTGGTCGCTTTTATCGGTCAAGGACCGACTGGACATTGGACAATATGCGGAGCTCGCAGCGGCATGATGGCAAGAGTTGTGAGTTGTGAGTTGTCAATACCTAGGTGCGCCCCACCGACAAGCAGCAGCTTTGGCGGAAGCCACAGCGACATCTAGAACCCATGTCCATTCTTTATGGAGAGTAGTGAGAACCTGAGTAGTTTGCAGGCGTCGTGGCATGTCAGGGTTGTTTGCGCTAGCGTTGTGCTGTTGATTTTCAAGGTTCCCTTGTTGAGCGAAGATGACTGATGTTTGCACAAGCCGGCGAGATAGCGCAGTGCCGCAGCGACAAGTCTTGTCCTACATAAGCAATGCTTTCGTCGTGGTGATCATCGCAATCAAATGTCGATGGTTCAGGTAACGCAATACAGCGAATCACTGTGCGGAGACGACTCCGGTCGAAAACCGGGTTGCAGCCCGGAATGTCGAGCGTGCAGGAGGCTCCCGCGATCTCGGTCCACAAACCACGTTTTCTGCCCTATATGCACGTTTGTCTGGATGGAGCACTTCGGACGTCAGCGCCTTTCTGTTCTAGCCTTGTGGAGAAGGGCACCTTGCCCGTCCTTCCACCCGGGCAGTGTCTCTGACGGCATCTACCGCTTCAAACGTTTCCCTCGTTTTCTCAAACCTCCTCCTAGATTTGACTATCCATTTATGCATGATAAACTCGTTCAAGAGTCATCACAAGACGTCGGGGCGTTGAACATACACTCGCTTATCAAGTTGCTCCATTTCTTCCCATGCCTGCTGCACGATTAAGGCACAGTTACGGCTACTGACCCTTGACATTTGATTGCCGCGGATAGTGCATGTAGCAGGACTGGTGCGCCAAGATCGTTCTCCACGCAATTATTCATTAGTGTCACTGCGAGATCACTTCACAAAGTTAAATAAAGTTTCAACAATGGCAGACCTTGGAAAAGAAAAAGGAAAAGAGAAGGAAGTTGTGAGCGAGTCAGCAGAGACGTCCAGAACGGTTGCACCTGCCATACCACCGACAGACCCTACTGCTTCATCAAGTGCAGCAGAAGATGCTGCTGCCTCTACAGATCCAGCACAAGCACCTGCGGCACCAACAGGACTTCCATCAGAAACCGTAGAAGGTCCTGCGCCAACTGCTCAACTCGTCAACCCATTTGTCTTAGTTGTGAGTGTATCAAGACTTTTCCTTACAACTAGATTGATTGCTCGGAAGCCATGCGCCACAGAGTATCCTTTGCCGTTTAACATTACCTCGAGAATCTTCTGACATGAGCAGGACAGCACAGACGACACGGACTCGGCTCTGGGCGACGACGATGCTAGTGACACAACATCCATCGCATCAACTATCCACAAAGGACGCTTCGAGAATGGACGTCGATACCACAAGTATCGTGAGGGCGAAAACGATTATTGGGGTCCCAACGATGAGGTGCAGAATGACCAGCTCGATATTGCACACCACATGTTCCTCATTCTGCTTAATCAGAAATTGCATCTAGCGCCTATCAAAGATCCAAAGAGGGTTTTGGATCTCGGGTGCGGCACGGGCATTTGGTGTATGGACATGGCCGATGGTGTGTCTCCCATTTTCTACCTCTACTAGGGATTACTCCAACAGCATACCTGTCCTAATTAACATGACTAACTCCATCTGCAGAATACCCCGGTGCCGAGATCCTCGGCGTAGACCTCTCTCCTATCCAACCCCAGTTCACACCTCCAAACTGCAAATTCGAGATAGATGACATCACCCTTCCATGGACGTTCTCACAGCCCTTTGACTTCATCAACATCCGCTCCCTATACGGTTCCATCGGCGACTGGCCTACGCTCTACACGCAAGTCTACAACAACCTCGAGTCAGGCGGCTACCTCCACGAACTAGAAATGAGCATCCAGTTCAAATCCGATGATGGCACGCTGACGAAAGACCACGTCCTATCGACTTGGAGCGATCTCTTCCACGAAGCATCGGAGCGTTTTGGTAAATCTTTCTACGAAGTCTGGAATTTGTCGACGTATATCCGTAATGCGGGATTCGTGGATGTCGAAGAACGAGTGTACAAAGTTCCTGTGAATGGGTGGCCGGCAGATCCTCATATGAAGGAGTTGGGAAGATGGAACTTGTTGCATATCACCCAGGGAGCAGAAGGGTGGGGACTGTATCTGCTGACCAAGGTTATGGGCTGGTCAGTAGAGGAGGCCCAGGTTTTCTTTGCAAAGTTCAGGGCGGGAGTGAAGGAGAGGAAGGTACATGCGTATTTTGAGGTCGTGGTTATTCATGCAAGGAAACCTTAGTGAGAGGCAGCATGTCTGAGAAGGGGAACGAGGACGACGCTTATAGGAATAGTGCTATTGTTAGTGAGGCATGGATATGTGACACTTAAGGCTCACCCAGAACGTTGCTGGTACATGGTTTTATTTCGTAGTGATGCATCGCTCATTAATGTATTACTTTAAAGCCAGGGTATACGCGTAGGGGATATCAATCTGAACCAAATGCCTACCTCACTTCTATTGCTGCTGTGTGGCCAAGCCTACCTGCGGTCAGGAGGTGGGGTGGCAGTCTTGGGAACCTCCCCCGACTTTGGGTCAGGAAGATGTGACACACTCGGAAGATCAGCTACGGTTGTCGACTGCTCTTCCTTCTCTTTGCTATCTTTGATGATAAGCGGCTCCTGGGGCGAGGAGGCAGGCGTAATCTTCCCGCTATCCCTTATCCTGGCCTTTGACTGATCACCAAAGATGGAGTCGGTGTCCTCGTTCATGGAAGAAGCGCTGCTAATACGTCCTGACTGTCCTTCTTCAGCGGCGAGGCGTTCTTTTTCGAGACGGGTCTCGCGACCGCGCTTGTGACAGTACCAGAAAACGAATAGCAGTACTAAACTATGTCAGCTCAGCCCATACATGATATAGACACGGGATACGTACCGAAGACTGCCAAACTCATAATGACGTTGGTTCCAGTTGCCAAAGCAGGGAACCTGAACTTCAGGAAGTTCACAATACTTCTCAGCGCTGTTGCAACAGCACCCTGAGCAGAAACCAGCGACTTTAAACTCGGCACTTTGGGCACTTGAGGAAGCATAGATCTCTTGCTCTTGGGTTTGCTGGATCCAGAAGCTGCTTGTGCATCAAAGCCAGGCTTCTCCGCCGATGCAGCCATCAGCTCAGGGCCGAGAGTGGCTGTGAGCTTGGCCGGCAAGCTCTTGACCAGGTTCTGTAGGAAAGGAGGAAGATTGCCGTACATCTTTTTGAGTTGATTGTCGTAGTCAGTGAAGAGCTTCTCGAGGTCGTTGTAGGCTGTTGGCACTCCGTTGATGAGATCTTTGAGAACCTGGGTGAATTTGTTGAGGAGCTCTTCCGACTCTTTGCTGAAGCTGAAGACGCGGTTGTTGACAGCTGAGAGGTTGAGTTGGTCCAGTATCTCGGTCAGCTCCTTGTCCTCTTTCTGTGCATCAGTGAGCTCGGCAGCTTTGGCGGATTCGGCGGCAGCATGGAGATCATCTGCGAACTGGGTTCTGTCCTTCTCCGTGACTACTATCTTTTTGTCTTTTGAAGCCTTTTCTCCGTCTTTCCTGTTGAACTTGGGCAGCTGGAAGTAAGACATGACGCTCTTCTTCCTGCCTAGCCCTCCATCAGTAGCCTTCCCTTTGCCCTTTTCGCTAGCATCAGCAGTGGTCTCGGGCGGACTTATGGGAAGCGGCACTTTATCTGCATTGTCCAGGAGGGCTGTCTGGGCATCTCTGCCAACCTTCTTCTCGCCATTGCTGTCGACTACTTCTGTTCGCTGAGGGAGAGGTGGGGGAGTGCCTTCGGGCTCCGAAGCGATGGCGGCAAGTCGCTCAAGGAATCTTTGGTCTTCGGCGTCGAGAACAGGATCGCTGCCTACTTCTTCGCTGGCATCGGCGACAGTCGGTGCTGGCGGGGAGGGCACGGGGCCGCTAGGCCCGGCGGCGGGTTCTTCAATTCTAGGAACAGCACCATCCTCTACTTTCGGTACGGCAGATTCTGAGACTTTGGGAGGGTCTTCGATAGGTGGCGCCCCAGGCTTCTGCTTGTTCTGAGGAAACAGCTGCTTGGACTGTCGGCGCATCTTCTCCAGATAGGATGCCATGGTGAATGTGCGCGTCGGCGTTAGATGGTGATGGGGGATGAGTGGGGTGCGAGGTCGCGCTGTGAGATTGGGCGTTTGCAGGATAGATATTTCAGCTTAGATTTGACACGGATTGCTTGGGGGCGATCTTCCAGGCTCGGCGGCGCTCAGCATGTCGTCGTGGGCGCGTTAGAAGCCCTGATTGTGGTCCCGCGTTTACAAGCGTTACGTCATGGGCAGGGGTGTCGTTCTAGAGCTCGCGCCACGCTATGAGGGGCGGGGAGCGCTACGCCCTTGGCTTCACACATCGCGACGCGTCAAACTTCACAATGACTACAAGAGCTTGGTTGATAGATCAAATTCGAACCAGCATGTTCCGGACTACAATTTTTACCTATCGCGACCTTCACAGGTTCCAGTTGCTACAAACTCAGGTCGCTGATATCTGACTAACCTCACACGGATCATCGTCGGCGAATCACCCGCCGCAAGCATTGGATATGTACCCAAGTATTGCACTCGAGCATCACTATTCAGGCTTGAAGCATCTCAACCGCTCGATATATTCACGCTAAATCCTTCCTGGATAATCACAGTAACGTAGCGATCTGCTCGCTTTCCTTCCTCGCTCGGCTTCGTTTACAAGGCCAATTTTTGATCATCTTGCAAACCCTCCTCCATCCTGGCCTGACATAAAAGGGCTATTCTTTGGAGCAGGAATATAATGGCTATAATAAATTAACTTAGCTTCTGTACGAGCCGCTGCCGTCGAGTCGATGGCCTACAAGCTGTTTCCAGTTCCCTGGTTGGCGACATCAAGATTGAGCGTGACGAAAACCGGGTATTCCGTCAATCATTACTCACACCTTCTGTTCAATCATTTAAGATAGTTCCATTTCGAACATTTGTATGCTTTCAAGTAGAAAATCCTTGGTCTGTCAGGGGTGGGGTCCGGGTTACACACTACAACAAGGCTTTACCCATTTCCTCGGCCTAATCGTATTTCAAACGTGGCTGTCAATCACAAGCGCTCTCCATGGTATGCATTTTCTAAGAGACAGGAGTATTGCCGCGGATAATCTCTCACTTCAGCTTGTCTCCTGATCACTCCGAAGATCACCAGATCCGAGTTTTAAGGAGATCGCTTCGTTTACAATGGTAGCCAGAATTATGTATACGCCATAACAACATGGCTATGGGGGGTTCGAGGACCGAGCCCTCATCACCTATCCTATATCTCACGTGTAAGTGACGAGGGGTAATCTGGATCGCGTACTCCCGTTGTTTCCGACGTCCCCCTTCTCCAGTACATAAGCAATATCCTACTTGATTTCCTCGTCTCTCCCCTACCCCACTCAACCGCCGCATCAATTTGGGAGTAAGTCACTACCGCTTCAGTCTATGCAAAACACTTGCGCTAGTCTTATTGAAGCCACTGGTTAAACAAAGTGCGCGATTCGACTGTCCACCTTTACCTTTGGCAACTACAATTTGCTGACGCGTTCGCTTACCGATAGCCTGATAGGCTACCGTGCGGTTATCTAGAGCATCAATACGACACACGCATTCGAAAACAAGTGATGGTGTCCCACTCCACACCACCAACACTGAACATATCCCCGCCGTACCCAGCACTGCAACCAACAACATGACTGACCAGGCTCTCATCTTCGACGGTAAGTACCTTGGTGTATGCCTTGCCTACGCATCATACCGACCAATTTTACAGGCGAAGAGCCGCTTGACCAGATCGATTTTGAGGAGGGCTTGAACGATGACGATTTCATCGAGGACGCTGCCCAGTCGGCCGACGATGTAAGCACAGAACTCGACTATCAAATCATAGCTGACTTCAGCCTAGTTCGACAATGGCGACTTCGAGCTCGACGGCTTCGATGATCTCGGTATCCCTCAATACAATGATGAGGACGAGGCAGATGACTATGATCCGGAGTATGACGACAACATCACTGGCCCGAAGCGCAAGCGCGCTCGACCTAACAGTCTCCCTAAGAAGCGTCAGCCCTTCCAACGTTCTGTCACCGGTGCTCAAACCCACAATGCCGAGGCCTTCATTTTGGACGAAGACAATGATTTCCTCTACAAGCAGTCTTCCCGTGTTCCTGGTACCTTCGGCCGCTGTGACCGTCGTAAGGGAGAGAGTCTTCCGGCGTACCATAAGCGTGTCTCTCATGAGCTGGACTCCGACGACGAACTCATGATGCAGATGCGTGAGAAGGGTTTCAGCGATCGCCAGATTGCCGACAGGCTTGCTAGGGACGGTCGTGTTCGCTACGACCCGAAGTCCATCTCTACACGCATCATGCGCATCCGCCTTGCGCAGGCTGACAATGTCGATTTCCTTCTGAAGGAAGGCTACAAGGAATGGGAGTACGCCGATGTAAGTTTCTAGTGAAGTGACTTCCACTTGTGACTTCGCTAATATATATTCTAGGACGAACTACTAATCCAGGCTCACGCTCTTGCGGACATCGAGATCAACTACGAGATTGAGCGTATCCGCGCTTGGCGCTTCCGCAAAGTCTCTGAGTACATGCGCCGGCTTAACAAGGACGCTCTCTTCTCTGCCCTTGCCTGCCGTGAGCGCTACAATTCCATCATGGAAGGCACAGCCCGCATTCCCACAGAGATAGATGACGACCCTGGAGCCCGCCGTGCTGACATGGAGGAATTCCGTATGACCCGCGAGAAGACCCGTACCGAAGAGAAGGCCAAGCAGGACGCTCAGGACGCTGCTGAAGCTAAGGCTAAGAGTGATACCAAATCTCGTAACGCTCAAAAGGCTGAGGAGATCGCCAACAAGCGCGCCGCCAAAGAATCGGAGAAGGCGAACCGCGCCATGGCCCGCGCTGCCCAAGCTCAGATCCGTGCTGCTCGAGCTATAGACAATGTCAACACCAAAGCTCAGCGCAATAACCAGCTCAAGAACCAGAAGAAAGCTCGAGAGGTCAAGAAGCCCGCCGCAAATGAGATTAGTCCTTCTACTCTCAACAACAGCAAGAAGGTGCCTTCCGAGACCTCTGACCTACGTTCTTACCTCTCCGTCCCCGACCTGAAGAAGATGTGCGAAGACCGCGGTCTAGATCTTCCAAGGAGGATGAAAAAGGATAGTCTTGTGCAGGCTCTCATGGACGCAGATGATGAGTTCAGCCAGAACGACCTCAAGAAGATGTGTCGCTCCAAGGGCTTGAATGCTAATGTTAGTAAGTTGCAGATGAAGCACCAGCTGGCGTTGGCCTCCGCGCAAGCTTATGGATCGTATGGCAAGGGTGTTGCCGCTGCGACTGCGGTGGAGGATGGCGATGACGAGATGGGTATGGATGAGGAGTAGAGGGGGTTTGGTGTTTGGTTGGGGCTTCTGTGGCTTCAATGTATCAAAATTGGAGTAATGTGGTATGAAGACCAATTCGAGTCTTGTCAGGTTGGACGATACGTGCAGTGCTTGAGCACAGCTGATGAATGTGTATGCCTCAGGGTGGGGTTCGAGTTTGACAGCTCACTGGTAGGAAAACATTTCCGTTCCTAAAATCAACAGAGTTCTTGTCGCTGAGCCCATTGTTCGCAATCAGAATATGCCGTAACCACCAATGGTCCAAACAAAGAATTAATATAGGTATACGTGTCCAACTCTGATCGAATCGGTTCACGATTCGCCAGCATCCGGAACTCCCAACACCGACTATGCACTGACGCAGTCTTATCCCTCTAATGGCCAAACGTAGACATTCGGACATTTCGCAAGGGTATCTTCTGGCCACTACCAACACTCCCATTTCTGACCTCCCATCGCCACAAGCCGATTGAAGAGCTCGTCTCTCAACGGAAGTGCGGTGATGCGGTATTCATTGAGCTGCCGGTCAATGATGATCAAGCCATCAGCAACCTCACGTCCCATAGCCCAGCCAACAACCAACTTTGCCTTCCAGCCAAAGCCACCCACCTTCTTCATTTCCATGATGTCGCCAACAGGAAGACTCCATGACGGATGCAGATCCTCTCTATCTGTGCTACCAATCTTTTCGATAGTCTTGTCCGTGGAGAAGGCGATGCAGGGAATTGTGGACTTGGTGGTGATGTAAACATGCCCTCGCTTGCCATCATGTCGGGCTTTGAACTCGACAGGACCGGATGTGAGATCCATTCCCTTAGGTGGTACCGCTCCCAGTCTGTTTTTGGCATGAGTGGAACCGGCAGCGGCTTTGACCTTATCGGCTGTCATGGTGGTTTCAACGCCACCTTTGACAGTGCCACGGAAGAAGTTAAGGATCTTAGTCCCCTTTTTACCGTGTTTACTGTCCTTGGCTTTGTCGATATCTTCGCCGCCTGTCTCGTGCGCGGTAGTAGGATCGTGTGCCATGGCTTCGTCGAGCTCTTCTTGTGTTGCATTGAGTGGCCAATCGGCACCTGTGGCGCGCAACTCCTCTTCGTTGATATCCACGGGCTTCTCTGGTGGCGGTTGTGCAACATGAGGCGGCGGTGGGAGTGGGGCTTTGTTTGCTTCGCCGATTCTGAGGAGGGTGATAGTGAGTTGGGCATTGGTTGGCACGCCCTTGAGTAGCGTGTTACGGAGCTCGAGTAGTTTCTGCCAGTTGGGGAATTTTCTGTTAAGGAGTGCCAGACCTCGTTGAATGACGGGATCACCAAAGAAGCCAAAGCCGACACCGAAGGTGACACCCTTCATGAACATGTACGAAGTTACAAACAGTGAGACTAGAACAAGCGGTGCCACTACGGCTGCAAGTCGAAGACGAAACTTGTCTTTTGGAAATGGAGAGGTTGGTTCAAGCATGCTGTGACCATATTAGTGACTGAAGATAAATACTAGCACTTGCTTGCTTACTTCGCGAATCGCTCCCATGTGTCAGTGACATCCGCAATTCCGTGCATGATTGGCCTCATTTTCGTCCACATGGCAGTCTCCATTGGGACTTTGGTCTTGTCGTGGTGTTTGTCAGATTTGATACCAGAAGCCTGATCTTTTGCATCTGCAGCGCTGATAGCGAGTCTGGTAGGATCCGGTACACTGCTATCAGGAGAGTCTTCATCCGGAGGCTCTCCCTGGGGGTGCTTGCCAGTCGCGCTTGACAGCGCGATGGACGCAAAACCGTTGACGAAGTTTGAAGCCTCTTGCTCAACAGCCTCACCCTTGTGGTTCTCGGGTGCTCCTGTAGCACTGTCCGTACTGCCCAAAGTTCCAGACTTCGGCTTCTGCACACCTCCCTTGGAGCTGACGAGGGCGATAGGTGCTGGTGGGAACATTGTCTCCCGAGCCGGAGGATATACAATGAGTGTAACCAGAGTCACCGCCATCAGCGGCATGATCACGTCGAGAAACCAGGCAGCAAAGTATGCGGAGCAGAACCATGCAGTGCGGCGAGTCTCCCTCCATGAGCGAATACGAACAATGTGCTTGCCAAATCCCATTAGACCAATGCCCTACGCACGGTTAAATCAAAAACGCCCGTAATTTACTCTCAAAGTGCTTACAATAGTCATGTACAAGCGTTCGATGTTAGCACGGAGCTTGTCTGGTGAAAATTCCTCCTCATCGGCGATGTTCATGTCCAAGCCTCCAGGAGGCGCTGTTGGAATCTCCTTGACATGGTACATTTGCTGCCCACAATCAGTACCAGAGTGTAGCGTTAGGCTCACAGGTCGCTCTCACCTTGTTGAAACGGCGTACCAACAGCCATAAATCCTCGTTACCCAAGCCTCCAACAAGTGGCTTCGCGACGAGTTCCTTAGGCTCGTTCCATCCTAGATCCACAACCTCATCTCCATGAGCTATTTGCGCTGCGCCTTTCCCTTCTGGAGGGGCTGCATGAGCAGCATCTAGAGCTAGCGCATGGCTCTCTGTAGGCGCATTTCGTAGAGTAGTGGACTTCCCCTCATGTTCAGTAGGATCCGTATCCGGGATAGGCAGTAGGTCTTTGTAGACCACACCTCCGGTCGACATGTTGACTTTGAGTGATAAGCGTCAAATATGCGCAAGTGTTGAGTAATAGAGGTTCAAGGGTTGCAAAGGAAGGAGTAGCCTTGCGATGTGTTCGCTTTCATACAGCAAGAAAGACGCGTAGGGCCGCAATCGCCCTTTACGTCATGCACACACTAGCGACGGCAAGCCACATGCATCAGTGGCGATCAGAAGCCGCGCGCCACTAGATTGGAACCCTACACCTCAACACCGTTGCGGCTCAATAAAACGTACGCTAAATATTAGCAACATGGTATTGAGCTTGTCACCATGTAGCCGCTTTATCACAGCTTCTTAGGTCTTCCCAGTGTCTGGGTGAACATGTGGATCTGACAGATCTATGCTGCCCAGAGCGATCATGATCTCCGAACCCCACCACATCTGGTCTCAACCCGTGTTTTCCCTGCTTCGATCCTTTCCGCCTTAGGTTAATCATGACCTTTTGGGCCCAGACATGCCAAAAAGGTGTTTCACTGCAAGATTGCGATGACTAGGCGAATTGCCGTGCTTTGCACAGACGGGTCTAGGTCTGTGACGTCATCGCTTGCACTGCGGAATGACTGTAACTTAGGATTGCTAAAGATAACCAATGAATAGTAAGTAGAGACAAGGTATCCAACTGTTCCGCCACTTTGCAAGTACACAACTACCTCTTAGCGATACAGCAAATAACACTAGTCCGTCCGATAAACCACAAGAAGCCAATAAACCTGATAGTGGAAAGGATCGCAGTAGCGTACAATAGGACGCGGAAGTATATGGGAGTACGGGTCTGGGAAGCTTCCTAGTGAGACATGTTAGTGAGAATGCACTACGTTCAAAGCTTCACCAGTACTTACACCAACGCCGACAGTAGCAAAGTCGTCGCTCGTGACTACGACACAAAGCACGAGATTCGAAAGCAGCCACGAGTAGACCAAGCCAGTGCGGAACGACCGGTACGAATCATCGGTATCTTTCCTCGCCGGCTTATCGTCACCTGTCTTTGCCATCGGTGCAAGTGCCCTATGAACAACTTTCTCGAAGCGACTGTCGATATCTTCTTGCTCCTGCTCCACTTCCTCAACCACGACGTCACCTGTGCCTTCGATAACGTTTGCAGATGGCAATGAGTCGCCTTTATCGGAGCCTTTTGTGCCCCAGGAAACGTCATGCCAATTGTTAAACGCATACACCATCAGTACATTGATGTAAGTCGACATGAGGAACAGGTACTGTGGAAACGAATGGAACATGTGCCAAGGGTCGAGATAGATGAAGGACGCGACGAAGTTGAAGCCGTAGATGGTTGTTAGTGCGAGGAGGATCAATCCCGCAACGCCCGTGTTGCCCCCGAAGAAGCTGTCGAAGAATGCCTTGCCCGAACTAAAGGAAATTTGATCACCAATTGGCTTCGAGCTGAAGGCGCGGTAGACAAGATAAGTGGTCAGGACGAGGATGTACCCCTGAATGAGGCCAAACACAACGAACGAGGCCATGTAGCTATGTCGAGATCCTTTCGGTCTGTTCCCCAGCGCAAGGATAAATTGTAAGATGAGGAAAGCCACGTAGGTGTACCCGATGATGTGGTTGAATATTGGTGTTATCTTGTCGCCAAATGGCCAACCGTGGTAATCAAGTAAAGGCTCGGGTGTACCGACAAGAGTCATGATGACAACGGTGGTAAGGTAGTAAGATGCGAGAGAGAACCAAGTGAAGATGACCTGAGCGATGTTATAGACCAACTGGATGTGAAGGAAAAAGAGACGGACGATGCCATGTCCCGAGCCATAAAGTCGGCCAAAATGTATGATAGCGTAGAGTGATGCAGCGAAGGATCCGTTGAGCCATCGCCGACGCTGGCCAATAAACTCAGCTGCTGAGTTTGGGACGTCGGTCTCGCCTTTCGACGCCTTGACGTATGAGAGATGCCTGTGAAGATGCGAAGTTAGATACATGTCTTGTATAAGGACTGTGTAAAACATGCCACTTTGATCCGGCTTTCGCCACTAGCTCGAAGCACAAGATGCGGTCTTCTGCCAAGAACATGTTCTTCTTGAAGATATTCATACCGTCGATGCCTTTCTTGCCGAGCTTCTTCGACAGCGTATGATCACCATGAAAGTACTGTTCTAATGGACGGCCCATTATAGCCCGAAAACGATATGCTGAAAATGCGCCTGGAAGCACACTGACATAGCCAAACGAGCTCTCCAGAGGCTTGTCAAGAACATTGGAAATCTTGTATTCGAAATTCTGGATTGCGACGAGCGGATTTAGCAACGCCTTGCCGCCTTCTAACATGGCATGGATCTCGCCGCATGCGCCTCCGAGGTCCTTGTCGTTATAGAAGGCTTCCCACAGCGCTAGAAGAGAGCGTGGTCCTGGCTTGGTACCTGCGTCGATAAGGATCGCAACCTCGGGGTTCAACATTCGGCCGAAAGCATTGAAGAGCCATCGATGAGAGTTGATCTTTTTGCTGTTGTTTTGTTTGAGACAGAAGATGAATTGTACAGGCGGCAGATTTGCAGCGTCTCCATCATTGGCAGGTCGAACGAGCTGTTGATCTGGAGTGATAGAGATCTGGCTAGTGTATTCGAAGATATGCGCGACTGTAGGTTTTCCATTCACGTCTTTTTTCAGCACTCCATCTTGGTATATTCCGACGGTTGCAAGGACATCGAATACTTCTTGATCGACGTTGTCGATGCCATCGAATATGAGACAGACAACAATCTTCTGCCAAGCGGGACCGCCGACATCCCAAAATTTTGACTTCTTCAGATTGGCGATATCCCGAATGTTTTTCATGGTTCCATGAAGCGTCCTAGCAAGCAGCCCCTTGTCCTCGTTGTAGTACGTGATTGCGATAAGTAGCTCCGTGTGGCGATTGTACATTCTCGGGCGCAGGTTGTACCCATTCGATAGTGTAAATTCGTCTGGATCAATAGTGGCTGCGGTATATCGCATTTGGGTAAACTCCTCTTCGTATGCGCCCTCTGCATTACGATAGCGAGGTTCGATAGCGTTTTGGACAGCGCTGGGGACGGGATAGTCAATACTAAGAACAGAACCTTGGATCAACTTGACTTTGCGTGTCTTGGAGCGCTTTACACCCATACCAACAGACACGCTGGGTAGATTATGTTGCCTCTGAACCCAATCGTCTTCGGATTGTACGTAGCTACCAGCGTCATAACCTCTGTTCTGTTCGAAATCGGTATAGGCCGGTGCCGCGATTGTTAGAGGATGTATTGGACTGTAAGTCTCTGTAAGACTATACACTGATGATGGAGTCGTACTTTTATGTCTTGAGTAATCATTAGAAGGAATGAGCGAGTCGTTGAGGAGGTGTTGAGTAGCCTCTTCCTGTTCGCTAGTGGGGTGGTATTGAAGCGGATGATACTGGACCTTGATTATCAGCAATCGCGATCTCTAATTCTACAGGGCAATAGTATCAGAACTGCTTACATCTGGTGTGGATTCCAAGTCCTGCAGCTGATGTCCTCGTTCGAGATCTACCATATCATTTTCGGATGCCATCTTGCGGAAGTAGAATGATCACGCCAAGTAGCTACACTTTGTTTTTGCAGCGAATAAGAGGCCTAATAACGCCGGCAACTCTTCGAAAGAGTCTATTTCTAGAGAAAAGATACTGAAAGGGTAGGACTGAGAAGTGTGAGTGGAACCGGAAGAGATGGAGAGAGGGAAAGAGAGAATCTCGCGATCGGCCACATCGTTCAATGCTACTAGGCACAGATCTGAAATCAATTGATCCTTGTCGTACCGCTGCTACCATCATCACCATTGGGTGCCCTGGATGATGACTATATCCAGTCGGGTCCGGCATTGCCAAGAGATGAAGAGGTGCTTTCCGCCGACTAAATTTAGAAACGGCCTGTAGGGGATGTTCCATGTAAGAACATGCAGAACAACGTTCACATTAGAAGACTTCAACAGCTCTAGATAAAGTCTCAGGGCACTGACCACAGGATTGTCATAGAGCCCGGTGGTGCTGAGAGCGTGGTGATTAGTACAACGCGTTCTCGAGCCGTGTGTTGTTTTCCCTGCGTTAGCGGCTTCTGGGAGCCAACTTCCGATTGGCTGTACGTGCGCCCCTCCAAATATTTCGTACATAGAGGATGCGATGTACGAAGTGATGTAGCCAGGCCCCCAACAGTCAGTCCGAGCACATCGGTACACGGAATTGCATGGGGTAACGTCGGCATCGAGCAGTTGAGAAGTGACGTTCATGCACAAGATTACATTACTATACTCTCTCAAAAGTATCTATCAAGTCTTTTTCATCCGTTACTATGGTCGAAACCATGATGCCATCATGCTTCACTCTTAGTTCTTCCTGACTACTACGTATGCAGGCCTAGTCCAAGTCAGACGTATCCAGCCAAGGAGCTTGCTTCATATCTCTCTTGCTTCCAATTGTCCTAAGCTCCAATCCGCTCCCCCTATTCTTCTCTGGGTTACTATTGGTTTGCCTCCGATAGCCGCGTGAGTCGTATGAGGTCTTCGAGCGAAAAGCGTTAACGAGGACGGCGAATGCAGGGCAGCAGCCAATTATGACAGCTGGTAGACATCAGCATGTATGTAAATAGACATATAAAGGTCTGACATACCGATGGCACACTCCACCATACCCCAGATAGCAAGCCAAGTAGGATCGAGTGGTTGGCCTGTAGCCCCAGGCTTTGCTGCGTTGATCGCAACCTGAGTGACTCGAAGACAGGCGAAGAGGATACAGATAACACCCGTTGCAAAGAGACACAGGATGGATATTTTCTTGCTGCGTGGCATCTGGAGATTCCATGTGAGCCATATCGGAAGTGCCATGACTGTATGAGTCGCCAGTCAGTAAATGATGCTTGAGTTGCAAGAAAGAGTGGTCTGACATACTCATCAAGTTTGTAGATGTATCCGCTGAAAAGGAGTAATAAAGACTAATGAGTTAGGTGTTGTGTGAACTTTTGCCAGTCTGTAGAGCGGTAAGATCAGCAGGCAGTCCGCGCTATACTATGTATCGTACGAAGACTTACACACCCTCCCGTCCAGAATCCGGGTATAGTGCCGCACGATTGGACGTAGAAGAAGTAATTGCCAGCGAAAGTATGTCTCAAGCGTCAGTTGTTTTCTAAGTGAGTATTTCCAAGGGTGGCATTGTGATGCTGACTTACTACCAAGCAGATTCCAGCTATGCACCACCACACAACAGTGTATCGTTGGGATATGCCAATCAGTAATCTTCTATAGAGCAGAAGCAAGGACAACTTGATTGACCACAACACTGCCCAGAACATGCAGAAGGCGATGAACACCATCTTCGCTATCACAATTCTGTCATGTAGCAATCCTGGATAAGGTGGTATTTCCCCATTTGAGACGGCGTACACTCTCTGCATGTAGGGCGACAACGTGATGTAAAGGGCACACTTGGTAACGTAGAAAGCGAAGGCGATGAAGACAAAGTAGTCCGAAGCTGTCAGCCTTCTTGATTTGAGGATGTTGAGACCAATTCTAGCAAGGACAGCGGAACTCGTCAAGCCAAGCATAGAGTAAGCAACCTTCAGGACTGTTCCTTGGGCGAAACCGTTCGTTTTCGCTGACATGTTCGCTAAGATGGTATTGGTTTGCAACAGATTGAAAGCGGCAATGATACAATGAAAAGTCTCGTTCGGAGTAATGTGCTCTGAAGCTCGATAGTTATCCGGTGCCAACCTGGTCCTAGTACATGTGAGTATGTGGCGTAGGCACGACTGTCAGGTTTCGTGTCTACCTGTAGAGGGGGTCACGTTGATCAAGGGGCCGATACCAATTTCCAGTTCGGAATCCGCGGTTGCTGGTTGCTTGATCACAGCCATGGTTAGGCGAAGGTCTTCGGGATCTCGCTTCGACTCGGGTATTGTCTCGCTCAAAATACTCTCTTGTATGACAATAGCATTGTTGGGGTTGTGCACAGCGAAGCTACCAGGTACCAGATGTTGACCGGCCTTGGAGGAACTCGAAAACATAGAAACCTGGATTCCAGATACCGGAGCTACAAATTCGTACACAAGGGTGCATGACCAAGACATTGAGAACAATAGTGGAACATAATACTCTTGCGGGTGACAAGTGTCCCCAAAAGAAACCATCGCTTGCGCAATGCATCTGCCGGATCCGCCGTGCCGTTCGTCTATACTGTTCGCCTGCCTACGCGGCAGTAAACCCTCCTGTAAGATGGCGGTGCAGCTTTCCTGCGGGAAGGCGAGACGTCGTCATTAACGATTTGAGGAATCCCTTCGCAAGGAAATATAAGGACCTGACGCGTAGTATTGTCCAGGTGCCATCCAGGCACACGCAGGTGCGCGGCACGGATTTAGTGACGTCTTGGCGTGCGGATAGCTACCCACTTAGTCCAAATTCCGGGCTTAAAGGGTCTCTGCCAAACTTCTTGCGACAACGACCTACAGTGTATAGCCTACTCTTTCATCCAGCGCACTTCCCATGAGTAACACGCAGAGCTACTAGACGAACTGATCACCAGAGAGTAGTTCATCGGCTGTCTGGAACGCGTGGAGGGTGCTTCATCTATCACCTTGCATCTTGCTTTCATCCATGCCTGCTAATGCATCAAGGTATCCATTGCGCACGAAAACAATGGACTCTAGCATTTGATTGTTCCGCTACACAAGCCTTCGGGCGTGCGCGTACCTGCACCCGACTCTCGTTGAGCCAATGCTCCGAAATTGAAGTATGCTCATTCGTCTCAGCCGGCGCCACATCATCGATGCATCCTCTATGGAAGAATTGAATTGCGGCGCGGTATGCAGCTAAGCGGCGGATGTATACTGCGGCTCTTCTAGACAGCGACGTACGATCCTTCGGATGCCCTTGGAGTCGCAAAGAGGAAGGAGACCTGTAAGCCTGCCAAATCTCACGGTGGGTCTGGGTCTTTGCGACTTCGAATAGATAGCCTTGGGAAGCCGCAAGTTTCACATCAGCGAATACTCGACCCTAGTACAGTATGAAAGTTTCTTTCCTTGCCTCGTTTGGAGCTCTTGCTGCCAGTGCAACCGCACAAGACGCTTTTGAGCCTTTTGACTTCAACGTTACGGAAGCTCTCGTTGCTAATGGTGTCAATGTCTCGGCTCTCCCCGCATTGGCTGCATTGGCTGAGAAGCGCTCGCCTTCTAGTCCGTGTACCGCGGCTGTAAGGAATCTGTCGCTTCACCTCGCTAGAACATGCCAACTAACCAATTCGACAGTGTAGCTCACTGAAGCTCATATTCGGAAGCAAACTCCTCTCTGAAGGATCAGAGTTCTATGAAGCATTCACAAGTGCATACTGGTCATCTCAGGCAGCCTCGATCGATCCAGCCTGCGTTTTCAGGCCCTCGAAAGCGATCGATGTATCGACCATGATATTAGTCTCTCGTCTTACGCAGTGTCCCTTCGCGGTCAAGGGTGGCGGACACACCGCATTTCCCGGCGCCTCTAGCATCGAAGATGGCATAACTGTTACCTTGGAGGCGATGAACGAGATTACTCTTTCCAGCAACAAGAAGACTGCATTTATCGGACCCGGAAACCGATGGGGAGCTGTTTATGCAAAGCTTGGAGAGCAGAACCTTGCTGTCATCGGTGGACGCGCATCGGATGTAGGTCTTGGCCTTGTTCTCGGCGGTGGCATTGCGCACCAGTCCAGTATCTACGGATATGCTTGTGACAATGTTGCATCTTACGAGATCGTCACTGCATCGGGAATCGTCTTGAAGGTCACCCCGACTCTGTTCCCTGATTTATACTGGGCTCTTCGCGGAGGAGGTAACAACTTTGGTGTAGTTACTAGATTTGAGCTGGAGACGATCCCTCAAGGGCCAATGTGGGGTGGAACTCGTGTCCATATGCAACCTGATTACCCAGCGCTCATCGATGCCTTTGCAACAATGGCTGAAGGCGCTTCCGAAGACCCCAAATCGGCTCAGATCTTATCGTTCGCTATGACAGCCGGCAACGGGGCCGGACAGATCCAACTTGAGTATCTCGAGCCTGTTGACGAAGCCAACCCGCCAGCTATTCTCAAGAAATACCTTGACATTCCTTCAATCCGAGCAAGCACTCTAAACAGAACATTGGCAAATGACACAGTTATGCTTACCAACCAGATGCCCGGTGGCCACCGTTATGCTTTCTGGGCAGCTACATACAAGCTCGATCGCGACTTCATGAGCTGGCTACAATCACGCCACCAGAAGGACGTAGGCCCCCTAGCTAATCAGGGCTCTTTGACTTTCCAGGCCTTCACCGTACCGGCTATGAAACAGATGAGCAAGAAGGGCGGTAATGCACTCGACCTCTCTCCCGCTGATGGCCCGTTGATGCACACCCTACTCTACATGGTCTGGGATGACGCATCTAAAGACGATCAGCTAAACCAGGCTGCATTGGACTTCATGAACGCTGCCAAGACTGAGGCGAAGAACCGAGATGTATACACCAAGTACATCTACCTCAACTATGCTGGACCGTATCAGAACGTCATCCCGAGTTACGGAGATGAGAAGCTGGGAAAGCTCAAGTCGATTGCGAAGAAATACGATCCCACAGATGTCTTCCAAAAGTTACAGCCGGGTGGTTTCAAACTTGAGGGCGCGCCTTATGGAGAAACCATCTAGATGGCAACCTACCTTGTATATGTCGAACCGAGATGCGAAGCCTTCATATCCACAATGCTCCTGATCAATACTCAACACCTGAATCGCAACCGGCCAATACCCCTACTTTTGCTTAGAGGACTCAACGGGCTACCACAAATGCGTTTCCTCATTGAATGTCCCCCGTGCAGCACTCCTGAATCCTTTGCAAACGCCCACCCAGGTACACTAGTGAATTTTAAGAAATATATGAATACAGCGCCCCCAGACAAAGGCGAAGGCAGACACAGGGTCGAAAGCCACTCTTTTGTACCCTAGAGGGTAGTGCATACACGTTACTGCTAAAGCAGGCTCAAGCAGCGGTGCTGGCGCTTATTTTCCTTTTGAGTGAATGCCACAAGCACAAGGCGCGCATGAGACTCGCTAATGGTCACTTACACCTGCCTAAAACTGCTGGTATACAGGGTTGCTTATCTGTCGCTAAGGCGGTAGCGCAGTGCTTAGTCTCACAGCGAGGTGGCCTTAAATGGCTAAATGGCCTTAGATGGCTGCGCAGCCTCAAGCTTCCCATGTTGCAAATTCACCGTCCTCACTCTAAAATGCTGGGCAAACCCCTTCACACCAACACCGAGGTGTACGACTTCATCCTAGTCGGAGCCGGATCAGCATCATGCTTGGTCACGTCACGTCTCTCGCAGCAGCTGCCCGATCACCGGATCCTTGTTCTGGAAGCCGGAGAACACATTCGCGATGATCCCAAAGTCCAAACACCTGGTCTATCGACGACGCTGATGTCGAATCCCGCTTATGATTGGCAGTATTCGTCCGCACCGGAGCCAGGCTTGAACAACAAGAGGGTGAAGCATCCGAGAGGGAAGTTGGTGGGTGGTAGCAGTGCGATCAATAGTCACAGTGTGGTGTTTCCTAATCACGAGTGGCATGATCGCTTAGCAGAGGAGCTTCTGTCAGATTCGGGGAGAGAAGAGTGGGGCTCACAGGGTATGAGAGATTGTTACAGGCGATGGCAGGCAGAACACTCTGGATCCAGCGTGGGCGACGATACGGGGTCTCTGGATCGTGTGCAGACATCATACCCGCGTACTCTGGACCTTCTTCAATCCCGGTGGATGGAAGCTTTTGAGGAGCTTGGCCATTCGAGAAGTACCGCAGGGTTTGTTGAGAGCTCTGCCGGAGCTGTCACTGTCACAAATGCAATCGACTGTTCAAAAGGCGAACGAAGCCATGCAGGTACAGCATTCCTAGAATCCGCCTTGAAACGCGGCAATGTAACTTTGAGGACTGGCGTGAAAGTTGATAAGATTGCATTCGACGATGCTTTGACCGCTGATGGAAAACTCAATGCTAGAGGTGTTCACTACACATACAAGGGGGAGGTGTATTTTGTCAGTGGTCGAGAGATCATTCTCAGCGCAGGCGTGTTCGAATCTCCCACAATTTTGGAACGATCGGGTATTGGCTCCAAAACAATTCTTGCAGCCGCGAACATCCCAGTCCTGTACGAACTTCCGGGAGTCGGTGAAAATTTGCAGGATCATCTGAACTGTGGTTTATCTTGTGAAACTCAAGACGACATCCCTACTCGTGACGAAATACTACGAAACCCCGAACTGCAGAAGGCTGCATTGTTAGAGTACGAACGAAGCCGAACTGGTCGATTATCAGAAGGAGCAGCCTATAGTTTTGCCTTCACACCACTACAGATGCTGGAAACTCCGTCGGAAACGCAGGAGCTCATACAAACAGTTAAGCATTGGGTAGAAGGAGAGAAAAACCCGAGCTTAAAAGCACAGTATTCCGTCATTCAAAAGACGGTTGAAAGCCCTAATGAAGCGACAGCCACCACATTCATGCTGCGCTTGCAGCGTAACAGAGACGCTGATTCACTTCCCAAAGATACACCGTCTGTTGTTGATGGCAACTATGTGACTGTTGTTGCCATGTTGGCTCATCCTTTCTCGCGAGGGAGCTGTCATATCTCCCCTGATCCTTCACAACAGCCAGAGATCAAGTTCAATTATCTCACTCATCCCCTAGATACGGAGATACTAGCTCGCCACTTGCGTCTCATCGAAAGGCTCTTCCAGCAGCCTACCTTCGCTGCTATGGCAAAACCAAAAGGAAAACGGCTGCCTCGAAGCTTTCCCCACCCGATATCATCACTGGACGACGCGAGGGGAATCCTCCCAATCAACGCAGCAACGAACTACCATCCCTGCAGCACTTGTTCAATGATGAGGGAAGATCTAGGGGGGGTGGTTGACGAACGGCTAACAGTATACGGAACGAAGAATGTGAGGATTTGCGATGCCAGTATCTTGCCAATCATACCACGAGGGAACATCTTGGCCGCCGTCTACGCTTTCGCGGAGAAGGCTGCCGAATTAATTTGCACTGAAGCGAAACCTAGTTGCTCAACACGCTAAGACTTGTCCTCTCGAGCCAATTACTAAACATATGCCATTGTTTAAGTTGAGGCATGCGACGTTAGTGTAGTGTGGTGTGTTCTTTGGATAACAAGCGGCTCGTCCGTAAGACTTATTATATTATACAAGCTTACAATACTGCCTCGCCCCCTGGAAACACAAAAACACGATTTGTCCGCAGCCAGTCTGCATGCTCCTCGTACATCGGTTCTAGACCAGTCCCAAGTGTTTCCTCAAAGAAGTCTTCAAACGAGATTCCTTTCAAGTCAGGGTAGAGCTCCTTGCCAGTCAGATAGCCTAAATAACGAGCGTATTCAGATGTTCTCGCCCATGATATCATACGACTTCTGATAGGTGCATTGATAGTAATCCATCATCCTCAACGGATCTTCTTTGGTTGCAGCGATACTGGCCTCAATCTTTTCGACAGTGCACTATAATCACGACTTGTTAGTCCTGAGGTCATGAGAAGCAAGAAGGAAACAGAGAGTGTAACAAGCTTCACCATGAGGTACGGGAAACTTAAATATTCTTTTCTCAAGCTTCTCACCACTAAGCTTCTCGACTATGTTGTACAATTCGTGCTCAGTGTGAAGATCGGTGTAGGCAAAGATCTTGTGGTTCAGAGTCCGAGTGTCTGTGGTGACACGAGCAACGTTTACACAAACATCTTGAGCATGGATTCTAGCAGAAGGTACGTTGCCCGAGTCTCTAATGGCGGAGTTGTAGACGAACAGGTTGCGGTCAATGTAGCCAGAAGGTGAACGCGGGAGACTGATCTGGAACCACCAGCCACAATCAATCTAGACGGCACATTGAGTGTGCCACTTCACGTGTTGGTAAGACAAATAAATAGGTTCATATGAGTGGCAGACCGTACCACCTAAGAACAATTCTAACAGCAAGTGAAATGAAACCTCTAGTCCCTTGTATTGGTTACATGCAACCTCCAACACGCACAACTAGAGCGGTCATGTGTCTAAACATGACTTGAACGCAAGGTACAAAAAGGTAGGCAAAAATATACAACAGCGGGGATTCGCTAGTGGTCACCCACCTAACTACTAATCCGCCGGTACACTGCTTGTATATGGCTGAGCGGACGGGAAGCCTAATTGTCACTCGTTCTGATACCATAAAGACCGCTAAATTATCTGTTTCCAGTATCGCGCAACCCGTAGCAAGTTTTTGGAGAAAGGAGAAGGATCTACTTGCGTTACGTACACTCCTTTGGGCTGAGCAGCAGATCATCCCGAAATAGTGTAGCGCAAATAATTAATCTACATAAGCCATAATCAGGGGCTGACATTAACCTGCTAGCCTTAACAGTAAACCGCTCTACTAATTCTAGCAATACGGCCTGCTCACCAATCGTTCCCTCCACTAAGCAAGAGGCGTAATACCACCAACATAATAGGCGCCTTGATCGCCCGATACAGACAGCAGCCAGCCGGAACGTGTTGTCTACCTCATAAACTCCAGCTCTCAAGCATGTAGACTACTCGTCGGTCTATACTAGGTACACCAAGCCGCCGTACCAAGCTCGCCTCTCTACATCCTCAACACTACTATACACTCAGTTCGCGCAGATTAGTATATCAGCCATGTGCATAATATATACTGTTCCATTTATAGTAATAAGTGTTTGTCAGTATTACGTGCCTTTAGTTGCGTGAGTAGCCATACCATCCTAGATAGGTTCAACATCAAGAACCCAGACGTCACACCTAATATAAATAGCGGTCTTGTGCAGGACTTTCAGCGCCAGGATATACCAGATTTAACAACGGATTTGCTAGAGGTTCGCAGGATAAGGGGTCTCCAGTAGATTGTGTTGTCCAGATTTATTCAGGAAACTAGATACGGGGGATACAGGAGGCTCACAGGGACGTTTACGTTCCAGGCTAGACGTTCATAGATTAGACCATTGGGCTCTACAAGAATTCACAGCGCACTTACAGAGCAGACGGAAAACACTCATCACGCACGAAAACCAAAAGTTCAGGCAGACGTCGACTACGACGGTCATTCTTTTTCATAGTTCCTTCATCGATCTACACCCATCTACTGCTGTCACTACGTCTACTCCGCTACATCTTCCGTCCTTCTTACTCTTAAGCGTAGACATATTTAATCGTGATGCGGGGAACGCACATAGCCTCGTATGGCTGGGGAGCAGTGAAGGGAGCAACGTAAACTGGAGATGTAGGGTAAGCGGGAAGAGCGGCGACACTGGAGGAAGCAGCAACGCCAGAGGAAGCAGCAACGCCAGAGGAAGCAGCAACGCCAGAGGAAGCAGCAACGCCAGAGGAAGCAGCAACGCCAGAGGAAGCAGCAACGCCAGAGGAAGCAGCAACGCCAGAGGAAGCAGCAACGCCAGAGGAAGCAGCAACGCCAGAGGAAGCAGCAACGCCAGAGGAAGCAGCAACGCCAGAGGAAGCAGCAACGCCAGAGGAAGCAGCAACGCCAGAGGAAGCAGCAACGCTCGAAGATGCAACAGCGGCAACGCGAACAGACGAGGCGACGACAGTAGAAGAAGCGCTAGGCGTAGGTGTGGGAGCGGCACATAGAGGGGCGGCGTCATTGAGCTTTCCAACGGCCCAGGTCGAGGCGTCGTCGGTGTACTTCTCAAAGTAGCTCAAGTGCTTCTCGACGTCGTCGCCGTTGGCGCAGATTGGGTCTCCCTTAGCGCAGTAAGAGCGCAGGACGGGTGCGTAGCGGTTTAGGCGCGCAAGAGAGGCGGCGTCGCGACCGTTCTTCTGTAGATTAGAGCCGTCAAGAACGTTGTATGGCTGGTTAGCCTCGTGCTTGACATCGCCCCAGAGGAGAGCAGCAACAACTAAGTTACCACATTAGCACAGTCCAAGGTTCGAGTGTGTCATGTCAAGAATACTTACTAGCATTACCAGGAGCCGAGGTAGGGTCTAGACCAGTGGTGATTTGCGAGCATCCACCAGGTCCAGCAAGGATATCTCCGGTAATCCAGGCACCCTGAGAGAAGCCATTGAGGATGAGGTGCGTGCAAGGGCACTTCTTGTTGAAAGCAGTGATCTGGGATAGACCGTTGCGGACTCCCTCGCCAATCTGTTTGCAGTAGTCGCCGCCATACGGGAACACAACCTCAATGTAGTCGCAGGTCTTGCCCTCAGCCCTTAGTTTGCCGCACGTAGCGTCGACGAAGGGGAATGTACGGAAGTCATGGTACGGCGCAGTGTTACCGCGGGCCATAAAGATGACGGCATCGGCGCAGGGAGCGTCGAGCTTGGGGGCTGGGTCTTGAGCGACGGCGACGGCGGCGACAGCGCTGAGCGCGAGAACGTTGCGGATGATGGAAGACATTATTAAAGATTAAAGAGTGTGGTATTAATCGGTCGTCAAAAAGCGAGTGTAATGGTTAGACTGCGAGGTTGGAAGACCTGTGAGAAGAGAGAAAGTGCTCTTGGCTTCGGGGGAACAGTTTAATAGGAGTGTTCATCTTGCATTTCAGCCGAACTGGGTGTCGAGTCGGCTCGAACGGGCGGAAAAGGGTAGTGTGCCTGACTAAGTAGATACGAGTTGGATCCCTTTTTGGGTGAGCTATCTACCTTGGGTCGTGCGCTAGCAGGAGCGCGGACAAACGTCGTAATATTGAGATTGATGCTGACCATAAGGTTTTGGAGGATGGCCCAGGGGCCGGACGTCCCCTTGATGGATACCTAGGTACCGTCAAACTCTGCCATCTTTGCGAAATGGGTCAACGGGACATCTGAGACGTTGCTGTTGAGGTTTGCATTGAAGCTAACTTTCAGCTCATGGGATCAAGCAGGAACCAAGAAAAATGCTAGCGTGCGTGTCAATGCTTGAGCGATCCTCCATATACGAAGGTATACGCCGTAGAGATTACACCCCTGAGCTTGTCTTAGATAAGACTTCGTGCACGTCCCCCCGACCAACCCGAAATGTCTTAGCTCTTACCGGAACTCTTCGAGGGCTGCCGTGCCTCATGCCAGACATTCGACAATCTAGATGCACTTTACTTGTTGGATGCAGTCAAGTTTATCTCTCATGCCACTCTAGCTCCGACCTTTTCGCAAACCACAGCTCTTGCCAATCCATACTTCAGAAAGAGCAGAGACATACATCATGTGCCTGAACTTTCTACCAGCAGCGACAGCTCAGACGGAACAATGGAGGTTGACGATGACCATCTGGAAGAGTCCGACTTGTTTGATCTCTATGAAGCCATGTATGTGTCCTTGCCAGAGACGCGATTTTCCGACAACAGTGGCGACGAGCCAATAACAGAGCCAGCACCACCGAGCCACGTCGATACCACTGTCTCACAACCCTTCCGCCGGTGGATGACGACTCCACGGCGCGTCGTCACCTTGAGCGTCAGAAGGGGTGGCATACGAAACCCCTCGTCTATCGCTCGGTCTCGAAGATGGCAACACGGATGGGACGATACCGTCAAATCACTTGCACGAGTCCATACGCAGCATGTCCGAGTCGATAACCTCTTCCATTGGGATATGAAGACTGCCTCTATGACAGTCGGCAGCAGGACTGCAGCGGCAGGTTGAGCCCCATCCTAGCGGTATTCCATCCTTAACACGGCGAGCACCTTGAGACGGTTACAGCATGTTGAAATACTGTTAAGAGTTATTTGGGGCTGTGTTGGTGGGGTGCGCAGCAAGTTGGCGACGGAGTCGCGATTCCTGAAACGGGTAACCGAAGACGAACCTCAGTTAATTGACCCCAACCCGGAACCGCGAGATTTGACGGATGGTGAGGGTGAACTAATTTTCAGTGTCCTATGGTCGTATGTACAATATTACTTCAACGTATCGCTTATATTGTGGGTTGTTGTAAGCCTAGCAATGGCCAGATTCCCATCGCTCTTTTCGATACCAAACACCAGATTTCGGCAGCTTGAAGGACCACGAGCAATAAAACAAAAAGGTTCTACAAGGATTCACGACCTGTACTTCCGTGGGAATTCCACGCCATTCCACCAATTGCGACGGTTGTACGTGGGTGAAATGGCCCTCGTGATAACAGTCCTCGCTTCGCGATCCATCCCCAAAGCGACATTAGCCACGGCAAACTAGGCCTGCTAGCTGAACGCCGTACGCTTGTGGCAGTTAGAACCAATAAGCCGTTTAATTGAATTCATCCCTTCCATGACTTTAAACGGCACACTAGAGTGAATATATAAGAAGATAGGTAGCATTTACCTCGCAGTCATTTAGCTGTACCCTGGTCACCATAACAGAATACACATACCCTACCTGCAATTTCTACCGCATTAGTACCAATCCCATACAGATTAGAGGACCGTTCAAAATGGTGCTTCCCTACTTCACCGCCATCGTCTTCGGTACCATGCTTCATGGCATTAACCTTACCCAGTATGCCGACCACTACGACAACGTGCACATCCCACTCGTCAAATCGCTCACAGGCCCGAACTTCCCCGCCGTACACACGCGACACTACTTTGGCGGGAACCCCGCCTTTGTAAATGCCAGCTATCCCGTCGATTGGAATAGCATGGCAACCATGGAGTTCAGAGACCAGGCGCATGCGCTGACGTTCCTAAACATAATTGGTCAGCCGGCAGCGAAGGCGAAGATCGAGGAGGATGAGCATCTGTTCATGGCGCATGCGCCGAGGACGGTGATTGTTGGGACGGATGGGAGTGTTTCGTGGCCGTAGAGGGTTAAATACGAGAAGAAAGGATATATCAGGGGAAGGGGCTGTAGTGTGGTAATGGTTTCGATGTACGATGTTGAAGGCTTGGGGGGTGGACGTAATGTGGACTTGACGTCGGCGCAGAGAAAGCTGATATGAGGATACGAGACAACACAGCACTCGCTATTTAGAGATAATAGTCTCTTGTTCAAAATAGTCCCTCCCCTTGTATTGCGTATAGCAGTACGTTAACTTGGGTTGAGACTTTGGTTATCATGATTTTCCAGCGCTTATTATCATTCGGTAGATTGAAGAGTGAATGGAGTGGTGTGTAATCCCTTGCTACTTTATGTACGAATACTTTTTGGAACGAGATATGAATGTACATCTTGGCGTCAGTCATGTCCATGGCGGAGTGGACGGAGTCAAGTCCCTTGGTATAAGCCGTTGCGATACAACCTTTCAAAATGAGACATTGACTGTTACGGCCAGATCTCTAAACAGATCGAGAACGTGAACAGAGGCAATGCGGGTGTAAGATGATGGCTCACAGTATCTGCAAAGCCGTGGCGATGCTCAATTACTTATGGACGCGACCGATCGTGATTGAGCGATTGCTTGCCCCATGACCACAAGGACTCTATCTAGTCTTCTGGTACTCGAAATGTAGAACGTACAACCTTTTCCAGGTCGCCGTATATAAGTAGATCGGTACTAGAATCCTAAGAGTCGGTATCAATTAACCTAGGTACAGTATAGACTTAACGCTACGTAAACATCATTCTCTGTCTGTCCATTGTAGAATGACGAACCTTGCACTGATCTTTGGTCACTTGTGTGGAGTGTTCAGAATCGAGTACGCGGCATATGAACCCTGTCACCTAGATATGTCTTCCAAGTGATGAGTGACGAAACACTATCTTCGCGGCTTTTTAAGATCTTCGAGTTCGGAACCGGGCCGTGGGGACCACAAAGTTTATCATCGACATACTTCTGTCTCTTCTCGGGTAAGTCCTCTTCTAAAGTGGACATATTTGCCACTATTGCGGACTAATTTCACCTGCAGCCTCGTCATGGACGACGTCTGTTTCTGCAACACCCCAGACAACCGAGTCAGTACCGGCGATCTGCGACTCTGTGCACAAGAAGGTGGTCAACTGTCTCCTGGACTACTCTGCTCCCGCCTGGCCGACGAGCAGATGTTCACCAATGAGCGTTGCCAGGGATCTCTCGGCCCTGAGTTTGTGGCCACCTGCCAGCCCAATTAGTGTGATTGAACTTCCACAGATCTTTCTGAGCGAACAAGAGGTGACTGTTTCTTCAGAGCAAGAGGTTCAGATTATGTCGCGGCTATTGAGCCGAAAAACCATGGGGCGAGTTAGTGATCATCCAACGTGATTGTGCTTGAAGAATCAACGCTGTTGACTTTGTAACAGGAAAAACAGCACGTCAAGTACCATCGGTAATTGACCTGTAAGAAAAAAGTTGCTTTGACCCATTCTTGTGCTTGCACTCCCTTCGCGCTAAAGTGCAGCTCACAGTAGTATCCGAGAAATTCTGATAATCAGCTTCCACGTATAAACACTCTTTCACTGTAGGGCTAGGCCTACAGGGGTAAATGCAAACGAAGAAACGGTTAGATGCGCGCAAGATGTCTCTCATTGTGCCTAACCCCCCACTCACTTCCCCATCATGTTACTTCCCCCGCATTGAGCCCCTTTGTGTATATCATCCAGAATCCTCCGTGACATAATGAAGTAGCCAACACCCCGTTCCAATATATCAAACATCTTGTAATAGATCCAATTGAAGCGCAACCCAGAATAAGATCCCGCCTGCCGTCATGCACTCATTGCTCTGCCGAAAACGCCCAACAACGCCAGTCAGACCGCTCTCGGAAGCTATGAATCCTTTTGCAACGCCAAAAGTGGGGAATAGAGAAGGTAGCCATGGTAACTACAGGGAGAACAAAGTTCCCGTAAAAGAAGAAGAAAAGCGCAATTAAAAGAAGCGAAGTGAAATGAGGTCGAGCGGAGTGAAGATAGCCTGTATCGTTGCTCAACCGTTACCGCCTCGTCGTAACACTGAGCGTCAACTTGGGATTCCTCTCAACTGCGATCTGGAGATCCTCGTCGTTCTCGATGGGGTAAAAGTAGTTGTCCTGCTCGTCCTTGTATTCGACAATCAACTCTTCCTCTTCCTCGCCCGGGCGCTCCATTTTCCTTCTCTCAACAAGCTTATTGTACAGGTCGATGAACTTGAGCGAAATAGGCATACGGATGACGACGCAGTTGTCTTCTTCGAACCAAACTTTGATCTTAAGGGCAGAAGATGTGCCTGTGCTGGTGGCTGTGGAAGTAGAGGAATGGTTGTGGATCATGGGCGGTGGGTTGAGGTTTGACGAGTATGCTTGTGAGGCTGTTGACTGGCCGCGCTGGTGAGAGGGGTAGTTGGAGCCAGTTGAGTAAGGTGTGACAGGTGTTGTGGCCTGAAGTTGATCTGCGGATGATTGTCTACTCGTTCCTTGTGATGGGTTTGATGACTGGTGTGACTGTTGCGACAGGCGGTACTCTTCTGCAGCAACAATATCGGGGTCTATCTCGTAATCGCCCTGTCTTGGTGCGAAGAAACCTTTGACGAGGTGACCTTGTGTGATGTGTGGTCCTAGTTTTAGGAGGTTCTTGATGTATTCGTCAAGGTTGGCGCGGCGCCCGTTGGAGATGTTATCGGTTACGTAGGTAACGGGCCCAGGCATGAAGGGTAGCGTTCGCTCGCCTGAACCGCTTGTGCCAGCCTCGACTGGATATGTTGCTATCAGTTGTATCTGCAGGTCGTAAAAGTCCTGGTACAGTCGCTGCAACTCCCAGTGTCGCCCGTCCTCCATCTGGCACTCAATAATGAACCAGAATATGTCGTCGGCGAAGCAGTAGCGTGGCACGCACGCCTTGATGGGGGCGAGCAAATTGTCAGATGTGCGGTATTGGTTTTGTGGTTGCGCCATGGAACCGTTGCGTGAGTGAGAGACCTGTACATTGTCAGCCGAGATAGGGGCGCCTGGCATCAGATAACTTACCGAGCCGGCCTTGTTGTGCCCGCCGTTGCTCCTGATGCTCATGCGCTCCATGCCCTGTTGCAGCGACTGCCCTGAATTTGTCTCGAGCTTTCCGAGCGGTATGCTGCCATTCTTGTAGTCTGCCGCCATCTTTTTCCACTCTTCGACCTTGGGCACGCCCGCGGCCGTGACTGCTGCCTGTGTGTCGGCGACTGCCTGACCAGTCGTCATGTCGCGGATCTCGATGAAGGATACGGGTATGAGACCAGGACCGCCGAGTCGCGTTATCGGCTTTGCAACAAACCATTCGGGGTTGGACTGTGCAATGACGATAATGGCCTCACCCTCCTTGGCCTCCAACTCGTCCGGTCTCTCTGCCTTGAAGTCGTAGATGACGATGCCGTAGACCATGGCGCCACGCCCTCCTCCGCGCGACATGCGCATTTGCTGTGTCATGATGTCGTGGGCCGAGGGTTGGGGGCTCGTGATGCGTTCTTGGTAGCCCGAGTCGTGGGGTTGTTGTTGCTGTGGGTGCTGGGGTGTGGAGGAGCGCGGCGCAGAGCCACCACTATCGCGCACTGTCTTGCCTACGCCCTCAAAGTAGGAAACGGGTACCAGTCCACGCGTGCCGTGCAGCGGATTGCAGGCCTCGTACCACTCGCTGTCGTCTTCGCGGCCGACGACGTGTAGAAAGTCGCCCTGTGAAAAGGCTAGGAAGCCAGAGGTTGGGCTCGGGTCGGCGGGCTCGTAGTCGTAGAGGGCTTTTATGACCTGAAATGAGATGGCTGTTAGCTTCGCGCTCATCTGCCCCATCGGGAAGCGGGTGCCGGGGGCGCGCGCATCATTGTATCGCGACATGGAGCGACTTGAAATGTTGGAGACGCAGGCGCAAGTGTGCCGCCGACATGTAGGCGCTCACGCAATGCGCCTGGTGCGTCCAAGACCGAACGGCTGCCCCGTCCTCTTGCGCTCACGCCTCGCAGAAGAAGCAGAAGTGGGGTGCTTGGGCCCCAAGGTTGATCTACGTACCTTTTTTGGCGGGACAATGGCTATAGCGTCCTTGGGTGGAATTGAAATGTGGTGCGGGCGGTTGTCCTTCTCACTCTTCATACTCCTGCGGAACTAAAGCAACACCGTTAGTACGTACGTACGTATGCAGAGCGTGACTCGACCGGCGCAGCGGCCTAGGTGGCGGCAAAAGCAAAGCAACACACCTTCATCTTGCAGAGTGAACGCAACTTTGCGCGACGAACGGCCAAGTGTAGCGAGTGGTCAGGAGGTGAAAAGTTGGACGTGGTTGCTCGGGGTGTGTTGCTACTATGACTGTCGACCGGGAATGCGGCGTGTGCGTGCGGGGGCGAGTACGCGGCGGATTCAAGGTGAGTTTGAAGCGTGCACCGGCCCTCTAGAGACGATGGTGAGGCTACCTAGATGGGCGGCGATACTCGTCGTCGTCAGGTACTGCAAGAGGCGCAGTCACTAGGGGAACAAGAAATGAGTGGGTGCTTTCACGCTGCGAGGGATCCCAGCTACTTGCACCACTTGGCAATTGGTCCCTGGAGCACTGTGGGCGTCTTCTCGGGTCACACTCTTGGGCGGCGACGCTTCTGGCACGCCTCGGGACAAACGAGCTGCGGGTAAAGCAAAGCGGCGATTCTGCTTTACCTTTGTTCTTCTGCTACGACTTCCTTGTATGCACGCCGGGAGTGACGACACCAAAGTTTGACCCGGAATGTCCAACATCTACTAAGATACAAGTATGCCCGACCGGGTGGAGCATCCCACACCATCAGCCTGCCAAACGTCTAGCTGCAGGTCCACCACAATTCGCGTCTGTCACCCGGCGCAGCCCCCCAACTTCCGCGCTGCACTTATGCCTTTGTGGCCAATCACAAGCCCTCCTACGAGACAATGCCAATGCCTATATTGACCATGTCATCATTTCCCACATGCAAACCTAAACTTAACTCTCCTCCTTTCCATGATGAATAGGATTGTTCAAATGTTATTCCCATGGTTGATGCTTGATGCGGCCCGAATGAAACATTCCTCACTGTCAGGGGGGTTTGCAAGTATCTCGTACAATTTCACAACACGGTTCAGACGCTCAACACAAACTTCGTGAACCAATGCATTGACAACTACACGAACGCCGGTATTCCTCGAGTGGGTATAACTAGCGCCAACCGCCGCTGAAGGACTGCATCCTGCCCAATCAAACCCTCGAATCTCTCTTCCGTCATCTCATTGGCCAAGTCAAGGCGCCCCATACCTAGTGCTCACAAAGGAGCACATCCAGCCACGCCCCAAACAATGGACAATCGAAAACGCGGCAACCATCACCTAATACTCGATGTTATGACCACTTTGTCGTTCGATGTTCGTAGATCTGTGGGACATGCTGCCGTGATGCCGGTCTTCCCGACCCCACGTGCAGTCGGACACACCCGAGCCGAATGCTCTGAGACACAGGGGCCACCACCACCGCGCAACCAGGCTCAAATCCTACATAGCCATCTAGACCGAGTCCACTCTACCCCATTTTGTTTTTCCAACCCGCTTTTCCATCCATGTCCATGACGTATCGAAAGTTCAAGGAGATCCACTCTGGCTGGTGATGAGCGACATCTGAGACGTTGTATGTATGAGAAGAAAACTAGAAGATTCCACGCATCCAACGCATCAAGCGGGTGCCCCGCGTTCCGTCTACTGACATCGAGAGAAGCAGTGATTTGTACCGGGGGATCGCAGCTCGAGACATGAGTGACGTGCCATGTGAGGCAGGGTATCGTAGAGGATTAGTGCAATTGAAAATTCGAAATCGTAATAAGATACTGGACAAGATGAAAAGAAGGTGCTGCTTGCTCGTATGTCGACTCATATTTGGCCCTTGATGTCTACTTTGCTGAATGCGGCGGCACGGAGGCTTTCGAATTGTGGTGCCGCTTCTCGGATCCTGACGCGATACTGACGGTCGCCTTTATCTTCAATGATGTTTTGCGCACCGTGGGTTTCGAGGAATTCACGGCATATCTCATCGTTGTCGAAACCAAGTTCGTCAGTGAGGAAACGGAGTGTGACATTTACGTATCTGCAGCTTGTCAGCATACAACCTACATAGAGTGAAGTGCGTATACATACCCTCTGGACATATTAGCTAGAGCGTTGAGGCGCTCACGCTCGACAAACATGTCCATGAGATAAGCGCCCATGTTCTGTGCTTCGAGGTACAATCTGAAAAACTTATGATAGTTGCCAAGAGCCAGCGAAGATCGAACGTCAAGAGCATGCTTGATCCATTCGTGGGATTTGTCTGCAAGGGTTAATTCTGCCAACATGTCGTTCATGTCGGTCTTGTTGCACGTATATACGAAGTAGAGAATGCGATACGCCTTGAACTCGGCCGGATTGCCTCCCAAATTCAGCGCATACAGTGCCTTCAACTGCGTCTGGCACTGGTTATACTCACCCAAATCTCCCTTCTCTAATGATATCCGTGCGTGGATCTCGTACACCTTGACAGTGAAGGCGTTCTTGATATGTTGGACCGTGAGATCCTGACGGAGCGACTTGAATTGGTTACAGATGTAGTTGTAATTCTTGTCCGCTTTCCACTTCTCTACGAGCATGGCCAAGGTCTTCTTGAGCACATGGAGCGGTCGAACAGTTTCAGCCTTTGGCGGGGCGGTAAGGCGGAAGTAGCTCTTCTCGAGGTTCTCGTTCGTCCCGACGACAGGTCCAGTAGGCATTTCGTCTTCATCCTTTCGCGGCGAGCCCCAGGGGGGAGTCGTCTTCGTACCGTTGTTGCCGAGCTGAAAGCGCTGTCGTCGCTTGTCAAGCTCAGCCTGGTCAAACTTACTTGAGGCATCAGCGAGGGCGTTCTTCTTCTGGCGCTTTTCGTTGTGTCCGTCGGCAAAAGTCATACGAGATGCTAGGTTAGTTTTGCGCCATGGTGGGACATTGGCTTGTGTTTGTTCGACTTGCGGCTCCTCAGCTTCGTGAGCGTTGCGCTTCTTTGATTGGGGTGGAGATTGGTTAGTGTGTATAGCTGAGCCATTCATGTATGCAGGGTGCATGCCGTTGGCAACGGCAGCGGTAGGGATTCCCATGGCCGCCGCCCTTCGTTCCTCTAGAAGAAGCTCCTGAGGAAGAGGGAATGTAGGCCAATGAACCGTGTCGTGCGAGTTGCGCTCAGCAAACCAGCCGATGGTTGTCTTCAATCGCGCCTGCATGTCTGCTTGGGAGATGCCCGGGATGGCGTTTTGTGGGTCGAAAGCACGCCTCACGTACTCGCGGACGGCAGGAGGCCACTCGACCTTCTTCTTTGGTGCTTCGGGAGCCATAGCTGACTGCTGCCATGTGTGAGCGTGGGCTGATTCTCTCGTATGAGTGTGAAGACTGACAGGCGCGGGCGCGGCTTGAAGAGTGGTGCGTGGATTGACTGCGTTATAGGCGGGTGACTGCATTGGCCGGGACCACGCTATAGTGGCGGAGGGCAAAGACATGAGCAGATAAGCAAGGCAGAAAAAGGGAGAAGGAAGTTGACTGTTGTGTGAGTAGTTTCAGATGGAGAAGAAAGATGTGCGGCAGATAGCGCGCGTGGGGACAGGTCTATTGTCGCGGTGTGGAGGTGAGAGTGAAGCGACGGCCCGCTCGACTGATTTGCATCGCGCTTTCCTTGGCAACGACTAGCCTCATGCTAACTGCAAATATGCTAGCCTCTGGACAATGACGAAGGCTGGGCTTGGTGAATGCACGTGGAATCAGGCATCGTCGACTCGATGCCATGCGATGGCTGTACCTCGCATATCTTTACTTGCAGATGGTCTGAATGTTCCTGCATCAGCTCGACCTCACTACCGCACTGCGCCCGTCGCTCCTGCCGGAGGAGACGCTCCTCTTCGTCCAAGACGCCGTCGGGCTGTATGAGGGGTACGTGCATGTTCTTGAGGGTTGCTATCCGCTGCTAACCAACCGCATAGGAAATTCAAGATACCCCAGTACCAGAATGGCCAGTCGTATTTGACTTCGCATCGCGTCTGCTACGTCGACCATAGCGAGCCACGCAAGAACTCTGTTGCCATCTTCCTAAAGGATGTCGAGAAACCAGAGTTTTATGTATGCACCAGCAAATGTACAACTGATAAGCATGCGACGCTGACAGGCGACAGGCTGGCTTTCTCAAGTCATCGCCCAAGATCACGCTATATCCGAAGCCTCTGAAGCAGTTGTCGCGCGGCGCGTCTGTACCCTCGAATCCACAAGGCGCACCATCATCAACTCCGCCGCGACATAGCAGTCCTGCGCCGCCACCTCCAGCGAGCGCGACCTGGGTGTGTCCGATCTGCTCCTTCTCGAACCCGGTACCGTCCAATTTCGATCCCGCGCTCGCGTCACGTACTCCCATACCGCCCTGCCTAGCATGCGGAATCAAGCCGCCTACAGTGCATGTAGTCAAAGCAGCAATAGCAGCCATCTCAAATAGACCAGCGCCTGGTCCGCCCCCCAAAGATACAAAGAGCAGCGCTCCCACCCCTACAAGTAATGGGGGAACGTCGTCATGTCCAAGGTGTACCTATCAGAACCATCCGTCTCTGCTCAACTGTGAGATATGTGGTGCTTCGTTAACAACGGCCATGGACAAAAGACTAGACATACTTCAAGAGCCTAGTAGGCCACAATCTCCGGGGCCAGTCTTGTCGTCACCTTTGCAGTCCGAGTCTGTCGAGTGTATCAAGATATCTTTCCGTGCAGGTGGGGGACCCATATTCTACGAGCGCCTGAAGAATGCTTTAGTCCAGCGCAAGTGGCTGCTTCAAAGCGCTCCACCGATTCCAAAGCCACGGCCATCATCTGGTACATTTGACGACAGCTATATGGCCAAGTCTGACGCCTCATCGGCGGATGTTGCCCGACCTCGCGTGGTCGGCATTGCAGGGCTGGAGCGACGAGGCTTGGAGCAGAGGCAGAACAATGAGGCCATGATAGGTAGCGCTTTTGAAGATCTCGATGCGCTTATGACTTCTGCAAAGGAGATCATAGCCCTAGCGGAGCAATTCGCCTCACAGGCCAATCTAGGAACTAACGGCAGCTCAGAAGCCAACACTCTGGCATCCCAGTCTGCTTCCGCACTCGGTTTAGTAACGACCAAGGACATGCTCGGTACGGGGTCTGGGTCTGAGTCGCTATACGTGTCAGAACTATCAAGAAACCTGGCAGAATGGCTGACGGACGACACTCGCGGCATACTCAGAAGAGAGGGCGGTATCATGACATTGGTAGACTTGTGGGCTGTTTTCAACCGTGCAAGAGGTGGTGTTGAGCTCGTCAGCCCTACGGATTTTGAGAAAGCAGCGCGAATGTGGGATACATTGAAGCTTCCCGTGCGCCTCCGGAAGTTCAAGAGCGGACTCCTCGTTGTACAAGGACGCGATCGTACTGATGAGAAGACTATAGCAAGTCTACTGGCATGGCTAAAGACGCTACATCAAACGCCACCGAACATGGAAGTCACTTGGGATTGGCAAGCATTTGGCAGAGGTGTCACGGCTCAAGAAACAGCGGAGAGATTCGGCTGGAGCGTTGGTGTTGCGACCGAAGAACTGGAGATGGCTGAAGAAGCAGGCGCACTGTGTCGCGAGCAGGGTATTGATGGGTTCAGATTCTGGGAGAACTGGCTGGTCAACATGTCGGAAGTCATTGCCAACGCATAATCAACTATTAGTGTGCATGTTCTCGTTCTCTCCCAGAAAGAGCACGTGCAAGGCTTATGATGACATTTCTATGGTAGTAAATTATACATCTTCACTTGATCTCAATAGCACCACTCGTGCATTTCCCCTCTAATTCAACTCCATAATCTATTTCGTATTTGCCGACGAAAGTTCCGAACCATTCCAATTAGGAAGCCTCTTGAGCAATACCTACGGATTGCATGTTATTGTAGTGGCGGGCATGAGTTTTGCCACATACCCGACTACGCAAACAAGTGCTCAAGATCCATCTAGTACAGACATATGAGAACCGCATAGAGTGACTCTAATACAATCAGGCATCAGCCGCGGAGGTTCCTGTAGGGACGACCGTGTATCCACCGCTCCTTCCGTCAGGGTCCAGGTTCTATTTAACCACGCGCTCTCACCCTACAACATCAAACCTCACTTCCCCAACATATCTCCTCCATCCATTCACTTTCCACCAACTTCCAACTCGCAAGTACGACCTCCGTATCGATCACGCAAGTAATACTGAGTCCCACGACCAACCATTACTTGTTTTGATAACTAATACTTTGGGTATAGGGTCCGTAGAGTTGACACCAAGACAGTGCAGGCGGTTGACGGCAAAGGCACAGGCAAAAGCGCAAGCATGAAGCGAGCCGCTGGCGATAGCAGCGTAAATCTTCCAAATAAATGTCAGAAGGCGATAGCATCCACCATTAAAGACGCAGTAGTGCCCAAAGAGGTTAAAGAGGCCGCATGGGTTGCGGATCCAAACCAGGTGTTTAGATTTCTGTATCTACCAGGAGGTTGGTTACTGGCATACAGTTCTGAGCCGAGAATATACTGACAAGATCCAGAATTACGAAATCGTATCTATGAAATGGCAGTGGAGTGGAGCCATCGCTGCTTCCCCATGACACACCGAAAGCCAAAAAAGCCTAGAAGTCGAAAGCGAACTCCAGGTGATGAGGACCGCGGAGCAGCCGCCAAGCCGTTTCCTTACATAGGGTTGACACAGGTTTGTTCTCTTATTCGAAATGAATTCCGACCTTTGTGGCTATCAACGCACCGCTTCCCGCCCTTCGCATTGGAAGGCTACTTCAAGGTCTTCTTCCCAGTACTCCGCCAGACCTCACACTTGGATGGTAAGAGCCGAAAACGCATCCAGAGCTACTACAACCCCGCTGGCATCCTCCGCATTTTGATCAAGGACGATTGCATGAGAGACATCGACATTCTCCCTCTCCTAAGGTTCCGTCTCCGATTTCCTGCCTATATCATAGATATCGTATCCGCTCATCCCGAGATCAATCCCTACCTCATGAAGTTCCTCACTATTCTGATCAACAACGATAGCTTCACATGGGTCGCGTACATCAAGCAGCGGAGCATTACACAGGTTCTAGTGCAAGCCGAGTTCTATGCAGGTCGACCTCTGAGAGCGGCAATGCATGTGGTGATTAAGGAGAGGCAGATGTCTGAGTGGGTTGAGCCAGGTGGACATTTCAAGCCTCTCCATTGGACGGAGCTCAAGAGAATTCTCGGTGTTGTGGATTTGGATTGCGACGTCAGCTTTGGTGTGGATTATTGGTGACGGGTAAGGCGGGTACCATGAGCTACAACAATCTCGTCAAGGCGTCGGGGATATTGCGCAAGACTAGGTAGCCACCGCTGGCCCTAGATTCTTGAATCCTTCGTGGTATAATCGTATCTTGTCACTTTGTGTATTGACACATGCTTCTCGGTGTTCTATATGAAACATCTGGTCACAAGCACACTGCCTAGAATAGTTTTATTGTTTCACTAGATGATGGTATATAACCGGAATCCCTTCTCAGCTATTTGAGGGACGACCAACTTGATCACCTACTTCCGTAGATGGAGTCATGATTCACACAGCTGTGTAATGCTCAATTCACATTTTTGCAATCAAATCATCCTAGTATCCTTCCTTGTTACACACTGATAATCACTTGATATGTCTAGTATCTGCGCATTGTCTGCACATGGGTGTTGCATCCTTCTCGCTCTAGAGAACATGAAGAAAACGCTATACAAAACTGCTGCCTTGCCTGTTGCATGCGCCGAGGGAGGTTAATTTTGTCACTAACTTGGGTCGACGTTAAGCTGGAACTGCAAGGTTTCCTATAAACATGGCATATTGAGTTGTACGGGCTACGTTGTATGAAAAGGAACTCCGATCATGCTAGTGCATGAATGCGTAAGATCTTTTGAGCAAGTGTGAACATAGATGCAAAATACATATTGCTGAACATGTCCAGTACCGCTAGTCGTGCAGCAGAGACACGCTATAACGCGTGACGTCATGCTAGTCATGTCGCATTCTGTACCTGGGTCTACCATGCGGCTAAGATACACACACTGTGCTACCACATCACACCGCTTCAGGACTGGGACTGCAGCTTTACCACCACTGTAGATGGATGGTCTAGGCTTGTCAGTACATGTTTAAGGTCAAGGCGGAGGATACTGACCCCCAAGGAGATCTGCGAAGACTTCACCATCTTCCGCCATCAATGCAGCATCTGCATATGTTTAGCATGAGCATGAGCATGAAGATGACACCGCAGTTCACTTACTGGAAAACTTCAGCTGGTACGACTCGCCATCCTGGGTTGCAGTGACTTTATGTACGGGCATGTCAGTGTCTGCCTTGAACCACCACACTTGCTTTGGAAGGAAGCTGCGATCTTCTACTAGCGACCGTCCGAGAATGTGACCGTTGCATTGAAGACGGCTATCTTTCAGCTCAAAAACTGCAGCTTCTGTTCCTGTTTTGGCATGCGTACGGTCTTCGGCGTTGCCGTCGACCTTGGCGATCGGGCTGCCGTTGATTTCGATGGTGAAAGGGGCTGGAAGGCTATCCATGTCTTTTGACGAGTAGATGCGGACTGATATCAGAATCAAAAGGAATAATCCAAATGCCCACAGGAGGTTACGACGTCCTTTCGAATCAGCTGGCATTCGTTCTGGATAGTGATGGGTGTGGCAGACGGCTGGGATGCTGTCAGGAGTATTAGTAGCAGGGTGCTGCGCCATGGCCGCTGTGTATCTATGCAAGGCAGCAGTCGGGGTACCCTGAGTTAGCGGCGATTCCTGTATGAGGCTGAAAGCACTGCGCTAGTATGTCTTGAATGCGTTACCTAGACTTGATGGTCGGCGCATGAACAACACGTTGACAAGAGCTGCTTACGTATGGCAATGGCGTTATCGAGCGTGGTACCGAGATTGGCTGTGGGCGAGCGCTGAACGCAATTCCACTGCCACCATTTCTCAACTTCTTCACATGCTGTGAACCGCCAACGAGAATACTTGCGATCTCCATACCAGACTTACTATGCACAAGCTTCAGCGCCGTTGCGAAGATCGATACTAACTCCGGCACTCAGCCGGCTCACGCGCGCACTGCCAAGATCTTAAAGCTCCAGTCTATCGATAGCTCTCCCATCGTCCTCACGTCTCCTGCCTTTTCTGGCCCAGAGCCGGTGACGACCATCGAACGCGACAATGCGACAGTCCTTAGGCTCGCCATCTCCGAGGCCGCAACTATACATGCCGGAGCCAAGTGCGCGAGTGTTTCGCTAGCAGCCCACGCGGACCTATCCGTTGTGGCAGGTCAATTTTCCTTCCTTTTGCCCTCCGGCGTACTAGTCACAACTAAACCAACAACAACACCCCATTTGTCCACCCCCAAATCACATCCCATGCTGATCATGTAGGGTAATATACATACCCTGCATCGTGGTTCGCCTACTTCGACATGTTACAGACACCTGGTCGGCGCTTCTGTCGGTATGCGCACAATATGTGGCAAAGTCTCTTGCCTCTTCAGGAGAGAAGACGTGACGGCGCCAGACGCCGAGATAAGATCGTAGCGATTCAATGGGCTCTGCGAGATCCAAGGCTATGGCAAAGGAAATACGATGCCACCTCGGCTTTACTATGACAAGGATGTAGAACCGTTACAATCTCCTGCTGTCTAGGGAACAACGTCGCTGTAGCTGCTACTCGCGACATACACACTGCCATGTACACTTTGGATACCTACGTCACGGTGGTACGAGACCATCAAAGGGCTATTCTTGTTTACAACGTGTTTCACGGTGTGGCTGTGGCCACAGCCCTGTGATACCTTGCGATAGGAGCGAAAAAGCAACGATCTGGAGAATATGATGCGCAGACTGCGACTGTGAGGCAAAGCTTGCCTCGATCCTGGTATAATACGGGAGCAACCGCTGGATCAGCTTCCTCTTTTGCATTGGCTACACGGCAATTAGCTTGAAAGCTTATACTACACGCAGATAACGTATCTACATGGGCAGGGTCACCTAGCATCCACTGGCGCGCTTAAGGTACACTGGCGGACTCCATGTTAAGAGTTTGCCAAGCCGTAGCGGACACCGAATTTGGAAGGACAAACTACACACCTAGTCGATTACGCTTGGCGTCTTCGCACGACACAATGGAAAGGTTGCAGTGGATGGATGCTTTGGTGCTCAGGGGACCATAGCCTGCGTATAAGTATAGAGTTGCTTCCCTTCCTTCTCATCATCAGCCAGCTCAGTCAGTCGCTTATCTCTTCACTTCAATCACTCTCCAGTCCTACTCCGTGTAGTCTCATTCACTCGAAACAATCATCATGCGTTTCCAATCCATCATCGCAATCGCGCTTCCTGCGCTCGTCCTTGCGGCTCCTACTCCCCAGGACCCCGACTTCGAGTTCCCCGAGGATGCTCCCGCTGACGACATTGTTGGTGGAACCACAGCCTCTGCTGGCGAGTTCCCCTTCATTGTCAGCCTTCAGCGCGGCGGATCCCACTTCTGCGGTGGCTCTCTGTTGGATTCCACTACCGTCATCACTGCTGCTCATTGCTCCGTCAGCTCAGTCATTGGCGCTATTAGCGGTCTCCGCATCCGCGCTGGTAGCCTGAGCAAGAGCTCCGGCGGAACACTGGTCGGCGTCTCCTCCGTCACCGTCCACCCCAGTTACCGCAGCTCGGCCCAGGACTTCGATGTCGCCATCTGGAAGCTCTCTACTGCTGTTCCTACCAGCAGCACCATCGGCTACGCAACCCTCCCTGCTTCTGGATCCGACCCCGCTGCTGGATCCACTGCGACCGTCGCCGGATGGGGTGCTCTTACTGAGGGTGGCAGCAGCCCCAACACTCTCTACAAGGTCTCCGTCCCGATCGTCTCCCGCGCCTCGTGCCGCTCCTCCTACGGAACCTCTGCCATCACCAACAACATGTTCTGTGCTGGCTTTGCTGCTGGTGGCCGTGACTCTTGCCAGGGTGACTCTGGCGGTCCTATTGTCAACTCCGCCAAGACCCTCATTGGTCTCGTTTCTTGGGGCAATGGCTGCGCTCAGCCCAACTTCCCGGGCGTATACGCTCGCACCGCCGCTCTGCTCTCTTTTATCAACTCTGTTTAAGCGTTGGATGAAATGATGGATCGATATGACTCTCTGGGAGAGCATGATGATTGTGAATGATGATACCAGCAATGCTACATGGTTGTTTAGTCAATGGGATCATGGTTTTTCCCAGACCCACTTTGAGGATGCCTTTTTTGTATATATCTATTGGTACGAAATGAAACCTACAATTCAAACTCGACGCTTCGAATATTGTGACATAAGAGTGACATCATTTCCATATATTGGTGTACGTGGCAGACTATTGGATCGTGTACACTTCACATGTTGAGAGCAATCTTTTCTCGGAGTCCGGTCGCATGGTCCTCGGACAGGCCGTGGCATCAGAGCACGCGCAATTTAACATGCTATGACGCATCATAACGTCTTTCGACTAGCAACTGGATCCCCTCAAGCCTTTTAGACGATAAGCTTTTCGGAATTATCGAAAAGAAGCGACCGTTGCGTAGGTTGATGCTTGTAACTGCCGGCTCAGAACAAAGGAAGCTTTCTTCTTTTGATTTTCTTTTTCTCCGTCTATCTTTAGACTTGTTTTGAATACATGTCTCGAACAAGAAGCGAAACAACTCGTAACAGTAGAAGTACATGGAAGACTATCTACCGCTAAACCCATACAGCCATGATATCTATGCAAAGGTCTTTTTGGACTGAGTGGGAGAAAAGCAAGGCATGAATCTCCGCGGTTCGATTTGAGAATCTAATTGCTGGAGGTAGGACACAGCAAGTCTTCATAGGAGAAGACAAACAGAGTTTTGCTAAAGATAATGAAACGTAGGAAAAACGTAATCCAAGCCAGACTTTTCAAACCTCAGTAGAAAACCGTTGCAACAATGGGAAGAACAATCTAGCGTAGCCACTAAAGATACCTTGTCCGTTCATTCTGAAGCATCAGAAGTACGATACTCTGCACTACTATAGCCAAACATTCGTTTCATGTCCTCAGCACATGAGGGATTCAATTCTTGCTTTGAACAATCCCGAACGTGCTTCCGTCATATGAAATTTATAAAGGGGTTCCATAAATGGCAGTCCATGACGCTTGATCGTGTGGTCTTAGAGCCTGCAGCAAACATGCAGGGATAGGAGGTACATTTTGTGTAAAATATATCAAGCTTATGATAAAGAGAGGCAGACATTGCTCCATGCTGGATAGGAAGTGGAGGTGGAGAGAAGGCGTGAGTCATAGCTGCAAACTGACAAAATTTGATCCTCTGTGATGGAGAGAACCATGAGGAGAAGGGAGGATCTCAGTAGATGAAGAGAGCATATGTAGGTATTATACCAAGTGCAGAAACACGGTAGATTTGGGATGTAGTCGATCGTGAGAATTATAGTAATTTATTTTGCACTTCTTCGTCACTCTCACATGAAACATGCTCCCAAGCTTCTCAAGGAACTTGAAGCATTCACAGCAGGCTCGCGCGGCTCAATGAGTACATATCGTTCAGCTTCCGACCTTTTGAATAGAATGAGTGACGAGGAATGCATGTCAGCTATGGATAGAAGTTTAGATAGTCATTCGAAGAGTTCAAAAGAAGCTAAGCATTGAGCCATGTGATCAATGAGGGGTTGTAATTGAAAAATGCCATCATAGTGGCATATATTGGGGTATTGTAGATGGTAAAATGTACACGAATTGAATGAATCCACAGCTAAGCATTGTGAAAGCGCTTCCTCATCCCGACTCTTATTTGTCGCCCAGGCATAACCGCTCCACTACATTTCTTTAGTACCGTCCGCTTTCTCTTCGTCCCACACCGAGACTACCATACTGACTACTCCTGCCCAGACTACCCGTCTGGCCTAGCGTCTTCTCACCTCTCTCCCTCTCGGCGTTCAAATTTCCAAGACTTATCCGCTTCAGAGGGCTGACATCCCGCTTGCTTGGACTAGCCCTGCGCTCAAAGGCGCCACCAAGACTGTCCCTTCCACGGCTCGCACTCCTCTCACCATCCTTTATGAAGTTTGCATTTGCCGACTTTCGTAGAGGAGATGCGGCATGAGTGTTTATTCCCAGGTAGCCGCCGTCAGCGGTCTTGCTATTAGTCCGAGGAATAGTGGGTGCTTGACGGAAGGGGTTGGGTGTTTGCGAGGGTCGAATAGGAGAGGAGAAGTCGGCACCTGTTGCTGTGGAGGTGCTTGCATACTGTGAACTGCCGTGGTCTTGGTGGAGGGAGGGTCTACGCTTCAAGGAGCGTGTGACGGATGGAGAACCCATATCGTCAGGGTCATATTGTGAAGCGTAGCTTGCATTCGGGTTCGTACGGAAAATGCGGCGGTTTACGATGGTAGTTGGCGTGTATGTGACGACTGAACTCGCGAGATCATGGCTGCTGCCCTTGACACCGACACTCGAGTCGCGGTTTCGGTTCGTCGAGATGGTCTGGATGCCGACGTCGCGGCACGGCTTCTGCAATGCGGGATGGACAAACTTGCTGTCGTATTCGTGAAGCACTTGGCGACTGATCAGAGAGTTGTCCTTGGCCTGCTGCAAAAAGGAGCTCCTGAGCCACCAAAGGTGCAGCGACAGCGCGGCTCCGATCAAGATTGTCGTGGTCACCCTAACGCTCGGTCTCGGATCTAGTGGGGCGACTGGGAGGTTGAAGTAGTACAACACGACATGCAACGGGCTGAACAAGCAGAACAGCTCCAGACATAGCGGATTTGGATCCCAAACCGCTACTTCCCAGACGTCTCTGCCCTCGACAGGATGCGCCCTACTCGCCGCGTTGTTCTGCACCAGGTTCCTCACGAACTGCATCGGGCTCGCTGCTGCAGGCGATGAATCGACTCTAACGCGCTTCGCACTGGGTGTCTGTGGCGCCACATCCACACTCTGCTCAAAGAGACGGTAATACCTTCTCTTGCCCCAGACCAGCCACGCATTGCCGAAGCTAGCTACACCCAGCGCCAACACCAACAAGCCCATGATCCACTTTATCCATCCCGGGCCCTGCACCTCGGTAAAGACACCATCGTCGTCCGAGGCCGTGGATGCGCCGCTGTTGGCTTGAGCGAGAACGAAGAGTAGGTTTGCGCCGAAGCCGATGTACAGCGCATAGGCAGATGCGAAGTCTTCCCAGTCGGAGCTGTTCAGCTCTTCCGATATCCAGATGAGCCAGTCGGACAGGTCCAAGTAGGCTTTTATGCGTTCCGAGAGCGGTGCGCGGCGCACAATAGGAGGCATGGTTCGGCTGTATTACGATTATAGTCGCTAATGTAGAGTCGCGGTTTGTGTAGGAAAGGCAAGAGAAAGAGTGGCGTAGTAGTGAGACTCACGTCGTCATCGTGGTGTTGTGACAGGACGATGAGGAAAGCGCGAGTGGTGAAAGAAACGACGGTACAAACAGTTGACCTAACGCGGACTAGGCCCTGGTCCCCACCCATGACGACGGCGCGCGGGAGCTCCAGCTTCAGCAGCCAAGCTCCGACCTCACGACAGCTGCCTCACCAGATATATCGCAATGGCAGCACCAGCGGCACAATACAAAGATAGGCAGTTCCTGGCCGTAATAGGCGATGAGGTATGCATCTCGGGATATCCTCATTCCGAGGGTCAAGGGCGCTAATCGGTCGCAGGACACTTGCACGGGCATGCTGCTTGCAGGCGTAGGCGTAAGCTGTTCCCTGCTGCTACACGCGATACGAATAGGAGATTGACGCATAACACAGCATGTTACCCAGCCGCCAGACAGCCAAAAGAACTTCCTCGTTGTAGACGCAAAGACCGAGACCTCGACCATTGAAGCGGCATTCGACCGCTTCACCAACGAGCGCAAGGATATCGCGATTCTGCTCATCAACCAGCATGTACGTGTTACATACCCCCGGATACGGCACTCATAGCTGGAGGCATAATGCGGAAGCTTTCTTGAATGCGGTGTGAATGACGCGACTGACCGCTGTTAGATCGCCGAGAGGATACGACACCGGGTTGAGACATACACCGCTGCCTTCCCCTCTCTTCTCGAAATTCCATCCAAAGACCACCCCTACGACCCCGAGAAGGACAGTGTGCTGAAGAGGGTGAGGAGATTATTCGGAGAGTAGACGTTGAACGTGGAAACTGGCTGGCTCTGGCACGTGGCGTTTAGCGTGGGCAGTTAAGTGTACATGCAACATTTAATGTGCGCAGATATGATATCCATCACAGAACACACGGGTCAAAGTTTCAATTGTGCCACAAAGTGTATGCATGTCTGTCGTATCTACATTAAGCCATGGTCCATCCATACGTCCAAAATCCACAAGCAAAACAATAAAACTAACCTTGCACTGGTATCGTGTTACAAGACATGGAACAATCCGCCAACACTTGGTTACAACTCGTTCCTCTGCCTTAACCGCTCTTGCACAAGCCCAGCCAAAGGGCCCGACATTTGCACTCTCGGCTGTCCAAACTTGATCTTACTGCCACTGCCCACATTACTATCCTCCGTATCTCCCCTACATGGTTGAACATCAGATCCCATCGCTGCTCGTCGTGTGTTGTGGCGGCAAAACGCAGGTGAGGCAATTTACCGGTGGAAAGCGATCTTGGCGGTGAGGCAAGTAATCTTGTCACCGTCCGCGGTGAAGACGTCTGCGAGAACAGTGTACTGACCCTGCTAGTTGTTAGTGTCCATTCGTTTCGTATTAGCTCTTCGAACGCACCGGAGGAATCTCCCTGGGCAGATCAACGTCCTTGGTCAAGCTCATCTCGCCCTTCTTGAGCGGGCACTCGAGATCGCCCTTCTTTATCGTTTCACAGCCATCCGCATTCTGGTTGATGAGTGTGATGAGGCCGTACTTGACTTGCAAGTGCATTTTGAAACCCTCACCGACTTCCTCCTTGAAGTCGCCCGTGGCTTTGATGCTAAGCTTCTCGCCACTATGCACAAATTAGCTTCTGACTTCACAACTCTTAAGACTTGCGAAGCTACCACACATGTAACTGCGCGAGTTATACGAAGCTCCAACAAAAAAAACACGTACGGCTTGGGTGGGTTGGGACTCAGATCAACCTTCTCAATCTTCAAAAGGTCGTTGGCTGGGTCACCGCAGAAGTACAAGGGGTTGTCGCCTGGGACCTTGTACTCTTCTTGGATCGTAACCTGGTCGCCACCCATCCATGAGGGCGATGCAGAGACAGAGGCGGCGCTTAGCGCGGCGAGGAAGAGGGTGGTGAGCTGCATGGCGGCGGTGAAGGCAGCTACGGTACTAGAGACGAGCTGTGGTGTTGTCGTTATCGCGCGATAAACACGATTGGAACAACTTCGATGTGGATTCGAAGTTGGGGTAGGATGGTCGGGGTTGTTGTGGAGAGTGGAGAGCTCTGGTAGTGGTTGAGGTTGGCGTCCAGATAGCGGCCGCGGTTGAGGCTGGGGCGAAGCATGGACCCTGCAGCCAACGTCATCGCTGTTGGTCACGCACCTGCGTTAGTCTATTGCTAGCACCGTCTGGGGTTGACATCCACATCTTGTTGCAGAAGAAGAAGAACTGTCGGAAAAAAGGAACCTCACCCAACTCGATCTCCTCACCTCTCGCACTATTTGAGAACGTCTACGACAAGCAGGGACCAACAAAGCAAGTCAGCCGTATGGGTATCTATGATGATATTTCGCCATACTAGGTCGAGCCTGTGTGCTTAGAGAATCTTTGCGCAGCCACCAGAAAGAGACAGTCCAACTCCGTGGCAGCAATTTCATTGCCGACCTTCAATCTCAAGTATTGTCGCCCTCTCGGTGTGCCGTCATACACCCACTCGTTAGACCCGTCGGCATTGATCTTGTTGTACCCGCATCGTTCTGCGACCTCAAACACGCTCCCCAGGCCATTCGCACAATAAAGAACCGTAAGAGGGTCCCAGCTCGGTAGCGGCTCCCCAAAACCATAGTAGATGTAGGCCATTCTGATCGGGTCATCCTTAAGATCACTTGCCATTAGCGGTCCGCCTGCCAATACATGTTTGCCGACATCGTCGCCCAAGAACGTTATCAGGCCGTCCCATGTGTCCAACACATGAGCGGCAAGGGAAGGGTTAGAGCCCCAGAAGTTCCAGCTACGACCTTTTGGATACTTGCCCCCCATGATAGCCAACTCTGCTACTTTTGTTTTAGCAAGCTCACGGCCATCAAGCTCGGAGAATTCATCCGCTTTGGAATTGAGGAGTCCGGACAACTGTAGGCAACGTTAGCAAACAATGTTCAATGTGCAAAGGCTGCGTTTAGGGACAAACATTGTCAAGGAAGCCGATGGAAGCAATTGTAACACTTCCGTTTTCAGCTTCAGAAAGCAGTTTTCTGTACAAGGCAACTGGATCCCATGCGTCCTTCGCCTTCCCCCATGGCAGAGTACCTCCGGACCAGTGATAGGCCACTTTACTTGTATATTCGCCGCGCTTGAAGTCCCAACCGTCGAAGAACGTCTCTTTATTCATTGGACGACGGATGCCAATAGGTGTGTTCGAGTGTCCATAATGCGCGAGAATAGCAGATGCTGCGAGAGCGGAATATGAGCAAGGATGGTTGACGTTGACACCGAGAAGGTTCAAATTGGGTAGGGTAGCGCCTAACCCTAATGCGCCTGCATCACTAACACTCTGATAAGTTTTTGAAATAGCAGGGTGATGGGGCTGTGCGTACTCGACATCGCTGTGCAAGTCCGTGTCAATGATCAGATTTTTACGTACTGCCATCGAGCGAACCCTGCGACCAAAAGATAAAGATCTTCTACGAAGTCCCCGTGGGAAAATGCAGTTGTTGGAAGCTTTTGGCCCTCAACCAAGCATGAGGGGTAGTAGCTAGGTATATGCCCGGCTATTCTACCAATCAAGACCTTGTCCATCTGAATCGCTGCAGCATCGTCAGCCAAGGCAGGATGAGTGTCCGGCTGCTTTTTTGAGTGTTCAATTCTAGAGTTTGCGGCATAGTTCACATCCGCATCAGTCTACTCGGTACCAGTTTACTGTATTTCTCATTCCGGCAGAGGACTTGCAAGGAAACACCATACTACCGAACTTATCGTCGAATGATTCGCACATGGAAGCTTATGAACTGGAATCTGGCTACCTGGTTCATGCAGCAAAATAAATGCCTGCCAATGCTAAGAGGGGCGCCTTCCCTGTGTCGTCTCTCGATTCAAAGGCTGCTCTAGAAGACCCACGAAAAGACCATAAACACAAACAACAGGCGCTCAAGCAGTTATAATACTAACGCAGTATAACTAAGAGCCTCATACGGCACTGTGGCATGGCGAAAAGCAACGTAGCTTACGCTTGTGTACCTAATCTTGCCACCGTAACTTTTTTAATGATTAGTGGAGTCTGCTCGTCCCCCAACTTTGAGCCGTTCGACAGCCTACACCCAGACGTCATTAGGAGTGTACCAATATCCACTGATTCTAGAAATTGGTTCAAAGGGGTACTGATATGCGTCGCCAGCCTACGCCACGTCGCCCCGTTTCTCACTGAAGGACTTCAGCTTTGCTGTGGTCGCCTGGCTAGTGTTTCTTCTTTTATACCACATGCTTTCCATAGACTCCGAAGCTCATGAGTGCGCGAATGTTCTCACACACATCTAGTCTGAATGAAGGCGCCGCTGCATCTACGTGTACCAATTATGAAGCACTATCAAAGGACTCTGCGCTTGCGCAGACATGCTACCATGCGCATGAAAGTTAATGGTAAGACCTCTTCATATCTGTTCTCAACGAACCCTAAACTATGCGATACTTAATTTCAAGCATGATGTTAGAAGTATGGAATATTCATCGGCGGCCAAACCCGGAACCTTGTTAGTCAACCCACACCAAGCCGATCACGTTAGCGTCGGGTGGACTTAAGACTGTCAGCTGGCTGCAGTGGGCCAAGACGTCACTTTATCAGGAGATGATATGCAACGAGCAACAACAAGCATTTCTTCTGGAGAGATGTGGCACTGCACGGTAATTGCATCGGTCTTGTTGTCTCCTGCTTTCGGAGTGCTCTGATTGATCAGACACTCTAGTTACTACCTGTTCCTACTACGGACATGGGTATAGGTAGCGCTAGTGCATAGGTCTCTTATCATTACTCACCATGTATCCATAGGTTCGAGGGCCTGTTGCCTTGAACTGCCTGTTATGATAATGTCATCCACTTGCATGCCCAGTCTCGGCGAGAGAGACGTAGAGAAATAAGTCTACCACACCCTGGCCCAACGTCAATATCTCTCGGATGAGGCTGACGCAAGCTATGGCAGTGCAAATTCGCAAAAGCCAGCTTATTGAACTATAAGAACGCTATGTAGGGACCTAAGAGAGCATCACATACCCAAGCTTCCACACTCATCACAACTAATCCAGATTACAATCTACAGAAGAAGCGCCTCGAAAATGACGGTCCCCACGTTCGCATCGATGGTTCTTATGGCCGGTATTCAGATGCTGCCAGCGGCGGCACAGAACATGTCTTACGGAGCCAACAACTTCTACCGCAGCGACAATGTCACAGTGCACCCGATCACCTTTCCAAATCAATACCAGATGTCCGTTGCTGGAAACCTCTTCCTACCCGACAACCTCGATCGAAGCGTCAACGCGTCCGCCATAGTCGTCGGTCACCCAATGGGAGCTGTGAAGGAACAGAGTGCAAACCTATACGCCACGAAGATGGCAGAGCAAGGATTTGTTACTATCTCGATTGACGTCTCCTTCTGGGGAGGCAGCGATGGTGAGCCGAGAAACGCCGTATTGCCAGACGTTTACGCCGAGAGCTTCAGTGCTGCGGTCGATTACCTAGGTCTACAGGACTATATCGATCGCGAGCGCATTGGAGCTATCGGTATCTGTGGCAGCGGCTCTTTTGTCCTCAGCGCAGCGAAAATCGACCCGCGCATCAAGGCAATCGCGACAGCTAGCATGTATGACATGGGAGCTGTGAGCCGCAACGGGTTACAGAGATCGCAGAGCGTCGAGCAACGCAAGCAGATAATTGCGACGGCGGCGGAGCAACGTTGGGTTGAGGCCAGCGGTGGAGAGACGGAGGTAAGTTATGACTGTACAAAATGCATGTGAGACATACACTGACTTCGTACCCCCATCTTTACAGTATACGGGCGGGACTCCTCATGTGCTCACCAACGAGACCGATCCAGTGTTGCGCGAGTTCTACGACTTCTATCGCACGTCTCGCGGCGAGTTCACACCTGCAGGCTCTGCACCTAACCTCACCACCCACCCTACGCTCTCGAGTCAGACCAAATTCATGAACTTCTACCCCTTTAGCGACCTCGATACCATCTCTCCCCGTCCGGTTATGTTCATCTCCGGCAACATTTCACATTCGCGCGAGTTCAGTGAAGATGCGTATGAGGCTGCGGCAGAACCGAAGGAGTTGGTTTGGATTCCAGGTGCCGGCCATGTGGACTTGTACGACCGCGTTGACCTGATCCCATTTGGCAGGCTCACTGAGTTCTTCCAACAGAATTTGAGCGAGTAGGGAACAGGTTAGACTGTTGAATGTGCCAAGAAGATAACTTGCCATCGCATTCGAAACGGTTCGGAAAGATGCATCTGCGTTTTAGTATGCTTAGCGTCTCGAGAAGAAGAGAGGGCAGAGGCTATTTGTACGACAGCCTTCGATTTCCATGTACATGTTTGATCGTCATGCCAGCCCTTACGCAATATCAATAACAATCTTCCCCTTGACTCGTCCTTCCACCATGTAGTCCTTGGTCTTTTCCCAAGCCTCAGCATGCTTTTCTTGCGTCAGGATACCCTCAATGACATCCTGGACCACAACCTGCACATCACCCTTCTCCGCCAACTCCCTCACCTGCTCTAACAACTCGCTCTTCTGATATAAAATAACGTTTGCATACCGCGGGCCAAACAAATAGCCCTGAATATGCCTTGCAACCTGTGACGGATAGGTAAAGTACGTCAATGGTCCGCCCATGGCGGTTCTTGAAGTTTTGTCCCCAACGATAGTTATGTACGCGCCAGAGGGATGAAGGAGTTGCTTCCAATGCTCGAACATCTCCGTGCCACCCACACAATCAATGTACAAATCGTACTTGGTACCACCAGGCCGTTTAGAAAGCAGGGAGTTGGGTACATCTTGCGTGCGATAGTCAATCACCTCATCTGCGCCCAGTTTGCTCACAAAATCTGCATTGGGGCCCGAGCAGATTCCAATGACATGGCAAGAGTAGAGTTTCTTCGCTAGCTGTACACACCACATTCCTACACCACCGCTTGCTCCTGAAACAATGACACGGCGTTGCGAGGGGGATGAGGATCTGGACAGAGACGGGAGCCAATCGAGACAAGCGAATGCGGTCAAGACAACGAGAGGTATAGCGGCGGCTTCGTGGTGAGAAAGAGTACTAGGTTTCTTTGCAATAGGCTCGGAGGTTGGATTGATACAAAGATATTGTGTAAATGTTCCTTCCGCCATCTATCATAGTTCGACATTAGTGTTGTCTTCCAAAGAGTAGTTTACGTTGCAAACAAGGCTTGACTTACAGGTCGATTACACAGTCCGAAAACTTCGTCTCCAACCTCCCATTTCCCACTCTTTCTTGCTTCTTCGCCCAAGGCAACAATCTCACCCGAGTAGTCTCGTCCTATTCCTTTTTCTTTCCCACCTGCTAGCCAGCCAATTATGGGATTTCCCCATAATTGGATGTCTACTGGATTGATAGCCGCGGCTTTGATCTTCACCAGCACCTCCTGTGGACCTGTCGTAGGTATGGGTGTATGTGTAAGGTGTGGTTGAGAACAAGGTTGCGTATAGGTCAGAGAGGTATTGGATTCGGGGAGCGAGAACGCCATGATGAAGCAGCTTATTCTATTCTTGCGGCGAAGCGAGTTGCGTGTTGTTGTTATATTTGAAGATTCTTCCAGTGCAGTTGATCAAACACTATCTAGGCGATTGTTTACTACTATCGGCTTGCTGCTTATGGCAAGATGCATGCTTATGACGTTGAATTTCTAATGTGGCCTATGGAAGGCATGAGTGGGGCGCCGGAGTACAGACCGAGGTTTCGTATAGCCTATACGAGTCAGGTAACGGGAGTCGTGAATCGTTGTCGAATCGCATTTTCTACCCATAAGAATTCAGGCTAGGAAGTTCGTCTGCTATTGCATGATGAGTCTATTCAAGTCTATATATCGCATAATTCTGCTTTCAGAGCTTCACTGTACTTCTCGCCCGAATCTTCTCCCCATACCTAATAAACAGGAATGGGATCGGAATTAACAGTGTAGCAATGAAGCCTAACATACTGTTACCCCAGCCGTATCCCAATTGTGCGTACATGGTCTGGCTGCTCAACGGAATGAAGGCTGCTGCAAGACTACGCAGCACTGTGCTCGCTGCCATGGCACTCGCGGCGTGGATAGTAAACACGTCGACCAAGTACGTCGTTGCTGGCATGAACGTCATCAGCAGACCGAACCCGATGATGCCCGTTGCAACGATAGGTACCATGAAATGCGTCTGATACTGTACGCTCCAGCCGTAGATGAAGAGACCGCAGGGAATGAAGAATCCGCCGATACACATCATATACAATCTGTGTTCGGGACGGAAGTCGCCGCGCGCCATGTGCTTATGCACGACTTTGTTACCGTAGTGAATGTAAACGAATTGGCCAATGAGAGATCCTATGCCTAAACCAAGGAACGAGAGACCGGTGATACCTCCATGCCAGCCGTACTGACCACTGAAGACGGCGGTGAACGTCGTGAACAATATGTAGAGATATGCGTATGTTATCGCGATGTAAAGTGAGATGGCGAAGCAGATAGTTGAGCGAAATAACATCTTGGCAGGTCGGACAATTGAAAACTTGAACAACTGGCTTGGTGTAAGACCACCGTCCAGTTTTGAACGTAGTTTTGGGTTGCCAGTTTCGGCTTTCAGGCGCTTGACTTTCCGTTGTAGAATGATAATTCCAGATGTTTCTCTCATCAAAATGAGTGACACGATGAAGAATGCGCCGCCCTATTGGTCTTAGTTACTAACTGATAAAGAGTGTAGATGCAGACTTACCACTATAGCAACGAACCAAAAATTCCATCGCCAGCCTTTCGCCACTGTCAAAAAACCACCAATGATTGGGCCAACACAGGGCCCGATAGTCGGTCCCATCATCCTGGTCAAAGTCAGCATTGCTCTAACAGACACATGTATGCTGGCATTACCAGACTGCCATCGCAGTACCACGTTGCTCCCTTGGTATAAGATCCGCAATAGTCCCTCCACCAAGAACCATAGGCGCTCCTCCGAAGCAGCCCATAAAAAACCTGAACACCACAAACTGCGCCATATTCGACGCTACAGCTGCTGCAATTGTGAAAACGATGAACAGGAAGTTACAGCTGTGATATAATGGCAGCCGACCATACATCTCCGAGAGCGGCGCAATGATTAATGGCCCAAAAGCAAAACCAAGGACATATACGGACACCATGAAGCCCTCTAGCAAATCGCTTGTTGAGTTGAACTCGCGCATAACTTCCGGAACACCAGGCGCAAATTGCGAGCTTGCGAGAGGCGTGAGGAAGGTAATAGCAGATATCAGTGCCACCATGCCCCATTTCCGCGATGCTTGCCAATTGAGAGGATTCTCTGGATCGTTGGGGCCGTCAAAGTCGACAACATCTGGATCGCGCTCAGGCTCCTCTTCCGCGTCCAGTTCATCTGCGCTGGAGATTGAACCTGGCCTGTTGCCTTTTTCAATATCCTTCTCCCCCGTCGTGTACTCATGCTTCTTCTCATCTAACGAGTGACGCCTCCCTGAGGCATGACTAGGCACTTGGTGTATAGAACCGAGGTTGCCTGGGATATCCGCATCATGACCTTCGGCTGCCGCTTGATCGATGATCTCGCTTCTCGTCGGATGGCGATACAATCCTGGCGGTTCTGGTTGTGGCATTTCGATAGTTCGTCGCTACTGTATGAGCCTCAGTAGGTGGTGATTGCGTTAGTTGTCATGGGAAACTGCCGGGTAGTGCGCTGCTCAACTCGACAAATCAACTTGAGATTCTTTAACGAAACCCGCGAAACGAACGCTATTATGCTAAGAATGTTGGCATGTGGAGACCTTACCCACGTTGGCGTCCGGAGATAAAGTGCTGGGTTGCGTCAAACACCTGGGTTTGTGGGGGGAGTAGAGTAGCAACGGCACTGTGAACGGCGGCTACGAGAGTCCATATTAAGTAGAAAGAAGTGAGATGCAGCTAGTAGTAGTGGAAGGTGTCAGTGGCTGCGGCTACCTGTTTGCCGCATGTTTTGTGGCTTGCTCTGTGAAGACTATGACTGTTAAATCCGTTACATGCAACAGGACAAGGGTTAAGGCCCAAGTGCAACCTGCACCGACTGAGCTCTATAACGTAAAGAGGGTAATGTGTTATTCCTCTAAAAGAATCTCTGCTTACCCCGCTGCATTTTGACCGTGATTAGTTCGTTCGTGAGCACAATAATGGGGAAACCAAGACGCGGAAGACTACCGTGAGCCTAGGTACCGAAATAGCGCATTATCCCCACACCATTTTCTCCATTGTACCTCCAGCATCTCTATCTAGAAAACAACACAGATATCAGGGCACTCTCAGACAGTAGACATTGAGCTATTATCGTTTTAAATTAGAATATAGCAACTTCGCCTATTGAAGTTCGATGTCAATGCGAAGTTCTGTTCTCTCCATCTTCCCCGCCATTGCTTAGCAACAAACTCAACGGTCCTCGGCCGAACCCCGTGATTTAGCGTAGATTGCACGCCACAACTCGGGATATGATACCCCTCTGGTGAATATAGCATGGTCAAGGAAATTCCTACCGGGCAGTATCGGTTGACTTGTGAACTGGATCCTCTCTCACCACACATGCTGAAGATTGAAGCGGATTCGCATTACTCTCAGAGCCATGACAACCATCTCACTCAGACCCTGTGCTGCCTGTGTCAGGCTGGTGCGGCGGATGATCGCGGTTGCGTTGAACCTGGCGTTGTAGATGACTTGCTTCGCAAAGTCGTATGCGAAGTCGACGATGTAAGGCCCGGGCTCGTCTCTCATGTGTTGTCGGTAAGGCCTTCTATGCTTCTGACAACTCCCGCTGAGAGATGTACTATGCGATGGAGGGCCCATTGTCACTCATCCGCATGTTCAAACAGTTCTTCTCTCCTCTTCACCCTATATCATAGCACCATGCCGATAACTAGGCTGTGGTAGAGGCTCTGTAACTTCATAGTTACCGAAGAAGTCGACACTACTCTTTCTTCTCTCCTCCATCGCGTCTTCCAGGTCACGGCTCACGCAAATTTCCATGCCTCCACTCTGCTCCGTACCCTTCTTCTCCGTCGACATCTTGTAGCCTACACCCGCCGAAGAAGTTGCTGCCGCCGAAGTCGGGCTGAGATAGGTAGAAGTAGTAATCTTCTTCTTCCCAGGTAGGTCGTTTTCTCCAAGTAGGCTAAGCCACCGAAGCTCAGCACACCGCTTGAAGACGTCTTCGAGGTCAAAGAGATCCTGCATGGAAAGACTGTACATCTTGCCGCTTCGAAATTTCCAGAAAAAGAGGACCGACAACTCAATGGTTTCAATGGATTGGAGCGAGAGAGCAATCTTGTCCATGGCAGCGAGTAGGTTGCCTGTCATGCGTGTCTGATCTCTCATCATACGATCTCGCCCGCCGTTCTTCAACATCGTGTAGTTCCATTCGATGTAGAAGCGTATATGCGTTATATGCTTCAGCATAGGCAATTGCAGGATGTGGTGTGAAAACTCAAAATAGTCGGTGTTGGTCCGCGTGTTCCGTAGTTCAGCGTGCAACGTAATCTTGCTGCGGCGAAAGTAGTTGTAAAGCAGCTCTTCGCGTATTTGCTTGTTAATAAGGAGGAGCTCGGGCCGTAATCGGGATGCTTTGGCTACGGAGGATCCATACCCAAAGATGTCGTGCCGCCAGGGTTCTCCATTGGACATCTCGGCTCCCCATAGACAAGTGTGAATTTCAGGACGATTTTTGGTATCTGGTAACACATAATTGAGGATTTGGGCGCGGATCTCTCTTGGAAGAGCCAGAAGTGGCGAGCTGAAGGTGCTCGGCGTGAGTTCAAGCAGGATCTCTAGTTCCCGGAAAAGCATACTCTGGCGATGCTTGTAAAGACCATCTGAGCTTCGGTTCGAGGAAATTGAGAGCTTGTTGCTCGCTCGTTGAACCGTCGCCATGCGCGTATGCAGGGTGGCACGGTTTGTACCAAGTGGAGGGAACGCGATCGTCTAGTGTCCGGACGTGCAATTTCGACGGACGTCCCAGGTTAATAGGAAGCGAGATATACGGGGTTCGCTGTAGGTTGTCCAGAGCTTGAAGACGGATAATTTAGACTTGGGCAATTGTTCAACTAGGTATAAAACGTCGCCGCAAGCGATCTTATGGAACGATTTGAGGGAAAGGGGAGTATCTGCGACGCCATGGCTGTGCAATGCGGCCGAGTCATGTGTGAGTGGTCGCTCGTTGCTGTGCGGCGCAGGGATCGATTGCAGAACCCGCGCCAGCATTGAAAGTGGGGATGTTGTATCACGTGTCAAACGGCAAGCGCAAGATCTTGTCGGCGCAATGTGTTTCAGCTTGGCGCTTCGAACCTCCTGCATCCGCAGCTTTTTGATGCATCAAATCCTCAAACGCTCCGGAGCGACATTTTTGCGGGCGATGGCCATCCACAGACTCGACCGTCTGACTGCTTCCGCTGGCTCGGCAGAAAAAAAGCATGCTGGTGTGTGTGTGCGGGAGACCTGGGGGAAGTCATGATCTTTGTGTGCATCAAATCTGGAAAGCTATTATTACTTCGCTCTTATTGCGCGTCATCTATATTTAACAACAAGTGACGAAATGCGGAAAATCGCGTTGCGCATTTCGACGTCTAGGGGTATCACAACAAACAAAACAAACATTCTGGGCCGCTACTCATGGCTGTCCGCCTACTCCATCAGCTCTGAATCGAAGCACTGGCAGTCGGCAATGCTACCGCCAGGTCTCCATCCGCTCAACAGAGTCGGACACCGCCACGCGACGTCCATGTCTGAGCACTGAAACAGCACATTCCATATCCTCTCCGTTGTGTATCCGAACCACGGCTGGCTCATTGAATCGGGTCGTCCCTGAAGGTAGGGTTCCTGGTGTGCCCAGCTGTTCTCGTCGACGAGGAGCTGCCATAAATCGTCGTAGATGGATTTGTCAATGCCGCGGATCCGCGCCGCGGTGACAACAAACTGACCTTTGTAGCTGAGCAGGACGTTCTCACGGTGGGAGTTGTCGATTCGGGACTGTGTGTCCGAGAAGAGCGAGGTTTCGTCCTGCCAGCCGCGCTTGTCTCCACAGTCGTCGCTGTTGCAGAGTATACCTGCCCATCCTAGGTTGAGGAAACCCGTCTGATTTGCACGGAAATATCGCTCGAAGAATGGGTAGAACTCCCGTGGGTTGTGAACATCGGCTTGAAGAAATACCGTTCTTTCAGCGAGACTGTCCCAGCGGTTGACGATGTGGTTGAGGTACGTTTCGGCTTCGCGTCCTACGTTTGGGAGCTTGATCACTTCGTGCGCGTTCGTTTCTTGCTTGATCTGTCTTTCGTCTGCTTCGCTATCCTTCAAGTAAATCGTAATAAGAGCCTCCGACATCTGCGGCATGCTCTCCAGCTTAGTTATGAGTGCTGCCACATCCTCGGTGCGCTCTTTGTACATGCTGATAACAACTTCTAGAGGTCCGATAGGTTCGTAATGTAGATCCAGATGCGGCTCCATTCGAGGGTATTGTCGTTGTCCAAAGTTAAAGCTTACGAACGCTGTCCACAGCATTATCAGGGCCAAGCTGACCAAGGATGAGCGAAGACTGTGGCCTTGTGACTCTGGTCGTAGTATGCGTTGTGATTTCGTACCGCACTCTTCCTCATCATCTAGTCGTGCTCTGGGAGAACGTGAAACGAGATCGTAGCTTCCGCGAGAATCATTGCGTTGACCGGCCTGCTTCCAAATTGTGTCATAGACATCTTTGCCGCAGACACATAGGATAGCGAAGAGGAAACAACATAGCTGGTACCAGCTAGTGTATGAGCGACGCAACGAAAGCACCGTGGAGCAACCTGTGATCGCCACCATGGCTAAAATCGTCGTTATGCTGCGCATACGTCGTGTTGCTGCAAAGCCGCTTCCAGGTAGTTGGTCCCCTAACTGCATATCCAGTGGGAAAAGTATCGAGCCTCCAGCTAAGAATGCCGCCGCTGTCGAGAAAGCATTCAGGGTGCGGAGAGGCAGGCTGCTCACGTCGAATGAGTCCCATTGCTCACCAGGCCAATTGCTGATAGCGCAGACAAACGCAAGCAGGCTACCCATACCAACTAGCCAAACCGTATTCGTACTCCGGGTAGCGTAGTCTCCTGGGTAGTATTTAGCAGCCAGCTTCCTCAGCGCACTAGCCGCGCCAACTAGGAGCATTGCCAGAATTGATGCGATCAAGCTTGGTACCATTAGTCTATACTCCATGAACAATATCCCGGCACAAGCTGGAAAAAGCAAGCTCAAAGACAGAATCTGTGCGTTCGAGCGAGATGTGTAGTTGAACACGTAGAGTACGAGACCTTCGGCGAAGAAGGCTATGGTCTAATACGGTCAGCGCAACGTATTTTGGAAATTGCCTCAAGGCTACATACCGTGATCATGCAAAGCAGGGGTAGGTTTGAGGTATGCAGGACTGCTTGTACTATGCAGAATGCCGATACTGCTTGCAGGCCGTTTGAAGCAACCACTAACAGTGTGCCTTGAACCGGTCGCTTTTTATGTTGCTCTTGCTCACTGGCTTCCTGAACGTTCGATCTCCATGGATGTAAAAAGAACGTGACGATAGCCGTAGCCACAATCTGGCAAATGAACAGCTGTAAGGGGTAGTGCAAATTCCTTTCGATCAACAGGTGCCTTGTGGTTAGCAGCGAGGTCGTGGCGCATGCGAGCCAGGCAAGCTGGCGGTAGTCTTGGAGTCGTTCGCATACAGCCTGGTGCTGCAAGAGGGGCTTTGGATCTTCATTGTCGTGCTCGAGACGATAACGCGTGGTCATGATCGTGTGGACTCGACTCCAGACCGGTTGTTGTATGGAAGAAGTGTAAGGAAGAAGGAAGCCCGAGTTCAACCGTGATTCCTACCAAAGTCTTCCTCGGTTGCCTGATCGGCCTGTAGGCCATGGAAGCGAGTCTATAAAGAGCTGAAGGCTGAAGGTAAGGCGTACAGTGCGTGTGACGACGGGGGTGCTGTGTGGGTCAGCACAACTGGGCCGTCGGGACCGGAGTTGTTGCGCAAATGTAAAAGTTGTGGAGTAGTGTCTGCCAGGGACAGTAAGGTTAGTCGGTGTAAATGACCTGACGAGACCAGTGTGGAGGCTCCTAGAGGGTTTCCACACTGAAGGATCACTTCTCTTTCACATTAGGGCTAGAATCCGGCAGCAGGTCCAGGTCCAGACTAAAGCCGTAGGAATGCCTGTAAATCAGCCACAGAGAGTAGGCAATCTAACCATGCATAAGTCTCATAGTGCGCGTCTGGCCGAGCGGTTGGTGGCCCCTTCACGATCATGGAATAGAGAGGCGCAGTCTGTACTGTACAGTCATCGCACGCGCCACATGGCACACAGGCCTTGTTAACCAGTGCATGGCAGTGTTAGGCCCCCATATGCCAAGAGAGTGTCTAATGTCGATCGCCCCGTTACCCTGCAGTGTCCACAGTGAGCTCCTGATGACAAGTAGGTAGCGGCTGATTTTGGAGACGTAGCCAGTTCTATCCAGTACCTAGGTACCAATGCTTCATGCATCCCTACTCTTGATGTTCGAATGTTTTATAACGACTGATGTGCTAGACTCACCCCACGAGCGCTGTGAAAGGGGGTGGTGGATACGCATGCTGCCAAGCGGGGATGCGAACAAGGAGTCGGGATTATTGGTCAAATCACCTCAAGCCTGGCTGATTGCGAAACGGGTCTGCAACTCGGGTCCGTTAATATCTTGGGGCCTAAGCACAGTGCGGATGGGTGAGACGACGAAAAATGTGGGTGGGAGACGAATGCGTTTAGGGTCCTTCGTGGAAGAGACGTTGTTAGTAACTACAATTCCACGCGGCGACTGGACGTGTCGTTGTACCTGCGACGCGACGACACCTCGACTGTACAATCAACCTTTCCGGAGGCGCACTTCGCAATCAGGAGCTCACCCAATGCTTTTAGTCGTATTGTGCAACTGTGCGAATGTTACTGTACCTATGCCCTTCGAGATGTAAAACCCACAATACGAGCCTCGCTTGCAATTCTTCCGTCTTTTCCTTCTCTTAGCGGGCCGGGGTTCATCGCCAAGACGGTAACACTCCCAAATACTCGGGGAGCTCACCCCGAAGCATAAGAAAAAACTACCTTTACAGCCTTGCGGCTGTAAATCGACAAGTTCGATATCTAAAACTTCATTATGCGACTACAAGTCGAGAGGAATCCCGCACAGCGATGTGGTGTCCAAGAGCGTATGCTGCGCAATCAGTGCAACCCAATATTGCCGAGAGCAACGTAGCCGACCTAGCTCGATCAACGTAATGTGAGTGGAGACGATTCGTGTTCTGTACTCAGGTCCTCTCGATGTCCCGCCATATGCTGGTGCTATTCCAATAGCTTCATTAGGGTGGATAGCTCGAAGTTTACTTCAAGTCGAGCTCACCGACCCTTCGCGAGATGTCTTACGCATCAGTTACATTGCAAGTTTCATCGACTCAAACCCCGAAATATAGGAAGCCCAGTTTCCAGCCAGGTCACGTGTTTCTTTTTTCGAGGGGGAGATGTGATTGGTCAATTCTTTTGGCTGGAAAGATATCTCGAAGGGCGACGAACACTGATCGTCGTATTAGATTATGATTAACTATCGAAGCTAGTGGGATATCATGATAGCCTTCCGATCGACATTATTTTGGGTCGTTACTTCTAATTTCCGATGACGCCCTCTACCATATCCATTGCACCAGAAAGTACGCTCTGGATGACTGGATATTTTGGAAGGAATGGGTTGTAAACAGTCTGGCATCTAGCGTTGAAATCCGCCGTGTTGCCAATCTCTACAGCAAGCTCGTTGCCAGGCACACCGAGCTTCGCAATCGGCCCGCTGCGAGGGGTGGCCTTGTCCCAGCCAGGACCTGCGGCGGGGTTCTTGATGAACTCGACGAACCAGTCGTTCTGGAAATCGGCAAGCGCCTGCTGTTCGGCAGTCACGCCCTCGATACCAGCAAAGGCACCGTTTCCTCCGAAGAAGAATGAGATCTCAGCGCCATGTGTTGGGTAAGCTACAGGTAAAGGCAGGAGGTTGGAATAGTTGCCGAGGAAGCGGTATGACCAAGTGTCTTGTGTCTCGCTGCGCATATCGATAAAATGATCGACCGGGCAGAAGAATCGTGCGTCACCGTACTGAGCACCGCTCATTTCGGAGACAGTGGAGTAATCGGCGATGTCGTACGCTGCCTCGATAAGGTCTTTCGGAATCTCCGCTACATCAGCATTAAAGGTGCTGAGCCATGCCGAGAAGTCAGCGTTCTCGCTGCCGTACACCAGGCCAAAGAGGGCGCCCTCTTTGTCGGAGTTACCCGTCAGCAGAGGAACATGGGATGCGTAGTTGCCAGCAGCGAAACGCGAGGCATAATCTTGGTAGCGCGTCTTCTCATCCACGACAGGCGTGAAGTACGTGTTCAAAGTGGCGTTGAAGGCCTCAGTTTGGAATGCGTACATGTCGACTTTACGCAGGCACTCGAGCTGGCCTTTACCAGTCGCGCAGCCAACCTCTTTAGCAACGAGGTCAAGCGCTTCGTTGGTAGGACCTACGGCCGGACCAGACTTTGCGTTCGCGGCCATCTGAACAGCACCCGCAAGGAAGGTGTCGGGATGGTTCCAAAGGTAATGATCAACCTGAACCGAGCCAGAAGAGTGACCCCCAAAGACGATGTGCTCAGGGTTGCCGCCGAACTGGGCAATGTTGTCATGCACCCACTGCAAAGCCTTGTCGACATCGAGGATGCCAAAGTTCTGCGACTCTTTGCCGTCTGCAAGCTCGGCGGAATTGGGGTACGCCCAAATGCTCTCACGAGTGTTGAAGCTAACAAAGATGACACCCTTGCGAGCAAAGTTCTCACCAACGAGTTTAGGATCGCTACTTGATCCTGTGACCATAGCGCCCCCGTACATGTAAACAAAAACAGGAAGACCTGGTGCCTTCAAGCCTGGAGGGGGACTTGGTGGACCTGGGGGGCCTGGTTGAGGATGAGGATGAGGTCCATTCGGGTTGTGGGGAAGCGGCGGCGCCCGTGGCGACTTACTATTTGGAGAAGGCACCCAGATGTTAAGGTTCAGGCAGTCTTCATCCTGCTGGGAGTATGTTGTGCCGGTGATGGCTTGCGGACAGGTGGCGCCATACTTTGTCGCATCGAGCACCTCACCCTTCTTGAGCTTGCTGATGTTCTGAGGGGCTTTCCATCTACATAGGTTGTCAGCAACGGCGAGGGCGTTTCATCACCACCGACACATACCGGTTTTCCCCACCAGTTGTCTGCGCGAACGGAATGCCTAGGAAAACAGAGTTTCCATAGTCATCTGTGAAACCCTTTACAGTTCCTTGGTCGAGTGTCGCCGTGCCATCCGTTACGGTTGCTCTCGAAGGTTTCGGAGGCAGCGGAGTGCCAGTCACTTGACCGAGGAAAACGCCTAGCGAGAGGCTCTGTAAGCCAATAAGAGCTGTCGAAACCTTCATGACGCAAGTCAAGAAGACACGATGGTGGGTAAGAGATTGAGTTTGGCGGGAGGCTGTAGATCGTGTTTGGGCTCACACATGGCTATATAGGGCACCACTTCGGCGTGCTTACCACTTCATGGGAACGATTCTGGCCGCCAACTGTACGGTAACACCATGTTACCCTCAACTGCCGAAGATTGTCCGTCGTGGAGCCTGATGGGTCTGTAAGGGTATTTTCATCTCCGTCGCTGCAGGTCCTCACGCGTTCCGAGGTCCGATGAGAATCAGGGACCGCAAATTGGCAAGCTAAGCGAGTCGTACCAATCGCAGTCCGCACAGGTCATCCATGCTAGAAGCCGGTTGATACGCCAAAAGCGCTAGAACGCCACCAGTTCCAAGGTAGAACCTTTGACATCGTGCGCTATGTGCCTTCCAGACCACCGTTCCCTGTCATTCATCGCCATGCGAGCTAGGAAGCATGCTTGCTCTGTCGGACCGATCCATGTAACCTGTCGTGCATGCTCGATAGAGATCTGAGACCTATCGCATTCTACTACCGCACCCATGGCCCCGAGGCTTGCGAAAATTGGTTTGCCATCCCATTACTCGTCGGTCCCTTGACATGTGAGCAGAGGCATTCGCTTTCCCAGTGCCGCGGTCGGCGAACACGATGCTACACATGTGTTGCTCTCGTCTCGAGTCAAACTCTACCAAAGCTTAGCTCAACTCGCTCTAAGGCATGAAAACGTTGCCACTCAGTAGTGGCAGTCCAAGGGTTTCGCAACTCAGGGCTGGGTGCCGACTCTAGCGCCCGAGCAACATTCGAATTAGACTTGCCAGTCACGGTTGGGCCTTTGGGAAGTCCCCTGATGCAATCATGCCATAACGCTACGGGACGGCATACTAGTACCATAACCCGCAACATCCTGTAAAGTTACTTTAGGGGTGGTTTGCCTGTGGAGAAGAAATAAAGATACACCCCGCTGTCAATTCTTCTGTACACTTCGCGGCTCTCCACAGACTCTGCTCTTGGATCTCTAACCAAGGTGGAGCGAGCAGGCTCGAACTCCTTACGGCTCTATCTCGGCAACGGCCGGACAGGCAAAGCAGCATGGGCGACAGTGGGCTCGGGCAGGTGGTAGGTTACTCTGCTCCTTCATCCTTCGTTCGCTACGCGCAGCGCTGATCCAGTTGGCAGGTCTCATGGTACATTTGCACTATCGCCGCGCTGCCTTTCGTCGCGCTGCGCATGTATGCACGATGGAAGAGGCTAGGCAATCTGGGGATCGATGATTTCCTCATTCTCCTCTCATTGGCATGTCTAGTTGGGGATCTCATTATCCAACAGCACATGTGGAATTTAGGGCTGGGCGACATGTCGACAGTAACACCAGAGAACTTCAAAGGAATAATGCAGATGATTATTCCCGGATCAACACTCTACGTCTCATCGCTATGGGCCATCAAATTCGCCTTGGTCTTCTTTTATAAGAGTCTCGCAGCGCCTGGCTCACGATTGGTCCTTGTGTATAACCTCACGCTTGCCGGACTGGCTGTTACGTACCTTGTCATCTTTTTCGATATCATGTTCCAGTGTTTTCCACACAACAAGCGATGGTCCAACAATCCTGACTGTGAGCAAACCCTGTCGCATATGCATAATGTGGATTCTGACCATGCGCAGATCAATGTAGTCCCAAAGCCGCCGAGATCAACTATTGGATCACCATCTTCTTCAACATCATCACAGATGTGATCATCATCTGCTTGCCCATAACCATGGTCTCTCGGCTGCAAATGAAACTCAAGCAAAAGATCGGTGTAGCTGCAATATTCGCTCTGGGTTTCTTTGTAGTCATCGCCAGCAGTACGTACCGATTACACTTGAGCATGAATCAGGATCTCGGCTAACGTATCTCGCACCAGTCGTCCGAGCCTATTACTCCAAGAAGAACGAGACAATGCTAACATGCACCGTCTCCATGATTGAGACGGCCATCGCCATAATCGCTACTTGTCTTCCTGCCCTGCGCTCCATGATCCTCGGCACAAACAACACCTCCAAAGATGCCTCCAACAGTTACGGTCGCCACTACGAGCTCTCGTCTGCGCGACGAAAAGCCAGCGGAAACCGTCTCAATCCCTCCAGCCAGATAACTGGCGGCCTACATTCGACGCACGATACCAGGAATCGAGCGAATGGATCAGAAGATTCGTTGTTCACTGATCCACCGTCAGATCAAATAGGCGGTGTGGAGCAGTTTGTGGGTGGTAAAGGAATAACAGTGAATACGCAGATCGAAACGATGTTTGAAGACACAAGCTCGAGGAGCAATGTCTCTGCAAGTCCAACAAAGGCAAAATCGCCGTTTAATTGATATAGAAATGGTAGTATCTTGCAGTAAGCGATACACCTTAATATATGTAGTCCACGAATAACTGAATCATTGAACGCTGAAATATATTGTCCAAGTGGAGTGCCATGTTCTGCAGGCCACCGTTTGGGGAGGGATCTAGGAATCTAGGAGTTCAAAAAATTGCGATGGGCGTTGCAAAGCCACCGGATAACTACGTTTGCGTGAAGACAAGTGTCGCTCAGACCGCTGCTTGCCCTACGACGTTGCGTTGAAACGACGCGTTTGCGGAAGAGTATATCCGCGACGGCAATGTGCACGGCAAACCTGCCCGAGTGGAAGAATCATGACAGCATGATTCAGGGAGGCGGTCAACGGGGAAAGGACCTACACATAGCAATGCATTCGAGACAAGTTAGACTCATTGGATGAGGCTAGCAGGAGGTTCACGAAACGAAGACTCCAAGCAGATTGGTGTTGGGTAAGGGTGAACACATCAATGGATTGGTAACGTGAAAGCCAAAACATGTGTAAATGGTCCTTAGGTAGAGAAGGAATATCATCTTCCCTCGAAAACGCCAGACAACTCTGTAAACGCCGAACATACAGCTCATGGGCGTATGCCTGCCCAAGCAGATACTGTATACCAAACCGCCGGAAACTCCACTTGGGTCAATTCCTATACCTCTAATCCGCCGACCATATAGAATAACAGATAGGCCTCTGCAGCGAGTACTTCTGCCTCACTAACCAGTACAACCTTGCTATCGTCGAACATGAACCAATCGTTGCCTTCCCTACTGTAACTGACGTAGTGCCCAGAGTCAATCTTGCCCTTGTGCACAATCACGCTGCTCAATTCGTAAACGAGGGCGTTTGTTGGACTGTTGACGTTGTGGTTCGAGGGTGGTGCGCCAGATGTTTTTGCGGCGCGCATGGCGGCTTTGTGGGCGGTTGTATAGGGGTATATGTCTAGTTTGACAGGAAAGCGAACGGGTGTTTCGATCTTAGAGGATGTGGATTTTGTATGCTCGAAGCGCTGGGTAGACGTTAACATGAAGACGCCCAAAGCGAATCTTGGTACGTACCTTGAGGTGAATGGAGAGCACGGGTGGTAGTCTCTTGATGCTCAGCTGCTTGGTCGCATTTTGCGGGCTGTCGCAATTCCGACATGTGTACTCTGCTGAGCCCAGCTTCTCCTTCACCGTGAAGCGTTCGAGACAGTCTCTCAGATCTAAAGGTGTCTCTTCACCCTTTTCTGCTATCATCTTCCGCTTCTTGCCCTGTATCCGGACATCCAAGCTAAGATCCATGTACGGATCTTGCGCCGTGGTAACATTTCGGCAATTGTCGCATGTCACTGTACTTGACAGTTTTCCGCAAAATGTCTGATGCACTACGCATTTGCAATCTTCCGAGTCGTCTGCCGACCCACTGTTTGCCAGATGCAGCGTGTTGAGTATAAACTGCATATACTCGTGCGCATCCTGCTGTTGGTATCCTGCGAGGGCTTCTCCAGCTAGCCAGCTACCCATGAGCATACCGACAGCGCCAAAACCCTCCGTCTTCTCAGCTGAGTGAAACTCGACGAACATTTCGTCCAGCGCACAGCTCACGCATGATTCTTTCTCGCACTCTGTCTGCTTGTGTCCTTCGGAAAGATAGAAGTTTCGTATGAAGGGATTATGGACAAGGGTCTGCAGGATGACGCTCATGAAGCATGTCTGACCCATGTTGTAGAGCCCGCGCAGGCCTATCGCTCGGCAGGGGAGGAAAGTCGAGTTGCTTATGACGAGCTTGTGGTCTTCGGTCGTTGTAGTGTCTTCGTACTTTCGCTTCTTGCCTGCACTGTAGTCAGCCAACCCTCGTCCTTTTGAATTGTACAAATACCATTTACACACCCTTTTGCACTCTCAGAACGTCCAAGGTCTCGTCGTAGATAAAGTCCTGGCAGTTCCCGCAGTATATGTTGCCGTCGCGTGATTCCACAGCTACTTCCCGTTAGCCCTTTGCATTCATGCGGCATGCTGCTGAACCCACAGAAACAGTGTGACTTTGTCTCAAAGTGCAAATCCCGATCCGCCTCAGTCATTATGCTTGGACACTGCAGGCACAGAAACAGCGGCCTCAGCGACACGACATTGCGCGCATCTGCCGGTGCATTGTACGTCTGTGCTATTATACTCGGTTTCTCGTGGATGTTCTGGAGGATAGCTCGGTAGTGCTGGAGGGTCTGTTTGCGCGCCTTCTCGAACATCTCGCCCATATGCTCTGCTTGCAATCAGTAACCTCTTTTCTGAGAGTCTGCTTGGTCGCGTGCTCACCACATCCATACGCGATATGCGCCATCTGGCTGCTCGGCACGATGTTGCCTTTGGCATTCTTAACGATCTTGGGCGACGCCAGCGCCGACGCCTTTGGGGCAACTGCTATCGTGTCCATGGTGCCGGGCGATTTGGGGCTTTGTAAAGTAGATGTGCTCACACTCTACATAATGCAAGGTTAAACAGATCTCGGAAGCGCTCACCAGCAGCACAGGCGCAACACTCTGGTGGAAGCGGCGCTCACGATGCGCAACTTGGGGAGTTATTCCTGGGGTTGAGGCGGACCTGCATAAAACCAATCAGCACATGCGCCACTAGCGGATCTCCCGCCCCACGCATCGTCCCGAGCTCCATAAGCCTCTCCAGCACAGGACATCACCTTTCTCATAATACAAGAAACAGCACCGCAAGGATGCAAAGAAGCACATTTCTTCTGAATTCTGTTTGTTACCTAAAGCTCACCCTAAAGACATACACCACATGATGTTTTGTGAGCATACTCTCGTGGAGCACCGTGTATACCTCAAGGCCCTTGCCAAACTTGATCCTCCACATCTGCTTCACCCTCAGTAGCCTCCAACTCCGATTCATCTTTTCCTTGGTCAATACCAAGTATCCACCTTAGACAGGCTCACAGACAGTAATGCAGGAGTCCAATATGGGTTATGAGAGAACCATTGTTTCAGCTAAAACAATCTGCGTGGTAGATCTCAACGCTCAGGCGTGTCATCTTGCCATGCGCGTCGTGTTCGATCCAAGAGCATGGTATCTCGCCACGATACCTCTGCTCACCGTAAGCCCAGACAGTAGTAAAGGGGAATACAGCTCTCTTCCAGGTGTCGCGCATAGGAAGCAGCAGCTATATGTCCTGCGATGGTTGCGATTTTGGCTTGCGACCTCGAGATGATCTCATGGGCGGCGGTCTCCCAGTACCCATGAAGGGCTGAAGATAGGTTGCGCAGCAGATCAGATGAGTTAGGGCCTCATCATTATATGAGCTGGTAGAGAAGTTTGGGAGTTATATAGCGACTAAAATCTAGACTATATGCACGAGTGCGATTAGAATGATTATGGTATGGCCCAGGCGCAGCGAAGTTAGTTTCATAGTCACAAAAAGTTGAGTTGTATGGATGTGGAGAAAGGGTCGCGGAGTTGAGAGGCGTAGCGAGAAGGTTGCCGTTGTAGGGCGCTCCTCTATGGAAAAAAGGTTGGGTTAGGATTTTGGAACGATTACCTGGGGACTTAAGATTTCCCGGAAGGTGACAAACTCTTAAACCTGCTCCAAGCGTTAGCGTATTGTAACATAGTATACCTAGGTAATTAAAAAACCGTTAAGTCTTTGACATCAAGTCTGGTGTCAAGTGGGTCGCGTAGGGTAGCAGTGCAAACATATCGGTATAGGGAGAAGGCTGTCGTTGTAATTTTCGTTGATGCAAAAAAGTTGAGTCGGGGTTTTAGACTGGGCACTTTTAAGCGTTGGATTTCTCGAAGGGCGACCAACGGATTAATCTGCTTTAAGCGCCAGCGCATCGTAATTTAATATAACCAAAATATAATGCGCGTCAAGGCTCGGAAGCATAAGAGAACTTCGTCCTTTGATGTTGTGTTGAACATTGCAGAAGTATTGGTGTTGCGCACTTGGGGTGTCGGGCGAAGCGGGGCCTTCAGACCTTTGGGCCATTATACCATTATTCTTATCCAACACCACAACATGAGAAGTTGTTTTTCGTGTAACAAATGAGCAGAATTTGAAGGCGATTCAGATGCGACAGATTTGAAGTTGTGTCAATATTCGTTCTGGCGCTCAAAATCTCACTGTTTCGCCATACCACCAAAATCTACTAAAACCCTCCAAAAAAGTTCTCCAACACGTAGAACTCTCAGAATAGATCACAGATGAGCTCTAGAACGTCAAAAAGAAGCGACAACGGCAGGATTCGAAAGAATTCGAACGACGTATTAAGGCAGATTACCATCTATGTACTATTAGGGCGTATCACGCTGGGTATCAAGGACGCATGAGCACGTATGCTCGCACGCTCTAACGAGGGAAAGAATTGCAAAGAAAAATGCTGTAAGATCCATCATGGACATCCTTAGAGAAAGGTGACCCAGATGTATACTGCTCTTTACCATAGCCAGCCCTTGACTGACCTTTTGTCGTGAACCCCTAACCCAATCGTCCGATTCGCCATCCATAGATCTCTTATATCCATTTCGTTCAGTCATTACCGTTACGCAATCAATTGTACTTCAGAAAAGTCGTGGGCTGCTGCGATGTTGCAGTTCCAGTGGGTGTCCTAGCAGCACCCGTGGCATCACCGACGGTTGTCTTGGGATACTCGCCCGGAACATGCAGGTCACTAACGCTGATGTCGGTGTTCATCCGCTTGCCCATTCCAGGATGGGCCATCTCATCTGCAGTGTCCACAAGGTCGACTGGAACAGGTCCTCCATTGACAGTCTTGCCAAAGGCAGGGGCGGCACCGACCTCAGACTCGCCTAAAAAAGACGACGTGGTCGCTAGTGTGTCCGGACTGCTAGGATGATGAGGTTGAGTCTGGCCGTCGGAAATGGGTGCGACGATCGGGGCAGGTGCTGCAGATGGAGCTACGTAGCCGGTATCATCGATCTGGTCGGGGAGGATATGATCAGGATGTCGCTCCGGGACTTGGGTAGGAGTGGCGTCTGAAAAATCTACTGCCCGGGATTGTTCGACTGGATATTGTTGTGCTTGAATCTGCTGCTGTTGAGCATCGAGATGTTGCTGGGCTAACTGCTTCTTTCTGTATGCTTCGTTTGCAAGAGCGCCAGTTGCTACTCCCCCAACAGCAGGCGCCATCCAATCACCGTAGTTGTTACTATCGTGGCGTTGAATGGGCTGAGCATGTTCCAAAGGTGACTGGTTGTAGTGGTCGATTGAAGTTGGCTGAACAGGGTAAGCCTGAGAAACGGGCGCGTATGAAGAGGCATTGGCAGCCAGCGGATCATGCGACTGCTGAGTGGGTGGATATGAGTTTGCGAAATCGGTCTGGGGTTGATGCTGAACAGGCTGGGTATACTGGACTGGCTGAACAGGTTCGGGCTGGTAGGCTGAGGTTTGGGCAAGATACATCGGATGAACCTCCTGTGGCGGACCTCCGGACATGGTCGTTAGATCATTGCCGACCTCTGAACTTCCACTAGAAGGCGAAAGAGGCGCTTGTAAGTTACGGTTGACCATCAAATCAGACGGGAATCGCCCACCTGGAGAAGGTCGTGAAGGTCGCGGAGACTGGTCCCGAATGGCCTGTTCCTTCATCGACTGGTTGGCTGAGAATGGTACTGCATCTGCCTCATCTTCCTCTAGCCCACCATCAGAGCTCGCTGAACGGGCGCTGCCGGCGCTGGTGCTCCTGACGCTTGCATGTCGGCGAACAAAAGCATTGCGCTCCTCTCCACTCTTCTCGGTCAAGGCCTTGATATCTTCAAACCACGCCACCATGGTCTCGTAAGTCTCTGCCCGGAATACCCAAGTGTGGCCACGGTGCATGGATCCAGCCTGACGGCCTTTGATAACGAACTTATGGGAGGAACTTCCGGGTTGGGAACGAGAACCAAGCTTCTGGTCTGGCAGATACAGGGACATGACCGGAGGCTGAGTGTAGATGCGATCGGCTGATTTAAACTCGTGGATATGCGTCGGCGACAGAACATACCTGCGAAATGTCAGTCGGAGTTTGTTCACGGGAATAGGTTGCTTACCAGCCTGGCGTGTATGACTTGAGGTACTTGCTCTTTCGTTCGAGCATGCCCGCCCTGACCTCGGTGGTAGCTGGGTGGTGTTTTCCGGGGTACTGTATGTCTTCCAGTCTGCGCAACGGCATGTCTGGGTTAACAAAGTGAGGGTCGCTTCTAACAAACCTGCTCCACTCGAGATCGCGTGGCATTGCAATCGGACCATTGCGCAACTTCTCAACCGTGTTGTACTGCTCGTCGGCATCACGCTTCAGGATGCTAGCAAGGGCATTGTAGGCTTTCTGGACTTCACCCACAACAATCGACTCGAGTTCGCGGCCAGAGTTCTCAAGGTTGAGGTAGGCCTATGTACGTTAGTTGTGAGTAGGCCTTGCGTGCTCGATGACTAACTCTGTGAAGGTAATTCTCCTCGTCAATCTGCCTCTCAACCTGGCGCTCGACACCCAGGCGAACGACATAGGGATCTCCCTTGCCCGCAACGGCCGTGGGGTCAGAGTCGACCAAGGCCAATGCCTCCTCGAGTGCTGTCACGCACTTCCTTGTCGTCTCCTTTTCCTTCTCGACGTTGTTCTTGAAGTCGCCAGAGAGTGACTTGATCTCCTTGATCTTTTGTGCAAGATCCGCTCTGAGGCCGCTGAGCTGGTTGATGACATCTGCCTCGACGTCTCGCGCTTTGTTAGCCTCGAGAATGGCCTGCTTGTGGAAATCGCGGAGGATGCGGTTGGCATCGTTGAGGCCTCCTTCTAGGAGGAGAGCAGCGGGCGCATTGGTGTTGTTGATGACATTTGACACCTTGAGGAGCGACTTGGCACGGTGTTCGTAGGAGGAAGCCACTTCGCGGAAATAGGTGATGAGGTCTTTGAGGAACTTTCGCCAAGCTATCAGATGTCAGTGAGTTGCATACGACTGTCACATGCGCGAACATACTCTGGAAGCGGTCTGCCAGTATCTCAGTGGGCGTGCCCTTGGTAGGTACAGGTGTGTAAAAGACACTGTCCTCGCGATCATAGCCGCGCTCCTGGTCGTCAATGGTCACACCACGAATACTGCCAGCGTGCATCGACTTTCTACTTCCGCTGCGCTTCATACTGCCCGTCCTCTTGACCGAATTCTTCTTCTTGAGCGTGCCACTTCGTGAAGGCGTTGCGCCCTGGTTCAGGGTGGAGGAGCGGGAAGACGAGCGCTGGTGCATGTCACCGTCAAGGACGGACGAGCCTCGTGTGCGCGCATCGAAGTCCTCCTCGAACCTCCCCAGACGCGAACGTTCATGTTGCGCGCCTGCTGGTGAGTTTGCAAAGTCATTCACAGAGGAATTGCCGTAGCCACGGCTGATATGGGCTGGGTCGTCTACGTGCGGTACGGGGTCGTACGAGGCCGAGGGGGTCACTGGTCGCTGCGTCGCCATGGTGGTTGCTAGTCAGGCTCACTGCCTGGTCGTGGATACTGGCTGCAACGGTAAGGTAGACCCTGACGAATATATGTAAGAAGACGTTTCGCAAACAACCCTGAGCCGCGTTCGCTGTGGCTGGCGATGACGTGTGGAGTCGCGCTAAGGGGTAAGCTGCCTCAGAGGGGTCGAGGCGCAGATTGCGAGCGACCAATGGAGATGGCGCCGTAGATCAGTACTTACAATTCTGTCCGAAACCGCTCAACTTTTATGTGTGCCTGAGGGAGCTTGTGGATGTCGAAAGGCAAACGCAGAGGTGCGAGATTTCAACAATGGCGCATTAACGGCGGCTTTGCGGCACTCAAGAGGCTCACGAAGATGCCTAGGTGATGTCATGTTCCCTTGAATGCTACGCGCTCAACACCATCCGGATATGATCGTCATCGTGCAGCAGTGCCCGACCCTTCAATTGTCTTAGTCTGTGGCGCGGCTGCTGCTGTTCGGCCTATCATGACTTGCTTGCATCTCCATCCATTGCGCCGTTGCATGTCCCCGTCACATCGATTGTCCCAGCAGCTGTTACATGTGGGCTTGCGGAACACGTAGGCGAGCACAAGAGCGTCTTCGCGGTCTGCCAACTTGTCTATCTTGAAAATTTTAGTTTCGATAGAGCGTCTCGGTGACTTTTCAGCTGCATCGTCCGTCGCCACATACATTGCCGCTGGCCAAACACGTGGAGACTATGTGGGGAGGGCATCAGCCGAACGTGCCGACCCAATTCTGATTTGCATTCATCCCTCCGCAGATCAGTGCAGCAAGGCGGTGATGCCGAGATCCTTCCTCGACTTTGCTGCGAGTTTCTCGTGGGACCTATCCCAATTTTTTCAGGGGTCCTTTCGTACCGGACCCTTTAAGACCAACTAAGCCCCGTAGTATCTCTAGCCTACCGCGGAGAACTCCAGATCACGTTGGACAATCAACCAAGGAACATCTTGGGCTCCATTGATACAGTGTCGTCATCGGCTATCTCACCAGTACTGCGCCGAGAAGCAAGGAGAGATGTGGCACATGCGTTTGTGATGGACGATAAGCAGTGCTAGCCTTGTCGCTGAGCCGCCTCCCTGACGCCCTGTGGAGTGCTGCTCTGGAAGCAATTCAAGGTTGCAACACCGCAACAGAAACAACCCTTATTGTTGAAGATAGTAACAATTCGCGAGCAGCCTGGCCATCACCCTGAATTTGCATGCAACTGCCGTTTCCCACATGTCAGGCAATCTTGCTTGTCCAGATTGACTGCCAAAGAGAGGACGGACACCAGATATCGAACGAAGATCACGATCTAGCTATACAAGACTATCTATCATCGTCAAACTTCTTGAACAACAGGCAATAGTTGGAAACCCATAACAAAATATATGATATAGGTGGGTAATATTGTGATACTTCCTACTGCATCCGAAAACAATGTCTGCCCGGACAGCTGACCTATCGACGTCCCACTCACCATCGACTCGTGGTTTCGATACATAAAATCTTGCAGAGTACGCATTTGGAGGAGGTAGCATTTGACCTAGTCGATACGTTGCACTAGCTGGGGAAAGAATCATCCTGGACCAAACGGATCGCGACGTATCACAGACTCGTCTACATATTACAAAAAGGCGTAAGACACAACAAAAATGCGGATCGAAAGGAGGTTCATGTTAGTCAAGGAACCCAAGTAGGCTCGCCCAGTTCCACAACATTTTGATCTACTTTGTTTACTTCTGAATCAGTGGTCCAGAGGCACTCATATCTTTCCTAGTCTTGGTACTAATCTCAAAGAGGCACGGGTGATGATCAGGCCAATGCTTGATAAAATCGTTGATAGCGGGCATATCGCCTCCAAAATCCGGTCATGAGTTTTGCCGTTCACGGGCCTCCATCGCGAAATATATATTAACCGGTCGCACACAAACATCCACTGCCAAGTACTGATTGGTTGCACAGAGCCATCTATTACGAAACAACATATATGAGTGCCCAGAAAAAAACGGCACATGTTCCTTATGATTGGCCGTATCATCCTGAACGGCAAGACTACCGACAGCAGCCGCCCCGACCGTCGTGGAAAAGAAGTCTGGGGTGCATGCTAAAACCTTAGAGATCATATAGCAATGGCTTGCATGTGGCGTGGTTATATTGCAGCCCAGCGACTGAGGTAGATGATGAAAAGGTCGGAGCGTCATTGTGCTTGTACTCGGACGGTAGGTAGAGTGTGGTCATGGGAGTAGAAAGAAGTATATAAGAAAGAGACATGATACCCAGTGACAGCACCTCATCCACAGCTTGACACTTTCTCATCACATCTACACTACCCAGCTACCGATATTTCACTCAAGATGAAGTTCCTCGCTGTTGCCGTCGCTCTATTGCCCGCACTTGGGTCAGCGCATACCATCGCTCAGCGTGTCAGGATCAACGGGCAGGACCTTGGTCAAGGCAATGGTATTCGCGTTGCGCCTTCCAACAATCCCATCACGAACGTCAATGATGGTAACATTGCTTGCAATGCCGGTGCTTCGTCCTCCAGTAAGGTCATCGACGTCAAGCCTGGAGACAAGGTCGGTGTCAACTGGGGTCATGTTGTCGGCGGAGCACAGTACATTCTCCTCGTCTTACTCATCGCATCAACATGTTACTAATTCCTCCAAGATTCGCAAATGATCCCGATCACCCGATTGCCAAATCCCACAAGGGTCCAGCAATCTTCTACATGGCGAAAGTCTCAAATGCCGCCTCCGCTTCCCCCTCTGGCCTCCAATGGTTCAAAGTCTCTGAAGACGGCCTCGATAGTTCGGGAAACTGGGGTGTCGACCGTACGTAAATTCTATCCACGAACTGCAAGTGAGACATGTACTGACTTTGCACACCAACATTTAGGCATGATCTCAAATGGTGGATGGACTGAAATGACGATGCCGTCCTGTGTTGCACCTGGCCAATATCTCCTCAGGGCCGAAATGATCGCTCTGCACAGCGCTAGCACAACCGGCGGTGCGCAGTTCTACATGGGCTGCGCGCAGATCAATGTCTCAGGGTCTGGATCGAAGATCGGGAATACGGTCAGCTTCCCTGGTGCCTACAAGGCGGATGATGCTGGGATCAAGCTTAGCATCTACAATGCTCAAGGCCAGCCCAAGGGGAACGGAACACCGTACAAGATCCCTGGTCCGGCGAAGCTGCAATGCTAGAAAAATGTGACGGGGTAAGTGGTTGGTATGGAAGTAGGCAGTTGGAGGTATTACTGGGCCCTTGGGATTTTCGCGAGCATCTGCATGGCTTTCTATGTATGGTAAAGGTGCAAGTGGGGGATAAGAGGCTTGTAGTTTAGTAGCGATATCTGATCAAGGTCGCCGAGAAGAAATTGTGGTGTATGACGGTGCTGTGAATCGTGGTTGTGCTTATGCGCTCGCACCTGCGCTTGCGGACGAGCTACTGCAATCTCAGGATGTACATTGTAAACTGTTCGGCATGCGAAATACTCTCTGCTCAAATCAGGATCCGACGCGTTCATGGGTGCATCACGATCTAGTTGACTGCGGAGTTGTGAGCTGCTCAAACACAAAGCCGAGTCATACTTGGACAGGTACGTAGCTTAAGGTACCTTGGTACGGAAAAGGTAAAACTTACTCCGCTTGCGTATTGCAGCAGCTAGTTACTGGCGAGCGCAAGAAAAGCGATTTAGAAGAGAAAAAGATAGAAATAAACGGTATGAAGCTGGCAAGGCCACATCTGCGCACTGTGAGGCAAATGTAACTAGACGTGTATATCTAGGCAGGCTGAACGTTGATTACTTTATGACAATAAGGACGCGACACGAAGAGTGTATTAATAGCATACAATAGATCGTGTGGAAGAGCGTCCTTTGCAAGCCCGGCCAAGTTCGGCTTCTGCCCCGCTTGCTCAGAATTTGCTTCACATGTCCCCACCTTCGAATGTAATCTGCCAGCACATTGCTATGTACTACGAATATATTGTTACTAATGAAGCAAACTTCCATCAATCATCACAATCCAAGGAGTCGTGCCAGAGTGGTTAATGGGTATGACTCGAACAAGCTCATCAGAGCTTCAATAGATATCATATGCCTTCGGGCGCGCAGGGTAAGTCATGTCTGCCATCATTCAACCAACTTAATACTAATTTCGGCTCAGTTCGAATCCTGCCGGCTTCGCTTTCTTTTTGCCTTTTTTTTCTAATCTTTTTGTTTTCTGTTCCTTTTTTGCTGCAGGCAAAAGAAAATCGAACTCGCACTATTCCTACTAGCAACAGTGACATTTAAGGGGATAGCATCCTCCTTTGCATAGTATTAATGTACAGTATACCTAACATGTATATAGCTTTTGCCTTTGACCATCTGTTGCGTGACAGATCATTGCTCACGTTAGAGTGTCGGCCAAGCTCGATAGTGTGAGGGCTAACAGGTCCTCACATCCCGTTGGTCCGACACACCAAGTGCGCAACACCATCGTCACAAGTCCCAAATCTCTTATGCTCTAGGTCATTGACGCGTACCACCTCTTAATTATGTTGGGTTACATTGTGCAGACATTCAGAGCAAATTAGAAAGGTTGCCCGGGTGGTGACCCTTCGAAAAATCAGAAGTTCCCGAACCAAAAGTCCTATCCTAACCAAACCCCCTTATGAACGCAAGTGATGAGGACAGTCTTTTCGCTGTATCATCATGTGTGCATTACTTACTACCAAACGCTCATCTGGAAATGCCATCATTTACTAGCCAGGACAATGCACGCCCTTCGCTACCGTACTCTCGCAACCACCATGCCCTCCAATGACCCAACTCAACCAGCTTCGTTGCCCTTCAGTTAAGTTCATCCTCCATATCCGCCTCCAAATCACCGTCTTCTCCTTGTTCAATCTCCATAAAATTCGGGTCATCGGTCATCATCGCATCATCTTCTGAGCCCCGGAGTCCGTTGAGGGCCGTCCGTCGGAGCGCGTTCGCTGTATCTCTACGAGCCGCGAGTTCGTCAAATGAGTTTCCAACATCACCAGCATTGGTTTTCACAGCCGGGATGCCAAGAGTGTAAGAGCATGGACGTCCAAAGAGGATGAGGCAATTCCCGCAAGTTGTGCTGCCCTCCTTGGGATTGCAGAGACCTGGGCTTGTCCCGCGAGCAATGAACATGCAACTGTCGCATTTCTTCCTTTTACCCCAGCTTCCCGGGGTGGCTCTCTTGGCTTGGGCAAGAGTGAGGCCCACGTTGGTAAGTCCAAAGTCTCCATGTACTCCGCGTCCCTGCATTTCTGCCTCGATGATATCTGGGTGTTTGCGGTCGCTGGGAATGGGCGCAGTGGTGGTGATTCCTTTGCAAGCTTCGAACGTGATCATCTGGCGGACATGATCATAATTGATCAATTTCGTCCTTGCCCAAGGGGGCGTCTGGATCCAGCGATGTTGTTTATCGGCGGGAATATTCTCACGGTACAACCAGTGAATGACCTGCAAGACGAAAGTTAGTATTATCCGGACTGATCCTATTATATCAACATGCATGAGACTCTCTCACCTCAATACCCCTTGCATAAGGCTGAGTGGAGCCATTTGACTCTTTGTTCAACACCTCGTAACGGTTCTCGCAATGGAGATATCTGGATCGATCGTTGCCGTCCTTGTCGATCCAGTGCATAGCAATAGCCCAGCTATTAGCTCGATCCCAATCCTTGAACGGACCAATGAGTGGCAGGCGAGCCCACGAGAAGGGGTGAGGTTTCCAATCTGTGCGAACCTCGATCGTGATATTGTAGGTAGAACCAGGAATTGGCCATTCCACGCCGTCGGAGGAGAAGTTCTTCGGTAGCACTCGGGAAATTCGAAGATCGTAGTCTTTTGAGGTCGTCTCCTGTGACTTTAGGTCGAAGGCGATGAACCAGTTACCCTTCGAAGCTGACTTTTTACCAGCAGCGATGACCTTCATCCTCTTCGGTACTTCGCGGGTGAAGTTTGAGATCGGGATCGACTTGCCTGGCACTTCCGGATCTGGCATATGCCCGCGGGATTCAAGCCAGGTAATTGGCTCATGAAATGGCGCTTCTGAGATAGGCGATTGATGGTTAAGGCCAGCGCAGGTGGAGTACGAGCCATTCCAAAAGCTGTCTCTCCGTACCGCACCAGTCCATCCGCTGTCGTTGGCAGATGCTTTGGCGATCTTGTCCATATCAGAGCAGTTCTTCACATGGTAGTTGCTCGGAGTGTCGGTGAGGTCCATGGTACGGTTGAGGAGAGCTTGCTTGTATGTCTGAAGAAGCGAAGTGAAAAGCTGCTCGATGATATACTTGTGTTCTTGATAAAACACTGACTCTAGTCGGCATAATGCGTGCATCTTCACGGGCTCCGACTTCTCCTTCAGATCATCATGTCCGTCCGCGATCCACCCGATGTAGCGATTGTAGAAATCTACAGGCTGACCGACATATAACGAGCAGGGCTTCTTCGACTGACCAGATCCACGTTCAACGTAGCGGCGAAAGTAGATGCCGGATTCGCCCTGAGCATCGGAAGATTCGCAGTCGAGGTTTGCGTTTGCCTCAAGCTCTTTCATGGTGAATCGGGGATTGTTCAGGACGGCAATAAGGCCTGCCTTGTCGACGCCGGCAAGGATCTTTGTAGTAATCCATGGGACCTTGTCGCCTGAGAAGCCCCCAAGCCTTTTAAGGTTCTCCTCAGTCAGACATTCTGGATTTGTCTCTGCTAGCTTCCTAAGAAATGTGCTAATGCCGAGCGCAAGGTGCTTGCACTTGGGGTTGTTGAACAGAGTGTGTTCTTCTGGAGTGAATTTCGAAGGCATCCTGGGGATGTTGCAAACATCCGTCTTCCAAGTGCCATAGAGCTCGGTGCCGATCTCGATGAAGTCTTGGTGGATCCAATCTTTGAGTAAGCCGCCCTTGGCATCGAACAGATCAAATACCTGGACATATACTCCATTTCCTTGACCTGAGGAGGTTGATGTATGCAGTTAGTGTGTGTCTCACGAAGTCCATACATCGAAGTGCTTACGGTGGAGAACTTGACCCTGCATTCCGGGCAGAAACTCGCTCCTAAGCGGTTCTGATTTAGACTTGAAGTACTTCTTCACTCGGAAGCCGAATGTCGGTCGTGATAAGGCTGACTGTGGGCACCCATCTCGGATCTTGTTCCAGACGCTAGTGTCTGACAAGGTTGCGCGGGCTGTGGGAAGATCAACATCATCGAACCAAACCATGTTGCTTGTTCAATGAGAAATGTCGGTAGTTGTATCGATAGTGGAAAGTCAATAGAATTTTGAAAGATTTGGAGCAGGTCGTGGTGCCGATTGAGAGAGAGAGTGGTCGCCAAGAGGGTGATCTCTATATAGGTACCCACGATAGAAGTAGAGTGTTTGCCTTTACCTCCAAGTGAGACAATTGTTGATTAACAAACGTACAACAGCAATGACCCCACAATCACCCACCGGCCATGCGCAGCCTGCCTGCCTAGGTGACCGCGGGAATATGACGTGCGTGTATCACCATCACCTGGCAAACGGACAATAGCAATGACCCACAATCACTTGCTGATATAAATCTAAATTGAGTAAGTGTGTAGTGCGTGTTTGTGGTTAGTTGTTTGCCTGATGTCGGTACACAATGACCCAAACTTACGCCCGGTAGCAAGCTGGAGCGTGATAGCAAACGGTGGGCGCAGTGATGGCAAGCGGTAAGCGCGGGGCTCGGTGAGCAATAAGACAGTCATTTCTACGAAGCTAGTCACATACGATACCTACTTGATAGGCTATTTATTCCACCCCTTCTACTATCAAAGCCCTGTCACCACGATTGCTCTACTCCCCGAGCACTGAGTCGGTTCGCCAACACCACGACTGCCCTCGAAGCAACAATACACTTCTCACCTCTAACTACCTACCACCACTACTCCTGCTTACCATGACGACATCCGGACCGCCACCATGGGCTTCCAAGTACATCGCGGATGTCGAACTACACGGACCGCTATCTTCGCCGATCTGCGTCGTACGCAAAGGCACCACCTGCCAATATCAAGTTCAAGTCGGCAAAGAGAGTAGGTCCTTCTTGCATCATCCTCTCTCTCCAACAGGAAGGAACGAGTGGGGCGACTTGTTGAAGAGGTTCAGCAAAGAAGAGAAGAGCAGAAAAGTCGACTTTCCTGGTGTCGCTCACCCGCCGATTGTTTACAAGCCTAGTGAGTGGGTGTGGGAGAGGATGGATAGCAATATCAGGACGATTCTCATCCGCGCCTTGCAGATCTCGAATAGAAATGTTACGATCAAGGATTTGAGCGACAAAAAGAACGTGGACGCAGTCGAGCACCTCGAGCGCAACCACCGACAGCTCTATCACCCCAGTGATCGAGAGAGGCTGGCTGTTTTTGAGGATGAACACAAGCTGTCCTGCTGGGCTCGTCACTTCGGCAGAGGATTGATCGTTGTCAGCCCTGAGTTGAACCTGGACCGTAAGAACTACTCAGCCCATATGCAACCCAACTACAAAGAACGACCCGCGCTTCGTGCACGATACAGCACCGGAATACAAGAGGAGTTTCCGCCGATCGTCCTTGGGTGTCTTCCGAACGGTACGCAAGCCAAGATATGGTTCTGTTTGGAACCGGTTGATACCACCAAGAATGTTCTTAAGAGTCTCTGGGAAGGGTACGTTCTGGCACAGAGATCTGTTCAAATTCACATCACTAACCATCACAGTTGCGACTGGATCAAGTAAGCCCCCAGGTTCGGTTACAGCGACGTCGAACAGTTCATCTGGGCTGCTGTCTCGTTCCAACGTACGATCGTGTTGCAGGCTACCCCAGTTCCAGATCAGCATTTGGGCGAGGTCCTCAAGCAATACGGACAGTATCTCTTGAATAATTACGGCAAGCCCTTCGAATACAAGAAGGCCAAGTGCAGCCCTGCCTCTCCACAGGTCACCTTCCATGAGCTCACTCAGTGGATCCTCGCTTCCAACGAGACGAGCAGCGCGAAGCGTTACGCGAAGGCCTGAGACAAGGCCGTTTTGCTCCGGGTTGCTCATCGCAAGTCTCTTACGAAGCCTAACTGGGATGGCTTTCTCAGTGCAGCGGCTGCTATACAGATCAAGAGGTAGACACTTGGCGACAAGGTGGGGGAAAGACCAGGTCGGTAGTCGCTGTGCAAGTAGGAGATCTCTCATACAAGACTCCAATTTGTCAAGGACAGCGAACATGATTATCTCTAGGAACGGTTTTGGGCTATAAAGGGATTACAAACGGCATGGAATTCGCTGAAATTCTTTCACAGATCAGCGGTCGCGAACATGCGACACGGTCATAGCAGAACCTTGATAGCCAAAATGAGATTGTGACACCGGACATATACGGAGTGATTCAGTTCCTGAAAGTGGTATATGAGGCTTTGAATAACCTCCCATAAGATACTCCAGTCTTCCCCATCATCTGTAATCTGGGTGCGAGGTTGGACACGCGCACTGCAGTAGTTTGACGGCCAATACTGGTGTAGAATATTTTGGTATGTGGTATGTAGGTAGGTTCAAGGTACAATGAGCCTCGTGTGACTGCCTTTTGTTAGCATTGTCCTCATTGAGATATTTGGCGACTTTACCGTTTGTGCAGTGCCGTCTCTAAGCATACGTCGACGTATGGAGCTTCTCAAAGCGCGGAGGTCCGAGAAGTTCAGAAGCTCCTTTCTGTTCGGTATACATCTCATATCGTACCTACCACAATGTGCAGCAGCTGCGGCATGGCTGGTGAACAGTGATCGAGGGATACTGACGAGCGCTCTTGGTGTCGGTGCTGTTCTTCAAGGGGGAAGATCGATGAGTAGTGATCGGGTACCATATATGAGCGACCTCGGTGTTACTACTGCTCTCGAATGGGTGGAACAGCGGATGTCGTCCTTCAACTAGCTTCATGTCAGTGCAAGTCTTGAGGGATAGTGAGCGGTACTTACGGCTCGTGTGATCCGCCATTGTATTGGATAGCAGTGGCCATGGATGCCCATGGAAGGTGTGTTCGGTGTGTAAACCCCAACGCACAGAATCCTGGAGAAGTTAAGAAGCCCCCAATGGGAGCTCCAATGCCAAAACTAACGTGCCAAAAAAATGTCGACCAAAAATAAATATATTCACTTCTTCTTCTTCTCGGCGGCCTACAAAATCGAAGAAACGAAGTCAGTTCAAGTCTCACATGCGTTAGCTCATCGAAGACTTGCCTTCTTCTTCTTGGTTGGGGCACCACCCCCCTCTTCCTTCATCTTCCTCTTCTTCGGCACCACCTCCACCTCAGCTTCGCTTCCTCCCTCCTCGAGAACTGCGGCTTCACTTTCGTTCTTTGGCGAAGGGGTGAAAGGCAGGGAGGGCGACGACAGCTGAGGCGGAGGGGTGCGAGGACGCACGGCAAACAGTGATTCATCCCATTCGGGCAGGGAGGAGTTTCGTCATCCTCCTCCTCCTGCCCTAGCGGGGTTTCTGCGCTTTGCGGTTGCCCGCGAAGATGAGGGTCGTCATGAACCTACACACATATTAGCTTCACAACACTCACCCACTGCGCTCCAAAACAACATAAACAGACGGTAACTCACTTCATCTTGTGGATGGATGAAGATGAAGTGAGCTGCCGCCTGGAAGTTTCTTGAGGGGCGAGGCGTGCCAAGTGTTGTGTTGTTGCTCAAGATTGGAAAGAGCTTCCAGATGGAAAGAGCACCCTCCCCATCACGACGGATACCTCCGTGAGTCGATACCAAAGAGGTGAGAGATCAATTACGAAATTGTGTTTAGCCAAGTCTAGCCAGGTTGGCATCTTGTCTGGAAGCGCTGTAGCCTTCTCACCTTCTACCGCCATGCCCCATAGTTGGTTCATCTCAGCATCAGCAGAAGGCCAGGTAGTAGGATGTCTCTCCCGGTTTGAAACGTAGTAAGGAAGGAACTGTATGACGTGCTTGCGGAAGTCGCTGTAGAAGCTTTCATGCTGAGATAGCTCTGGGAATATTATTTCGACAAACGTCCTAGTGCCGTCGATAGACAGCTCGTTGAAGAGCATCCTGTCAGTGACAGAACAGCGGACGATGATGTCGCTGATGTGCTTGATATCGTCAACTGAATCGTTGTCGGTGGGCAGGCAGCTCCTCTGCACAGCTCCAGGCCCAGTGCATACGTCCAAATGGTTGTAGACCAGCTCCGCCTTCATTGCCTTGTTGCACATTGGGCACTTGGCTAGGCCGTCTGTCATGAAGTCATCGTTGCCGTCATCTTCGCTGTCGTTAATAGGTATTTCGTCCTCGCTGTCGTTGGGTACTCTATAGCTCTAGTTTTCTCAACGCATGACACGTCGCTGGTGGCTACGGATGAGGCTTTTTTCTTTGTATGAAGTACTGTGGCTACACCACACGCTAGAGGCATACATTATGTTTTGTTTTTACGAGTATGTTCACGCAAAGCACAGTGAATACCTTTAGGGCTCATCTTCAGGTATGCTCTAGAAGCAATGACCTCTTCTGTAGAAACAATGCTAAATGTCTAGCATACTCGGATTCGCATTTCCAGGCTAAAGATGTCTACCGCTGTATCAGCTCGTTGACAACAGCTTAAGTCCTGTTTCAGACCCTAGGACTTCAAAGCACCAAGAACAAGAAAAAGAAACCTTCACCTCGGTCGTACTTGGATGTACCAAGTACCAGAGAGTCAGTATCATCCGGACCGCATGAACAACCATCATTCTCTGCCCAGGTGCCTAGGTACCAAGATCTTTCTCCACCTTCAAACGCAGAATTCCTTCATTTCCTAGCCTGCACGCACCAACGACGGTAGCCAGCACAACCCCTTCCCACCCCCAAAAGCAAGAATCACAAAAACAGAAGCAAACTGACTCTCAGGTCGGGAAATTTGAACATTGGCTCGGGGAAATCATTGTACCCTCAGCCTCACGGCGAGAGCGAGAAACGAGTAGGATGAGGGTTATGAAACAAGGGCAAAGCCGAAAACCACCGAACTGCTCCACCTTACCCAGCCACAAACAATGGACCTCCGGCAACAAGGCTCTTTGCGCGCATGTCATCTCTTTGCGACATTTTTTTTCTCTCATCATAAAGAGTGCGGGGAAAAGGCGGTCAGCCTCTCACTCGCTCAGTTTCCCTGATCAGCTGGCTCCTAATCTAGTGTTTCCTACTGCGTTGTAGATGCGTTTCAATTCCAATTCGCGTGACCTTGGGCCTTTCTCCAAACGGGTGATGATGAGCCGGACAATGTACGCAAAAGGTATGGGGAGGGCAACGGAACGAAGTATTATTGGTGGTATATGGGCAGCGTTTTAATGGTGATGCGCAAGACTGAGGCTGAGAATGTTAGGGCTAGTAGCTAGGGGTGGCTGGGGCATAGTAAATGCTCGTGTGACACACAACCATGTGCAATATTGATGCACAGGCTTGAATGCCATGTTGTATTCATGACGTTGTTTGTATGGTTGTGGCAACGATACTCGTCATGTGTTGCGGTATGAAATTGGCAGTGATGAGATGATAGACTTCGCTACAGACGTCACAGCATGAGGATGGGTCGGTTGACTAGTATATGATGGTTTTTGATTGGCGGAGGTGGTAGATAGAGTAGCTAGAAAATGGGGGATGCTTGTTGATAGTGGTGGCTACATGGCGACAGACAAGAGGAGCACACATGTGGGTAGAGAGCGGCAGGACAGGAACTAATGCCCTCAGGGTAAAGGAATGGCATGGACGAAATTACCGTCCGCAAAACAAAGAACAAAGACAAGGGAGCGACCGTGGTGCTCTTGTGCGCCAGATGGAGTTTATAAGTGACCCATTCAATTGCCCGGTATCTAACACCCCACAAACGCCCAGATGATGGAAAAAAAGAGAAATTTGGATATAACACAAGAGAGGGGAAAGATATTCGCTGCTGCTGCCGCCACAAATCTTTCTTTGTCCTCATCCAATGCAGGTCTCAACAACGGTGTGGTGGTTCCGTCGTGTACTGAATAGTAACGGGCTAAATCGCAAGATGATTCTTACTCTCGTCGTCAAAGCGTGATCGCGCGCACCGTGGTGCGAGACATGGGTGAAGGAGATTAGGTGTATGCGTGGTCGGGGTATTGAGGTGTTCGTCAGCGACGCCAGTCGTGAAAAAGGGTCGACATGAAGAGCGCACGTGTTGCGCTAGTTGCCTTGGCTGAGGCACTTATACGTTGGTAACCTAACAGAGAGTTAGTTGGTTGCATTCCATCATGCGGCGTCATAGGATGGCATACCTTCAATATCCGCCTCGAGTAGTCCTCATTGTCTGCAATACTGCCGTTGCTCTGCCTCCGGTCAACGAAGCTTGGATCCAAACGTGAGTCGTTCATGGACGAGTTGCTGGTGTGTAGCTTGCCACCATTGACAAAAGCATTCACGTTGGCGGCGTTGCGACGGTAGTCTTCTTCAGCTTGGTGCTGACGTCTCCGGCGCAGTAGAAACCATACACCGAACAGGATCGAGGCAAGGGCGAGTATGCCGACGACTACGCCCACTGCGATGGCGATTGTGTTTGGTTTGCTGTCCTCTTCCTTGGGAGCTGACGATGGCGTGGCTGATGCTTGGGCAGCGGCGGTGGATGTGGCCGCAGCAGACGACGACGACGTTGGTGCTACTGAGCTGCTGCTGGATACTTCAGGCTCGTAATAGTCGACTGGGTTCAAAGTGTTTCCTGTGAGAACGACCCATAAGACGTTCTTTCCACCACCTATGCACTGTCAGTCCTGGGTGAGACGAGGGGAGATGATCAGCTTACATTCCCAAGTTTTGTCGCCGCTGCAAGGAGTACCGCATGTCTCGTTCTTGATCTGCCACTCCTTGGCCGGGATCTCGTCACCACACCAACATTCCTTGCCGTTGGATAGACCCATAACGTCCTTCTTTTGCTCTAGGCAAACGAGTTGGCAGTTGCCAGGCGACTGGAAACCGTATTCGCCGTGGTTCTCGAGTGGAGTTCCGGTCTCAAAGCATCCGACGCTAGTCATAGCACTTGCTGGTACAGTGACTGTTGGTGTGGTGATGGGGTTCTTGATCTTGGTTGGCGTTGGTTCTGCGTCAGCAGCAGCGGCCATGGCGACCATCGAGGCCGCCGCAAAGACGGAAGCAAGTCTAATGTAGACCATGGTGGTGATGTGCTAGGTTGGTTAGTAGTGCGCGTCGGTAGACGTTCACGGTGTGTCGCACTGGAGTCGTCCTATACACCGAGGCGTGGACACATGCAAGGTCTTGCGGGCGTGGGTTGGTCCGGCAGTCCAAGTACGTGGTGGTGGAGGTGAGTGAGGGAGAGAGTGTGTGTGCGAGCGGTTCGCCGTGGGTGTAGGGCTGAGTGAGTATGGGATCCGAGGCGGAGATGGAGTCGTCAACAGGCGCAATGGAGCTGAACTGGAGGCTCGATCAACGATGCCCAGGGCCGTCTGGTAGTGTTGAAACGGGGGGCGTCGTGACAGAAGTCGAGGCGATGAAACTTGTCGGTTGCCCCTTGGGAAGTACCCCCGTAAAGTGACGCAAAAGGAATGAATCGACGGGAGATGGGTTCTGGGTAAAGAGTGTATTGTAGCGATAAAACGATTGTGGGTGTCGACGATTAACAGACGTGAAGCAGACAAACGAGAGGAGGCTCGGGCCCTGAGAGTGGATCGCAAGTGAAGAGCAAAGGAGAGTGCGCCCCAGTTGGGACAGGCAGGCATGCAACAAGGAGCAGGAGCCAGCCTTGGCAATTAGCCTGCGTCTGACTGCCGCCAACACTGGATTGATTCCCACGCCGCTTAAAGTAGACCCCACACACGTCTAAATTACACTGCACTTCTGCGGCACCCCTCGCATCTCCTGTGCCAAAGTTTATCCTCGCGGCTTTCACACGCAGCCTCACGGTACATATCCAAGGCCTCTCATGTGCGCGACAGCCTGTCACGATGCCGACCCGGCTGGGGATAGCGCCGGCCCACTAGTGCCAGGAACGGCGACGCCATTGGCCGCTCGGTGTTTCACCAAAAGCCACATGCTTGCTGGGGGGACGGCAGGGGGTGGATGAGGACTAACCCAGGACCGCGCGGTCAGGCACTAAAGCGTCTAAAGCGCTCGGCCAGCTGGGTGTCGCTGACGTTGCGATATCCACGACGCGCACGATGCTTTTGGGCCATGGATTGCAGGTCGAGAACGTTCTTGCGCTCCACTACTTCGCTGTTGGGACCGCCTTTGTTCGTCCAAGAAGCGGGTGTGGGACGCGGTAGAGGGTCGAGTCGCGTGTCCTCGATGTGGAATCTCATTTAACTGACATCTGGAGCATGCAAGTCGTCGTCCGCTCTATCCGGCATGCAAACACCACAGTCCAGACATGCGCGGCCCGACCTTATCGTGCTCAAAGTTTAAATAATAAAAAAACAGAGGACGAGCAAAGCGTATCAAGAAAGGAAGGACTCTGCTCCGGCAAAGAAAAGCAACATGCACGACAATTCCTCTGTGATTAAGTGGCTCAGCAATTCAACAGTAACCGTTGCGCAACGCCTCTCCGCTCAACGGCTGATTTAGACAGACGTCAAAATGCTTGGGTAACCTGAGACAAGAGCGGACGCAACCGTGTCGTGTGAACTCTGCCCCAAGACTCATGCTCGTGTCAAGATTCCCCAGGTTTGTTGCAGGAAGCGCCAAGTCGCCGGGCTGTACTGGCACCGGATCCCTAGGTTCCTGCAGCGCTGCTTCTGCCCAGCGGCGGCTGTCTTAGTCATCGTGATCACGTGCATCTCCCACTTCCCGATCGGGACGTGAGCTCAATGTCGAACCAAGCTTCACCAGGCCCTCCGATGACCAGCCACGCTTGATGCGCCGTCCGCCCATTGCCTGCCGCCGAGCAGTGCAATCGCTCCAATCTCCCTCCCCCCAGCATATATGGATCTCTGATAACCTCCTCACCGATGCCCTCGATCGATTTTTCCCCAGTTCGTGCCCGCAACAGAAGCGCCATGGCAGCCATGTTCCGGGACCATTGGAGGCTAGGAGGAGGGCAGCAAAACGCCGAATGACCGTCTCAGCGAGTTTCTATCCCCAGGAAAACTTTGCGCCCCTCTTCAGCCTCGGGGCGCTCTTTGGCTTCCGCAAAGATACTCAACCCACTTGGAGATATGAAGCGCCGTCCTTGCAACCCCACGTAGAGCCAATGGGTTCGCGTACGTTTTTGCAGTCCATTCTACCACAAGATCCCAGCTAATATTAGTAGTAGCTCGAAATGTTCCGAGCCTGCCAATAGCCCAACCCGACCATATATCCACCAAACACGCAGCGTCTACAATCAGTGCCTTCCCATTCGGCGCCCCATACCCCTTATCGCAGAAGACTCCGCAAACCAAACCGCAGGAACACGTGAGCCGATCGGGAGAACACACCGCAAATGTCGTTACCGCTGAGACGCATTTCGACAATTTCAATACAAAGATTTCAAATGCAGGAACTTTGTCCAGGGCCGAACGCAGTCAATTCTCACATCAGACCTGGATAGCATGTCGTCCAGTTGACGGTAACGCTTGGGCCTACAACGTTATGGTGGTCAAGCATCTGACAAAAATTCGCTGGGATCCCACACGCATCCTTTCCAACCTCAAATTCTTTGATGTCCCTCCCACCTATACGCCCGAAAACCTCGACTTCCTAAGGTGCCTCGAGGTTTCCGGTGTACTTCTTCCCCATGCTTCTCGGGTCCATCACCGCCTATATGTTAAAATGGTCAGAGCAGCTACATCTGCGGCAGCTTCAACAAGTTCATCACAAGATATCGAGCTACTCGCACTGATTCGATTAACCTTTCAGAGCTGTTCACGCAGCACAAAAGCAATACAAGTCATTGTAGACGACCTTTTAATACTGGCAAACAAGATCAAGGCATCTGCCATCAAAAGGTCGCTACTTTCTGAACTGGCTGGCATTAATGACGCAAAACAAAGCATAAAACTTTTAGTTGCAAGCGCTGCCCAGGACCATTCTTCTTGCGCTCTTGTTGAAGAAATGCTTCTTTTCTTGCCTAAAGAACAACTTCGATTACAACTCCAATCAGTTACGCGGTCTCTCGTCGAAGCCGTTGAGCGGAAGAGTCGGTTACCAACTGGTACATACTGGCATCGCCTACGTGTGTGGTTGGCTGTCCTCGAAAATCTCGACGCCAGATCCGACGCTGGCTACAGTAGTACTGGCTATACAAACGTCGCCTTCACGGAAGTGGTTGAGCATGTCTTCAAGAGGAGCAATTCGGGCATAGTGCGACCGCATATCATGCTCTATGCTCTCGTATTCCGAGTAGCACGACAGCAGCCGGCGTATGCTAAACACAAGGAAAGCTTGTTGCGGTTTATCTATGCTTCCGCCGTCTCTGCGCTACAGCAACAAGGCACAGAAAAGATGGAGGAGGATATAGTGATGATCTTCTCAGATATGCGGAGAGCCTCCCTGCCGTATGAGCCAGTAGTGAGCATTGCTGCCGATCTCTTCGCATCACATGCCGATCTGCACTCCGTGCACAGATTCCTCTTCGCCCTGGACAAGCATAAATTTCTACTGGATAGAGCATCCAGTATACAAACTCGCATCACTACAGAACTGCCTTTGCTCCGACAACACACAGACGCTCAGGCACTCGACCGGTGCGGACATCATGCGTTTGCATTACGAACATGTCAGAACATACTCGATTCCCTAAAAAAGGTCACTAAGTCAGGCATCTCGAGCGCACCCCTCCACATCCAAGAGGAGATCGAAACCCTGCAAGCTCATAGGGATTTTACCGCAATCCTCGATGCCGCCTCGAACGATCACGCCATACCGCAAACCTATGCGAACCTTACTGCCAATATCGCACCCTCTCAGCGTGCAATCCTTATACATCAGTTAGCCCACCACTACTCCCTTGATGTCACTCGTTCGCATCGCGCGACCTGGCGTTCCATCTACGCTCTTTATAACTACCTCGAGTCGTACTCCCTGACAATCGGTCCTCTGTTTACCAAGGCCGTAGTCCGAGCCGCCATTATTCGACCCATGATGGAGCATAGATTCATCAGTGCGAGGAGACTAATCTGGGTATGTCAGCTGGTTGCTAGGGTTGAAGGCACAAATGTAGCAAAGCAGATTGAGAGTAGTTTCTGGCGCTGGAGAGGTAACGTGATCAAGCATGCCAAGGAGGTGCATGTTGCCGCTCGTGGTGATCGCAAGGCGAAGGCCATGGTGGGCAGGTTGAAACAACTTGAAATGCTGGGGTCGAGGGGATTAGGTGATGTTGTATAGTCGGAAAGGCGCTGGAATACATATACCCTCTAGATAACTCGTTGTGATAAACATGATGAAACCGACCCCATGCTCACTCTTTAATGATCGTATATCATCATCCACATGTACTATGCTAGAAATGCGCAGGTAAAATTGTAAAACCATGTCCCATTTTGGCCACATCCAGCTTCGTCGCCTGTCCATCTCTAGGGAAAAGTACAAATATTCTGGCTATTGTAATTAAGAAGGATGTAGAAGATGGGTGGGCTGCTGACGCTCATCACAAGATCAAACCTTGGAAAATACCCCACTTCGTCATAACTTTCATTGGACCACCGCTCTCCCCACTCCCGAATCCTACTTCATCGCATGCATCGACATCAAAAGAAATTTTGAGTTACCGGGCAAATCCAATGCGACTGACTGGAGACTGATTTCTGAAGGTTGCACTAGCACTTCCGCTTGTACCGACGTCATCGGACTGACCTTGGAACATATCCTCACGAACAACGCATTCGACTTGGATCATGCTTGTAACGCACAAAAGTACAAGAATACCATCAACTCCGACTTCTTTTTAGCTCTGATACATCGACCACGACCGGGAAACTATCACCACGCGAAACGTCACAGTCCTCTCCTCACACAAGCGCAGCACAAACTGCGACGAAGGATAACAGTAGAGGGAGTGCTTTTACAGTCCAGGGAATTGGCTAGCGCCTAGTGTAGAGGACTCACAATGGATCAGACTAGCTCCTCCGCTAGGCCTACTATCGAACAACTACGACATGTTGTCAACAACTACCCCATCATCGACAACCACGCACATAACCTCGTCTTGCCTCACCAAGCAGATACAATACCGTTCGAGACCATAACCACAGAAGCTCAAGGAAGAGCTCTAAAGGACACTTTCAAATCTCTTCCTCATTTGCGAGCAGCTAGACAGCTCGGCCAACTTTACGAATGTGGCCAAGACGCAGATTGGGAGGATATTCTGGAACAGAGGGTTGAGTGGATTCGAAGCAACTCCGAACGTCTGCATCAGCGATGCTTCGAAAATGTACACGCCTTGCTTATCGATGACGGACTTGCTGGGCCGGAAAAAGTCTTTCCTTACAATTAGCAAGTCACGTCCCTGTACGAACCGCACATGAGACGTGTACTGACTTCGTACACCTATATTTAGTCATGACCGTTATACCAAGGCACCCAGTAAACGCATTGTGCGTATCGAGACGGTTGCTGAGCGCTTGATGGAGAACCTGGTCCGAGATGCATCAGAAGACGATCTAGGCAAGACCAAGTTCCTGCCCCAGACCTGGACAAACTTCACCGACGACTTTGAGCGCGAGATCCAAGATGCCGTTGAAGACGACGATGTTGCCGGATTCAAATCTGTCATCTGTTACCGAACAGGGCTCGATATTGAGCCAGAATATGAGGAAGCTGCAAAGACCGTTGGGTACCCTTTCGAACGCTACGTTAAGAGCTGTGTTCGCAAACGCAACTACCGTATCGAGAAGAAGCACCTGAACGACTATCTTGTTTTACGCACACTGGAAATCTTGTCAGAGCGACTACCACATTCCGATTCTCTTGCGAAGCCATTTCAGCTACACACTGGTCTCGGAGACAATGATATCAACCTTCTTGAGTCCAACCCGGCGTTCCTACAGCCATTGATTGAAAACTACCCACAGGTGCCCTTTGTACTTCTCCATTCAGCTTATCCGTATACCCGCGAAGCAGGCTACCTCGCAACCGTATATCGACACGTGTACCTCGATATTGGTGAAGTCTTCCCAATGGTCAGTAGAGATGGTCAGAGAGCGATCCTACGTCAGTCTATGGAACTTGTCCCGGCCAGCAAGCTCTTGTATTCCTCGGATGGACACTGGTTCCCAGAGACCTATTGGCTTGCCAATAAACAGTTCCGCGAAGTCTGGCTTGATGTGAGTTTGCTGGTATACCGCATCGCCTACTCGCCCATACTGACTAATACAGCTACTCACCGAGTACGTCCAAGAAGGCGACCTAACACCGCATCAAGCGATTGGCATGACGAAAGACATCATGTTCAACAATTCTAACGTGCTGTATGACCTACGCTATGAGGCTCTCTTCGATGAGACGGTACAAGTCGATCCAAAACAGCTCACATACAACCCAAAGCCTGCTACATCCTCGCCTTATCAGTCTCCAGCAGTAACACCAATACCTACCATGGGCTTCCCCAGCCGTTTCTCGGCTTCCAACACGCAAGCTAGTCGATCAGTGTCTCCGTACATACAGCCGGCTTTCCCTCCACCGCCAAAGGTGCCGCAAGTCTATGACACCCAGCTCTTGGACGATTTCAAAGAAAAGAACCCCACGGTGAAGTTCGTTTATGTACAATGGCTTGATTACATGGCCACCATACGTAGCCGCATAGTCCCCATCAAGGAGTTTACACGCATAATAACTGAAGGAGAACGTATTGGCATATCCCAGGGAAACATGGGTACTCTTCAGAATGACCACCTAACGCCTGTCACAAATACTACAGGACAAATTTACATCGAGCCAGATTTGCGCTCCCTCCGCAGTACGCACAACAAAGATCCACTTCCCGCTGCAACGGTACTCAGTTACTGGCGCGCAGAAAACGGTTCCGCTCTTCCAGAAGACCCGCGAAACAACCTTGAAACGCTCATCAATGACCTCCAATACAACTACGCTATGACCCTTCTCATCGGCTTCGAAATAGAAGTTACGTTTCTTTCCCGAAATCCTCCTTCCACATCCTCCAACCCTTTCGAAGCTGAACCCTACTCCCCCTTAACAAAGACTCACGCATGGGGCACCCTCACACCAGAACAATGGCTCCAGCTCCCCTTCCTTGGTGAGATCGTTCTGGCACTCGAGGACATGGGTATTGAAGTCCAGCAATTCCATGCCGAATCGGGGCCGGGACAGTATGAATTCGTGCTTCCGCCTCACCCTCCTCTCCTCGCCATTGACACGCTTATCCAGGCGAGACAGGTCATTGCGCAGATAGCTAGTCTGCATGGGCTGCGTGCGACGCTTCATCCCAAGCCCTTTGAGAGCATGGGTACGGCGGCTCATGCGCATATCAGTCTGCACCCACCGGAGCGTGATATGCAGTTTTTTGTTGGGGGCGTCTTGAAGCATTTACCTGCTATCTGTGCGTTTAGCATGCCTGAGGAGGTTAGCTACGGACGTGTAAGAGAAGATTCTTGGACAGGCGGGACATGGGTACGTTGTTTACTCTCTGCTTCGATGATATCTGTTTCCACTTCACTCCAGTACCTAGATATATGAGCATACTAACATGAGCAAAAAGGTAGCATGGGGAACCCAAAACCGTGAAACACCACTCCGACGCATTTCCCCAGGCCGTTGGGAGCTCCGCTGTCTAGACGGTCTCGCAAACATGTATTTCGCGCTCTCTGCCGTTCTTGCTGCCGGCCTACTCGGTCTCGCCGCAAATGAACCTTCCTTCCCAGAACAAGATGTTCAAGTTAACCCTTCGACCATGGATGAGCAGATGCGCACTGAGTTTGGTGTGACGAAAAGGTTGCCCAAGAGCATGCAGGAAGCAGTCACAGCGTTGAGGGCGGATGGTCCCCTCAATGAGGCTTTGGATCAGGCGTTTCTGAAGGCTTATTTGTACATGAAGGGCGAGGAAGCGAAGATGTTGGGAGATATGAGCGAGGCTGAGCGGACGGTGTTCTTGGTGGAACGGTATTGATTGCTGGTAACACCATCTACATATCGGTTTCAGCAACCAAACGGTGTGGTAACAGTCAAGACTGAGGATATCTCAAGTTTTTAACCTGATACCTGTCATGACAGCTACATGTGCGAGCGAGTTTGGTTTTGCAAAGTTTTTGTTCAATACGATTTTGTACATGAACGTAGTTTTGTGCTGTGCGTGAAACACAGGAAAACCCCCCGTTGCAAACACATTCCAAAATCAATCACTGCTTGAGTTCCATCTGAAGATGCAAATTCTGTGTATCGTCACGTCCAATCACCAAAAGAAGCAGTGGCATGCTTCGGACAAGTCAAGGTCTCATTTCAGTGTGCACTATACAAAAAGTATAGCAAAACTATTATAATTTTACCTAAGCCAAAGAAACGACACTACTCTTCTGAGACATACACTCAAGATGATGTCAGCAAACCCAAGGGGAATAAGCGCAACCCAACGCAAACTATGCAAGATAAATGACAAGTCGAGCCATCTCTACCACGTCTACTACTACTCAGTCCTAGATCTTACAACAAGATCATAGCCATGCCAGAGGCGACAGCGGCAACGACGTACAGACCCATGCCGAAAGCGCCGTTAGTAAAGTGAGGAGCAGAGAGACCGGACGCGGCACCAGCGGAACCAGATGCAGAGCCAGATTCAGCAGCACCACCGGTAGCCTTGGCAGCAGCGCCAGAGACGGAACCGGTGCCGTCAACACCGGCGTCCTTGAGAAGACCAGAGCAGCCAGAAGCAGTGGGCTTAGCGACAGCCTTCTTGGTGGTAGCCTGACCCTTGAAGTCGCAGCCACCGGTGACCTTCTTGGCATAGGCGTTGAGAGCGAAAGAGAGCTGCTCGCGGCTGGAGCACATGCCGTAGACACCGTAGGGGCCGGCAGTGGCGTTCTTGTTGATACCCTGGCAGTACTCGCCATCCTTCTCACCGCAGATGAAACCGAACATCTTACCGAAATCCTCCTCCTCGGTGTCGTCGGCGACTTGGCAGCTGAGAGTCTCCATCATGCACGAGCAGAGGTTGGCGTTGGCGACAGGAGGGAGGGGGTCAGACTCGGCTTCCCACTTGCCAGCAGTGACCTTGGGGCATGCGGCGGCAGCGGTGTTGCTGGGCTTGTACTCGGACATCTTGACACCGACGGGAGTGGCCTTGGCGATCTGCTTGGACAAGTTGTCAAAGTCCTCGTTGGTCTCAACCTTGCCATTCTTGACGGTAGCGAGACCTGGCAGCTGTTAGAAGCAAAACGGTACATTGGAAACAGAAGGGACTTACCAAACTCGTTCTCCTCCTCAAAGTACATGTAGACAATACCACCAGACCAGACACCGGTCATGTCGTCGCCGTAAAGAGCCTTGACCTCAGTGAACTTACGAGGGCGGGGAGTGTTGCAACCGTACTCAGCGAAGAAGACGGGGACGTTGTACTTCTCAAAGTTCTTGGTCTGGACGTCAAAACCGGACTCGGTGAATGAGGAGTCACCGCACCACGAGTAGATGTTGTAACCCCAGAAGTCGATGGCACTATCAGAGTCGCCGCAGTCGAAGTAGTTGGCCATGTTCTCACGGATATCGGCATCGTCGTTGGTAGCATATCCGACACCAATCTCACGGTAGTTCTTGCTCTTGATGTAGGCCTTGGTGTCACGGACAGCAGCCTTGACAAAAGCGCTGGCAACAGTGTTGTTGGGCTGGTTGCTGACCTCGTTTCCAGCGAAGAAACCGAGAGTGTTGTCGTACTTCATCATCTCGTCAACAACGCTGGTGTAGCGGTCGTACAGCTCGACGGTCCAACCAGGGTCGTCGCGGTTGATCGACATTCCTGGCTCAGACAGATCGGCTACGACATAGATGCCAGCGTCTGCGAGCTGTGTCATACAGTCCTCATGGTCTTTCTTAGGGTCAATAGCGTACACACGGATGGTGTTGGTCTGGAGCTTCTTGAGCTGAGCGATGTCACGCTTGCATGCTGCAGAGTCGGCAAGAGGGTCGGTGATGTCGATGTCATCGGTTGAGGCGGCTGTGGAGTTGGAGTTGACTTCCTCTGCTTTGTGTAAGTGGTATGTTATGCAGCTAAAGTTATAGTAAGCGCGTACGTTGGTATGCGACACCCTTCATGAAACTGTATGATTGTTAGCTTGGCTCAATCTTGGTATCTTGGTGTCCCCTACAATTGTTCACCACTGTTCTTTTGGAAAAACTTCTGGCCCTAGGCATTGTCAGACATATGGAAGTCGCTCCTGTCGCACTACATCATACCTTAATGACAATGGGATCAACGGCGGCTTGGACGCCCGCGAATAGGGCCGCTGTAGCAAAGATTCCGCGCATGTTGGTAATAATAGTATAAGACCGCTTCCAAGAGCTGTGGTGGTGTTGGCGAGAGCTTGGGTTGAATCGCCGAGATTCACGTTTAAAGAGTGTAGAGAAATGGTTTGACAAGATGCAATGAGATGAATGAGTGTGGCGCAACAGCGAACGAGGCTGTATGCGAAAAATGAATTATTCAAGGACGTAAAGACGGACTGGTAAAACAGAAAAGTGAGTGTAGAAACGACTCTGAGGCACAATGAGTGAAGAAATGTAGGGTCAACCAAGCATTCCAAGAGGGATCCGCGAGGGTTCACCTGTGCCCCTGATACTAGGCTTGTTTCGCAGTCTTGGCCCGAGCGCCTTGAAGACCTATCTATTCTTGTGTTACACCAACAGTAGCTGTTGATATGTTACGCTGGGAGTTGAGCTCTGGAATTAGGCGCTTGATGTTAAAGTCGGCCTCTTCTCCAAACACTTCCTCAAGCTATCATGGCATTTTGGAATTGTCAGCGCGGCCCGGAGTCAAGAATCGAGGTCTCGACGCATACGTACACGCAATTTCGTGCACCCCACTGAGAGCCGCCTGATGCCCCACTGCGGATCATGTTGCTAAATTGAAGCGCGTCTTTTCAGATGTCAAGGTACGCGTGCCGAACGGTCCCGGTGCGCCGTATGGGAATATACGAGAAATTCGGCGGAAGTCGAGACTGTGGATCATGATCTTGGGGACTATCGGGATATGGACAAAGGCCGTCCATGCTTGATTGCACAGCCTCGTGGAGTTTCACCAACAACGGTACTTCAGGCTCGGAGGCACACGACACACAGTTTGTGCAGCTGAAACGTAGGCGTAGGTGGGCGAGCTCGCTCGTGCCGTGAGGCGGCCAATGGACCATGATGCGCACACGCACACACAAATGCAGCTGAGCTGGTGTTCGCTGCCTGCGATGCGACGGCCATTAGTCATCAAGTTGGCATGGCGGCAATGCTTCGGGCCGGGAGCTGGCGTCCCCGACAGCGTTTGAGAGTAATGCTTGCACTTATGGCTTATTGTGCCTGTCAAGGATGATGCGCGATTATTTATGTATCGATAAGGCTGTTGTAAGGTCAGAGGACGAGATGTACAGAGTTTGCATGCAGACGTAATCATGAGGTTAATTGCTACCCCGGTCTTGGGTTCCAAGTTGGTCGCTCTGTAGCCGGCTCATTTGCTATGCTGTCGACGTTGGAAACCGGGCGGTCTACTATAGCCCACTAATGCTAGGGGCCATGCCGACTTGATTTGCGTGCGGTGAGCGATGCCGTCATCCTGCGATGCCGTTCCGATTCATGCACGACTCAGGAGAATCACGTCTGCGCAAAGTGACAGCGGCTTTTGGACGTCTGAAGCAAAACATACAGGCGCCGCGGGCAAAAGGACTGGGGGGTGTTATGGCAGGCTCAACAGAAGCACTAGCAGCGACTGGCAGCCGTCAGCCCCCTTTGCATTGCGACACCAAGCACCGTTGACTTGAAGATGAGCTAGGCTAGGGCGTTGCGGAAGCGCGCCACGTCGCGATTGGATGTCAGATAAGAAACTTATCGTAGCTATCGCGCCGGTCGAGCAGCGGGCGAAGATGGCGGGAATGATTTGGTCTGCCGGGTCGCTAGTCGTGGTTTGATCAGCGCGGGCCTCTGGTACCGTGCGGTGCAGCCTCTGTTGGTCCATGGCTGGGAGACAGTCGTGACGTGAATGCGACGAGGCTGAAGGCAAGCAGAAGCGGAGAAGGGCAAGGGACAGTGGTAGCAGCCAGCTGTCAAGCCATTCACCCAGAGCGGTGCAGCATCAAAACCGGTTCACGGCAAGCAGGGTGGTAAAGTCTTTGTTGGTATATTCGGAAACGGGTATTATCGATAACCAACCAGATCGGAGATCGCATGATAGTCTGGTTTCCTTTCCCAGCGGCCTCCTGCCACCGCTCGAGGAGACAAGAGGAGCGGGAACAGCAGATCAGAGCACATGCTGCTCGAGTGAGCGCAATGATGCATCTTTGTAGTGTGCATTCGTCCATGATCTCCCATGCCGTTTTTAGAGGGGCGACTCAATATCGGGAAGTGAATGCAAGCGAAGGGGACCCATGCGCAGCGTCTCTGACGGCGTTAGGCTAGCTTGGCAGTCGTGCCTTTCATTTTCAGGGGAAGCTGCTAAAAGGCTCTTTGCCTGCCCTTCCGCATTCCACACTGTCGCTCACTCACCCACCACTTCTTCCCCCTGTGTCCGTTTTCTTCTACATTGCCTCTCGTTTCATTGCGTTGAGGTTGTGTAGTGCTTTCGCCGACTGCTCTCTCGACACTTGAAGAGGAGAGCCGCTACTCGCCACTTCAACCCAGCCTAATTCCAACTTTCGCCCCAGCTGTAGACAAGCGCCGATTCGCCGCGCGTCTCTCCTGGCAACCACGAAACGGCTGCATAACCAGCTTTCCACTCGCTAGTTACGACCACAACATCAGACTCTCGCCGACAAAGCAGGCACGAGCAACCCCCGCTGTGCTACTGAGAGATCACCGCTCCTGGACTTAACACCGAGCAAACTGCCCGATCTTTCCTCACAACACACTCGTTCAACAACACCCGCACCCAAGTGCAGCCACCATCAACCGTATCTTGCGGCAGTCTTACTCCAAGCAATTCGA